ACCGGTGCCAACAAACCATAAACTCTATGCATCCGAAGATATTGCTTCAATCAATATTGCTCGAAACATTGGATCAGTAAAGGGATGGCATGTGACAGGAGATTACATTACCATTGGTACCTCCAACGATGCAAGTGTTTCATGTAAGTGATGATATATTTCTTTCAAATCTTTCAAATGTGTGTTCCTTTGAATGAATTCCATCCATCCATCTACTACGACACATCTTCAATCACACACACACACACACTCCTATGTATGTATGATTACAGTTATGATATTTCTCTCTTAGAAAATCCAAATAAGGCTCTCAAGACAGTGATTCGATCTCCTTTCAATCATACCAATATTACAAGTGTATTCTTTGATCCTGAATTACAAGCAGTATTTGTTTCCTATGATAATCATTGTGTGTGTATTTTTAATGTTCACTCCAATGAAAAGATTGGTCAAATCAGAGGTGTGAATTGTAAACATTTATTTGTATTGAATCATCAATTGTTAGTGGCACATGTTGTGGAGACACAACATTCAACTAGTACCACTTTGACTACAACTGGTACTTCAACTACTACTACTTCTAAACTTCGATCGAATACATTTATGAATACTCAACACCACCACTCCAACAATAATCATACTCAACAACATTCCACTCGTCAACATTTCATTCAAATTTGGAACATTTCCTCTCAACATAATTCCATTCAATGTTCTTTGAAATATTCAACTCACAATAACAACAACACTTGGAATTCTCATCCTCATATTATGGAAATATTTCAAGTCTCACCTCATACCATTTATTTAGATGGAAATGTCAAGAAGGAAATGCAAGTGATTGTATGTGGATTTGGTAATTCTAGTAGTAGTGGAGGAGGTAGTGATGAAGGTGGTATTCTAGTCTTGTATGATTTATTGAATCAGTCCGAAAGTGTAAAAAGTTTAATATTTCATACCAACAACAATAATACTAACAGTAACAACATTTCACATAAGGGAGTCTATTGTTATAGTATTGATCAAGATCGAGATTCTTTGGATGATTTGTGTATCTGTGGATTGAATGATGGTACGATTATGGAATTTAATTTAACACAAATGAATCCTCAATTAGAGCCAAGAATATTGAATACTACTAGTAATAGTAGTAGTAATAGTAGTAGTAGTAATAGTAGTATTACTTTGAATGTCAACACACACCAAAGTATTGAATGTCTTGCATTTGATGGTGCTTTGATGCGAATTGCAAGTGGTGGATGTGAAGGATCGATTTGTGTATGGGAAGTCATGTCATCCTCAACTCAAACTAATACGATCCATACGATCAATACTACTACTACCACAGATGTGAATTCAATCAATCAATACTTCAACAATGCAACATGTTGTGGATCATGCACACATGAAATGTATCAAATCTCATTTGAATATTCATGATGGATTTGTGACATGTATGACTCAATGTGAAGATAAGATTGCAACTGGATCACAAGATGGTACGATTAAGGTATTTGATAAGGTAAGTGTAGTATGGATTGGATTTATTGAGAATATTACTCTAACGATTGATACTCAATATAATTCAATGAATATATTTATCAAATTATTATTGAAATTGTACATGTTCCCAGTGGATGGTCATTTGATTGGTAATTTAGATCAAAAACACTTCATGTATTACTCATTTGGATTTTATTGAATCACATTTATTATTGAGTTCCAGTGAAGATGGTACTTTGAAATTACACATCTTGACTTAATTGAGAGTTTTATGATGTCATTTGGTCATCGTGGTGATAGAATTTGAGATTGAAATGAGTGGTCTTGATTCTCACCACCTCTACTACCATCACCACCTTTAATGAAGAAAAAATGGAAATCCTTCTTCTTCCTTTCCTCTCTCATTAAACAATTCACACAAATTCTTTTTTTTATTTTTCATGAAAGTACACAGAGCACACATTAATACCATAGTATATAGAAATTCAGATCATGTTTGAAATGAATCATCATCATCATCCATACAGTTTATTTCTTCCGCAAATATTTGAATATTTAAATATTCATGAAATATGTTCAAGTCTATGTTTGGTGTGTAGAGAGTGGAAAAGAATAACAAATAGTGATTCACTTTGGGAGAAGAAATTGATCAAGAATTTCACATCCCACTCTTATCATCATACACAAAATATAATTACCATTTCAGATCTTTCGAACCAAATGTTACAATTCGAACATGATGTTCTCAAATTTATTTACAATCTAGTTATAGTGGTGGTGTTGATGATGATGATATAATTATGAATCATTTCATGTCACCACTGATTTTACATCCTAAAAAACAATTGAAATTTGCATTTATTTGTGAATATTTATTTAAAAAAAAGACACATTTGAAATTTGTTACTATTCACAAAATGAATACTCGAAAACATGGTAAAATAGAAGTAACCTATTCCTATTTTCATAAGAAGAGAGAGCACTACAACTATCTCAATCATCATCACAATTATTATTTTGCATTACTCTGTGAATATTATGTGAAATTAATCACGAAAAATATGAATGTGAATGCATTTTGTGAAGAACAATCAGTGAATGCATTCAGTGAGAATAGTCCTTTTAAAATCACTCTCACTCCACATGATGTAATATTTGCTGTTTATATACCTTCCATGCAGTCCATCTGTTATTGCTATATTCAAACACAATCAAAAATTTGTATTTATTTAATGGCCAGTGATGTGTACCCTTATCAATGTGTGATTCCATTATTGTTTCAAATATATACTGAATGTTATGAGAATGTGGAAGGAGTTTTAATGGACCGTGTTGTGGACTTGGATCAAAGAATTAAGGTCTTGTTTGAAGCATTTGATCTGAGAAAAACAGTACCTCTCAGTCCTCAAAGGAAAATGGTGAATTTACCATTCAAGCTCTCCAACATTATGATCCAATTACGTTTGACGAAATGCATGTGGTCAATATTGCTGATATCTTGTCATGATTTAAGGGTGCCAACCTTTCAAAGAGTGCACTCACACCTTCAATTTGAAACGTTATCTTTATTTATCAAATCTCTTCAAAATTAAACATTCATTGGTGAGTGACTCAATAAGCATGATTTGAACCATATTTTGACAAGTAATTTCAATACAAATGCCACCATGTTGTTGAGTAAATCTCCAAGTACCAACCATGGTTTCACCATTCGATGACATGCTCACATGACCAAGAGCAGAATACAAGACACATTCATTGAGAGAAGATCCAGTCAAATGAGAATCACCCAAATGTCTGTATACCACATGTTGAGAATCATCACTGGATGATTCTAACTTGGAAAGAATCCACTGCTTTTCACAAAGGAGTAATGTATAACTATCCTTATTGAAATTCACAGATGAATTGAGAATGGTTCTAAGAGCAGATTCTTCTGGAATGACCTGTGAGGAAGATCCAAGAATTCGACCACTACCACTACTTGAAATGGTACCACCATTTTCATCATCACTATCATCACTCATATGACCTGATGGTGGTGTAATGGTTGGTGTTGTTGTTGTTGGCATGGTTGTTGAAGCCTTGATAATCATTCCCTTATTTTTAGTCAATTGTACAATGACTGATCCTTTTGGTACTAATCCAGCTTGTTTCAATGTTGTTTGATTCCAATCTTCTGCAAAGAATTCTTTACGTGGAAATGTGGTTAAAATACTATACGCTTCATTTGGATCTAATTGACTAGAAATTGCAGCATATAAACCATTCAAATTGTCATTGGCAGTCAATTGAACTTTTTCAGTAGTACCTGAAGGTAATCGAACTTGAATGAGAGCATTGGATTGATCACTTGGAGTGCTTGTACTTGCACTGGTAGTAGTAGTAGTTGTGGTAGTAGCAGTGGATGGAACAATAGCACCTCCTGTCTGTTGTTTCGACATCTTTTCTTCCTTCTCGCGTTTCATTTGTTCTTTCAAAGCCTTGATTCGTTTTTTTTCTTCCATTTTTTCTTTTTTCAATCGTTCTTGTTCCTTCAAACGTTCTCTCTCTGCAAAGGCTAACTTGTTTTCAATAGAGTCTCCTTTGAGTTTGTTTGGATTATGATGAATCGCTGGAATGCCTGCCATCAATGGTGATGAAGTATCATTGGAGGATGTATTAATTTCAGATCTTGTTGGAATGGTTGGGGAAGAGGTGGTTGTTGTTGTTGAAGATAATGTATCAGATGATGTATCACCACCAGTGATCAATTCTTCTTGATCCAATTCATTGAAATGATCATAAATGTATTGAATGGCTGCATCAATGGATACATTATTAACCATTTGAAGAGCTCTGTTTGATTTGAATTTAGAAAATCCCATATCTATCAAAGTGGCAGACATGACTGGATTGACCACAACCGAGTCATGATCAATCTTGGATCTGTTTCCTCCGAGTCGGAGCGTTGATGATGGTGCTTGTGGATTGGACATTTTTTTTAAACGATGGTTGGTGCAGCGCAAATGAAGAAGGTTTATTTTTGAATTGTGTGTGCGTGCGAGAGAGTTCATGCATCTAGATCTCTTGATGAATGTATTTGAGAGTCAATTTAAAGTATTCTATGGACCGATCAATAATGGTATCCAATGGCAGTGGTGTATCATTTTGCAATAACGCACTCGTATTAGTCTTTCTCAATTCTTTTTGAATGTTACAATATAATTTACAATAATAAACATCTTTGGTTAAGTGAGCTAATTTGTAACACAAGGTTCGACTCTGAATCAAACAAAATGATTTCAAATAGAGTCCTAATGATTTCTTCAAATATTCAACATTGTTATGTCTTGTACCTAGTATTTCATAATAATAAGCAATATCAGTAGTTGTACCATGAGTGAGAATGAGATTGGAAGGTGAGGATACGAATGATGATGATGATGGATGCATGCAAGAAGGTGTGATTGATTGTGTGGAAGCATCGTCATCATCATGGCTGACGTCATAGAATGATGATGATTCAAATATAATAAACATCGACTCTTATAAGTCTCTAAATGATTCTTTTCACAATAATCAATGGCTCTAAATAAATAAGGCATTAATAGTGTCGAACATTCCTTATTTTTCAATAATTCACAATTTTCTAAATAAACACTTAATAATTGAATGAAATTAAACTTTTCAGCTAATTTAAAACATGAAATGAATTTAGAGATGGCATGATGAATATTTTCATCAATATAATAGGATACAAGTGATTCAAATATAATAAATCACACTTGTCAATATTCAATGATGGATCCATAATATTTCTGAATTGATTCATGAGAATGTTCACATTTTCACGATCTTGTAATTGAATGAAATGAACAATGATTAATCGATAGCATGTATGATCTGAATTGGGAATTGATTTTGAAGATAATAATTCATAATCTGAATATAAATCTAAAACATCTCTTGTTAACCCTAATGGTACTAAGGCAGTTGATGAGGATTTAGAGGAGGGTGATTGTAGAGGAGATGAGAGTGGTGATTGGATGGGTGATTGTATCCAATGATTATGATTGCCTTGACTAGCAGTACTGCTGGATCGAATAGGGGATGTCAATGGTGATCGTAGGGTATTACTATGATTACCAATACCAATACTACCACTAATACTACCATTAATACTACCATTAATACTACCACTAATACTACCACCCACACCACTCTTCAATCTCAAATGACATTGATACAATAATCGATCACCCATGAATCGATAAAAATGTGATTTGACATGATTCAATAGAGATTTTGGAAATAATTCTTTCAATAGTAATGGCTTTGAGTAGAGTTGTTGTTGTTGAATAGGAAATTCTTGAAAGGATACTTGTTCACATTTTTTCAATAACAAATATAATTGTTTAGTAATTTCTTGATCATGAAATCCAGTTAATAATTTGAATTGAATATAATCTAGAGTGATATAAAAGGATATAAAAGAGAGTGATTTGTTTTGTTGAGTTTGTGCAAATTTCAATGCTTGTAAAATAAATAATTCAACATTCTTTGATTCATTATGAAAATATTCAATCATTTTGATTTTGTATAAAATGATTAATGATAATAATAGAGATTCATGTTCATTATTTTGTTGAGCAATTTTAATACTCTCTTTTAAGGAAATTGTTGCTTGTTTGTAATATTTAAAATGATAATAGAGTAGAGATTTGTTTAATGCAGAATACGATCGATTTTGAAAGTAATCATAATAAATATGAAGAAAGAAATTAGCATTCATAAAATCAAGCTCTTTACAACTTTGAATGTAATTATGATAGTATAATTTTGGAAATATTTTGCTCACTGATGATAGACCAGTTGGATGTAAAGTGTTATTATTATTGTTTGTATGTTTAGATGAACGATGAAAGGTGTTATTGCCTGTATTAGAAAAAGTACATTCAATAGTATCATTATTTAAAAGTAACATTGGTTGATTGGATTTGTACTTCATAATATTATCAAATAATGTCTTGACTCCATCAAATAATAAATTATTAAATATTAAAATAATTTTTCGAAGAAATATTCCATATATAGAGGTCTTATTCACTTCTATAGTTTTAAATTGATCAAATAGGGTGAATAAAGTATCAATACTATCAATAGATGAGAATGTTGAAATAAATGGTTGAACTAGATCAGGATTGACATTGGTTAATTCAGTAATGAATCTATTAATGGTTCCGAAAATGGGTGTATGTTCATGTTGAATACAATTTATAATAAATTTGTTTGTAGATGCATCACTAGTATTGGAAAGTGTGGTGTTGTTGAAGGAGTCTTGATTGCTCATGATATCAATTAAAACAGCAATACTGATATCATGAGGAGTAATTCTATTGATGGAATGTTGATGAAACCATTCACCCAAATAGGCCATGCTGTTCGGTGGTGGAGGATGGAGGGATGGTTGTTGTGTTGCTGATGCAGAAGCGAGCATTTTTAATTTTTTTTGATAAATGTTTTAAAAAATAAGCGCCAATTGTGTTGTTCGGAGTTCAACTCTCTTCTTCTTCAACAAGAAAATGCTTTCCGCTCGAGTCTGGTTTTGTTGGCATCACACTTTTGGCATCCGCATCAGTAACTATGGAATGAAATGTTGGAAGGTAACAACAGTCCATAGTAATTCTATCTTGAATTCTTCCACATTTCCAAATCATCATCGATGCTATTCTTCAACTCCACAACCATATAATACTACTATTTACAATTTACACAAATTATTTCCAATGTATCGATCAGAAAATTCACCATCCATGATTTCATCATCTCAACATGCACTTTCTCTTTCTGATCTCAATTTTCCCATCAAATCTACTTCTTCCGAAACAAATATGCAAACTAAAAAACAGAAAAGACTTGCATCTAAATTTAGCTGTCTGAGTATTGTTACCAAACACACAGTTTCATTGGTTGAAGAAAAAACTCCTCATGAAGTGAAATTAGTACCAAAATTAAGTAGTGGAGAAATAATTATTAGAATTTCTAATGATCCGATACATGATATTCAAACTCTTAATAGAAATTCAACTCATACTGTCAAAGGATCTGGCAAAATTAATCATTATCGACTACATGCAATTATTTATAATTGGAATAGCACTCTGGATTGTTTACAATTTGAATCAAAATTATTGCCTTCTTCCTCGTTGACACAAATATTTGTTAAAATGTCCAATTTATTGACCAATCCCAATAGTGAGTGTTATATTGGTGGTGGTTCTCAGTCTGATATTCAAAAAGGTCACAAAAATACACCATCCTTCAATAATGGTAAATTATTACATGTTTGTCTCGTTTCAAGATCAGCCATTGAGAGTTTGGCATCGATTCAAAATCCATTGTGCAAAGAAATGATTGAACTCGCGATGAGTCAATATTCATCATCCAAAGAAAATACCAAAAAAGAATATCCTCGAGTGTTCAAAACCAAGAATTATGAACTGGCGTTCAAGATGGATGACACATTGTTCAAGAGATTTGGAATAAAACTATAATTACTTTTCAACCATTTTCATCCATTCATGTAATTCATTCTTGGTGGACATGTAGAGTTCTTGTATTCGTTTAATTTCCTCTTGTTGAGTTTTTCGTTCTTCTTCTTTCTCAATCATTAACTTGGTAATCATTTGATTTTTCATATGAAGTAACTTTTTTAGTTCTTCATAACTATTATGAGAGAATGAACATGTGATGAGGGTGATTGAGAGTGATTGAGAGTGATTATTGGAATCGTGAATGATCATATGAAAGAATGGAGTCATTCAGAGAGAATAATAATTATTTTGAATTCCAATAAATTTCTCACTCGTTTATGAAAAACCTTATTGCAATAATAAATACTTACTTGTGTTTGTAAAAAGATAAATCTTTCATATCACCTTGTTCATATTCCAATAGGGTGGTCATGACTGATGGATTATCTACCGAGAGTGGTAAATGTTTATCTGATAAATAATTTGCTTCTCCAATAAACTTGAAATATCATTAAAAGAAGAAAAGTCAGTCGCCACAGGAATATTCTCTTTTCCTGAAGAGAGCTCATTTCCAACTCGGTTGACAAAATTTTGAATTGTTTGTAATTGATTTAAAACACTAGTTTCATCTTGTTTCAATATTAACATTTTGTTGGACTCTTGCATGTTCAAATTATTGAACAATGTCTCCATTTGGATTTTGTATTCATTCAAAAGTTTATCTTTCGCTTTTTTGACCATTGTCATTTTGCTTTGAATTTTGTAAAGTTGAGAGAGTAATGACTGTTTGGTTGGAATTAATTTCGAATTGATGATAAATTGAAGTTCTGTCAGTTGCTTGTCATACACATGATTATTAATATTGAGAGTGGTCATGAAATTAAATTTGTGTATGTCATAATTTTGTTGAGCAGTGACAAGATTTTGATTTGATTGTATATTCTGAGAAGAAGGATCATTGGATGGAGCACTATTTTCTATAGATTGGAGGGTGTTACTTTTTTCTTATCGGAATGTTCTTCCTTTTTTCGTGACTTTTTGGACGAAGAGGAGGATCGTTTTGAATCCTTCTTCTTATCTTCGGACTCACTAGATTCTGATTTCTTCTTCTTCTTCTTGGATGAGGATGAAGAGCGAGAAGAGGATTTTTCCTTTGAGGGCATGTTTGTGTGGTGTCTCTTTTTTTCATGAAATAATCGTATTTTTGAATGTTTCGTTTTGGCGGTATTTTGTGTGATCACAACAAGCATTTAAAATTTTAAAAAATGCAATCACGCAATGATCCAAAGAATCCTCCAAATTCTGCCACCACTACCACAACAACTACAAGTACTGCTACTACTAGCACCACCACCTCTACCAGCACCTCCACATTATCGGAAGAATCTCTCAACAATATTCTTCATTTAGCACTTCAACTTTATCATGGTAAAAAGTGTCTCTTTGTCACAGGTGCAGGTTTATCTGTCTCGAGTGGTATACCCACTTATCGAGGAGATTCAAATTCAATTTGGAGTAATCATATTACAGAAATGGGTACTCGAAGAATGTTTCAATCAAATCCATTGGATTGGTATAATAATTTTTGGTTACAAACTCATCATCGAAGAGAATATTTAATTGCAAAACCTAATGAAGGACATTATTCTATTGCAAGATTAAGTAAATTATGTAATGTGAGAGTGATTACACAAAATATTGATCATTTACATTTAAAGACGAGTTTATCACCGTCTAGAGTGATTGAAGTTCATGGACGATTGGGTAAGAGTTGAATCTTGTGATCATTTTTGTGAGTGACGTGTGTGTCATCTTGAATGTCTTTGAATATGTTTTAATTATTTGATCAAAAATATCGAATTTTAAATGAATATATTGAAATGATATTTTTTGAAATGATTGGATATATTTTAAATATTATATTTTGAAATTTCCATATACGTTGCATATTCAATGGAATGAATATTACAATACTTGAATCAAGGTCTCTACAAGTGTGTCAATCAAAGAAAAAAGAATCCATGTCCCTACTCAAAAACACTCAGTATTGATAATATTGAAATTATGGATTACATGTCGACGAATACTTTTAAAAAAACCAACTCTTCAAAGAAACCATCATTCAAGAATGAATCAGTATCATCATTATCAACAACTACTATTCAATCATCATCATCGACATTTACTATTGAATCTGTACCTACATGTCCCTCTTGTTGTAAACCCATTCTACCACAAGCTCTCTTATTTGATGAAAAATATGAAAGTCATGATTTCTATCAATGGCAAAAAGCTATGGAATGGATTGGAGATTGTGATTTGATTGTTTTTGTTGGAACATCATTTTCAGTAGGTGTTACTGCAGAATGTTTGAGTATTGTTCAAGAACAAAATGAAGAATATTTGAATGAGATTCAAGAAGAGGATAATACCATAGAAGAATTATTATCAAATCAAGATGAGATGAATTCAATGACTAGTCAGAATGATGAGAGAAATAATTGGAATAGTAATAAGAATAATAATAGAATTTTTAATAATAAGAATAATAATAAGAATAATAATAGAAACAATATTAATAAGAATAATAATAGAAACAATATTAATAACAAGAATAATTCTAGTAACAAGAATGGTCCTATCATTAATACAAAAAGAAAACTCATGTATAATTTTAATATGAGATTGGATGAAGAAGTGAAAGATTTAGATGCCATGTATCATGTCATTGGAAGATCAGAATTTACTTTACCTTTATTGTATGAAAAATTAGTAGAAATTGGTCAAGTGAATCGATGGATTACTACTTCTATTATTCACAATACTGATCCACATGTTGGTTGGATGAAACAACAACAAGATGATGAATCCATCATCATGAATGATTGTGCTACTTTTGATGAGTCGTCATTATCAACAACAACAACAACAACGGTCATGACCACACATCTTGTTGCAACCAATATTATGGATACTTTTACAACACTCAATCATTCCAATCCTATCATTACTAATTCCAATCCTATCATTACTAATGTTAACACTTGTATGAATTCTAATAGTCATCCAAACAAGGTCATGACAAGAACTAATTCTCGATTAAGAATGTATTACTATTCATCACAACACTTATCAGAAAGATCGAATCTTTCATTAGTAGTGAATTCCACTAGTGTAAAGACTATTAAGAGGTCGACAAACACCACCACCACAAACACAAATTCTACTTGCCATGTTCATGATTCATCATTACCACCATTACGAACAAGTACTACTAAAACCACAACAACCAAAAGAACCTTTCAAATCAAAAAACACTTGAATTCACCTCAACCACACTCGGCTGACACCATGCATGGTGCTTCTCACCACCCTTTACCTGCGTTGAAGAAAGTGAAAACAAATCCCAGTGAAGAGAATAAGGACCATGGTCAAGAGGAGATTTCAACAATATAGAATGATTTGGATGCATTTCTAAAAGTGAAAAGGTTTGACAAACTCCGTTTGGTGTTTTGCACTAATCATGTTGGAGTGTACCAAAGTTTGAATTCTCGCTCAATTTCTTAATAATCCCATTCGGTTCTTTGGCTCAAATATTCGTGAAAATAGAGCACGGAGTTACCACTTCTCCTAGAAATTCTCCACACAGAAAATTTATCGCGAGAAAAAAAAATTCATCACAATTATTTTAATACTATCAATCCTTGTGTGTCTCGCTCTCTGTGTCTCTCTCATCAATGACCAACAATCATACCATTCATTTGTGGCTTCGTGATGAAGTCAAACCATTTGAACAACGTACTCCACTCACACCTCTCGATGCACAATATTTAATTCAACAACATGGTTTTAAAATTAGTGTCGAGAGATCACAAACGAGAGCCTTCTCAGATTCTGAATATGAACAAGTAGGATGTGAATTGGTTCCTTCTCATTCATGGATACTTCCATTGTTACAACAAGAACAGCAACAACAACATCAGGAATATCAGGAACATCAGGAACATCAACAACAACAACAACAAGACACTACCTCCAACAACAATTTCTACATTTTAGGTCTCAAAGAATTACCCCTTCCAAACACCACAGTTCAATCATCAAATGGATTAACCATTCAAGTACCGCAATATTTAACAGGTCAACGTCATATCTTTTTTGCTCATTGTTATAAGAGACAATCCGATTGGAAAGACACCATGTCTCGTTTCTCAACTCATCCTTCTTCTGAAATACTTGATTTGGAATTTCTTAATTTGGATAATGGTCGTAGAGTAGCTGCATTTGGATATGCTGCTGGATTCAATGGAATGGCAATGGGTTTAATTACTTATTGTAAACAAATTCTTTCAAATAATAATTTTGAAGAATTGAATCAACAAGTTCAACCATTCAAAAATAGAAATGAATTAATTCAATATATTAAGAATTTACTTTCACAAATTGATCACATTCCTAAAGTACTTGTATTAGGTGCATTGGGTCGATGTGGTAGTGGAAGTGTCAAGTGTGCAGAATTGTGTGGAATTCCATCTTCACATTTAATTCAATGGGATTTGAAAGAGACAAGTCGTGGAGGACCTTTCGATGAATTGAGTACAGATATTGACATTTTGGTCAATGATATTTATTTGAGTGGTAAAATTGAACCATTCCTTACAATGGAAATGGTACAACGTTCTACTCGTCGATTGAGTGTACTTGTTGATGTATCGTGTGATGTCACCAATCCATACAATCCATTTCCAATTAATTCTCAAGTGACTACATTTGATGCACCTGTGAGACGTGTGATTTGCGTGGATGAGAATCTAGATACAAGAAAACCTCTCGATGTGATTGCCATTGATCATTTACCAACCATGACACCTCAAGAGAGTTCAGAAGAATTCTCAAATGCATTGGTCAAGTATTTGGCTGAATTGAAGAAGGTGAATTTTTCAGTCATGAGTAGTAGTAGTAGTGATCTGAGCAGTAATGGAGAAGAAGAAACCTCAGAGGGTGTTCGTGTATGGTTACGTGCTCATGAATTGTTTTTGAAAAAGTTAGAAGAATATAAAAGTGAGCAATAACTTGCAAGAACAACAGTATATTAGAAGGATGAACAGATCTTCATTGGTTGTTGTTGTTGTTGTTGAATGGTATATCCCATTGATGTGTGCACTACATTGATCACTAAAAAATGTCATCATCTTTATCTGGACATGATGATGATGGAATGGATCGTGCCATGAATTTGACCATCTCAACCTCTCCAAGTGGTCAACAAGAAATTCCAAAACTCATAGTTCCATCCTCCTCTTCCTCCTCTTTATCATTGAATATCATCACCAACACGACAAAGAACATTCCATCATCCCATTCACCAGTGACACCCACTTCCAACAACAACACTCTCGGATCCAATCACACGAGACATCGAAGACTACCCAGTAGTTTTCTTCTTCCCTCAACAACGACAACAACAACAACAACACCGACCACACCAACAACGTCGACTCCATCCTCTACTACCTCCCATCACACCTCCCCCTTTGATCATCATCATCATTCAACAACGAGTACTTCTTCCATCAGCAATAATAAACACAATAAAAACACCAACACCAACACTCTAGGCTCATCAAGGGTGAATACACCACCCCAACAAGAACAGCCTTCCTCTCTGACCCCAACAAGAACACCACCACCTCCAAACATTAACACTCTACCACCATTCAATGCATTATTCAACAGCACAGAGCCATCATCATCTTCGGAACAAGAAGAACCCTTTCGAAGAATTCAATCATCACTTCCTCCTCTTCACTTATTATCATCATCAGCTCCATCAAACATGATGTTAGGCTCAGTTGGTGAGCCTACTACTGCTACTACTATTACTACTACTACTACTAATCATCATACCACCTCTACTACAATGAATATTACTGCAACAAACAATGGTCAAGGCTCATCTTCCTCTCATCCAAATTCTCGTCATTCCTATTCCAATTCCAATTCTGCAGCAGCTGCATCTACCTCCTTCTCCAATAATGTTGAATACTACCATCCTCATATGGCCATGTTCATTAAACGTAAATTTGATGAAGATGAAGAATATCTCATATATTCCTATCCTAATGAAATTACTTCTCCGAATATTCATATTCGATCTTTGAAAGAATTGAGAGGAACTCTACACTCTGTATTCGGAGAATGTAATGATATATTGAATGAAGAAGTGAGATTTTGCTATTTGACTCCCACTGGAAGAAGTGTGAGTGGTCATAGTAATGGTGGTAATGGTATTTATGCAAACAGTCCTGCTTTTACATGGGCAGGTATGGACTCCAACAGTAGTGCTCTCATTCATGGATCTTCAGGAGCTGGAGGTGGTCATACTTCTTCTCCTCTCTTGGGTGCTTCAACACTTCCTGCATCGACAAGTCCACTCTCAGGATTACTCTCAGGATCATCACCTCATCATCATCCTCACTCGTCGTCGCATTCATCTGTACCACCACAGCCACAACAACCACAATCACTACCACCACCACCCTCCTCTTCTTCAGTACCATCTTCCAGTGGTGGCGGTGGCGGTGGTGGTGGCCTGCTAGAGAGTCATTTAATGGCAGCCTCTTCACAACCCAATGAAACGAATTTATTGGAACAACCTTCACCTCCCAAAGCATCTCTTCTTGAATTTTTACAAGAATCAAGAATGAATCCATCTCTAGTGTCATCACCTCCTATCGGTGAAAATACCAACTCGAATATTATTTATTTGAGAGAAACTATTGAAAAAAACAAGAGACCTCTCATTGTTACCTATAAGGTTCTTAAACAGTATATATTTTTATTATATTTACCAATACCTTCTGATTATAGTTATGGAAATGTCATGAAATTGGTTTATGAACAATATGTGAATGAATTATTTGAATTTTTAGATTTTATTTATCAAGACGTTGAAGAGATTATTTCAAACATTTCAGATTATCAATCTCAATTAGATACTATATTTAATAGATTTTTTGAAATGGTATTCCATGATCGAGATTTCAGTTTTGTTAATAGTTTTCAGGATGGATTTGTGAAATTTCAACCATCGTTTCACATTACTCAAACCATCGATGCTGAATTGTCGAATTTAGAAACAATTATGAAAGAAGATTGTTTTAATATTGGAACATGTTTAATCTATAAGGGTTTATTACAATTATCTCATCTTCCAAAGAATATTACAAAACAAGTGATTAGATATTTGACTCACTTTAATATTATTCATCGAGCTCAAGATTCACCAGAAATGGTAATTATTGAAAAAGTTTTTATTAAGGAACAAGTGAACCCATTTGGATTACTCTCTGTGAATGACTCAGTATCGACTCATGACAATGGATATGACTATTTATTGTCAGTTATTACTCAAGGCGAAAAGTTAATGTGTAGCGTTTTATATGCAAAGAGATATCCTCAATCGTATTACGAAGGTGATTTGTATTATGTGGATGAAATGAGAACATGTTTACTTCAATTAGAAAAGAAAGGTATATTCAGTCAAATTAGAAGTCAATTCAAGACCTCTCATTCTCTCGCAAATGTACTATCTATTCCTACTGTATCTATTACGAACAATTCTGATTCTCAAAGAGAAGGTGGTGGAGGTGGTTCTATGAATGACTCTTCAAGTGGTGGCAGTAGTGGTAGTAGTGGTAGCGTCAGTAGTAACAACAGTGGTGCTCATTCGTATGACCCTTCTAATTACGCCAATTATAACATGAAGCATTTTGTGACCCAAGGTCCATATAACGTGCTGCTTGGTTATGTGGTACATTCGAATTCGAATGGTCTGATTTTATTCCACAATAGCCACAATTCATCCATTGCATCCGTCTTCTCGTTGAAATGTCAGGTAATCAGACAAGTTTTGCATAGTAAGAGAATGATTGCCAATGGTTCACAAGATTTTGATCAAATTGTGGAGTTTGGTATTCATATTGACCACAGAGTTCCTCTAGTTGGTACTAGTGTTGCACAAGTTGGATATTGGATTTGTGGAAGAATGAATGACAAGCTGGATGAGTTCTATGTTTGTTATGAAGATTCTATTCCACAAGAGGTGGTTGAGTTGTCTTATAGATTATATAGTCGTTTGTACATCTAGATTTCTTGGTTGAAACTTGTTGAGATATTCCAAATCCATAGGCTCAAAGAATCCCATGATCTCTTATTTATTGCAATAAAGCTTTTTGGCGTCACGAGAATCTTTAAGCAATGAGTTGAGAACGTGGAGCACCAATTTTAGTGTCTTCAAATCAATTGCCTTTCCACGCTCTTCGATGTCTTCATATTTGTCTGCAACGCATGCGTGAATCTTTTCAATGATGGTGTGAGCATTTTCAATGATAGAAGAGTCCAGAGGATTAATATGAACTACAATCTTTTCTAACCAAGCTAATTTAACAAATGTCTGTTCGGTAATATCATAGCCAAGCTGCTGAACCAAAGCCAACAGAACTGGTTGAGAGAATGGACATTCAACTTCGAAAATACATGGATCAATAATTGTGCAAATCCAAACCAACAAATTCAAGTCTGTCTTCTCTAAAACAATAGTGAACGCTTCTTGGTATCTGTGCAATTCAATAAGTGTGAGTAATTTTTCTTTGAGAGCAGCATCACCCAAGTTTGACGGGTCAGATGATTTTGAAACTTGTTGAGAGAAATTCTTCAGCTCTTGTTTGATCGTCTCTACAGTGGTCTCATTGATATCTCTACAGTATTCTTTAAGAGGATTTTTTACCAACTCATCCATGCCTCGTTCAAAGGTCTTACTAATTTGTTCAAACATTCTTCTGCATGATGTTTCAAAAGAGGGAAGCACTGTGGTTTTGAGCACAGTTTGGAAGCTGTCTTGAATTGTCTTTTTGATGGATCCTTCGTCTGAGGTATCAGTAAGAGATTGTTTCAAAGCGTCATTCATTAGGTATGGCAAGGTGTTTCCAAGATCACCCACAACATTTTCAGTGACCGAATTTGCAATCTCGTTAGGTAAATCATTGGAAAGGGTGGCTGAAATTGTTTCAATAAGTTCCTTTTGGCGTTTTCTTTCCTCTGTAAGTCTGGCTACTCTTTCTTGCTCAATTCGTTTATAAAGCTGATCATATTGTCTCTCTGTTTGTGTTTGAATCATTGACTCCATTTGGTTCAATAGATTTCTTTCCATTCTTCGTAGTTCAGATAAAATTTCAAAATTGGAAGATGAGACACCAGCAGTCGATGAGGAAGGGCTTGGAGTTGATGTAGGAATGCTTCCTCCACTAGTAGTATTATTCGTTCCATTAACTACAATGGGCTGGCGCAATGCCACTCCAGTATTGGTACTGACAGGAACTAGTTCCTTAGCGGCGCTTGTTGGATGCACTAAATCTGGCATTGGAATTGGAGGTTTCGTTTCTTGAACAGGAGGACTAACTTGTGAGGACTTGATGCTCAATAGATGTGAACCAGTACTTTGCAGAGCAAACAATCCAAATGTACTTCCAATGGTCATACAAACAGCATTAACAATTGGATACTTGGAGTCAAATTCTGTGATACAATCAAAATAAGGATGTCCTGTTTGCTCAATAAGACCCGTCTTGTTCAATCTCAATACAAATAAAACAGCATTGTGTAAATTGGCAACACATAATACAGTGGATGTAGGATCTAATGTAATCGTGTTGATTGAATTACTTTCCTCCCACTTCTGAGGACGAATAGACATCTGTTGAATAAGCTCAATATCAAGTTCTGGTGAAAGATACCACAATGAAATATCAAAATTGTTTTGTGATGATGTTACAAAGTATCTTTCAACGTTTCTTTCAGTTCCGCTAAAGAATTGGATGTTTAGCAATTCGCTGTTATAAATGTTTGTTTGTTTAACAAGAGTCATATTAGTCCTTCTATCCCAAACATAAATATTACCAAATGAGGATACACAAGCTAGATATTTTCCATCACTAGAGAAGCTCATATCTGTAAGAGATTCATTTTCATCCAGATCGTCAGATAAAATACGAATTCCATCAATGGATTCAATATTTTCACTGTCTAGTTCAATTATTTCTTCGTTTAAATCAGACAGTTTTTCAATATCAAGCATAAATAATTGGTTATCATTTGTGATAGCACAAAGCTCAGAATCAGATTCAGGAGCCCATAAAATTCTCTTAAAGAATCTATGGGATTCTGATGATGGGAAAGCTAAATGCACAATTTTGGTATACCCAAATTGATCTTCTTTTGGATTTCTCAAATCATTCTCTTGTGTCTTGTCCTCAGTGTCAATAACTTGCCATACAATCAATGATCTATCTCTAGATGCTGTAGCTAGTTTGAGATTAGTACCACACTGTAAATCAGAAACAAATTGTTTGTGTCCTTTTAAGAGACATCTTGCACCTGTTTTACGATTAAAAACACGAATTGGACCACCTTTCAAAGTCCAAGCCAAAAAATCGCCTAATACTCCAATATTCTTTCCATTTGAAAATATTAGATCGCACGCGTAATTAGTAATTCCTTTGATTGCAGTTACCTTTTTTCTCTCTTGGTTGGAATCAAGTGGAAATGTTGAATAGACATGATTTTGCTTATCTAGTGGGCCAAACATAAATGGATCAGATGCAACTGGCACTTGGTGTGGAGGAGCATATTTCTGGAGTGCTGATGAAGGTGATTGAGATGAATTTGTTGGCTGTGGAGTAGATGGGGAAGGGACTGGAGTATTGGTTTGATTCTGATTTTGGTAAGATCCCGATACATCATAGGTCGGAGAAGAAGGTGAAATATTACTGCTGCTTAAATTGTTTAAAATCTTTTCGCTTCTCAATTTGGTGTTGCTTGGCTTAGCCTCTGGCACAGGAGTATCTTGTCGAGGAATGTTATAAAGTGCTCCTTGAGTATGAGGAGAAGTGGTTCCAGAAGAGCCTTGTTGTTGCTCTTGATGAGTTTTGATGGTCGTAGGGGTGGATGAGCCTTGTTGTTGTTGCTCGTTACTTGTTAGCCCAGATTGTATTCTCTTCAAATCTTCCAGAATTTGCGATTCAGAAAATGGAGTTTCGTTCATTGTGGGTTGATAGCCCTGGTGTGATTGAGTTTCATACGGATTAAAAGAGAAAGAAGAAAGCTGTGGAGGTAATGTACTGAATTTTTCATGTGCCATTTGGAGGCTTTTCAATAGATCGGGTGGTAATTGATTCATATCAGTCGAATAATTAATTATTATCTAGTTATTTAATTTCAATAAATACGCGTGATACGGCTTTTGTATGCACAGAAGCTCGAAGAAGAAGATGACTTGGAATTTTTGTTTTGATTAGTTTGTTTATTTTTAACTCACCCTCTGTCAAATTTGCGTTCAACACACTCATGAAACAATAAATTCGCAGCTTCTTTTGCTGAGATTCTTCATGACCTTGTTAACTCTGGTCTTTAGAAAATTGTTTTTGCCACGTGGCTTTACAAGTTGTGAAAGACAGACATCACAAAAAAATACACACGGGAATCCATGGCTGGCTCAAAGCAAAAGAAGAGATTGACCACCAATGCAGCCATTTTGAGGAATCACTATATAGCTGTTGGTGTTGTGAATGTACGTTATAATTAAAATTGAAGAAGTATCTGAACATGGTCTTCCGACGTTTCATCTCAAACCTTTCAATTCCGACAATAATTAGATCATTTACCTTGTATATGTTGTATTTTATTATGATACTTTCTCAACATTTAACTGGATTGGATATATTTCTCTCTTGTTGGGATATTTCTTTTGTCTGAAAGCAATTACAAGTTATGCAAAACCAGTTGAATCTATAAATCCAGAAAATGGACAACGAACTCTCCTAGATGTCAATGATTTGAGCGATGTTTCTGGATCTCTTACGGAATACATGTTTGATATTATTTATTTGGAATGTTTTGTTCAATTGGCGACCATCATTTCAGGATGGTTTTACTTGATATTATTAATTATTCCAATCTTTGCAATTTACAAACTCTATTTCTCTCTTGTTCAACCTTTCTTACAGAGCAGATCCATGATGGGACAACTGGCCCACGGTGGCAATGCTCGTCCAACAGAGGCTGACAATATTTCCGATAAGAAGAGAAAAAAGTTAGAAAGACAAGAAAAGAGACAACAACAACAAATGCAAAGAATGAGAATACGTCCACAACAAGCTAGCGGTGATGAGGATGAAGATTAAGTATTACAAATCAGATCAGAGGGTGTTTCAGGTTTTATATTTCACCTGGGCACCCATTTCCCAAATAAACCATAAAAAATTCATCAAGTGGCAGCTCTCTTTATTGTTGAAAACGTTTAGATCAAATGGCTCACTCAAAAGATGATGATGATCACTACACTGATGATCTACTTCCTTCTGCGAATGAGAATGCCATCTCAACAGCATCATCGTTACTGCCTTTGAATGATGAAAGCGAATTTCCTCATGATGAGGATGGTTCTTCTTCATTGGTCGGTCCAATGGGCCATCATCAAATGAATCATACAACAACACCAACGACAAATAGCCATTGTAGCAATAACATTCCAATTTTCATCAAGGAATTATTGAATGAGAAGGATCAAACAATTTGTAAATATATTTGGAGCAATCCCGTACACTGTGGAGAAATTAGTCAAGAGGAGACATCAACGATTGAACCAAGTCATAATAACACTACACAAAAAAATTGTGATGCATTTATTTCTGAATTATACAAACAATAATGGCAAAGAAATTTGAGGGAAAAAGTAAATATTATCAATGTTGATATTGTTAATTATAACTGAAATCATTCACCTTGAATTAACAATATTATTGAATTAATAATTGAAAAATAATATTATTGATGTACAAGTAGATTCAGACATTTTCAATCATGACATGCCGCCTTTACAATCGCTGAATGATGTATCATTTTGTAAATGTAATTTTTGCGGAAATATTATTTTAACTGATTATTTAATAATGCATCTAGGTGTGTATTTCAACAATTAATACGGAGTTGATTAATATTTATGTTGTGATTATTATTTAATCATTGAACTTTTTATTTGACACTCTAGAATTGTGTCAATCCAATATTTTCAAGCCTAAAACATTACCATATCGAGAAATGAAGAAGTCTCAATACAAAGATTCAATCACTGATACGCTGGAAAAATCAAAATTAGACCATGGTCCGCTCAATAATCAAGAAATTGAAAAGGAAATATTCACAAACAATAATTTGAAAAGAACTCAACAGATTGAAGAACCGATATCCAAAAAAGAACGACCAAAAAGAAACAAACCAGCAAACAAACATAATTCTGCAACAAATTCCACTTCAAACAGCGAAAATCAAATGAAATCTAAGAATGGTACTACCAAAAAACCTTCATCCTCCACCACGAACACCACTGCAACACACGGTTACTCAACAAGACAATCTGTAAAATTATTAGATCGAGAAGGAGGCACGAGCGAAAGCCCTTCAGTAGGAAATGCAAAAAATAATTCAAAAAATGTCTCTGTGGTTCCAACCAAAAGTCAATCTCCCTCAAAGCCTCAAAAACATCAAATGACTTCTCCAAACAATGCATCACCTATGGTTGAGAGCGGTGCTATTGGTACTTCTCAAATCAATTCAAGTAAGCAAACCATGTCGACAACAACGACAACAAATACTCTACCTCCTCTTCCACCGATCAATAGAAAACGAGATGTTTCCAAATCTGTAGCAACAACCTCAAGCTCCAAAAACGATAGTAGTTGCAGTAATAATCAACAACAGACCACACCTGCTGAAGAACCTCCAACAAAGGTCAAACGATCGGTTAAATTATTGGATCCACCTAATTTACCTTCCACGAACTCCAAATCAACAACCACTTCCTCCAGGACATCAACAACAGGAAGCCCCATCACCTCATCAAGCCAAGTGACACTGAGCAAAGTCAAAAACTTTTCAATACGCAAAACCAATACTGTAACACCCTTGCCTACAAATAGTGCTACAACCAAAACACTCACTCCATCAACAGCCATTGTTGATCATGGTTCATCTACTAATACTACCACTCTGCCTACCAGCAGCAGTGGCAGTGTGCAAGCACTAGTGGTAGCAGTACTCACGAGAACAACAACCATTCGAATTCCAAAACAGATTTTCAACACAATTCCACGAAGAGTGTTGTTTTATCGAATAATCCATCGGCAACCCTCATGCTTCCAATCAGTAGCAATAATCATCCGCAGCAACCCTCACCTTATACCACTAGTCCCTATGCTATGATTAATAATATGAGTAATAGTGGTACTAATTCTCAAGTTATTACTTATCATCCTTATACGACCTCAAGCCTTCATTCGCCGTCATGCAATACACCACCATCTCAATATTCTTCTATGGCCAATAGCAGTCCATATGCAATTTCGAGCGTATTAGTAGCCTCTACAACACCTTCTCCATATTCTCTCTCCTCATCATTTCAAACCTATCCACAGGTTGTACAAGGTCCGTATTGTATGCATGTCAATGCACCCACAATGGCTCCTACTTCTATTACCTCTCCCTATCAAGTCATCACCAGCACAGCAATGAGAGGGCAGCCAACTCTATTGCCTATCGCTTCCACCACGTTACCAACCTCCTCACTTACCACATTTGTATTGCCAATCACTACTAGTAGTAGTAGTAATAACAGTCATCCATATCATCATAACACCAACACACATCCAAGTATCAGTGTCTCCTCACTTGTTTCTTCTCTCAATACCAGTGGTAGTAGCAACAACTCAACTCATCGAATAGGATCCATAAGTGCTCAGGACATCCTCAATCAAAAAAAGTAGAACGTGATATCCTGAGCTCTGAGCTGATGATAAACAATCATCAACAAATGAAGGAGAAGACAGTCATAGAGCGAGATGCAGTTTTCCTTTCAATCATGAATGCAGAAAGCAACTTGGATGTATCAAAGTCTGATTTCACTGGACATCAACAAACTTGCAAGAAAAAATGTTACAAAATGTAAGCACATGCACAACTAACAGCAGTTATTGTATTTATCACTCACGCTCTATGATTTAAATTAATACAACAATGTATGATATTCCAATTGATTCATGTGACACGTTAATCAAACAACTTGTTTTACAAATCTTCTAATAATGAACTCCGATTCGCTCTGTAATAGCCACAAGAGGATGAGCTAAATATTCCAAGATCAAGTCCAAGACACTCTCATCATGCAGTGACAACAATCATTGGGGAAGCCACTTTTAAAATCATGATTGAAGATAAAACTAAATTGAATTTGTTGAATACAATGATGAAGATTGGAGGTGATGATCAGAACAACAACACAGATTCCTCTCAACCACAATTGCCATCAACAAGACAATCCGTGGGTGGAATAGATGATCAGAATGGTGCCACTACTAATGCCGAGGATGATCAAGGTGGTCTCTCAGGACAATCGAATGCAGAAAAGAAAAAAAAGAGAAGATCATTTTCTCATGTGATTCAACAAACGACCATGAAGCCTATTATGAATATTTCAAAGGGAATATCATCATTGCAGTTTAAATCGAGAGATGTCGAATTGAGAATGAATGAACTACTTGTATATACTGTAAAAGGTAAGAAGAGGGTTAATACGATTGTCATATCCTTACACTTCCAAAATCATCATGACAACAACCATTCATATGAACTTGGTTCTCAATGAAATTTAAATGTTGCTTAGACTCTCACAAAAATAGAAAGTTAAAAGCAGATCTTCATCTTACACATGCATCGATCACCATGGATCCTCTCTACAAAAACTGTATCAAAATTGAAACTAAGGAAAAGATATTGAGAGTGATTATTGAAGATGAAGGTATTCGCAAGGGATGGTTTTATTCTCTCAATGAACAAACAAAATTATTAACCAAAAGAAAGAGGATACAATTATTGCATCTCATTCTTCGTCTTCATTAAGTAGTGGTGGTGATTGTTGTGATCCACAACAACTACTTGCAGGAGCATCTGTGGATACCATTTACCAACCAACTCCACTCAATTCAGCCCTTAATCAAATTTCTAAGGTCGATGGAATGATTTCAGAATTCATCAATCAAATCAATCAAATGAAACCAGACAATACTTTGATCCCAATTCGAATTTATTAGCAGAACCTCCCACAGGTAGAAAGAGAAGATTGAAATTTCCAAGTTTTGAAATTAGTGGAACCACCAACGATGTCTTGGATTCCATACAACCATCGCCATCAACGGGTACTACTACTGCTGTGGATTATTCTCCTCTACATTCAACTCAAATGAAAATGGAACCCATCGTAAAAGAACATCTTTCCTTGCTCTCCACTGAGTTTACAAATATTCAAAACTTTACGTTTGCAAGTGCCATTGCTCATTTAACCATGATTGGACACACGGTGATGGAAAAGGCTCAAATTGAAGCCAGCACTCAATCCATTATTAATATGACTGGAGGATCTACCATTCTCAAACAAGGTTATCTTATCAAGGCTGGGCCCAATGATCATCAACCATGGAAAAAGAGATATTGTGTTCTCACTGAAGCACGTGAATTTAGATATTTGGAAGATATTGGAGGTGCTCCTAAAGGTTTATTTTCTGTTGAGAATGCATGGGCATCGAGAATCAATGATGAATCCATTCATATCATTCCGTTTGCCACTACACAACAAGCCTTGTTCACTATGGGAAGTAGTTTTGCTTCAAGAAGATTTCTCTTTAAAATTGAAACAGTGGATCGAGTATACAAATTTGAAGCTCCTTCCTATGTTTCCATGAAGAGTTGGTTTCAAGCGCTTGAACTCTGTGGTTGTCATGTGAAGGCAGATGAGAATGATGGAATTATTCTGAGTGGAAAGTTATTGAAAGAGAGAATGACCACCACTACTACAACAACTACTACTACTACATCGACGAGTTCAGGAAATGCTAATAAGGATGAATCATCACATTCATCTCAATGGATCTCACGACATGTTGTACTATTGGAATCCAATGAATTGAAATATTACAATAAGAAGGGAGGTACCTTATTGGGAACGATCAAACTCGAAGAGAGTTATATTAATCGTGTGACATCAGGTAGTAGTAGTGGTAGTGGTAGCGCAACACAAGCGGAATCCTCTCCCAATACTTCATACCATTATCGATTTAAAATTTATACACCCGAAAGAACTCATCAATTTGAAACGAAGGATGAAGAAACTCTTCAGAAATGGATCAATACCATTGTTCAATATAGTGCACACAGTGGAGGTGGTGAGGGATGTAAGCTGAGAAATGAAAACGATCCAGAACCCATCTTCAAGAAAAAACTCAATCATTTCTATCTCAAATCTACTGAACAAGTCATTTTGGAGAAACAAGAAAAACTACAGGATTATATTGTGAGTGAGGAAAAGTTAAAGAGTAAATTAATGAGAAATAAGAGTCAAGCGTCATCGAGCGCAAAACTGAATTCAAGTATGAGAAAAGCTCACAATGAAAGTCTAACATTGAGTGAAGAAGGTCATCGTGTGGAAGGATCATCCTCACCTATGAGTGAACCTCCCAACTCGAGTAAATTTATCTCCAAAGACTCCCAACAAAGCAGATCAGTTGAAGAGAATTGTGAAGAATGACAATAATAACAAGACACTATCACCAATACAGGCAATACAGGAACAGCAGCAGATACGTGAAAAAGAATTGATTAGAGCGGATGATACTTCTTCTGATGGGATGAGTCAGCCAAAAACCACCAATGATCATCCTATCCAAAAAACATCATCCCATATTGATACAAACATCAACGATGTTCAAGAAGCAACAACAATGGAACGTCACGAAGAATATAGTACGTCACCGGCAGCAACTGCAAGTATCATGACTGAATCCAAGGATATTGTTCCTTTACCATCTACAACATGTGAAAGTCCCTCAACTAAGGAGACTGAGGAGACTTCACTCTCTGAATTGATCCAAGCATCTACTGATAACGAAGAAGCCTCCATTCCCAATGCATGTAAACTCAACGAAAATGACATGACTCGATCACATGATTCGACAACAACGACTACTTCACGGCCACAGGACTCTGAATCATGGAATACTGCCGAGCCACGTCAAAGTAAGGAGTTGGCAGTATCCACTCATTCATCAACGATTAATGATTTGAATAAGAAGGTTTCTTCTTCTCTCAAAGACGATCATGAAGCTACTCTTCAGCAACATATGGAATTCGAGCGAGCACAAGAGCTTGATGAAGATCATCACTACAGAGTATCCAATCCCACTCATAACACTCACAAAGGATCACTCAACTGCATTCAACCTACCTTTGTCTATGAAGTGGTTCAAGGGCTCTCTCCAACCATTGTCATTGATAATGGCTCTGGTGTATTGAAGGCTGGTTTCGTTGATGAAGAATATCCGAGTGCAGTGTTTAATAACATGATTGGAAGATTAAAAGAATATCATGCAAAAGGAATGATTCCGTCCACCACATCTGCTGGTAACCATGTGGGACAACAATTATATTTCGGAGATGGTGCTCAGGCTTTGAGAAGTCTCCTTTCTCTCTCCTATCCCGTGGAGAAGGGAATTGTTAAGAACTTTGAAGATTGTGAAATGATGCTTCAATACACTCAAGATTGTCTTGGATTGGAGAGCTTTTCAGAACATCCAGTATTAATGACAGAATCTCCTGATAATCCAAAGGCCAAACGAGAAAGACAAACCCAAATGATGTTCGAAACCTTTGATGTACCATATTTATATATGGCCAAATCAGCTGTGTTAGCTTTGTTTGCGTATGGAAGTGTCACGGGAATGTGTTTAGATTCTGGTGATGGAGTGACTCATGTTGTACCAATCTATGAAGGATACTCACTACCTCATGCTGTGAATCGATTGAATCTGGCAGGAAAGGATCTCACTCATTACATGATGCAACTATTGAATGAAAGAGAATTTTCGAGTCAGTTATTTACTACTCATGGAGGAACAACGGCTGCTTTTGAAATTGTGAGATGCTTGAAAGAAGAGTTGTGTGAAGTCAGTGAGTCAACGAGTTCAACCTCTCCTACTGTAAATTATGAACTACCTGATGGCTCTTCAATTAGTGTTGGCAATGAGAGATTTAAATGTCCAGAGTTGTTATTCAATCCATCCCTCACAGGTAATCACGATTCATTGGGTATTGTCGAATTGTGTAAAAAGACCATCTATGACACAGACATTGATTTGAGAAAAACTTTGGCACATAATATTTTCCTTGCTGGTGGTTCTACAAAATTCAAAGGACTTCAAGCAAGATTGCAGAACGACTTGCAAGAAGCATTACCTTATTCTCAAAAAGTGAGAGTTAAGAATTCTACAGATTCACAACATTTGGCTTGGATTGGAGGTTCTATTTTGGGTAAAATGTCAAGATTTACCTATGACGCAATGAGCAGAGAGGAATATGACGAGATGGGTCCATGCCATGCTCATATCAAGTTCATGTAGGAGGATGTTACTTGTGAGAAATGATAAGGATTTGAGTAGGGTTTGATTGTCTCTTGTGAAAACATTGTCACGAGAATGATAGAATTCGAACATTGTCCAAATGGAGTGGCGATCGCGTGGCCACAACGGAATCGGAGTTCACAATTAAGGGTTTCTGAATCCCGAAAAAAACCTCAAATATTTGGAGTCACCATCAAATTACCATCTCCACAATAGGTATCTTATAAATTTATCAGATAAATTTTTGGCGAAAGAGTTTGTACAGTGATCGTGGGTGCATTCCCATCCCAATTTAAGGAGAAATCAAAGGCCTCAAATTCAATAGGACCTCTACGGTATACGGACAGTAGTGTATTTTGTAAATAACTGTTACATCAGAAGAGAACCCATCAACATCAATACTGGTCCGATTGACATCACTCTCTCACTATGATGCCACAGTAACACACTCTCTTGAACCCCTTCACTTGCACCATAGCCTAATATTAGAGAAGAAAAAAGCATCAGCTCATTCTCATCTGTACATTGCCTTATCTGTAATTATTATTGGCTCAAGATCAAAACTACGGAACCCATTTGAAGTCCTCCTCTCTGCCATCGTAAATTTCGTTCATTATCATCATCGTACGACATCCACCTTCTTCATATATTTGGAAGTCTCTCTTTTTCATCACATCATTACTCTATCTCCTTCTCTGAAGCAAGTGAATCTCTGTAGAGTAAACAACGAACAAATTTGAACGAACAAACACTCTCACCACTCTGAATTCAAGAAAAAAGAAATTGCCAACAACACATCTGGAGTGCTTCCGATCATCATCATTGAGGAATTTCGAGTGTTCATCATCAAACCCGAAATTCTAACGAGATAACCACCCATACTACTACCTTCATTCTAACCTCATCATCATCATGTTCTTTAGAATCTCTCCTTCTGTAAGCACACCTCCAAGACAACCCTCTTCTTCTTCATCGAGTAATAATAACCATCAACCCACGACAACAGCTCATTCGAATTCATTGAGATCGAAACAAATCCAAGAGCAACATGCCATGATTGCATCCAATATCATTTCTGGTGGTGTGACTTCTGGAAGTAATGTCATGTCTGACATTTACTCTCCACAAACTTCTCCTTTTGAACTGTCATCATCCTCTTCTTCCCCTCCAACTTGCTCTCCTACTTTGTATATCAATAGACAAGAAGATTCAGCACAACTAAGAAGAAGAAGAGATACAGATGCATTGACATCCATGGAGAATACTACTCCTCAAGGAAGTGACAAGGGCACTGCATTGTCCTTATCCTTCTCCAATGTGTCCATGGCTGTTGTCAATAATCAACAATCCAAGAAAAGGAAAATGGATATCTCAACAGATGATTCTTCTACAATCCAAAACCAACTCGATTCCAATGCAGAATTTGAACTGGACACAAGTTTTGAAATGAAAATGTCAAAGGTGCTTGGCTCGTTTGACGATCAAATGGACATTTCACCCACCACACCCAAGCATGAAAAATCTCTCAAGAACTTTAAGGATGACTATAAGGGACCACGATTTGACTCTACGAATCGCACCATTGCCAAATACGGAGAGGATAATCGAGTATTCATTGTAGGACTATTAGGTTATGATTTTAGTGAGAATGACCTTGAAGTAACACCTACCAATGACACGAATGGAAATTTACAACGTTTGAAACAAATGTTTGCCAATTTATTCAATAATCAAATTGCTCCATTGTGGACTTCCAACGCACCACCAACATCCAGCACTGCTACTACTACTACTATCAACACAACTACAGGCACCACCTCTACTTTAAGTACAAACTCAACAACCAACCAAATGGTACATCACAACAATCATCATGACGATCATGCCACCATTCATGGAGATCCAGCCAAAGAATGTGCCATCATTTCTCGATGGAGAGAAGTTCCACAATTGAGAAACACTAGGATTAAGCAACTCAGTTGTGGTGGCTATCATGTCTTGATTTTAACGGACAATCATGAAGTGTATGGTTCAGGATGGAACAAGTATGGTCAGTGTTCAACTCGCAAGTTTGGATCCAGTAGTAAGGTATTCAAAACGAGAAATGAGAGAGGTGAAATTGAATATTGTGAAGTTCAGCCCTTCCACAAAATTGAATTTCCAGAAAAAATTGTTTCGCTCAATGCCAGTGGTCGACACTCACTCTTCATTAGTGAAACTGGAAGAGTGTATGGTAGTGGATGTAATTTACATGGACGTATGGGATCAGAATTCATTGATATTCCTCAGATACAACAACACAATAGTTCCAACCCTGAAGAGATGAGTCTTCATGGAGGCTCTCATTCAGGATCCTCAACAACCTTCGAGTCAGAAAATGCTTCAGGAATATTCTCTCCAAAACTTCTTGGCGGTATCTAAAGAAAAGAGAGCTTACTATGTGGGTAAAGCCTTTTGGCATTCCATCATTGCTACCAGTGATTTGAGAGTGTATGCCATGGGTCAAGGAGATGAGGGAAAACTTGGAATTGGTTTCATGAAACCATCAAGCTCTACCACTACTACTACTACAACATCCACTACACACCATCATCATCACCCCTTCGAAGGCACACATTGTTATGAACCTACAGAAATTGTAGAACTTCGAGGTCGTGAACTCTTGGAAGCTGAAGGTGGAGCATGGCACACCATCTTCCTGACCAAATCCACCAATCCTTCCATGTACAATAATGATTTGTGGGTGTGTGGTTCTAATTATTGGGGACAATTAGCATTGCCTTCCAAGAAAAACAACTCCTCTTCCAATCAAACACCTGATTTTTCAACGACCAATGTACCAGTCATGCATCCCTTCTTTTGTGGAAAGAGAAATCCATCAACGAATCCAATTCAAGTATGTGCGGGATCCAATTTCAATGCTGTACTTTGTGAAGATGGTTCAGTGTATTGTTTTGGATGTGGATCCAGTGGTAAGACTGGTATGGGCCATTGCCGTACAGTGAAAACACCCACCAAATTAACTTCCGTTCCCAAGAATATTACAAGCATTTCGACTGGTTCCAATCACTTGATGTTATTGACCTCAACAGGTGAATTGTATGGTGTTGGTTGGAATTTTTATGGACAGTGTGGCTATGATCAAGATATTGAAAACATTGGCAAAATTAAGGATACTTCCACCGCTCCATACATGGAAGGAGAAAGTTTGGGGAAATCCGAGGCCTATGACATACCAAGAATCAAGAGACTCACTGGTGTTGAAGTTCAATCAGTGGCCACAGGTGCCTACTTTACCATCATTACTACAAGTGCAACGAGTAACAAACGAAAACAAGAAGAAATTGCAAGAAAACGAAATGGTATTCAGGTTCGAAGAGGCTTCAATGATATTTCCATCGTCACTCAACTGTAATAAACGGCTGCCGTTTAGCAAAATCAAATCACTTGCATTTTCTGGGTGTTGAACGGGAGTGAATGCATTCTTTGGATGGAACACGTGATCAAAGAGTTCATCCAACTGGCACTGCCTTCCAATAAGAAGTGAAAACAGCAACGGAAATTTCAACACTCTTGTTTCGCGTCATTCTTTTTTCACTTTGAAGAGAAAGAAAAAAATTGATCCTTTTCAACGTTGCGTGTATCTTGTTGGTTGGTTGAAATTCAAGGTACTGACCGTTTGGCTCTTCCGGAAAAGATTGGTTCATTTCCTTTGCTCTTGTTTCAAGCTACTTACCGTTCACCTCTCTTCTCACTCTCTTTACACGACCACTATATATTTTAATAGTATTTCCATATTTATATTTGTTGTAATTCTCTGCAGAGAAAAAAGAGGCTACTTTCATCATCACCACTAAAATGACTTCATCATCTTATCTATGTGGCTTCATTTCGGAAGCTCAATCTCCACTCGAACGATGGAGGTCATACGTACAACAAGGTTTATTCTCGAACGAGCTTCATTTTCTCTCCTATCGAGGATACATGATTCCAATTGTTATGGTATTGAGTATGGCCTTCCATAGCTTACTGTACTATGTACTCTCTGATTGGTTTTCAAAGAAATACAGCAGTACTTTTAGGAAAAAGATATTCAACTCCGAGTTGGATAGGAAAGAGTGGAACAGCAGAATGGTTTCCAACGTTCATGCCGTTATTGCTACTGTATTATCTTTCTATTGTCTTTTTTCTGTATATTTACCAACAGATAATTATAATGGAATATTGGCCAAGTCAGCTCCGATTTGTACATTTCTTTTGACGTATTGTGCTGGTTACTTTTTATATGATTTGATTATTGTGGCCGCTGATTATCCACATTTAGGAGGAATGGAAACAATTTTGCATCATACCACCTCATTTGTTGCTTTAATTGGAAGCATGCTCTGGGAAAAGTGTGTGGTATTGCTCGTTCTCATGTTATTCACAGAAATTTCCACTCCATTTGTGAACCAAAGATATTTTCTTTCGAAATGCAATATGAAATCAACTAAATTATATGCATACAATGGAATTTTAATGTGGGCATCTTTTGGAATTGTTAGAATCTCCTTCTGCTTTTACATGCCCTATATTATTTTGGCTGATTCTTTGACATGGTGTTCATTCCCAATTGGATGGATTATTGGTGTATGGATCATGGTTATCTCCATCTCACTTCTCAACATTATTTGGTTCTATAAGATTACATCTGGATTGATTCAAGTTCTTTTTGCTAAACCTGTGACAACACGCAATTTGGATGACTCTACTCCATCCACCTCAACGGCAAAGAATGAAGACACCAAAGAAGCTCATACAGACTCTGAAGATGAAGCTGATGATGTTAGTGAAGCAACTTCCACTACACTCCCTCTTGTCTCTAGAAGATAAATGTCACAAATATTATAAAACTGATTTTTTTCTTGACTGTACAATAACTTTTAATTCTTAACTCGATATTCTCCACTGTCACACTCTAGAACCCCTTCTTTCACTAAAATACCCAAAAAAGCTCCCAGCTCAGTCAAGGACTTATCAAATGGAGGGAGAGGATCTAAAGGAAACATTCCTAACATGTTATGAATTTTCGATAAAGGCATACTGTCAAAGTTGTTGAGCATTCCGATAATCAAGTCTTGATACACGCGCATAGCCTCCTCAGGATTCTGCACTGCCGACGATTCATCCATATTGTCATCTTCAACTTGTGTATTGAGTGATGATAGACTGTCGACCAATTTAAGACTATCTCCATTTTCCACAATGATTCCTCGCTTTGTCCAGGTAGAAATTCTCTTTTGGAATTGTTTCTCATCAACATTCATTAATTCGCACATTTCTCTCATGGACCACTCATTTCTGTCAGAAAAATGGAAGAGAATCGAAGCTGATATTGGATGAATGTCAACAAATGAAACTACCTCTCCACCAATTTCAATGTCAAAATCAATGGAACCTAATTGTTTTTCCCATAACAGCTTACGAGGTGCTTTGATTGCATTATACTGAGAAGCATACTCTTCCATTAATTGTTCAACAAATGGGTGTAAATGAATAGTGGTATTGTTTTCGTCCGATTGTGGAACTTGTAGTGAGGAATGTTGGTTAAATAGTTGTTGAGGCCAATAGTTCTTTGATAACATAAACACGCTTGGAATTTGTGAATCAGGTTGAATGGTAATCTCAGCAAGATTTTCATTGGATAATTCAATGTAATCAATTCTATTTGCAAGCCTTCCTTGAATTCCAGAGTTGAGAAATTTCGAATCGGATATATCTTTCAGCATGATTTCACAATTTTGCATATTCTTTTCTCCGAATCTAATTTTCAATAATTCTACCATTTTAGCTTCGTTATTGGTTTCATATGTTTCATTCTTCAAAAGCGTTTCTGCTAATATCGTTCTATATTCGTTGACAAATATTTCTCTATTTCCTTTATACATGTCAATAAATATTTTGATGATATCAGGCTTTTCCAATTTAGATTTAGATGCTGTTCCATTAAAAAATGTATTGTTGATACCACTTTTCATGTACTGAACAACATGAACTTACATGAAGGATGAATAGGTTTTGGATTCCAATTTTCATTGAGCCCTCTGCATCATCAGAATCATAGTCGATATTACTTTGTGGAGGATCTGAAGTAAGTAGTTCATTATACAATGCCGATTCATTTTGCTCATCGATCATTTCATTGACAATACAACGAACAGCATCTGGTCTCTTTTCTCTTAGGTATTCCTTAATGTGGAATGATACAGAATCTAGGATATTCCAGTAGGATCAATAATTAAGAGAGACTTAATAATCCGTATGAAAGCCATGATAATATTCTTTGTTTCTACACTAGCAATTAACAACCTATTTTTCACACTGTAGTATTCGAGTCGATCCTCAATTCATGTAATGTAATGTTACAACAGTTGCATACTTACCTTTTGTTTAACTCCTCAACCAATTCTTGATGCATACCACAATGATTCAAACACTCTTTTAAATCATAATAGCCTGTTGACTTGTTGGAAAATCAATGATCATATTAAATATTTGTTTTATCCTACAATACAAATAATGGATATTTAAATGTAACTCTCTTGTTTTCCATACATACCTTATCTTTGCCAAGTTTTCAAATACGAAATAATCCACTTGAGATTTGAGAGTATTGAACAATTCATGAGAAGGGTCGTTGCAAAAATATATATCCATATAGGGATATATAATTTGTTCTTTCCATTGTTGTATGTAACTGAGTATTTCTTGTTCAAAATCAGTAGTTGCAACTTCGGTAATTTTCTCCTTAATGGCTGAGAACATGAAAGAGATCCAGCTATTGGAAATTATAGAATTCATGAAATTAGCTCTCAATAGTCGAACTTGACCTGAGAATAATTTAAAATTTTCAATGACGTGTTCTGACTCGAGTGATGGTTCTTCAGACTCAATTGTAGAAGCAAATGCCATAAATGTTGCCTGGTAGTATTGAACCAACACTTCGGATATATTCTTCTTAATTAAATATTCTCTTTGATCAATATTTAATTTGTAAAAGAGTGTGGATTGAACAAAAACAATAAATTCCTCCCTCATTCTTCCATCATCAATTCCTAAATAATTTTCTAACATTTCAAAAAATTGTATATATCGTTGCACAATCATACAGATGTTTTGAACAATGTCTAGCAATGAATCTACGTTGGAAATTGAATTAAATATCGGAACATGATTTTTGATAAAGTATTGCCTCATACGTTGCATATAAATATCCATCACAGGCTTTTTATCATTCAACGAGAAGGACTTGATTTCGGAAATACATAAATTTTTCATAGGATCATCCAACAACTCGTAACAATTCAGAGAATTTCCATATATTGTCTGTAATAATATTTCCTGTGTGTGATTGTTGTTGTTTTGTTGGTGATGATGAGAGAGGTTGTTATTATTGAGTGCACGAATCAAATTGAATGTATGTTGGTTCATGAATTGGTGATGTGTTGTTGGTTTTTTGAAATAAAAATATGAAAAAATATTTCTTTGCTGTATTAGCGTCCAACAATCTCGCTACTCTCCGACCTATTCAATCATCATTGCAAGCCCTTCATACTAATATTAGCATCAAAAAGAGGCTCAACACTGTTCTGAAAAATCAACATTTGTATCTGTACGCAGAAATATTTTCATTATCACACCATTCCGAATATTGGTATCATTATAATTTCTCTCAGAAACAACACTCGGATAATATGATAAACAACGAAAATAATTCAAGCACATCGAAAGAAAAAGTAGAACATCCATTCGATTCCATTGGATGGAATGAGACTAAAATTACTAGGCCATCAACTAAAGATATTGAAATAGTGGAAAAACAACTTAACAAGAAATCTAAAGTTGTTCCACCAAGCGCCATTGTCAAAAGATGTAAATGGGGATATCCCCAAGTTACGTTTGCTTTCACTAGCAAAAATACAGAAAAGAATGTAGATAATAATCATTTCGTTCCTGGAACATTTTTGTGGTTGACTTGCCCACGAATCAATCATATAGTGGACAAGATGGAAACTAGTGACGAATTCAACATAATTAGACAAGAATTTGGAGCAGATCTTAATTTTCCTAAAAGTAAAAAGGAGAAACGAAAACCTCAAACCCTTCAAATTAGTGAGAAAAAGACCAAGCAAGAAGATTCTGTTACCGCCGTTGAACAAAAGGAAACAACTACTGATTTACTCATGGAAAGCTTTAAAAATTATGATGAATGGCTTTCCAACAAAGCAAAAATAACGGAAGGGCAGGACAAGGGTACGGCTCTCTTGACACCTGAAGAATTTATCATGTGGCAATATTCAGTATATGCAAAAGATTTGACCAACTTACCACCTCACAGAAAACGATATGGTAATGCTGGTGTTTCAGTACCAACATCTATCAAATGTCTTCATTCACACGTTGCCTCCTACATGGCAGGTGCCAAAGATCATGTTGGTAAGCGTACATTTGAAGAAGGAAAAAACGTTATTGTGGACGTCTTGCATGAAGCAGATATTGAGGACTTGAATTTTCCTTTAGATTGTAGGTCTGACTGTGTTCGATGCAGAGCTTTTGATACCGACTTCAAAACAGAGGATACACAATAATAAACTCATGGTGCTCTGATGTTTGAGAATTTTGGAGACGTTTGAACCCGCCAATTTTCATCTACAAAAAAACATAAAAAAATAATGGATCACAAGGACCTTCCAACCCACTCACATTTTCTCTCTCTGAACGGATATTGTTTGAATTTAGAAGAGAGAACAGCACTACAAAGCAGTTTGCTCATTCTTCAAGAAAACAATCATTTCCATACAGTTCATTTCTGGGGAAAGATACAAGGTGTACAAAATGACTACCTCATTGCCGAGGGTTATCGTGGTTCCATGATTGGTGAACGGGCAAGATTTTACTCGATTGATGGAGGTATTTCTTGGAATCAAATGACTTCGGAGCTAACCGAACATGAAATTAGTTGCATTGAATCCATTCGAACTTTGTTTATTGGAATCCCAACTCATACCTATGTATTTGAAAAACCCAAAGAAACCACTATTCAAGAACCTGAGAAAAAACAAGAAGCACCAGTGGATCAAACTGATATTTCAGAAACAAAAGGTGACGACGAAGAAGAACAACCCAATGAAGAAAAAGAGGAGGAGGAGAGTCATTCTGAAAAACCAAAACAACCTGTCAAAGAAGAGACGTTTACAATCTCTGAAGAAAAAAGACTAACTTGGACGGTAAAATCGATAGACCAGGACTCAAGTGTTGTACCAAGGGGAGCCTATGTTGTAAAAAGGATGACGAGAAGGTCATTGTAAAAAATACTACCTTTTCAGGATTAGACAAATACCAAGCTGCAAAGTTATATAGTTTTGTACATTTAAGACTTCCAGTGGATAAAACCTTGGAGAATATTGTAGCTCAGCAATTCATTGACAAGAATTTAGACTTTGCTGACTCTGTTGATGATGACATACCCTACGGATGTTGGACGATTCAATACGAAGAATTGCTTAACGTTGTTGTGGTAAGAAGCCTGTTGTGGCCAGGATATGTTTTTTATCATAGACTTCAATCAGACGTTTTTGGAGGCTACTACATTGGTTCAGGATTGAAGAATATGGATTTGTGTTTCATGATGCCCTAAGAAATAAATTCCAATTTTCTCAGTTGCCCATCAAGAAATATTAACTTATTAAAAAATACTGTCATCATGCCAACAAACGCATACTTTGTGATTGTTGCAAAAGATTGCCCGATCTATGAGTTGGAAATTTCAACATCAAAGGTATTGTATTTTCTGAACGACACTTCCTTGTTGTTTAGCTCCGATAGCGAACTGATCAATCTCAATTAAAACAATTCGTGTTACACGCTTCTCTGGATGTAGTGGAAGAATTGCAATGGACCACAAATAATTTGTTTTTAAAATCGATTGATAAATTTAATGAATTTAATATTTACGGATTTGTTACTGCTGGAAGTAAGTGATTATGAAAGACATAAAATTATTGATTATGAATTTCTCTGTTGGATGATAAAAAGATGTTCGATTTCTATTACTATTCGAGAACGACAAGAAAAACGATGACACTATCAAGAATTTCTTCAGCGATGTTTTCGAGCTCTACATTAAAATTCAAATGAATCCTTTCTATGAATTGTACTCACCAATCACTTCTCAAGATTTTGACAATCGAGTGAAACAATTAGCCAACAAGTACATTACGTAAATAAATTTTGAAATGAATCAGCATAAAATAGTAAGCTTGGTGCTGCCTGCAACGAGCGGTTATGGAAATGCTTCAATCGTGTTGAACAGAATTCCAAGCAAAGGAATAACATGATTTATGTTGCTCAGGCAAGAGGTAAAACGAACACGACTTCAAAAAAAATGCAACGACACGAGCGCAAATTCACAGCTCGACGTTCCAACCCCTATCCTGCAGATGTAATTCTTGCTTCTGCAGCATCATCATCAACAGAATTTCAAGAAACTCCATCTCCCACGCAAGAAAGAAGTTCCATTCTTTCTTCCTTTGCTAAATTTTTCACAAATTTAATCCCAACAACATGGCTGTCCAGAAAGAGCGTGCAGAGCACCCGAGAAACGACATTGAACAATGAGAGCAGTAGACTAGATGAAGAATTCACGGAACAACCTCAAGTAGACGAAGAATATGTTGAACAAATTTTGAAACTCTATCCTCAAGCAACTCCTGAAGAAATCCGAATGGCATCCACTTGTCCAAGTTTATGGCAAATTATTCATGATGCCGTTGAATCTAAAAAACATAATGGAAACCACTCGCGCATTGGAAATACCGATCTTGGATTAAGTACGAACGCCACTGTTCATTCGGAGTTTAATAACGATATTATATCCATTGAAGATGAGCAACCCTCCCAATTGAAATCGTCATCATTAGGTATTGAAAACAAAACTCCAACAGATGTAGTTCGATCTATGATCAAAGGAACATCAAGTAGTAATCCTTCTGTAGTTTCATCTCAACAACAAAATCGTGCTCCGCAATCAGCCTTTAATTTCCCAACATCTCCCATCAAAACTAGTGGCGAGGACTCACAACACAATGGCCACTTCAGTAATACAATTTATCAATTCCAAAGAAGAGACTATTGTTCCCAGGAAGTCTCAATTCTCAGAAAAAGGAGCTTTTAAATCCACATATTGTACGTGGAAATGCAAAGAAAGATACTACATCATCTTCTAAACGATCACACGAGTCTTTTCAACCACAAAAATCGAACGTACCATCGGAGACAGATAGCAAACCTACTAAACGTGTGAAACATTTATATCCTCAAGGCGCAAAAACGTACAGCGAAACAGCAAAGAGAATTCTAGAAACCCTTGACCAATTGTCATCTCCATTGATTGACGTGGAAAGAGTACCACCAAAACCATTGGCTATGCGTTTATCTACAGTGGAAAGAACTCAAAGCAAGCTAAGAAAGAGTACGTCACAACTCGATGATGAGGATATAATTCCATCATCGAGTATGAATGATGTCGTATCCACTTCGAAAGTTGAATCGAGAAAGAAGTATCAAGCTCCAGTAGCTGAAAAGAAAGAAGTGCCTAAACCCGAAAAACCAGTTAAAACTACCAAATTCGCTCCCAGTGTCGATGAAGCTACTCCAACCAAACGCAAGCATATTGTTAGAAAAGATTCAACACCATATGCCAGAAAAAGTAAGCAAGCAGAACCAGTGGAAGAAGAGGAAGAGGAAGAAGAAGAGACCTTTGAAGAAGCAACACGAGAGAAGAGAGAAAAACTTTCTCAAGTTCCTCCACTTGCTAATTTCCTCCCTCAACTGCCTCTATTAATTTTACCTTCAACTCTACTAAACCCTTAACGGTTGGAAAGTTGATTGAAGAAAAACCATCAGAATCCAAAGACACAGAAATGAAAGAATCTACTACTACTGTTACTACTGAAAAACCAATAACCAGCGTTGAACCCACAAAACCAACTGAACAAAAGAAAGAATCTTTGGATGAAACAAAACAAAAAGAAGAAACACCAAAGGAACAAAAAGAAGAGCAACCCACACCTACCACCTCTTTGGAAAAGTCTCAAGAAGAAAAACCAAGCTTTTCGTTCACTTTCCTTGCCAAGCCAACAGATCCTGCTGTTAAAAAGCCTGAAGTCTTTGAGTCAAAGAAGAACGAAACAACGATCTCGGCAGCCCCAGCAATGACAACGGAGCCAAAAGCTATCACATCTATCCCAGATGAGTCAGATAGATCAGTCACACCTGTTTCAATTTCTTCGTCATCGGAAGAGGAAGAAGAGGCTCCAAAAGAACCATCTGGATTCAAGTTTACATTCCCAACTGGAGGCGTTTCATTCCCTTCTACAACCTCGACCATGACTCAAAAGGACGAAAGTAATCAAGAAAAGGTTGAAGAACATAAGATCGAAAATGAGAGACCAAAGCTTTCTGCTTTCTCTTCATTTATAAGCCCACCTATAATTTCATCAAAATCTCCAGAAACAACATTAGAAACCACAGCAACCACTACTGGCTTTAATTTTGTTAAACCTTCAACATCAATTACTAGCACCAAAGAAGGCGACTCTGAAAAGCCACAAACAAACGGAGGATTTGTATTTACAGCAACACAACCAGCATCCTCTGCTCCAAGCTTTAGCCTCTCAACAAAGAAGACTGAAGACAAGAAAGATGAGACAGTAGCTTTCAAATCTCCTGTCTCAACTTCCTTTTCATTAAGCCTTGGTCCACCAAAGATTTCTGAAGAGAAGAAAGATTCAAGTATGCCAACAACTGGAGGTTTTAATTTTGGAGGCGCTTTTGTGCCACAAAAACCAATAGAGTCCACAGAAGAAAAGAAAGATACTACAGAAACAACTGGGTTTAAGTTTACTGGATCTGCAACCCCTTCTTTTTCTGTCACATCCTCTCCACCAGAAAAGAAGGACGAGCCGACATCTTTTGCACCAAACATTTCATTTGGAAGTTCAAACAAAACAAGCGAATTGAAGTCATCATTTTCATTTGGAGGAGCAAGCACTGGTGGTGATAAGCCAACATCATCGGGCATGTCATTTTCATTTGGAGGAGCAACTGTACCTTCAGTACCTACATCCACTCCTGTTAATTTCTCATTCGGTAGCTCTGTACCCAAAGAAGAACCAGCAAAAGCCCTAGAAGACAAACCACAGACAGAACAAGCTATCAAACCTGCATTTTCAGGAGTAGGATCCTTTTCTTTCAACAAGCCATCCTCAGATAACACTAGCACAGGTAGTGGAGGCAATGAAAAAGCATCAATAGCACCAAGCTCTTTCTCATTTGGGTCCATTGCAAAACAATCAGATTCTAGCTCAATCACTCCAACTTCCAATGTTGGCTTTTCATTTGGAGCACCATCGACAGGAGCTGCTTCTCCTCCAACCAGTGTGACCTCTGCAGAATCCAAACCACTCACTTCATTTACATTTGGTACCACCCCATCAGATACAGCTTCAAATGATACCAAGTCCACTTTCTCCTTTGGTGGCTCATCCATTCAAACAACAGCTACCGATACATCCAAACCAAGCTTGTCATTTAGCTCTGGAGGTTTTTCATTTGGTGCAAAACCTGCTGCTCAAGAAGCACCATCCTCAGGTGCTCAAACAGAAAATAAGTTTGTTTTTGGAGCTCAAAACAATCAACCACCAACCTCTACTGGATTTACTTTTGGACTTGGAACCCAACCAACCGTTGCAACTTCTTTTTCATTCAATGCTCCTTCCCAACCAACAACAACTGCACCTAGTTTTGGAGGCAATTCAATGCTTGAAGATGATTCTGCTATGCATCAATCTGGAATGAATTTCCCATCTTCAACATTAAGCTTTACTCAACCTGCTGCTTTTTCAGCTATTACGCCCACAACACCTTCTATTTCCCCATTTGGTCCTCCACAAACAAACAATTTCTCTTCTGGAATGGCAAACCCTTTCAATGCCAGCGCAGCACAACCTGAATTTCCAGATCAAAGAAAACCTATTAAGGCATTAAGAAGAAGAAAATAAAAATCATGTTGATCTTTTAATATTAATGTACAGTGAAAGTCCTATTGAGGATGGAATGGCAATCATGCATACAAGTAATGTGAAAATAAAAACTAGAATGACAATAATTGCTCTTGAAATGTTGTAATATGCTTTAGCTGTTATGTGAAAAGTCAGGATGATTTTTCTCTATTATTTCACAAAATTAATGGTACATACCAATTTCTGATGGAGAATTCTTATATTTACACATAAAACAATACGGCACAAAAGATAAACAGGGTGCCAAAAAACAAATAACAACAGATGTGACAACAATGAATTGAAAACTGTGTGATACTTCCTCTTCCATAAATTTCCTTTCAATTTCTTCGGGAGGTAAATCTTCGAGCGATTTTTTTGATTCTCGACTCGATAAAATTTTATCTTTCGAACGTAAAAGGGATGATCGTTCTTCCGATGATGAATTTTCATGTTTCATATTACTGTGAAATATTGGACTAAATTGACCATTCATGGTCGACTGAAGACTTATCGGAGACGCTGGTGGATTTATTTCCTCCGTTTGAGACGTTTGTGAGTAGTGGCTTGGGTATCGTTGATGATGGTTTCGTCGTTGTTGTTGTTCTCTGCTCATTTTTTTTCATAGTTCGAATTCATGGTCTCTTTGGAACGAACTCTGTCGACAACACTTAGTGACTAGCATTGTGAAAATGAGGAAAACATTATTTAATGATTGTATTTACATTAGTATGCAACATGATTTCGAATCGCCAGTATTTCCTGTTGGATCTTTTTTAACAGGTTGACGTCCTGTTTTTTTGTTAAATATTTCTCTTGCCAATGTCATGAAACAGTCTTCAATATTTACATTGTTTTTAGCTGATGTTTCAAATATTGAAATTTGGTTTCCATATTTTTCACTTAGTTTTTGAAGAGACTGATAAGGAACAGCTCTTTCATTTTGTAAATCAGCCTTATTCCCTATAATTACAGCGGAAAGAGATTGCATATCTTTTTGTGAACCTGGATCAATATTCTTTGCTCGGAGTATTTGATCGATCAAGTCAACAATTTCTTCAAACGATTGATTCGATGTCACAGAATAAACTAATAAAAATCCGTCTCCTGTTTTTACATAATTATCTCTTAGACTATGTTAAAAAATCAAAGTTTGGAATGACAATAGATTTTACATGTTTTCCAAGAACATCAATATTATTATTAGGTCACCATTAGTTTGATCACATACCTAGTGAGTTCTTCCTAATCAATTCCGATGATTTGAAATTGTTATTATAATGTTCATCATATTAAATTGATATTAAAACATACTTGTCCAGCTGTATCAATAATTTCAAGAGTGACAGGCGTCGAGTCAATAATTATTTCCTTTTTATAGCTATCTTCTAGTGTTGGATCATAAACCTCAACAAACACTGATTGTATAAACTGAAGGATGACAGCTGACTTGCCTGATGTTTTTCAAAATTTGTATCAATACATATAAATACGCTATTGATGAACATACCCACGCCTCCGCTGCCTAAAACCACTATCTTTTCGTGAACGTGGTCTAAACTTTGCTTTGGAGCCATTTGATTGTATATTGTTGATGATGATTTTTAAATGTTTCTATTATTCCAAATAATACTAGTATTCCAATAATTCAGTGCTAACGAGTTGAATTCAATCCGATAGATGCTCTCAAAACTCCTAGTAGTACTACAACAACAACAACAATAGAAAAAAAACGAAGAAACTGAACTACTGAAAAATGTGTGTCTGAATGATGATGGAACTGCTAACGCTTGTGGCAGCACCTGAACAACTTGACGTTGAATTTGAGCGAATTTTTTTAAAAAACACAAATCCGTTTGAGATTTCAGTTTTCAGTTATGGGGATGGACTGACTAGTCTTGATGGGTCTTGTTTTGCAACCATGACAGAAAGGGTGTTTTGGAATGATGAAATTTTCCACTTGGTGATCCAACTCATTTGGGTTTTTTGTTCTTTCTGCTTTCATGAATGACGACTTCCAAACTTCTGGTACGAAAAATACGCTTCATTGTAAAAATATCAGTTGAGTTGACCGAATTTTTTAAAAAAATTTGTTGAAAAAAAATACGCCACAATCATGTCAGAACAAACTCAAACTAAACCAGCAACTACTGGTAATCCAGAGGAAAGAAGAAGCAGAGGAACCTTCGGCCAAAAGGGAGGTGATAGAAGAAGAAAGGGTGGTAGAAAGGGACCAAGAAGAGAAGGTGGTGAAGGAAAGGACTCTTGGGTTCCAACTACTAAACTCGGTAGATTGGTCAGAGAAGGCAGAATCAAGGATATTAGAGAAATCTTTGTCCACTCCATCCCAGTCAAGGAACATCAAATCATTGACCACTTCTTGGGATCCAAATTGTCCGATGAAGTCATGAGAATTTCTCCTGTTCAAAAGCAAACTACTGCCGGTCAAAGAACTCGTTTCAAGGCTGTCGTTGTCATTGGTGACTCTCAACACCACTGTGGTCTTGGTATTAAGGTTGCTTCTGAAGTTGCTACTGCTATCAGAGGTGCTATCATTCTTGCCAAGTTGTCCATTGTTCCAACTAGAAAGGGTTACTGGGGTAACAAGATCGGTGAACCACACACTGTTCCTTGCAAGTTGACCGGTAAGTGCGGTTCAGTCAGAGTCAGATTGATTCCTGCTCCTCGTGGTTCTGGTTTGGTTTCCTCACCTGTTCCAAAGAAACTCTTGTCATTGGGTGGTTACACTGATGTTTTCACTTCATCATCTGGTCACACCAAGACTCTTGCTAACTTTGTTTCTGCCACCTTCCAAGCTATTAAGAAGACTTATCACTTCAAGACTCCAGATTTGTGGAGCGTCAACCCAACTCCAATTTCTCCATTCGCTGAACACTCCAAATTCCTCTCTGAAAAGAGAACTGAAAAGAAGTACAAGAAGGAAAGAGGCGAAAGAGGTGAAAGAGGTGACAGAAAGGAAAGAGGTGATAGAAGATAAATCATAAAACAATAATTTCTAAAATAATTATCTCGTTTCTTCAATACAAAAAAATTATTTATTGAATCAGTCGGTTTCAATACAAAAAAATGATGCAAATGAAGAATAAACTCTCTGCCTTTGCTGACGACACGAGCGAGGACGACTTTGGTGATTCTGACGGAGAACTCCAACTGCCAACACCAAATTCCAATAAGTTGGATGATGATGAAGAAGCTTGGGATAACAGTGATGAAAATGGATCCACAGTCGACACCAGCAACAACGACACAAGGATTCAAACCAACAACAACATCAATGTCTCGGAAGAGCCTAGTCACGAACTCAGTAAGTTCGCTAATATCCTCAACAACAAGGAGAAGAGAAATGATGATTCAGACAGTGATTGGGATGATCTATCGGACGACAACAACCATGACAGCAGCACTCCCAACAACAGCAACACTATTAAAAATCAACAACCTACAATGGATGCTGAAGCAATTAAAAAGCTTTTAGAGGAGCAACGAAGGAAGTTGACAGGAATGTCGGGAATAAATTATTTAAAGCCAAACCAATCTCTAAACGACGATGAAAACGAAAACATTGATTCCGAGGATGACATGAATGATTCTTTTAAAAATTTGGATAACACAGTTGAAAGAAAAATCGACATTCATGATGACAATTTACCAGACAAGAAAGATGTACAAAACGAAATCAAATCAACCCTTCACGAACAATCTGATGACAGTGAAGATACTTCGGAGGTAAAAATTTCTACGAAATTTAATCAAGATGCAAATGACAGTGATACCTCGGAATGGGATGATTCAGATGATTCGTCAGACACTGAATTGAAATTATCCCAATCCGTTAACAAGCATGACGAGTCGACGACACCCACATCCACTCTAATTGAACAACCTCAAAAAACTGAACAACCTAACTCGGTACGAATAGCCCAAGAGGGAGAAGAGAGCAACAATGCTTCAAAAAATCTGTCAAGCCCTTTTTCCAAAACAACGAGCACTAAAATTGAGGACTCAAACAAAACCTCTCAAGATACTCCTGCTTTGGCTGATGACAAGATTCTGAATTCGATACATTCTTCATTTTTTACTCCTCCTTATTTGAATATACAAGAGAAAGTTGTACAACAAAAGACAACAACAGTGACTCGCTGCAAAGTGGCAAATACCTTCAGTTTTGTTTCTCTCATTGTTTCTTGCATCATGGTTGGAGTAGTTATGGGACTGACACTTATCAACCTTCGCAACTCATTGATTACATATTTATCCTTTTCATTATTAATTTCATTCATTTTGCTTGGATTTAATTTATGGTTTGGAATATCTGAAACAGTTGAGGATAGAACTGTTGTTACTGAATCCAAGTTGCCATCATCTGAGTTGCCATCAAAGAAAGCAATTTTGTTTTGGAAGAAATCCGATTATTCGACAAAAAAGAAAGCAAATAATGAAAAGAGCTACGTCAAAGCATCCGTTAAAGATAAATATGGAGACAAAGACGAAGATGAAACATTTGACTTTGACGGAGATTTTGAAGAAAGATACAGCAAAATTAGTGAACCAAAACCCTCTCAACCAACATTTGTCACACCAGAGGAACTTTTATCGCGTTTGTCTGAGCAACCAGATATACAAGGTCATTTCAAGAAATTTTTTGATATGAATGAGAAGCTTGTTAGTAGCTATAAGAGCGATTTGGACCAGTACGAACGAAAATGTTCAGAATTGGAACGAAAAGTAGACACCTTAAACCATAAGAATTCAATTCTAACAAATCAGGTCGAGAATTTTACTTTAGAGCTGACCAAATTTAGGGAAATCATTGAAAAGGATCCAAACTGTGCATCTCTCGAGGAGAGAAAGATTATTGAAAGAATTAATAGGGATTATGCAACAAAAATATCGTTTATTTTGAACAAATGCAAACCAGAGCAAAAGAATGCTGATTCTAATATTAAGGACATCATTGAAACCAAACTAGTTTTTAGAGAAATACCAGAAAAGAAAAGATATCCAAGGAAATATTTACGAAAAGTGAAACGAGTAGAGAGATTAGAGACCGAACAACTATTGTCTGATTCCATTCCCAACATCAGGAATGGAAAGTGGTATTTATCTCTTGAGGAAATGTTTGAGGCATTCAAGCAAGATATGAAAACCAGAATTCCAAACATTGAAGATATGGAAGCAAGAGAAAGAACGTCAATCATACCTCATATTAAATCAAGTGGAGATGATGATTTTCGAGACAGTAGAGATTTCTCACAACAAGAAATGTATGAAATCAGAAATGGTGTGTATCAACACAAAACAGAACTCTATAACTTTGGTTTAGATAATATTCAATTTTCATCTGAGGTGTTTGCTCCTCAGAACAAAATTCGAGAGTTATGTAAAAAGAGAAAGGCCATCCTGTCAGTCAAGTAAAGTGGATCACATTTTGCTCTTTCACACTTTGGAACCAAGAACAGTTTTTTTTCTTGAAATTAAAAATGATTCCATCCGATCCCTTATCGGATTGGTGTACACTGGCTGACGATGATGAGGATGTGAGTACTGTACCATCCAATGACCCTTCAAGAAGAGACGAATGGATAAAACCAATAGAGATAAAATATAGAGCCAAAATGCATTATTCAAATTGGTATGCATCCTCGGAGGGCGTCGGAACAGAAAATAATATATTTTGAAACATCAATCATCATCCGGAGTCTATGAAAGAGATCAGTCCAATCACATCAAGTGGGAAATAGGTCATCTATACTTTAAAAAACAATATCTAAAAGTCATGGAGTTGATTTTTTCATCCATAGATTTTAAACATCCTAGCATGCATCCAGAGGATGAATTTTTACAAAATTATTTTTCAAAGGATGTCGTGTATCAATTTCCAAAAAAGTTTAATACATCTAAAATACCTGTAGTATTGAAAAGAGAACTGTTAGATGCGTTCATGAGATGCTTATTTAAAATTGTCATCTGCTATTGCATAAATGAAAAGTCAGAATTTTCTCAAGATTTGAAGAGAACAGTGATACAACAAGTAATAACCTATTATTCAGTGATTGAAAAAGAAATTTTAGACACCAATCAACAGATGGCAAAATCGAATAGAATACCACGTTCCCACAAAGCAAACTTTCTACTATCTATATGGGACCTGAAGGCACAAACTCAACTACTAATGGCACAACACTTCCTTTCAAAGGATGAGGCAAATTCTATGGTAACAAGTTCAGTATTGCTGTTGCAGAAATGTTTGCATTGTAAAGATTCACTCTTATTCATACTTGAAGAGGACGGTAAAAAACCAAAGCAACACTCTCAAAGCACAGAAAGTGAAAACTCAGAGACCACTAGCTTTGATTTCAGATTTACACTTGTTGACACATGCTATCAAACATCTGTCAGAAGCTCTTCAATTTGGAAGCACCTGGCAGAGTGTTATTTGTATTTAGGAATGGAGTTATGCTACCATAGAAGCTCTTATTTTTCTCGTAGTCTCACAAGAATCAATTCTCTATTCAACAGTCTTGCAACAAAGAATTCTTATTCTAAGGAAAAGATTCATACATTTCCTGAAGAGGAGTTGACAAAGCATACTATTGAAGAATGTTATTTATCAAACATTTCCAACGAGCTCGATACAATACCTTTTCCAACAGTCGAGGATGCCATTGCTTTCGATAAGAAATTTGCTGAGGTTTATTTATTCAATGTAAAGACAATTCATTCAATTTTGAGCGAGCAGCGAGGATTAAAATCAACGGAGGATATTGATGATTCATTGATTAAGAGAGGAGACGAAGACGATGATGAGGACGCACCAAGAACATTTGATGCATCTCAATTATAAGGGTAATTACAGTCAAATACAATTCTCGTCGTGCCAACTCTTTTTACAGTGATAAATATAATTCTTAGCAATGCATTTCATTTGATGAGAAATTCTGTCACTCTTTCTATTAAAAATCGTAATGCCGACTCCGGCTTGCTGTATCAATAAATTAATGAAGCTACAACTGAGTACTGAGCTTTTTAAACGATATGAGAAACTGTCAGCTATCATTCCTGCCAGGGTAGGTCCAAAAATCTGTAGATCATTTACAAAAAACATGAATGTACAATCAATTTTTCCACATCTCATTCCACAGGATTCAAATGGTAACGATCCGAGAGAAGGAATGTTTTCATTGCTCCCTTTCCTTTTATCTGGACATATCCTCTTTCTTCAAATATAAACTTGTCTTGCAATCGTTCTTTGACTCCTTGTGTGACTTGGATTCGAGATGGAGGACAAGTACTTTCCATTCTTTATGAATATACATTGTGGATGAATAATTTCAAATGATCATAGATTACGTTACCTTGATGCTATATTGACATTGTCGCCCCATAAGTCATATGCAAATTTCACAACACCGATAACTCCAGCAGCAACTGGACCATTATTAATTCCAATTCTAATGTTCAGCTTCTTTTCTGAATATTCGTTAAAGGCATGCATCACTCCAAACAAGTCGATGGCAAACAACAGACAGCGCTCGGTATGAGGAAGATCAAAGGACTTTTCATTTTCTTTCAGACCACCACTGCAAAAGTACTATCATCATTGTGAGTGCCATTCCATTGTGAATATTACTTGATACCATAACAAGCTTACCTTTTCAGAAATGGTCTTAATCTTTTCTAAATGATACTTGATACAGACTTCATCGAATTTGTTAATAATATCATTCAATGTTCCTACAATTTCAATTGCTGACATGGATAAGCTTGCTTCCTTGAAACCCACTAAATCTGAAAATAAGCAAGTGACGTCATCGAACTTGTCTGCAATGAATTGTTCACCCAATTTGAGTCTTCGAGCAACGTGTTCTGGCATTATTGTGAGTAACAGTGATTCTGATTTTTTCTTTTCCTCGTCCAATTGTTTCACTTGTTCCTTATCAGAGGTTAAATCTTTCAAAAAACATGAAATGATATTCCTTCCTTCCAAGTTGGACACTGAAATTCTCAATTCCACTGGAAAGGTACTTCCATTCTTTCTCATTCCTACTAATTCCACATTTTCTCCATACGAATTCAAAGAGGATCCCATCTTGGTTAAAATTGGAATCAATACTCCATATGAATTCTTATCAAATAGTTTTTCTAAGGGAGAACCTATTACTTGTTCTGAACGATAATCAAACATTTTCAAAGCAGAGGTATTGAAAATTTCCACAACTCCAAACGAAGAACAAATCACAGCACCCGTGATGCATGCTTCCAAAATTGCCTTTTCCTTTGTGTTTTTGACTTTTTTCGTACGTAGCTGTCTCTCAAAATCATACTTGACCAAAGTTCCATGAAAGATAAAATTATGAATGTCGAGAGTCGAATCGAGAATTTCCCAAGGAAGATGATTCAATTGTAATCTCATTTGATGATTTTCATGTGAAATGGAACGTGTATAGTGATAAATCAAATACATGAGAAGAGCAAGAATTGGAATGGACAAGAGCGAGGCAACAATAATGAAATCTCTTTGACCAGTGACTGTGAATTCTTCAAATGTGTTTTGCATTAATTGTAATAAACTATCCATGAATTGATTGGAGGACATGTAAATGTTGTTGTAGTAGTATTCGTTAAGATCCATGTTGCTGGGAATGTACACGTTTGAGCTGTTCAGTAATAGTGTATTCAATTTCAGAGTACTGGATAATAAATTTCTTGCAAGAGTCGTGAGTGGAAGTGTAGCGCTAGCTGTAGCATTGGTTTGATTAGAGGCACCATTGTTTGAAGATGTTCCTGTTAATATTCTATCCATCGAATGGCTGAATCCTAATAAAGAAAAGAATTCATCTTGAGAGGAGCCATGAATGAGAGAGTTCCATTCTTTTTGAAATGTTTCAACTTGTTGAGTGATCGTTTGGTAATTGGTAGCTGATTTTTTGTTGTGATTGGAGACCACGGATTGGTTATCGACCCGTGTCAACAGGGATTGCAAAGAGTAATATTTGAGGGATTGAGAAATGGTGAATAAATTTGCTTGATGATTCATCTTGATCGAATAAATTCTTTCAGTGCTCAACTTTTTCAAACCATCATAGAGAATCAATCCTAAACAGGTAATAACAACAACAATACCAAAATGAGACAGGTAATGACAATGACATGCTTGGGAAAGGAATTCTTCTTTCGATCGCTTGCTTCTGATATGTTTTTGAATTCCATTTTCTGAGACAGCTTTTCCAATACTTTTTCGATTTCTTTTTTTGGGATCATTTTGAATAAATTCAATATGGCACTTCTTTTTCGAATGAACATGTAACATACTCCAAAGTTACAAATCACGTAGAGAATGAATAAAACAGAAACAGAAGAAAACGACGAAATAAATTCTATCGTACTCTTTTCAATGCTTTCTGATTGATATTGTCTTAACGAAGAAATAAAATGTGAAATCGCCCGAGTAGAAGTGTCTAAATTAATGGATAATATTTGATAATTTTCAATGGTTGTGTTCATGTTTTGTGAAGAGTAGTGAGATACGAAATCATCTATTCTTGTTTTCAATTCTATGTGATTGAGAAATGAATTTGGAATAGTAAATTGGAATTGTTAAATGCAATTCAATGACGTACTTTGCACAAACCACATGACAGATGTCTTTTTAACAACTGGAGGGGTGGAAGTCTTGAACTATGGTGAAGAAAGAAATGTTACATATCATCTATTGACAGTGCAACTTACCACAAAATATTCTGAGAAATTATTGACATTTTGCTTCATCGTGAAAGGAACATCTGTTTCATAGGAATTGACAAAACTATCGATCCATCCCACACCTCTACTAAGAATATTCTCAGTCCTTGTAATATTGCCCAACGAGGTATTCCATAAAACATCAATTTCTGAAACTGTTAAATAAGGAAGTGCACTCACATGTGATGATTTCAACATGATGGAATTAAAATCATGCTTCTCAGTAGAGGCAAGATTGCAAGTCACCAATCCCATAATAAACAAAAAAGCAATGAAACACACAGAGGTCAATAATCCAATAAGAGTCTTGTCATTACCCACTTGTTTACGAATGGCGCTAGAAAATGCTTCTTTTTGGTTACAGACAAAATCTTCTTCTTGTGAGGATTCAAGTGATGACGTTTGATCCTGTGTTTGGTCGTTTCCAAAGAGCAATTCATTTTCTATTTGAGAAAATTCATCTTCTGTAACTTTTTCAAATTTAAATTCTTCCATGAATGAAGCATAGAGTTTGATAAGGTCTTCGTCTTCACGTTCCCTTATCATGTTGTAAAGAGACAATTCACATTCTTGCGAGAGTTTGTACATGTTTTGAAGTATTTGATGAACATCTAATCCTAAATGAATATGCTTCCAAAAAAGGTAGGTCTGTTTTCGAAGTTTTGGAATATTGGATTTGACACGACTCAGTACAAATTCAGTACTCGCCAAACTTGCTTTCCCATCATATTGAAGTTCTCTAAATCTAAAAGATATGGTATATCTTGTAAAATAGTCATAGGATGGACATTTCTGATTGGCGATCGATAACAAGCATTCTGAAAATTTGAATTTCATCGAGTGCTTCTTTTTGAAACTTGAGAGAAATAAGGAGAGAAGCATGAGAGAGCTACATGGTAAGTCTTTCAATGCATCCATGGAGTGATGTTTCTGTTGTTTTTGAAGGACTTTCAACACATCCTCAATGAGTTGTACATTGGACTGATGAGTCGTTTTAAGTGAACTTCGAATAAAGCAATTCACATGCTTGGTGTATCGATTGAAATAATGAGACATTGGGCATTCATGATCTTCACTCATAGTCGTCTGCTGTTCAATACATTCTGCAATTGCGTTTTTACCTTTTTTAAACAGGTAGAGTGTATAGAGTTCTGTGATGAGACATCCAAGTGTAAATCCTAACAAGCCTGCAACGAGTGGAGAGAAGGACAATCCTAATCCAAATTGCCATTCATCGTATGGATTTAAAATTGATGATACAAGTGATGCAATTCCAATTCCAACTCGAGCTAATCCAATACCTCCATAGAATGTATTTGCTCTTCTTCTAAGGAATGGTAAATTTCTCAATAATAATACACAAAAAAATGTTGAAATGAGAATATAGTAGATGGGTCTCAAATACATCACATGATGGGGCGTAACAATGGATAGAATAATGTATAATTGATTCGAAGTCATCACATAGGACATGATGAAAGGTGTTTCCAAAACAAAAAGAGACTTTGAGGTGAGAAAAGTATCACAAAATACGGTCGTGGTCATGAATGAAGTCACCATTTGAATGACTATCAACATGAGAGACAGGACGGCAAGAACAGAATTGGTAGAATTCCAACAAGGGATGGATGGAAATTTTCTCAAAGCTACCATCTCTGTTTGATTGGTGAATGATGAAGAGAAATAATTACAATCCCAAAAACCCAAAGCCATTCCATAAGTAAGTGGACAACTCAGAAAGAACATGGTTGCAAATGCGAGTCGAGAGATCTTTCGAAGTTCTTTCAAATATTTGCCGTGAATGGTCGCTCGAAATGTGGCCACTAATAGAATCATGACTGCAAGTTGCAATACAATAGCCACAGCCAGAATGGCAATAAATCCTTCATAGTATTCAAGAAACTGAACGCCAAATGAGCTGAAAGAAATCAACACATGTTGAACGATTCTACCGTAACTTCCCCAATGATAATCAATAGAAATTCCTAATGAAAAAGTTTGAATGATCATGTAAACATGAATCAAAAGGCATAGGAGAGGATGAATGGGTTTCTCCAACTTGAGCATGTTGAAAAGAATGAAAATTCTTGGCTCTTTGTCCTGCTGCTCATTGGATGGTTGTTGAGTCTGTGGGAGCGTGTTGAGAGCTGATGAATTGATGGGATTTTGTGACTTCAACATGGTGTCCTCGTCCGTCCTTTTCAGTGGTGGTTGTTGGATTTTGTTTTTCTTATGACTAGAGATGAATTCAGGTTTTGGCAATGTGCACTACAATTTTTGAAAGGTATTGCAGTGTTGAGTATGTATGGCCATGGAAATAAGATCAGTTTCGATTTCTCTATCGCGCACATCCATAATCTTGGTTTTAGAGATATGCTCTGGACAAGTCACATCAGTAGACATTATGGGTAAAAACTGTCCCACTTAATACAATAATGGGCATGTGGTGTATTTAAAGCTAGTATTACGAAAGCTCAACATTTCTCGTTGAACCTAGTTGTGCCTGGTCCATCTCGCACATCGCGGGAAATAAATAAAATTTGGTTATTCAAATGTTGAGTAGAACTTTCTGGTTTCTTCCACAAGAAGATGTTTGAATTCTTGAGTAAATTGCTCCTTAACAAAATTGACAGCTTGATCTTCCCATAGTACTTCTTTAGTGACTTTAAATATCGTCTCGCACAAAATAGTAGTGTTTTCAAGGGGTGGATCATGCTTTGAAATAAACTCCCTATTAGTTTCAGTTTCATCAATAGTTTGATATTCAGATTTGTGAGTTAGATTGGAGGGATCGAATTCATGTACACCATTGCTAAGTGTTGTTTCATTGTAAATATCGTGCACTTCAGGCATCAAGTCAAAATATGCAATCTTAGTAGAATCATTTTCTGGGTTTTTAAATTCAATGCACAAAACACACCAATCATCTCCCCATCGATTCACAACACCTCCTTTATAGGACGGAGCTGAGGACCAATTAATACTGTTACATTTCACCATGGTGAGCTGCAAACCGATGCGTTCCACGATTTGATTTTTCCAAATCAATGTTTGGTTTTCTTTTTTCAATTTCTTGTGTAACATGCAAAATCCTAATACATTAAGTAGACCTTTAGATCGTTCCGAGCCCATCACGAATTTATGGTAGAGAGGACGCGACATGGTCTCATTCGGAATATAAAATCGATCAGCATGGGTGGTTGTAAATTTATTATCGGAAGCCAACGGGTCAAAATTATCTTCCAACATCCATGTCGTATGATGTGTTTTTTGTTGGATTCGTCTTAACATTTGATCAGTTTTATACGTTGTCCTCATCTTGCTGCCGAATGTTGTGAGGACTTGCAAAAGATCTTCGTGCTGAGGTTGTTGCTGCGAAATCATATTTTTTTTCAACACTTCGAAAAATGATTTCATCATCAAACAACCAAAACGCACAACACGAACAACGAATCACTTCAGAAGAAACATCGGAAGCAAGCTTGCTCTTCTCATCATCAAACAATCATCATGTTGAACAACAAATCTCTCAAGAAGCAGCCGTACGAGAATCAGAGAAAATGACCATCCATCCAAGAACCCAACACACCTTTTCCGTCTTTCTCTTTTCCTTTTTTCTGATCTCAATATTCGTTGTGTGTTGGAGTGGTTATCACTTGCATTTGTTGAAGGGAATGTCATGGTTAAATCCTCAAGGATCATGTCTCGGAGAAACACAGCAAGAACCATACTTGTGTCTTTCTCCAAGAAGATTAATCTATGGAACCCTGTCAAACATTTCTGTGCCTAGTCTTGTTCACTTGGTGGTCTTTCCCATGTTCATTTCTCCATTGGTCTTTCCCAACTTGATTTCATTGGTGATTGGAGTCATATTATTGTTACTTTGCTGCAAGAACTTGAGCTTCTTTTATCTTCTCAAGACATTGTTTGTGATTCAGTGGTCTGTGTTCGTCATACGATGTGTACTTTCATTTGTTCTATTTAGAGTTTTTGGTTGGATGGAAAGCATGCTTTGGGCATACGATGCAAGACATTTCATTGCTTGCAATTATGGTGTCACTAGTTTCATCATGTTCGCGATTGTACAATCAATTTCTCGTTTGAGTGATGACACAGTTCGAAATTCTTCAAGAAATTTGGTGGTCCGTGTGGTGATATTACTTGTTGCTTGCTTTGCCATTCACTTCACTGCTCACTTGCCATTTAATGAGATTATTCCATTTCGATATGACACAGTGTGAGCAAACAAGTCTCGTCTTTTACCTCTCGTTACTCAGATTACATGATTGACCATACCATTGGCTGTATACTTGGATTTCTGTTTGCGTAACGGCGATGTTGTGCACGAATTGTGGCCGAGTATAACATTATAGTTTAAAGGCAAGCCTTACTTTGATGAGTGGTATTGATGTTATTTTTTTGTTGTGGTGATCGGTTTGGTAATATATTTTTCAAAGTAAGGCTAGCAAGGGATGGAAAGCATGCCATTTGTACTTCAAACCGCTCACAACAAAAAAACAACTTGATCATGTTCTTTGGTAAAGACCTTCTCTCAAAGAAAGGTAGAGTAATTTAGCCTTGCTTACTATTCTTTGTTGAGCATGACATCCATCCGAATAATAGAACCTATTGGATTGCTATGGCTAGCCGGTACTATTGGAAAGCGTTGCAAGCTTACAAAAAAGAAGATATTGCTCGTTGATATTCCAGCACTGGCTGATGAAATCATATCTAAGGGAAAGAAAATTAGTAGCAATACTTCAAATCATGTGGTTGACTCTAGCAGTCAATCGATACGGAAAGAGAATGCTGGATATACTCTTCGTCTATCAAGTACTTTGCTACTTGGTATTGTGGTCATTTACAATAAGAGAACACAATTCTTGCTATCGGAAGGTAACAATATGATACAGAGGGCAAGACAAATACATGTTGCACTTGGAAGTGGTGATGATAACACAGTTCTCGACCCTTCCAAGAAAAACATTGCTCGCTTTGAAGCAATTACAATGAAACCTCTTGATCATTCCATAGAGGTGCTTGATCCATTACTTTTATTGAATGATCAAGAGTTTGTCAGCAATTGGTACAAACTAATTGGAGCCAATGACAATGGAGAGCTTATTGCTTCCAGCCTAGATCAAAATACTTCAACTGAGACTATTTCTGCACTTGGGTTTGAGGTGGTTAACGTGAACAGCAATCCTTTTATTTCAAACATTGTTACTCATCAAGAAACCCCTACAAATGTGACTGGTATGGCACTTAATGATGATATCTTTATCACAGGTGTTGACATTTTTGGCGATTCTGACCTGATTAACATTACCGAAAATACTGCCAGTCCAAGATGCTTAACCATTCAGACATTGGTGGATTTGACGATGGAATAGGATTTGCACCACAAGAGACTATTGTACCAGAGTCCAATTCAAAGAAAAGGAAGAGAAGAGAAGGACATATCATCATTGATGAAGAAATTCAGGTGCCCAGCGATAAAATGAGAGCAATGATTGAAGATTGTTCTTCCATTCTTACCGAGAGGCCAAGTTGCAATGGACTTTTAACTCTACCTCGTTGGACGAAGCTTTGAGACATCTGGGCCAAGGCAAGCTTGACAAAAGTACAATGGATAGATTATTCTATTTCATGCCTTGTGGTTATGATCCTTCTAACATACAATTTAATCATGATTTTGAGCATGTGTTTATGAGAAATTACAAAAAAGTGAAAACTGGACCGACATTAGAAGAAAATCTGCATGTTACTACAATACAGCAAAATACTGAAAACAATGTAAACGACTTGGGTATCATGGATATTGGAGGACTTGATGTAGATATTGAATATCCAAGATCAGATGCAAATGTTATTGAAGAAAATGGGACCGACGAATTGGCATCTATTCTGTTGGAAGAAACTGATTTGAAGACAGTTATTTCACCAACTAAAGGACTGAACGTATCCTTTGCAGCTCAACACAGGTCCCCAGAAAAACATCCACCTCAGCCAATTGACGCTGCTGATGATCTCATTCAATTTTTGGAAGACCTTAATAATGAGGAGCATAGGAACAACATACACAGCAACTCCATGGTTAGCAAAAGTTGGAACATGCTTGCCTATCTACAGAAAAAGAGCGAAGAAGAGAGACAGTTGTGTCAAAACACAAACGAACAAGTATTTCTGAGCTTTGACAAGATTATTCGTGAAGGAAATACAAAAAACTCCAAACGTTTGAGGTATAAGGCAGCTCAAGGGTTTTATCAGCTTTTAGTTCTCGCTTCTAACGGCCACATTGAAATTGAAAGCCTGGATAGAATTGTTGTTCGGTCCACCATTATGGAGTAATTGTTGTACTGTGTTCAAATAAAAATGTGAATTTCAAACTCGAAAAAAATGGGTAAACAAACGAGCAGCAGACTCACCAAGAAGAAGAAAGTGAACATTATCAAAAAGAAGAAGGAAAAGGATAGAAAGATTAGAAAAGCAGCCAAGAATGGTATCGCTCTCCCAAGAAATAGTAAGTATATGATATTCCGAAGCATATAATCGTCATTATCGTTCGCGTTGTTGAATTAACATGTCATCACGACAATATCAACAACAATAATTCTTCTATGCTTTCATTATAAAAAGAGTTAAAGAAGGATCTCGGAATTCCAAATCTTCTTCCTGATAAAAAACAAATTCTTGAGAAGATTTATCAAAAACGACAAGCCGAAAAACAAGAAAAGAACGAATTAAAGGCCATAAGAAGATTGAAAAAGAACAACGCGAACAAGAAACTAACAGACTCTCCGAGATGGCTCACCTTCAATATTTGGCTCAACGTAAACAAATGGAATTTAATGCTAAAGAAGAGTTGATGAGGGACAACCAAGAAGATTCCTTTGATGCAAGAGACATTAAAACGGCCTCTCTTTCAACTGCATCGAAACGAGCATACTACAAAGAATTTAATAAGGTCGTTGAAGCTTCCGATGTGATCATTGAAGTATTGGATGCAAGAGATCCAATGGGATGTCGATGTTTGAATATCGAAAAGGCCATTTTATCAAAACACATGAATAAGAAGATTATTCTCTTATTGAATAAGATTGATTTGATTCCACGTGAAGTTGTCAGACAATGGCTGGATTATCTCAGAAAGGAATTTCCAACAGTAGCATTCAAATCCAACACTCAAAAACAATCTAAAAATCTTTCTCAAGGTAGCACAGATGATATGAAAGGTTGTTTGGGAGCAGATACATTGATTCAATTACTAAAGAATTATGCAAGAAGTGAAGATATCAAAAAGACAATTACTGTCGGTATTATTGGGTATCCAAACGTTGGAAAGTCTAGTGTTATTAACTCTCTAAAGAGACAAAAAGTGGCAGTAGTTGGTTCTAGACCTGGTGTCACAACATCAGCAAAAGAAATTCAACTTGATAGTAACATCAAACTAATCGATAGTCCAGGTATCATTTTCTCTTCCGCTTCATTAGATTCAGATGTCATTCTTCGTAACGCAGTAAGAATTGAACAATTAGAAGATACTGTGGAACCTGTGAGAATAATTTTAACAAGGTGTAAACCAGAAAGATTAATGGCAAAATATTCTATTTCAACATTCACATCAGCTGAAGACTTTTTAACTCAAGTTGCAAAACAAAGTGGTAAATTATTGAAGGGAGGAAAACCAAATATTCAAGAGGCAGGAAAGATAGTTTTGAGAGATTGGAATACAGGTAAAATACCTTTCTATACACTCCCTCCTAAGAGAGCTGAAAATGTTGTTGACCAATTCAACATGGACAATGCTATGATGCAAATTGATGACTCCAATGTTTTGAACAAATTGACCACCAGTGTGAACGATCCAACAAATAATTTCATTCCAATGGTTGCCTCAAAGCCTATTGAAGATGATGTACTTGTCACTGTCGATTCAGATGACGAAGATGGAGATGAAGAAATGGGAGAAGGTGATGAACAAGAACTCGAAGATGAGGAAGATGGCTCAGATATTGAGGTTGACGAAGATTAAATACGCACAGTTTGCATTTATTGAAAATGTCTTACTCGAGTAAAATCATCGTATTATCAAAGTGTGAATGCACAGCAACATTCAAACGAAAAAATGCAAGCGCCACTGGTCGATCCTCCTGCTGATATGATGAATCCAAATCAGCATAAAGAACCTCCTCCGATTGTTCCTGCTGGATTTCTTCTCTTTGTAGTTGTATTAATTATTGTTCTTCAATTTCTTGTTCAATTATGGAAGAAATATCATCGATATTCATTTGTAATGACCAGCTTCTTTTTAATGTGGCTTTTCCCAGGAATATTTTGTGTGTTTATTGGAGGATTAACACAATACTCTCGAATGATGATCGTTTGGACAGTATATTCAATATTTACAATATATTTGGGATATTTATCGTTGCGGAAGGCTTTATCTCCGAACACTCCAAAGAAAGTCTATGTTTGGTTTTACACGGTTTACAAATTATCCCATTTTTCTGTAATATTCGGAACCGTTCTTTTGGGATTAGAATTATTCTTTGGTTATATTCACTCTTAGTGAAATATATTTTGATGGACTCAAGTTTTGGAAAGTATTTATTCCCAAGTCCTGAAGTTTTAATTTTCTATGGACTCTATTTTGGAGTGTTAGTGAGAGATTGTGGTGAATTGTGTTCGAGTGCCATTAATGCATCACTGGAAGCTGATAGAAATAAGTTTTACATGTCTCATTCTCAACTAGAGCATGTGTGTGGAATTTGTAATCAAGAGTTGAGGGTTGATACTAGTTTAGATTTTGAAAGTGCACATTCTGGTGATTTGGACGCTCCTTTCACAAGAAGAATTACTGATGATGTAACCATACCTTCAGAAAACAAACGAAAAACAACACAAGAGACCAAGGTTCTATCATGCGGTCATAAATTCCATGAATTTTGTGTTTATGGATGGCTGATTATTGGTAAAAAGAGTACATGCCCAATATGTAAGGAAAATGTAGATCCAAAACAACACGATTTGCTCCAAACTCATCCTTGGAAATCAGACTCAGAGTTCTATATCGGAGTGTTAGATCTTACGAGGTATTTTGTCGTGTTCAATCCAATCATTCTTATTGTGATTCAACTCGTCGTGATGATATTCTTCAAGTTTTATCAGTAAACCTGGTAAGGATTATTATTTATGGTTAGAATTTGTATTTATTGAATCAACATTTTTAGTGTTGAAAAGCAGTTTTGATTTGGTGGTGTCCATCCTCCAAAACATGAAAATTATTGAGAGAAAAAATTGTAAATTCAAAATTAGCAATGTGAATGAATTGGTGCTCGAATATTGGCACTGCAATCTATCAAAATTCAAACTCTTCCTCTTTGATCGAATTCGCCCATTTCTTCAATTCTTCACATTTAGCTTCATATTCTTGTTCGATTTGTAAAAGTCTTCTTCTCATTCTCCACTCACTGATTCCATTGTAAATAGTCTCAACCATCAAACAGCAAGCACCAACAGGTATCAACACTGGCATCTTGACCAATGCCAATACCATCAACGAACCCAAGAATCCACTCATGGCCGTACATGCTAAAAAGAAGGGACTCATCAATCGTTGTGGAATTAATGTGCCATCGAGTTTATGAGCGTGTTTCCATCCCAATCCCATTGGAACTGCACACAACCAACCCATCGATGAAAATATTTCTCTAAATGGAATGCATCGTGAAGTGGTAAGTGTTTTCATTGTACTGAGAGAGGAGTGTCTTGCTGGCTGGATTTCTCCTCCATTAAGACTCTCTTGCTCAACAAGAGCTGTTGTTGAGATGGCATTGGCTTAATATCATAACGTTGTCGAATTCTTTCATGAATTAATGGAATGGCAACACGATGAATGATTTTCGATTCCTTTTCAAGAAAATATTTCCACGATTTACAGACCAAACGAAGGGACAACATTTCGTGAAGGAGTAAAAACGACATTGTGTCATTGGATGAAGCTTGTGTGCTGTCCGTTGTTAGGATCGATCCTAATCTCTCACCACGACGACAAGTTGCAAGTTCTTGTCGTTGCTTCAATGTTCCGAAATAAAATTCAAAAACGATGGAGAGAATGAGAGATTCATGTAATAACGAGTTGTTGTGTTGTTTGCGTGGATGAAAGTATCTACTCTCTGCATGATGAAGAAGAGAAAATGTTGGAATCGACATTGTCAATATTTCTTCTTTCTGTTGTTGTTGAAAATTTTCTTCGATACTGTCAAGGGACGGAATAATTCTTGGAATCTTGCAATCTTGATGATGATTCCAATGAGAATCATGGTGAGTCATTTCAGTTAGGGAGAAAGGTGTGACTGGACCTGAATTGAATTCATTATTGTGGTTATCAACAGCAGTGATGGAATGTTCCATGAAAATTGTGTCTGCTGTTGGCAGCTGACATGAATGAGACATTTTTTGTTTCGTCGTCAAGATCGTACAAAAAGAACGTGCGTATTGAGCGGACCGCTTCATAGGATGGAAAGTCATGAAGTAGTTCCAAAACAGGTAAAAAATGCAGAAAAAATTTCACATGCCAATTTCAGTTAGCAACTGTTTCAGGACTGAAAAGTCGATCGAAGGAACACTCTCGCTGGCGTTTTGGATTTTTTGGTGTTTATCCTTGTCGAAAGACTTCATATCTTGTTTATCATTTTCACATTTTACAAAAAAAATGGCCAGACAAGAAAACTTTTTGAAAACACAACGTTTAGAGTTTTTTACATGGAAAGAAAGTGATTTATCACAAGCTCTTGAATTATGGGGCAATCCAAGCGTTACGAAATTCATTTCGCAAAATGGAATGACTCCGGAACAAGTTTCCGAACGGCTTGGGAAAGAAATTTCAATGCAAGACAATATCAAGTTCAATATTGGCCTATGAAATTATTGGTAGATACAAGCGTAAATTCCGAGCAAGGTGATGATGAAAGAGAAATTATTGGTTGTTGTGGGTTAAGACCTTACGATCTTGATCATCATATTTACGAAATGGGTATTCATTTAAAAGAAAAGTATTGGGGAAAGGGTTATGCTCAAGAGGCTTGCCTAGGAGTTATGGAATATGCTTTCAATAATACCATTAACTTGAATGTGAGCTCATTGTTTGCAGGACACCATCCCGATAATACCTCCTCTGCACATTTGTTGAAAAAGCTTGGTTTTCAATTTACTCACAATGAGTATTATGCTCCTACGGGATTATTACATCCGTCTTATTTGATGAAAAAAGATGAATATTTTAAGCAACAGGAAGTCCATCGTCATGATTGAGTGTGAGTAGAGAATATTTACGCCGCGAGGAGTATGATGTCAGATCTGTTTTGAACTGGAGGATTATATATTTATTATATAATCGATTTTTTTGTACATGGGTGATGAATGCCAATGTAAATTTAAAACTTTTGTTTTGGATGAACATCTGTAGCCCAAGCTACAACTGAACCAAAAACTTTCTAATATGGAAAGAGGAAACATGGCTCCTGTTTCCTCTTTAAATCCAAGCCATCTTTGGATTTAGATCATTGATTCTTAGCATTGAGTTGATATCAAATTTATTGAATTATGGTAAAATAGCCTTCCTGACGATATTTGAACAAAAGATCACAAGATAATAAGCATTACGTCTGAAATTGATGTTGGGATATTTTGAAGTGGACGAAACGCAAGATCCATGGAAAAACAAACTTAAAAAACTTGTACTACTTGCTTGCACTAATCACCAAGCACCACCGCGGAGAAAACATACTATCATGATGAATGAACACTGTGCTGATCGGAACACTCCAGATCAGTGTCTACTGCAAATAGATCCTCCATACTGTCAATGCTGTTGTGACCGAGACACATCCTTATTGGAAAACAGTTGCCAATGCACACACTTTATCATTTCCTCTACCATTGAAAGCAGTCTGTTCATTTCCTTGTGTCGACATCTTCGGCTCATTCCCCTCATATTCCAATTACTGTTACACTTTTTAATTTTTGGTATCTTTTATTTCATATGTGAGAGCAGTACGAATGCATTCATCATTACTTTTTTTCACTTGCATTTTGCATGATGGCTGAATGTTTGAATGAAGTCATGACAGCCTTAGAAAATGCAAATTGCAAACTACTTTCAGCGTTAAAGAATAGAAAACAACTCCTTTGTCAAATTACACAACAGATTAGGACGGCATGCACGGCAAGTGTTGGAGGTATAGAATTACTCAAGTACTCTTTGTTAAATCAGGAAATTAATTCCTATCATCAAGAACTGATAGATATTATGGAAACTTCGAACTCGATACTGTTGAGCGTTGCTGAAGAAATTTTACTTGATACAAAATATGAGCATGCTGACAGGATTGCTAGAATAAATCAATAAGGAGTTTGAGTCGATTCATGATTAACTGCTGTCTCATGAATCTACATCTCCTTATTCGAGAACCACCTCTTGTTGCAAATTCGATTCAAATACAAAAAAAAGCCTAAAAATGTATTCCGATGATGATCGTTGCACCATTCTAGATAACTTTCAACATGGCTCAACTCAGGGAATATCACAGAGGTAGGTGATTCACTACGAGGTGCACTGATTGTGGATTTTCGGAATGGAATTAGTGCTGATAACAAGGTTACCAAGGATCTCATGCAAATTATTGAGTTGTATAATTCAGTAAATGGATCATTTACGCATACCTCTCCGATTGGTACGTTTTTTGCCATCGTATGAGGCATTGTATCATTTACAAATTTGTGATAGCGGATGGAAAAGTAATTCTAGTTGGCGATAGTATGGTTGGAAAAACGTAAAGTATATTGGTGATTTGTGTCAATGATTATCAACTAATTTTTAATAGCTCTTTATTTGTGAGAATTATTAAGAATGTGTTTAGTAACAATTATCGCCCTACAATCGGCATGGACTTCAACATCAAAAAATACAAAATTTTAGATATTCCTTTTTCTGTAGTGCTGTATGTTTTTGAAGTAATGAAATGGTCAACCAATGCATTTTGTATTATGAATGTGAAAATCTTTAAAACAGATGGGATACAGCTGGTCAGGAGGTGAGGTGAGTTGGTGACAAGAGTTGCAAAATTTTTTTTAAATTGCAATAGTGGCAAATAATTTTCATGACCTTGTTCAAGTTTTTCCTTAGAGATTTAAAAGGTTGGTATTCAATATTTACTTGCCACTGCTTATATAGCATTTTATTAGTCTTTCTACTTCTTACCATCGTGGAGCTAGTGCGTGTATTTTAACCTTTGATTTGAATAGCCCAGAAACACTTCATTCCATTAAAAATTGGTACAACCAAGTGAAGGCATATGCAGAAGAGCCCAATATCAAGTGGTATTTGGTGGGCACAAAATGTGACCTTGTAAAGCATGTAGATGAACGAGAAGTGAAACAAATTGCAGAGGAGCTCAAAGCAGAGTATTGGGAAGTTTCTTCTAAGGATGGCATTAATGTTGAAAAATTGTTCAACCGAGTTGCATTTATTGCGTGGAAAGATAAGCTGTAAGTTTACCAAAAGTTCAAATCATTACTCAATCAAATCAGAGAGAAATGGAAAGAGGCAAACACTGTCCAAGAAAAGAAAGAAGAAAATCAATCGCAAGTTCATATCGTTTTAAAACCTGGAGAAAAACCAAATCAACCTACTCAACCAGGCACTAGTGGTGGCACATCTACTACTGGCGGTGGGTCGAGCACTCAGCCATCCTGTCCTTGTTAACTTGTAAATTTTACCCTTTCTATTAAATTTTGTAATCTAGATATTACTTGGAAAATATTAGTTCTGTATTTCTGATTTTTAAAAATCATGATCGCAAGATAGATTGATAGAGCAAATACCACTATGAACAGTGTATATTTTTGTCGTTGTGTCAAATATGAAAAATGAATCAGCTTCTAACACTCCAAGGAACATAATAAAGCAGATCAGTCATTGAACAAAAATTACAAAACATACATTTGTCTTGTCAACTGCTGCTATCAGCAACTGGTAACTTGAATCTATATTTTCCACCAGTTGTTTGGTGTCTGAGTTACAGGTGGATAAAATTATTTCTCTAATTTCTTCAAGCGAGTAATTTGGATTCTGTAATTCTTTAACACATTCTTCAAGTTCTGCAATTTTCTTTTGCTTTTCTTCGAATAATGTTCGTAACGTATGCGTTTCGTTAATCAAATATCGCTCTAGCTCAACGCATTTAGTTTTAAGATCACCAATTTTGATTACTTCCACCTCACCTGGTTGTGGCAGTGTATTTTCATCACTTGAAGACACTGACTTCTTTTCCAGTGCAGTAGTATTCATTTTGTTAATCAAGGCAAATGAAATGACATCATCATCAGTTTCCAAATTTCTCGTGTGATCTTCAGGATTATTCACTTCTTTCAACCAATTTTTCCATTCATCACTCAATTCTTCACTTTCCTCATCCTCAATGCTTTCCAAAATTTTGATCAAGTATTGCTTTTTAGCTTCAATCGAGTTCATCCCTTTCACTCGCACCCATGATTCCCATTTCATCTTTTCAGTAAATTGAAACCAATAGGGTTTTGTGTTGGTAGGACAATCTCCGATCGTTGCTTGTTTGTAATAGGCATACATATCCATCAAATCATCCGTTAACAATTCAAAAGGAAAAGGTTTTTTGGGAGAGCCATCTTCATCCTCAATTAAACCACTATTTAACAATTTTTTAAAATTATTTTCAATGAGATGATGATCATCCGTTGTATCATCTTGAACAACAGCACCTGTTGTGGGTGATGATGATTCGCTCATGATCATCATTAAAATATTTTTCGTTTTGAAAGTGGAAAAAATAATCTGTTGATGAAAAGAAGAAGCGACTCACACACCTCATCCATTCAATTCGGTACATGGAAAACAGTAAATTGAAAATTATTTGTAAACAATTGGAAGAATATTATTTCAGTGAGAACCAAGTACAATGCAGAGTAGTAGTAACACAACAAGGATCGGAATGTCAAAATTCAAAACAACACTTTTGGAAGTTATTAAACGAGTATGAGAAGGACCTTTTAGATTTTGTAAAAACAACAACGATTAATTCAGAAAATGCTGATGTAATTTTACAATTTATATTTTTCTCTCACTTTTGTGGTTATCACGAGTTGGTTCGGAATATTCTTGATCATACCAATAGGCAAAATTTGCAGAATTTACTCGTTTACTCTTTAGGAAATTACTGTTCATCAAATGAAATAGACAAATGTGAGCTATTGCGTACTTCATTCGTTTCAACAAAGACATCTCTTTTTGGATTGACGAACAAGAAAACCAAAGAATGTATTATTGACAGTATATTTTCAAAAGGAGAGAATAGATTTGTGTTTCGGTTTTTAAAACTCTTTTTCAACGAGGAACATGATCTTTCCAATATTGACATTTACTCTGTTTTTAAATCTATTCTCAATAGTGTTATTGTTTGCAAAAATGATGAAGCTAACAACAAACGAAGAAAAACGGGGACAAATACACCCATTTCAAGATATAACAACTATAAGTTTAATTTAAGGGAAATTATTTGTTTAAGTGATCACACCAAAATTCGTCAGTTTTTACTTGAAACAATCCTTTCTGTGATATTTTCAGAAACAATGCCGGAGCAATTGCAACTTCTGTGTCCACCTTTATTGGAACATGAGATTTTAAACGATGAGGAAATGCAGACCTACATGCTGGAATGGTTTGGAAAAAGAGACACTGCTACCATCCTGCAAATATTTAATTCTCTTTCTGTAGTGCAGCAATCACTTTTGAATGCCATGAACTCTAGGTCATCTCTTATACTCATCCAATCACACTCGTTCAAAACCAAAATTATGGAACGATTTTCAAGTATTTTCTTCTCAGAAGAGGAAATTTTGTTGAAGAAAATTGACTCCTCAAACAATGACAACGAACTCATTTTGCCCTTGTTAGAAGAAAAGACTGTCCATGAACTGGTTTCTTTATTAGAATGTAGTATGAGACATGTGGGAGAAGATTTATCTTTGGGCACTTTATATTCAGCGTGTTGTCTGATTCAACGTTTGTGTCACGATCATAACACTTCTGAGAGCGAGCTAGAAAGTTTGTTACAAAAGGTATGTATTGTGGTAGATCGATGCGTCTCTAAAGGGAATTTAGATACGACTGCAACTGATGGTATATGTTGGTTATTGTGTGAAAGAATATTGTGAATGCTATAGAGAAGCAATACACTCTACAACGACTTTAACCTTGCCACCACCGAAGATCATGCGAAAGGACTCAATTTATGGTCTACTTTCGCTAGTCAACAAGATCCCAGGAGTATTTTTTGACACATCAACCGGTAGTACTCCTTCTTCCGATATTTCCATGATGCCTTTACCTCAAACTATTGCGGAACTACTTTCTAAAATTTATTTATTTACAAAAGTATTGGAATATGAAGGGTGTTGTGAAGTGGTCAAAGACTTGTCTGAAAAAATTCTTAAACTCATTGACTATTCAAACACTGATCTTATGAATAACTATTTAACCATTGACGACATCAAAGAGGTAAGTTTGGCAACTAATGTAAGATTATTGAACTATAACGTATATATTTACAAAATATTAACAAATAGATATTTTCTGCAGCACTAAACATTGTGTATTGTATTGTTATGGAGCATGAACATCCTATCAAAACACCTGCAACTAAAGAGCAGCGAGATCTCATCAAAACAATTGCATCTCTATTTTTAAAAGAGGAAGGATTAGATATTTCAATAGCAATTGTCGATTTTCTCAATTATTTATTATACACTATTCACAAGAGTAGTGAAAATATGACTGAACCAAAGATTGCTTCTGAAAAATCATGTATCTCATTCCACGACTTGCTGTGATTCGTGAGAGATCTGAAATTGTATTATTCGAAAGCGCACAACAAGGAATATTTAAGGCCGTTGCACCTCAAGCTCTCTATTTTCTATGTGGTAAGTATGTTAATGACTTGTCAATTCCACAGCAACGAATGAATGTCAGTATTAATGAACAAAATACTTGAGAAGAATCAACTTCAGAGTTTGGATTGTAAAACTATATATTCTATCATCAATTTCATAGGAGCCATTATTGAAGCTCATGCTCACCATTTCAGTTCAACTCTTGCTCAAGATACCGAAAACAAAAAGACCCTTTGTTTTCTTTTTATAGATGAATGTCTTAAAGTAGTGGTCTATTATTATTCTCAAGCAATTCCTTTGTTTGAAAAAGTCATGAAGGAATCGAATTTAAGCCATCTCTCTCGCTACGATTTAATGTATTTGAAAGCAAGTTGGCTAGCCATATCCTTCTTTTGTCCCTTCACTTTAAAGCTGCCATTAACAAGAAAAGTGGAAGTGCTTACCGAATTTGTTGCTAAAAAACTACCCACTGAAAGAATTAATCCCAATGATGAAACTGCATTACAACAATTAGAATCTCCATCACTGCTAATTCTCTTCTACCATTCTCTTATTTGCGAAATTTATTTTTTATTATTTCCTATGAACATTCAACAGTTGGCATCAAATTATTGGCTGGCATGGAAAAGATGAACCGCATGGCTGTGGATTTTTCCAACTATCTCAATAGCTTTATTAGTATTGCTTCAGATGCTAATGGTGCTAATGGTGGAACAAACAAAATAGACATTAACATTTCAGTGAGTTTATGTAAAGTCATTTTTGGAATATTTGAACAATACATTCAAGCAAAAGACAAGAACACGCTCTCAAGATTTGAGAATTGGCCAAAATTTGTTGACACGACGCTTCAACTCTTTGATCCTTCCTTAGTGACCGTGTTAATTTCTTCTCTTCGGAAAGTTTATTACGAAATTGTAGATATTGACAGCGTGGTATGGCATTTATTGGAAAAACTTTCACTAGGTGACCTTTCTTCTCATCCTTATGTCCACTTTTTGGAAGTGTTGGAAAAAACAAACGAACAAGGGGTGAATTTTATGACAAAATATAACTCAGTCATTGTGTTGGAGAGGGCCTTTAAAAACACAACACCGTTACTTCTCTCCCAATCGAGATCAGACATGATTGATACTGTTCTTAACTTTTGCAAAAATCATCGTGTCTTGTACAGATTATTAGGACTGGTGAATGTCAAGGCAGTTGCTGATGACTTGAAAGAGGAAAGTTTGATGAACTATTTCAGTTATTATGAAAGTCTATTAGGAACTCTATATCCACTTTTATCCATGATTCCAATGAATGAAGAATATGCAATGGAGTTTGTATCTAGAAGCCAAGTACCCAAGTGCCTCATTGTCTTCCTTCAGAATAATCAAAAGCACATTATCAAGAAGCATCCAAAATTGTTGGCTTGTATTTTCAAACTCTATGAAAAATCTCTACAAATATTTATCACATTTGCTAAATTGAATCCTACCCATCAGAAATTGGAAGAGACAAGGAATGATCTATTCTCAAAGACGTTTGTGTTCATTGTGAAATTTTGCTTTGAGAGAATACAGCCAGCCAATCAGGTAAGTTTCAAGTTCACTTGTTGAAATTCACTAAATATCATGTAGCAAACATTCTTTTGGAGTAGACCTGATGATGAAGAGAGAGAAGTACCATACTCTTTTGTTAATATTTTAAAAGCCATTACGGATGCAGCAACAAATACAGCAATCCCAATCATTGCTACATTATTCAAAGATTATCTTCAAACTCTCAAGGAGACCAATGTGAAAAATATTCTTCAAAATGTTGAATTGTCATCATCAATGTATCAGCAGAAAGTGAAGTCCATACTGTTGAAATTGTCACCCGATTCAAACAAACCATTGACCACAACACTTCCGCAAATTGCGAATTCTTCCAATATTAGTGCTAGCGCCACTCTCAAGGCATACTCTAAATTTCCATCCTTTGCTAAACCACAAAATACTGATCAAGCTCATTCACCTATGCAACAAGCTCCGAACGCTGCTCAAAAACAAGTAGCAACAACAGGAACCTCTTTGGTACCAAAGTCATCCTCACCAAGTAATAGTGGTACCACTCCTCCAACAACCACTGTGTCGGATCAAATAAGCCAGTTTTTGCACCGCCTTCACGACAAGTATTCCGTCCACCTCCACGAAAGCAATGATGATCTACAACCTGTAAATACCATGAAATTATTGTTTTCTTTGTAAATTTCTACTTTTTGCGTTTTTTCGTTTGATGATTGCTGTTGCTCACTTCTCCTTGTGATAACTTTTCAATTTCTTGCTTGGCTGTGTAGTAGAGTTTGGAAATATTCACTCGTAACTGATTATTTTCCTTCTCTTTCTCTTTTAATTTTGTTTGAGTGTCATGTAATTGTTTTTCTGTTTGTTCAAGCTGCAAGCGCAATCTCTCAATTTCTTCTTTTAAATTCTCAATTTCCGAATTAGTGGATGGTTGTTGCAAAACATCACTGTAAAAATCCTCTTCTCCTTCCTCGCTTTTAAACATTTTTTTGTGATTGTATCGAATCCAGCTTGCCGATCGGCAAAGACAAATGGAAGGACTGTACTCAAAAACTGACAAAATATTGTAAAGAAACTATAATTACAAAATTGGAAAAGCTTGGAATGCCAAAATGGATATTAAGGAATTCAATATATCCTACATCAGAGTTCAGAATACCTTAAAATAAGAATAGCATTCCATACATTAATTTAACAGTATGTTCTGAAGGGGTGAAAGTTATTGGACTTGAACTATTGAGGGCTTTTGACAAATCCTCAGCCGATCGTGAACGAGTTGTGTTGAATCAGCATTGAACTTGTCCCAAGGGGACTTTACATCAGGATGGCTTGTTCAGGTCTGAAGAAAACAAAGGACCATGTCCATAATCATTGATCATTGAAGACAAACAATTTAACAAACGACTGTCAATTCTTGAACATGCTACAGAAGAGAATACTTGTCCTGTAAACGTTCAAACTTGGGTAAACTATAAACAATAACATGTTTAAACAAAAATAAACAAAATAAACACGTTCAAACTAATTCAAACGTTTAATCTTGTTCAAACGTTTAAACGTTCAAACGAAAATTAATTTCTAAAGAATTGGAATTTCTTCCTATTTGTCACCGTTTTCATTTTGCATTTTGTAGGGAAAGAAAATAAGTATCGAAGATTTTTGGATCCAAAATATCGAAATCGTAAATCATCCTGTTTGGCATCCAAGTCAATGTCAATAATTAATCATTTAAAAATTATTGATATGAATAGTTCTAAGACTTTAGGGGTTGAGGCCCTCACTATTGAATGACACTTTTTAGGGTCCATGTGTCAGTAGGAGGGATAGAATCACTGGAATATGATTGGGAAATATCAATACGACTTTTCAACTTCAAAAGTTCTTTTTTTTCATGTTCCTTAAACTGTTTGTAACAATCGGATAAAATGATCGTGTGAATAGTAATTCCCTTATTTTCCATATCTTTCAACACTTGGACAAGGTCTGGATAGTACTTGTTTGCATACACGCGATGAATGACCAAATCATTTCTAAATTTAGGAATGGTAGACCTAATCCACGAAATGTCATCATCTAAATCAAATGAGTGCAACAATACAATCCGATCAAAATATTGATCTTCTACACCTGGAAGACAACTCAGTAGGATATTTCTTCCACACACAGGAAGACCTGTTTCCGTTAAATCCAAATCATGGTTCAATAATTTAAAAGATCTCAACGCAATCAAATTATTTCCATTTACAATCTCTATATCGGCCAAGTCACTGGTATGGTCCGAAACGAATCGAGAGGCATTCTTTAGAACCATCATGAAACCAAAGCATTTCGAGAGAGAACCAAAGATCAATTTTTTGAGAGGGACATTCTTTCTACGCTTAATCAACCAATAATAGGACCAGAAATCCCACTGTTCATTATTATGGATGAATAACGTGTCAAAATTTGTCTCGAACGTCCCATTGTTGGTATTTCTTTTTTCAATAATTTGTGAAGAAGAAAGGTGTTCCGACCATTTTCAGGATGTTCATGAAAATAGTTGAAAATTTTGGAAATAGATGAAATGTTGGTAAATCCTTGATAGGTCTTGAATAATCGTTGTATGAAAGAAACGACATCCACACTCAATGAATCATGTAACACAACCGTGTCCTGTCTCACCATTTTTCCTTGATTAGGTAATGTCAAGTGACTGATCCATGAAAAATTTGTAGAATAGTGTAAAAAGTAGTATAATCTTTTGCAAGTTAATGAAATGGAACGCATTTCTCTTGGAAATATCAAATAGGACAATACATGACTTAGAATGTCATCATTCAACCAAAGTGGTTCTTGTGAATAATTCTCTTTGAAGGGAATGGCTTGAACTTTTGGTTTTTTTCTGACAAGTTCTTGAATTTGATTGGAAATTTCCAAATCCACACAATCCATACAAATATTTTCCTTTTTCATGGGTACGACTAAATATAAGAGTTCAGCGAGACGTTCACCCAAAAAATCATTCAATAACTGATTGGTTGATTTTTTGAATTCTTCCAAATTTAACAAACTTAATAATTCACAATTTCGATCGAAATAAGTCCAAAGAACTGAGAGAGCGCTTCGTCTTTCCTCAGCATGATCATATCTTGACATGAAAGGAGTCTCTTTCAATACCGTTTCCATGTGCAACCAATTTTCAGATACAATGTCATACATGTCGGATCGATGAGTGATTTGTTGCAGTTCCTGGTTCATCATTGTAGTGTTTTCCCGATGATCGAACGGAACGGACAAGGAGATTCTTCTCTTGTGAAAATAGAAAAAGATCAAATCATGCACTAATTCAATAGCAATCGATTGCATCGAGAACATTTTAATTGTGTCCAAACATGGACAAAACACAACGTTCCATCGTGGTGTGAGCAAAGTGGGTTTTGACACAGACGGCATCTATTTCTCAGTGAACACATTTTTTTATTGTGCGCAAGTTCTCATGTTCCTCTCGAAAAGAAATGTTTTTACAGTGTGTGACAACATTTGCGTGGTATTGAATTAATTCAATCTCTCTGCAAATATTTGGTTCATGTCAAATTTGATAAAGGTTCTTTGATAAGCAAACTTTGGCCCTGGCAAACCGTTTTGTCTCTCATTGGCAACATAAACTTGATTTTTAGCAAAATCAAATACAGCAGCTTGAACATCACCAGTGGCTGCATTGGCCATAATTTGAATTGCATTCTCAACATTCAATTGACCATAATATCGTTGTAGCAATGCTCCCAAACAGTATTGATGGGTAGGTTGTGGATGTTTATCCCAATAGACAATATTTTGCAATGCTGGATGTTGTGGATAAGCTGGTTGAGTCATCCAGTTATAAATATTGAGCTTCTTAGCACTGTATTCAACACCTCTAAATTGACCCGTCTTGGAATCACCAATACCAACGTGAATAGAACAAGTTCTATCAGTATTGACAAGTCCAGTCAAAGCAGAATCCAAATCAAAAGCAAATTGTAAAGTGTCACGCAATGCAAAGGTCCATGGCTTTCCAATTCTTGAGTTATATTCAGGATGTTCCAACCAGACTTTTTCAGAAATACCAATACTGGAATTGCTGTATCCTGTGATTGATCCAATCAAGCCACAATATCCAATATTAGCAAAAGTATGAGAATTGGCTTCACTTGGGTGGTATACAATAAATGATTTGCAACTTCGAACTGGAGAATTCACATCCCAATCCAAAGCTCTAATCTGCAATAAACTGCCATTCATACCTTGAGCAGTGGCAGATCCCCAAGCACCAAACATTGAACATCCAGCTTGGATAATCTCTGGAACATAATTCATTCGAACAAAGTGCATGAAAGGAATTCCACTTCCATCAGCGAGACCTTTCATTTCATCAATGTATCTTTGAGGAACATAGGATTTAGTAAATTCATAATTAAGATCAAGAGCAGCCTCCAAGCCAAATTTCACAATGTATTCAGCCCATTCTCTTGGTAACTTGTCCAGAATAGTGGCATTCACAATGAAATCATCGAGATACTTTTCAAAGGCTGGCACTAACTGATTTAATTCAGTCTTCATCAATTGACCATAGGCACGTCCCATTTCATAGGCTGTTCCATAGATATGTACAAGATGAATCGAGTCATCTCCGTTGCCTGCCAGATATCGTTTACCATTGGTTGTGGATGAAATAAATACAGGAGGCTTGGTATAGATGGTATTTGAGTTTGGTGCTCCATCACAATCTGAGAAGCCTCCGAGAACCACAGACGATAGAGTCATGATGATCATCATGGTGGCCATGCCAATAACAAGCAAGGCTTTGACCGAATGGAAGGTGTGGTTACGGATGGACATTTTTTCGAATTTCGTTGTGGAACAGACAAGGTTGGTTTTGTAATCATGTCCGATCCATGGTTTTTCGAAAAGAAAACTGAGAAGTGCTTCATTGAAGAAAACCACGTTTTATAACTGAATTGCAGATGGTCAGTCACTCCATTCACCAATGAAAAACCTCAAAGATCACGTTTCAGCTTTGGTTATTAATTGATTGTACGCTCCACACGCAGCCACAAGGAACCACTCCCTTTGACAAGATAAAATTCTTTGAATGATTGAATAGTTAGTGTTTCATGGAACGCAACGACTCGACTTAAATCTTCTACAATAAATTCATCATTTCCATTGAGTGAAATTTCCAAATGAGTATCTGTTGTGAAGAGAATGATTTGAGTTTCTTTGGAATCATTTGCTTTCACTTTGTAATAGATTGTTTCAGCACCAAGGGTTTCATTTGTTATTTTAATTTCTTCCACTGAGAAATTGGATAAGGGCAAAACGGTTGTGAAAAAAAGAATATCCTCTAAGGATCTCAAACAGAGAGTGGGATTATTCTAACAGTAATATTATTGGAGTGATTAATAATATTTTCTTCTACTTACCTCATCAAGCTCAAGAGGTGTAATTCTTTGCATTCCGTTTTGTGTGGACAAGTACAAGTCATCTGTTCCCACGTTGCTAACATTTTGAAAAACTCTAACATTGATCTTGTCGTGAAATAAAGAGGTCATAGATGAATCCAAGGATGCAGATCTAGCTAAGACAGTCACATTAGAATTGATCATTGGTACAACAACTTTTTGATTCTTATTTGATAATGATAAATGCACAGTATTGTGGTGATAAATATTGTACTGTTGCTGAATGAGTTTTAACACCGAAGGAGGTGTTATCGTGGCTAATTGTTGTCGTAATGGATGTACTTCAATTGTGAGCTTTTTCTTGGATAAAGGTATTGGTGGTAAGTGGAATTTAGCCAGCTCCACCCGTTCAACATCTACTTCAGTACTCGACTTGTTGAATGGAGGTGGACACTTTTTAATTGGAGACGGGTCGTATAAACTATTTACCGTAGTGTTATTCACTTTCTCTGTTGTTGTGTTGCCATCTTTAATGGAATCTGTCATGTCCACTTCTAGTAAATCTTTTTCGGCATCAATATCTTGTAATGAGCTTAACATGGACGAATTGCCATCTTTTGTACTATTTTCATATTCCAAATCCACAAAATCATCAGTATTTCTTGAATCATTATTATCACATTTTGATGTATTGACAATTGATGGAGTCTCTTTTGGAGTCAACACATTGTCTCCACTACCAACAGCATCATGGAAAAAGGTCATTGCTCCAAATGTAGAGAATGAAGAAATGCTCAGTTCTGACTTGGGTGTTTGGCTATACTTTTCATGTAATTTTTCCAAATATTCTTCTTCACTAATGCTCTCGGAGCTAGCAGTCGTGGCGGTTTGCGTGGAAAGCGATGGTGTCGTGGTTGTTGGTTGATTTTGTGATTCTTCTGTTGTTACTTTAGATCCGAATCAATAATGGTATCATCTTTGCTTGGCGATTCGTTGATTGCCAACGGACTGGTTATGGATGATAAAGAATCTTCTTGTTGCGACATTTTTTTTGAGTGAAAAAGGAAATAACATGGTACGGACTCGAATTGGAGAGTTGTCCAGCTGATACTCCTTAATTGCATTCGCGTTCTATTTGCTTCAAAACCTTATTCCGTTGGACCTTGATCCGAAAAAGGGAATACAAGTTGTTGCGCTTGAAGATGGTTGTCTGTGGCACGAGTGCCAACTTTAACATTACCTCATTCATTTCATTACCGCCTCGTTCGGACTCTTTGGATGGATACAATTGAACGTTTCTCTGATCTCATCGTCATGACTAGTACCAACCGCCAAAAATTGTACAAAAAATTGCAACCAATGAATCAAAGCACAAACGAGTCATCCATTCTGGATGGAAGTAGCCTGACTCTTGATGATTCCTTAACGTTTTCAAACAAATTTGATTTCGAAGAAACAATTCGACAAATACAAGAGCAGAGTAAGAAAGTCAGCAGTCACTTGAATCAATACTCAAAATATTTAAATCCAAGCCCGATAGGTTATGAAGTTGATTCAAATACATTTACATCAATAGGAGCATCAAATAATCATCAAGCATCATCAGCAAAGAATAATGTTATTACTAATACAAAAACAAGTTCGGAACCCTTGCAAAACGACTCCAAGGACAGTCCGGTCCAAAAAAACACCTACAAAAGCCTTACAACCCCTAATGTTCAAGCGTAGCCGATCAGCGAATCAGTAAATCCTCCGATCCAATAGAGGCACTAATGAGAGATTTTAGAAATGAAGTAAGAGAAATCGATAATGCTATTCAGTCCGACACACCTACAAGCCTTCGTTTCAACAGCTCGGATTTTGGAGAAGGAGAAACACCAAGCTCAGAAGAACCAAGATCTCCCTATTTGTATCATTCTACATCAACGCCATTGTGCTCTGGAGAACCTAGCCTTAAAGCTAACAAGTTAAACACAGAAGCACTACCGTTACCTTCTTCTACTTTTAGACGAGGGGTATTGGAAGACGATAAATCCAGGAACAAAATTCACTCCACGACCAATATTTTCGAAAAGACCAACGACAAAGAACAAACACCTTCTATTTCACCAATCATTCATAACTCAAGAATGTCACAAGCATCTTCTCCAATCATTACTTTTTCAACATCTGAAAAGTCAAGAATGAGTGACACAGACACTAGGGACAGGAATTTATTTTCTCCTTCTCAAACTTTTTTGAATGTGCAAGAAACTTCATCAAAGCCATCTAATATTCTTAAAACTAACCCTCTCTCCTTTCATCCTCAACAAACATCCTCTGAAATGATACTTCGGCTGGAAAACATTCAACTTCGGGAAGAAATTTCAAAATTACAATCCACTGTGACCGCGTTGCAAACCAGGATGGATGGTATGGAAAAGAATATGAAACAATTGTTTGATTTTCTCATGCAGACAACCATGAACAAATAAATTCATCCCGCCAAACCTTTACCGCCATTTTTTGTTGTTACAAGTCTTTCATCAAATCTCATTAAAAAAAATGAACAACCTTGATGATATGGATTTAGACCATGCCATGACCCATGAACCAAACAGTGCCAATCTCTCAACGCTGGAAAAGAAGATTAAGGAGAAGAATCAACAGCTGAAGAAGGTAAGTGCCCCATTCATTACAATCACATCCAAGTATATCATGATCGGAACAGCTTTCAAAAGCATTCTATGCTCTTCAACAAGAAAAGAGAGATCTCGAAGAGTATTGTATTGTACTGGATCAGAGAATATGGAATTTCGTAAAGTTAAAGAACAAATGGATTTTCTGAAAAGCAAGGATGAAGATATTGCAAGGCAACATCAAAAACTATTGGAAAATGAGGAAAAACACATTCAAAAGTTGGAAAAAGATATTGAAAAACATAAAGAAGAGAAGAGGAAATTACAAGCAAAGATCAAAGATTACTTCCTTCCAGAGATTAAAAAACTCCAGACACTCAGTGCTAAACTTGAAAAAACGAATATCATGCAGAAAAATCAGCTGAAAGAATTAAAACATGAGCTCAAAGAGAAAATCAAAACGATAGAGAGAATGATTGAAGAAGCTAAACGAGATGAATCTCTTCAAAATATTCGTTTTTTACAAGATCAAAACTCAGTGCTACAAGTAGATCTGCATTCTATAAAAAGAAGCTCACAAAGAAAACCAGCAAATGCCAAGAGCAAGCTGAGGAGATTGCCTCGTTAAGATCGAGAATAGAAGAATTAGAAGATCAACTCCAAAGAAAGAGTGCATGGAACTCACAGACACAACTCTTTTACACTGAAAAGAAGGAACATATTGATGCTTTGAAGAGAGACAAAATGAGCCTTTCGAGACAGCTCAAGAAAGAAGGTAAAAAGGCCATGAAGAGAGAGGAAATTATCTCAGATCTTCTCGAAAGAAATTCCAAGTTGAGACAAGCATTTATCAGTTCAAGTATTCCTCCTCCTACTGTTGTAGATCATGTGGTCGAAAAATCCTTTTATGATAATGTTTCGAATCAACTTAAATTAATTCAACAACAACTGGATATGGATGTTGGATCCAGGTAAGTAATTTGAAACAGATGATCAATTCTAACCGAGCGTGTAGAGAAATAATTGACGCTCAAAATCTTGAAAAGGTAGTGGATGAAGTACCAATTACTTTCCCTTCTTCCCCTCCTCGATTTTCTGAAGAAAACGAAGAAATAACGAACTCTCTTCAAAATGAAAGCAACAGATTGCTTGCTAAATCCAATTTCCTTACCAATGAGTTCAAAGAAGTGAATATTTAATTCGAATGAAATGCTATTCCATGATGTTTGTTTTAACCAAGCCTTATTTAGAATTTTTGGCCTTCATTTGGAGAGCTTTGTTTTTCATATTTAGAGCAGCAGTATTCCTTGCATCAAGCTTTAAACAAGTATCCAAGCATTTTAAAGCTTCATCTGGTTCATGAATAGTGAGGAACAAAATAGCTCTTCTCAAATGAGCGTGAACAAACTTGGGCTCGAATTTCTGAACGATCTCGTCATAGTCGATAAGAGCTGCCGATGTGTTTCCTAAATCTTCGTTGCACATGGCCCTAATGATCAATAAAAGAGCAAGCGATACGTTGTTTTGTGAATTGTTATCCTTTAGAGTGGCAAGCAGCAAGTTAACGCCTTCTATTGCTTTGCTACTATCTTTCAGGATTACTTTGTAAAATAAAGGAAGCAATAGTCTTATTAAATAGCTTCCATCCTCATTCTTAATGATTGTGTCGATGAAGGATTCGCGAATTGAACTCGAGTGTAAATCCAGAATGTCAATAATTGTTTGGCAAATACGAAAAGCACTGGAAAGAGTATTAGCCTGAGAGACTTCTATAATTTTGATTGTAAAATAGCACGAACATTTTCTAAATGTCCTTGTTTTGAGGGTGAAGGCACCTTATGAGTGACAGACCGGCTTGGACTTTCCTGTCTGGACGGCAAACTTTTAGGGGAGCCCAGTTGCTGTAGTCGTTGTGAAACATCCATGTTGTTTGGATCCATCTTCAATATTTGGATGTAGTCATATCGTGCGTCTTCAATGTTCCTTAGCTGTTCCAGCAACTTTGCTCTTTCTAGAAGACAGGGGATAGAGTTGGGTTTCAGCTTAATACAACGAGTGTAATCTGCCAACGCCATATCATATTGCTTGAGATTTAAAAATACACGAGCTCTATCTTGATAAGCAGAGAAATAGTCTGAGGATAACAAAATTGCTTGATTATAGTCTCGCAGCGCTAGCTCATGATTTTTTAAACTCTTACTGTACAAGTCTCCACGGCATTTGAATAACAGCGCGACATCTTGGTTGTTTTCTATAGCTACGTTTACATCATTAAAAGCTTTTTCAACATTTCCTGTTCTTTGAAAAACAACAGATCTGGAAATATATGCCCTAAAGTACTGATAAACAGAAATTACTTTTGTGAAATCAATTATTGCCTCTACATTTCGTTTTAAATCCATCATACAGCATCCTCGTAAATATAAAACTAATCCATAAAGATTTGTCGCTTCCACTCCTGGTAACTGCATGAACTCATCACACAACCCAATTGCTCTTTGAGTGGTTTAGATATTCATATGATCATTATTAACTATTTACCTTTCGTGCAGATTTCTCTTTCGGTATTGTAATACATCACAGAATAAAGCAAAAGGGTAAATATCTGTCCCAACAAAACCTGAATAAAATGGTCTAGCGTCACTAGGCTCCAACTCAGCTATTTTGATTTTTAATTCTTGAAGAAGAGCATCCACAAGTTTAAAGTCATTGGTCTGATTGATCCTCCTAGCAAAAGGTATGATGAGATTTATAAGAGAAGCATTCCGATTTGTGTTTTCATTGTTGGAAGAATCTGCGACAGAGTGGTTCAATGAATTCGCTATTTTTTTTGCTTCTTCTTCCGCATCACCAAACAACCTGGAAATCTCCTCAGAACGATATAAAAACTCTTTGACTATTTCTTCTCTCTTCAATTCTATCATTATAGCCTCCAACTCTTCCGTTGAAATCATCTCCTTATCCAATTTTGTTTCCTCCATCTCGGAAGCAGTGATCAACCCCTCTTGCACTAAGGCTTGAAGAATATTCATTTTTTCCAAACTGAAAAACCTCAATTAGTAAATCGGAAAGGACACAAAATGACAACGTTTATTTCCAAAGATCCGAATTCCTTTGGATACAAGTTAATCAGAAAATATGTAATCAAAGGAAATTGTCACGTTTGAGATAGGTTTCTCCAGAAATGAAATTTGCCGCGCTTTGAATACAATGTCCACTTTTAAAAAAAATGTCTGCTACAGGTGATCTCAAAAATAACCTTGAAAAGTTGAGGACGCAATTAAGAAGCATACACTATAACGGGGTGTTCGATGTTGAGGCTATCATCAACGGGAAACCCGAAGTGTTTTTACCACTATTGAATTATTGTATTCTTCAATTTAGCAAACCACTGGCGAAATACTTCATTCAGAAAGGATATATATTTCATGATCTCTCCGATTCAAAATTTATAGAGACGGTCTACCGATTACTACTTAATGAATTTTCATATACTCCTGGCTTGAGCGTGATCTATTTCTTGTCAAATGGTTTTTCTGAACGGAAAATTATTTTCATGTGTGATGTCATTCAAAACTGCAAAAGGAAGCACAACGATCTGGTGAAAGCAAAAAGGAAGAGTTTGTATGAAAAAACGAAAGTCAAGAAAGATAAGACACCAAAGACGGAGAACGTGACTGACCTTCCTTCACAGCAAACAGTACACGTACCTGACATTGCAAGAGAACCAAAACACACTGTGTTAATTAGAAAGGAGGTTACTCCTGAACCTCATGTTATTAGACAAGAGATACATGCAGAAGAGTCATCTTGTTCCGATATTTCAGAAGACACAATTTCTAAAATTTATGAAGCCATCCAACAAATGGGAGCCAGACTGAGTGAGAGTGTTGCCAAATTGGACGATAAGGTAGACAAAAATTTATCAAGTCTGAGGGATAGAGTGTTTTTAATCGAAAGGAGAGTTCAAACAATTGAAGACAAATATTCAAAACAACATGTTCCTCTTGAAGCCAGTCCCAACGCCAAAGCAGAGAGCAGAACTCCAATATTCCAAAGGGTGGAAAACAAGAAATCATCTACATCTGTCAATGTTTCAAGAGACACAGATGAATTCATTAACCAGCTCGCTCTCAAACATAAGGTAAACTTGTAATGTATTTTATTGCAGCAATTTCTCTAGAGAGGTCTCTTGTGAATTTGATGCTCCTTCTGTTCTTAGAACTTCAATCGAGCCTTGACTGTCTCCAACCAGTACAATGGGGACATCCTCAGCAAAAAGTGTGCAGGTCAATTTCAATCCAGGTTTGCTCTTTGAATACTTTGGTCGAACTGTCGAATAACACAAGTCCCATACCTCCAAATCACCAACTATTGAGGATGTAGCAAACATTGTGGAGCAATATTTACTCCAAGCAACATCTGTCACAGAATACGATCGCTGGTCGTTCTTCTCTGAATACGATTCAATAGTGAAAATAGGTGCCAGCGAGTCTTGATTCCAGATCTTAACAGTCCAATCGGCACTACATGAAATAAAAACATCATTGACATAAGGTTCCATCTCACAGAATACACAGGTCCAGTATGGTCAAGATATGTTTCCAATGGATGGTCATTATACGACGTCGAGCATTTGAAGATAGATCCATCCTCTGTGCCAACAAGATAAATATTGTTGTCAATAGGTGAAAAATCAATGCTCATTCCTCCAGACTCTCTAGATATCATGGCGTCGCCTCCAGTCTCTGTACTCCTTCCAACTCTCTTCAGCCTCATGATTTCAGATGACTCAAGACCTTTCTTGATGGTCCAAGAATTTACTCTTCCATCAACTCCTACGGAATGCAGTCGCTCTCCAGTATCTTTACCTCTGTTTACCCACTTGAGATCCCAAACAGTTCCAGTATGGCTTTTGATCGTTTCCATAACTGGAGTGCTTTCTTTTCGTCGAATATCATAAATCGCAACAGTACCATCCTCAAACCCAGCAGCTAAAATACTTGCATTTGTGGCAGAAAAATTAACACTATTCACACCAGCTTGTGGAACCTTAAGAACTCTTTCTGGATTTGAAGGGTTTTTCACACTCCAGCACAAAATATAACCATTTCCTTGCTGCATGTCCGATATGTCTCCTGAGCTATAGGCTGCTGCTAGAATATCGTTGTTTTTCTTGTTCCATGTCATACAGTTTACATTGTAGTTCACTACTGAGTTACAGTTATATTCCCAAAGCGATGTTAAAACTCCTGATGGTTTAGCATTATTGGTATCTTCTTCGACGTCAATGTCTACAGTATTTTCGTTATCATGCTCTTCAAGTCTTTCTTTTTCTTTCTGGTCTTCTTTCATATCAAGAGCCTCAGGTTCGTCATTGTCAATATCTATGCTCCTTGGAGTTGCCAACGTTTCGTCCTCTTTAACCTCTTTTTGAGAAATGGTAATGGGAGGTATGTTTTGGACAGAATCTGGTTTTTCATCTTCGATATAAATATATTTTCTCTGTTTGTTGTGATACAGGTTTTGAACTAATGCTCGACTGATCACTAGTTCTTGATACGCGTTCTTTTTGGAGATTAGTGTTAAAGGAAAAATTAAAAACTACATACAATAGCTCTGGTCATGTTTGTCAATCGTCCGCTTCCAATACTGGAGTCATCAGCTCCATCATCTGTTGTGAAAATGTAATTGTTAAACGTTAAGATTCACAATTTTTGGCCTTACCTTCAAGATCACCTTCTTCTTCCTCTTCACTGTCGTGTTTGTTGGATAGAGATGTCATTATTTCTCTCTCCTCTTTTTCTCGTTCTTCTCTTTCTCGGATATCTTGATAATCATCATATATTTGATATGCAGATACTTGAACCTCTGCAGTTTCGTATTCTGTCTTTGACGTGTTCGTACGCTTATTCTTATAAAATTTTCCCATTGTTTGGACATGCTTTTCCACATAGTTATCTTTGTTGTTCTCTTTGTTTTTAATTAACTCTTTGTAAATTCTATTTCTTTCTCTAATTTCTTCGATCTTTGGGTCGTCTACTTTCACGCTTTCGTCGTATTTGTCGAATAAGAAAAATGTTTCAGTTTCTGTTAATGTGACAGTAAAATCTATTTCTTGTAAAAGCTCTAATTGTTTTGGTGGAATAACCACTGTCTCAGATTGTGTTGGTTGAGATTCCGAAAATCGTTTAAATTCATTTGTTGAAATATCCATGTCTTGGTTCAACATCGAGACGCTCATTTCAACGGAGCCTGTTGTGCTGAAGGTGTCATCCGCTGCGCCAAAACCCACAGATTCGTCGTCATCACTTACAACAGAGGGGCTTGAAGAACCGGTTTGGCTTGTTGATCCTTGAGGCTCTCTTCCGAAGCTATATGATGATGCTCTATCGAAATCTGACATCGATTCGCTCTGTTAAACATATTTGCTTGCTGCTATGCATTTTTTCTTTTCAAAAACTTACAGCTGACGAAGGGGAAATATTTCCTGATTGATAAGAGCTTGTTGGATCCATGGATGATTGGCTTGAAAATAGGGCAGAAGGGTTTCTAACTTGTTTTGTAACAGGATCGACCGCATCATAGCTCTCCTTGGTTTTCACCAACAAGCTTTGAAACCGTTTCTTCATTCCTTGGACCGAAACTGATGTACCAGCATTTTTCTTGCCGAAGCCTTTCTTTGATGATGATTCCGATTTCCTATGTTTTGATCCATTTCTTGAAGATATTGGAGCCCCGTGTTGTGAGGATGCTGGTGCTTTCCGGTTGGATGTTGTAGAACTTGACGTTCGTGATGATGATGGGGGCTCTGTAATTCTGTCCCGTGTGCTCATTTTTAATTTTCATGCCAACAATTGTTGTACACACTTTTGGCGGGTTCAATTGCAATTCACTCGGGGGTATCTTGTATGACAACACCATCATGGTGCGAAATAGTGAACTAAACAACATTTACTTTATTTAAAAGCTTGCAGTCCTGTAATGGCTCGTCCCAAAATTAAAGCATGAATGTCGTGTGTACCTTCGTAGGTATTGACAGATTCAAGGTTGACAGCATGTCTAATAACATGATATTCATCAGCAATACCATTTCCTCCCAACATGTCTCTACAAACTCTGGCAATTTCTAAAGCTTTTCCAGCATTATTTCTCTTCAACATGGAAATCATTTCAGGAGCCCACTCTCCTTTTTCCTTAAGTCTTCCAAGTTGGACACATGATACCAAACCTAAAGTGATTTCTGTGAGCATATCAGCCATCTTCTTTTGGGGCAATTGATTTTGAGCTAATGGTTTTCCAAATTGTTTTCTGTCAAGTTGATATTGTCTTGCTGTTTCAAAACAAAATTCAGCAGCACCCAAAGCACCCCATGAAATTCCATATCTTGCACTGTTGAGGCAAGAGAATGGACCACTCAAACCCAATGCCTTTGGAAGCATGTTTTCAACTGGAACATAAACGTCATCCATTGCAATAGATCCAGTAATAGATGCTCTCAATGACATTTTACCTTCAATTTTTGGTGCAGTAAGACCTTTCATGCCTTTTTCCAAAATGAAACCTCTAATCTTTCCACCCTCTTCCATATTCTTTGCCCAAACAACGAAAATGTCTGCTATTGGAGAGTTTGTAATCCACATCTTTGAACCATTCAAAATATAGTATTTTCCGCAAGATGATTTCTTTGCTTTTGTTTCCATACTGCCAGGATCTGATCCATGATTTGGCTCAGTCAAACCGAAACATCCAACAATTTCACCTGTAGCAAGTCTTGGCAAATACTTTTGTTTTTGTTCCTCACTTCCGAATGTATTGATTGGATGCATGACAAGAGAAGATTGAACAGACATGGCAGAACGATATCCACTGTCCACTCTCTCAACCTCTCTTGCAACAAGACCATAACTCACTTGTGATGCTCCAGCGCATCCATATCCTTGAATGGTGATACCCAACATTCCCATCTCTCCCATTTCTCTCAAAATTTCTCGGTCAAAGAACTCGTTTCGGTTTGCTTCTAAAATTCTTGGCATCAATTTGGATTGACAATAATTACGAGCTTGATCGCGAATTTCCTTCTCCTCTTCGGTTAATAAACTCTCGACATTGAGTGGGTCCTTCCAATTAAACTCCACCATTTGCTCCTTCTTTTGAACGGAATGAGTAGAGAATTTTCGAGAAATGATGTTGTTGGCCAAAACTGCTGTACGGACATTCTTGCTGACTCCTTTACTGGTGTGGAGTTGTTGAATGAGAGTTCGTGATGAGGATAGCATTGTTGGTGAATTTTTTTGATAGGTCTGGGTATTGAGCCGAAATTTACAAATTGCTGCCTGTGAGCCGTTGGCAGGCCTAAGAGGTTCAAGTGGGCAAATAGCCTTCAATCTTGAGACTGTCACTCACAGCTCAGTCATCTGATAATTAACAGAATTTTTCTTTTTACTATTGAATGAAAATTAGCATATCATACAAGACTGACTCAAATTATAACATTTGATTCGTCCAAAATTCGAAATTGTTAAATTACACTCGATGGAAATTTACATTAATACCAAGAGCTTTCTCGCATGATGCATGAACGTCCTCTGTTGGCAATGTTTCAGTCATATTTGGATCGTTCAAATAATCCTCAAATTCAATATTTTCGTCATCTCCCATTAATACACTCAAGCCAACTTTGTTTGATTCCAAAGAGGGTAATCTAAGTGATGCTCCGAAAATCTTCTTTTGCATTTCCATGTGCATTGGCATGTGGCTTCCAAAGTTACGAGCCATAACAAAGTATTGTCTTTTGAGTTCATCCTTTTCAAACTATTAAGAAAATAACAGAATCAAAGATTTAAAATCAATTTGTAAATATTTTTAGGAAAGTCCTGATCCATACGATCATCACATACCTTCCTGAGAACAGTTTCAACTGGATGTACAACGGGCTGAGCCAATCTTTTTGCTCCTGTAGACACGTTTTGCGATGGTGGATCGAGAGGAATTTGATTCATTTTTTGTTGTTTGATAAGAGTTATTTTTGGGCTAATTTGCGAGGTTTTGAGATTAAAAATTTAATTTTCATCAGACATGAAAGTTTTGCCTGGTCATCGAAAGGGTATGATGATCGAGTTAATTTGATATCAACCCTCTCAATTTCTCGAAGGTGTGTTTTTAAATTGTAATCTCCGTTTCAATCCGATGATGATGGTCCAATAGTCAATCAAATTTTCTGTGGAGAGCGAAGTCGTGAAAAAATGAAAAACACACTCGCCAAAATCGTTCGCAACAACAAGCAACTCGCATCAAAAGCATCATCATACTCGGTGTCTTCTCAACGAGGAGCTTTTCTGACAGCCAGCTCTACTGTCGAATGTACAACCAACGCTCAAAGTTTGAAGCTCCTTAGAACACCATCATCATACTCTTACAAGCAATTTTCAACAAGCGTTCCAAAGAATTTTGAAACAACAAGTCATCTCACAGCTCCATCTCAAGAGTCATCAGGCGAGCAAAAGGAACACTATTTCAACAAAATATTGATCGCAAACAGAGGAGAAATTGCTTGCCGTATCATTAAAACCTGTAGAAAGCTTGGTATCAAAACAGTCGCTGTTTACAGTGATGCCGATGCAAACAACAAACACGTGAGAATGGCAGATGAGTCTGTTTATATTGGTGGTTCATCTCCAGCTGATTCCTATCTCAGAGCTGACCGAATTATTGCTGCCATGAAAAAGACTGGCGCCGAAGCTGTCCATCCTGGTTTCGGTTTCTTGTCTGAGAATGCCTCTTTTGCAAAGGCCATTGAAGAATCTGGTCTAGTTTTTATTGGTCCTCCTTCTTCAGCCATCTCTGCTATGGGTGATAAGATTGAAAGTAAGATTATTGCTGAAAAGGCTAAAGTCAATATTATTCCGGGATATCAAGGAGAAGTGCACAGTGCTGATGAGGCCGTTGCAATTGCTGAGAAGATTGGATATCCAGCCATGATCAAAGCTTCAGCTGGTGGTGGTGGTAAGGGTATGAGAATTGCTTACACTCCAGAAGAGCTCAGAGAAGGCTTCCGATTGAGTCAAGAAGAGGCCATCAGAAATTTTGGCAGTGACAAGATGTTGATTGAAAGATTTGTTGAAAATCCAAGACACATTGAGATTCAAATTATTTGTGACCAACACGGAAATTATCTTTATTTGCCTGAAAGAGAGTGTTCTATTCAAAGAAGAAATCAAAAAGTTATTGAAGAGGCTCCATCTTCTGTCATTGATGAACAAACCAGAAAGGCTATGGGTGAGCAAGCAGTTGCTTTGGCTAAGGAAGTTGGATATTATTCAGCTGGTACTGTAGAAATGTTGATTGATCAAAACAAGAACTTCTACTTCTTGGAAATGAATACACGTTTGCAAGTCGAGCATCCAATTACAGAATTTATTACTGGAATTGACTTGGTTGAACAAATGATTCGTGTTGCTGCCAAGAAACCATTATTGTTGAAACAAAAGGATATCAAGATTACCGGCCATGCAACAGAGTGTAGAGTGTATGCTGAAGATCCAATGCATAACTTTGCTCCTTCTGTTGGTACATTACACACATACATTGAACCTAAGGATGATGAAGGAAGAACTAGAGTTGATTCTGGTATTTTGGAAGGCTCTGAAATTTCTGTCTTCTATGATCCAATGATCAGCAAGCTCATTACTTACGGAAAGGACAGAATTGATTCTATTAACAGAATGGTGGAAGCACTTGACATTTATGTTATTCAAGGAGTTCGTCACAACATTTCATTGCTCCGTGACATTTTAGTTACTGAGGATTACAGGAAGGGTAATATTACAACTAAATTCATTCCAAAGCATTATCCTGAAGGATTCAAGGGAATCAAGCTCACTTCTGACCAAAAGGGCTCTCTCATTGCTTCCGTTGGTTTAATGGAGTACATTTCATCAAGAAGAGATTTCCAAGTTACTGGTCAATTACCAAGAGCTCAGGCACCAAAGACAACCGAACTTGTCGTTAATATTGACAAGGAATCTTATCCTGTTGCTATTACACAAGAGAAGGGCAAGTATATCGTTGAGCTCAAGAACCAACTTTATGTTGCCAAAACAAATTGGGTTTATGGTACTCCAATCTTCCGTGCTGTTCTCAATGACACCAATTCAGTCATTGTTCAAGTTGGTGAAAGAAAGGGTACTTCACAAAAGGTCAGCTTTATGGGCACTGAATTCAAATTTGAAGTTAGAACACCAAAAGAACAAGAATTACATAAGCACATGCCTGTCATTATTCCACCAGATCTTTCCAAGATGTTAATTGCTCCAATGCCTGGTGCCATTGTTTCTGTTTCTGTCAAGCCAGGTCAAAAGGTTGTGGCAAACCAAGAATTGGTTGTAATGGAGGCCATGAAAATGCAAAACGTTCTAAGAGCAGCAGGTGAAGGTGTTGTCAAGTCGGTAAATGTCAAACCAGGAGACATTGTTGGCAATGAAGCTATTCTTGTTGAATTTGAGTAAGCTGTGGAATTAAATTGCAATTTTGATAAGGTTTTATTATTAAATTATTTATTAATTCAAAAAAATGGCTGCTCAACTGTTGCGCTTGTCGGAAGAAAATTTAACTGATGATCTGTATTTTGAAATTATTTCGTTTTTAGAAATTTCCGATGTTTTCAATTTATTGATAACAAGCAAGAAAACAAGGCTTTGCCAAGCAGCATTTCGAGATCATAACGTATGGAAATCATTTTACGCGTCCACCGTAGAGCGCATCGTCAAGTTGACAAAACGTTACACTCAATATTTACAAGTCACAAACAATTATCGTCAATCAATTCTTTCATTATTGAATGAAATCAATGAACACGCAGAACAAAATTCAAAGGAGCTCACTAAAAAACTTTTGGAGCTTCCCGAAGCAGCGTCCATGAACTTCTATCCCTTTATCAATCCTGAGGAATTATTGGACTTACCCCCGACAGTCCCTCAAAACATCTCTCATTCCATGAATGGTGGCTCTATTTCTGTGGCATTTCTAGGTCCTCAAAATATTGGAAAAACTTGTCTTTTCATTACACTTCACACTCAGAGATTTCCCGAAGATTATATTCCAACTGTAATGGATGATCACGATGAAGTTATTGGCTACCGTGGCATGAATGTGACTTTATATTGGAGGTAAGCATGAAAAAAGATGATGATTCATAGTTTTGTGCTGCATTGTTATCATCACACATGTTTATTGTTGATACATACTCATGACATAATGAAATACTCAGAGATACTAAGGATGATGACGGATTCGATAACAGATTTAGACCAAGACAACTTGCCATATTGAGCAGTGATGTAATTTTTATATGCTTTGATTGTTCAAAACCTCACACATTAATAGATGAAACTCGAAAACTGGTGATTGAGTGCAATCATCTTCGTCCAGGAGCTCCCATTGTATTAGTTTCAACAAAAATTGAATTACGTAATGATACAAGTACACTCCACTCTCTCAGATACAATAACACACACCCTCCTTGCAAGCCAATCACTAAAGAACAGGGACTGTTGATGGCAAAGAAAATGGGTTGTTTCTCCTATATTGAAACGAGTGCTAAATCTGGTATTGGCTTAAAAGAAATTCGTGTGGCCATCATTGAAGCGTATATGAGTTGGTTACAAAGACAAGAAGTCATGAAAAAGAAAAAGTGCCAAATTCAATAGAGCTCTCCAATTATTTAGGGAGGTGAAATTGGAAGTTGGGAGAATCATTAAGGAAAAAATGGGAAATTATTTCAAAGTAAACAGTTCTACAAAGCCTGAAATTCCAAAACTTCCGAAAGAGTTGCTGGAAGAGCTAGAGAAGAGGTAAGACCATGCCCCAATACATATAATACAAGTAATGAGTGGATCATATTTGCAACGATGAAGTGTATATTTTGATGTCAATGAGATTGAGGAGTGAGTATTGATGCACTGCGTATTGCGGAGTATCCGAATAATGATGAACCCAACTGAATCGTTGAACAAGACATTACAAGTTTTTTTGTACCGAGTTTAATGCTCGGATCGATCAGTTTGTGAATGCTTCACAGGTTACGAACATTGCTGCTCTTCGGTTTAATCCTTTCAAAAAGACTATTGTTGAATTATTTTGCTGTAAGTGGAGGAATCTCTTGATGAGCAAATTCATCATGTACTTTCTCATGTTGATTGATGGTTGTAGCCGATCCCGAATCAGGTGCCATGACATTTAGAGATTTCCTCGATATGTGTTCTGTATTTTCTCCAAAGGCACCCAGAGAAGCCAAAATTATTGTGATCTTTATGATCTTTACTGCAACCTCTAAGGACAATTTATTGAGGCAGTCCGACATTGAAAATGTCATTGGAAGACTTGTAGGTGATAACATGAAAACAACTATCGATGTAAAAGATAAGAAGGAAATCTCATCAATATCCGGCGCAGCTGCCTGTGTCATGAAAGAGGCAGATTTAGATGATAGCGGAGAGATTTCATACAAGGAATTTCAACGATTGTGCATGCAATTCCGAGAATTTGATAATTATGTGTTTACTGTGGTTTAACATGAAAGAATTGTACACTTCTATTATTTTGAATTTGATCGGTCGATGTCAGTTGAATCATATATCCTCTGAATTAGTTTCATGAAAAAGCGCATAAAATTTACAGCTTTCAAAAGACGTTAACGGTCACTCGTCCTAAATTTAAAAAAAATGTGGTCAAAAAGTAAGTGCAGAGAAACATTCCAAAGACTCAATTTATGATCCCGATATAGTTGTCAGAGGAAAATCCAAAAGGAATGAAGACATGGTCGACGATGCTCGAGGAGAAGTGTTCGGAAAAGATCTTAGAGAACGAATAGAGTTTGAGCGAAAACTCTATCAAGATCCTTCCATAATGATTCCGTCGTTGGTTGTTTACTTGGTTGATTTCATTCGGAATGCTCAGCCAAGACAGGGTGTTTTTAGGGAAGTGGGAAGTGTTGCCACGGTTTCCAACTACAGAATGAAAATAAATGATTATGGACTCAGTAAGTATTGTTGCATTTCGTTGTGAGCGATTTGTTAATATGAATGATGACAAGAACCTGTCGATTATAAAACCATGTTCAAACATGATTTGACCGTGAATGATGCAAGTTCCATTCTAAAGTCATATTTTAGGTATGTTACTCAAAGATATCCATACTGACAGTTTTACTCGCAATTAAGGTATTTACCAGAGCCTCTTGTCACTTTTAATGGATATGACAGATTAGTAGTCATTGGGCGTAAGTATTGCAAATGTTGAAATTGAGGATAAATGAAAAATGTGTGTAAAACCTCAGAGAACGACATGGATGAAAAAACCAGAGTAGCAAAGTTAAAAACTATGGTTGAAGGTCTTCCAACCATCAATTACGAGACATTACGATATCTGATGGATTTACTGCATTTCATTGCCACTCGTGGAGTGTACAGCATGGACGCCAACAATCTTGCTGTGTGCCTAAATCCAAGTATTTGTTTTGCTAAAAACAAGGAAGGAGCGGAATCTTTTTTGAATTTAAACTTTATCATTACTTCACTGAGTTGCATGATCAAAAATTACCCTTCAATATTCGATTTCGATCCCAAAGAGAGCGACTCACCACCTTCTCCCAGAGTGGTTATTGAACCTAAACAACCTTCATATGTGGAACCTCCAGTGTCTCCTGTGAAATCAGTGACACCAATTTCTCCAAAACCTAGCGCTGTTACAGAAGAAAAAGACGACCTACAAGACAGTATTCAAAAAGAACTCGATCGACTCGACTCGAGGATTAATTACCAAGAAACAGAGGAGGAATTAGAGAGAGATATTAGGAAAAATGGGAGAACGGATGATTATGGATTGCATTCTATTCCAACCACGTTTTTGGATAAAAAATTTTTACATGCTGACATGTTTCAAGAGATTGAGACTGCAGAGTCCTCAGACACCATTGGTGAGCTTGAAGAGGACGAGTTGGAAAAACAAAAGAAATTCCATCTATCATTATCAAAAATTATTAGTCCAAATACTTCTGCCTCTGCTTCTAAAGAAGATCGGTCTCCCAGTTATCAGCATTTAATGGATCTCATAACACAGCTGCAAAATGAAAATCATGCATTAAGGAGACAACAACAAGAGATTCGTACTACCTTAGAAAATATAAGCCAATCCTCCAATACTAATAATCCCCCATCAAAAGTGCAAGAGGATATGGAGAAAATTCGATGTTTGGCAAATCATGAGCTTCAACAATTGCGGAAATACATTTACAATGTTGAAGAACAAACGATCGAAGAGCTGAAAAGCATGTGGGTCAAAATGGACACTTTAGAGGAGAGTACGAAACTGGTTCAAACACAACAGGAGCAAGGTTCTCACACCAAAGCTGTTGGAAACATGGTGGAAGAAATGAAATTGTTAAGGCACGAGATCAGAGACTTGTATGGCGGATTTGGAGAGCTGAACGAGCGAATGAAACATTTCGAAATTGATATTCGAGATGTGAATTCGAGAATTGATGAAGTAATCAAAGAGCAGAGATTCATCAAAATCAAGCAAGAATATGACATGGAGCATGTCAAAAAACTGTGTGAAGAATCTAGCTCAAGGATAAGGCAAATGAGTCTGGAAATATCCACACTACGTTCAAGAGTCGATGCTAAAACTATTACCACTACCACAAAACCTTCCAGTCCATACAGCTCGTTAACAACGTCTTTACCCTCCACAATCACATCGAAATATATATTATAGCTGTAATGACAGCAGCTTTTAGAGTTGCACTATTTTCGTTTCTTATTCGCTGAATTCTCTCCTTTTTCGAACTTTCTTTTAAGTGCAGATGGGAGCTCAACAGAGCAAGCTAGATTATCCTTACTTGAATAATGGTTTGGAAGTTTGAGGAGCCTCTTTTCATTTTCCCTTAATAAAAGGTAAGGCAAATGAATGGAATCTTGTGAAACTTCAGAAAGCTCTGGTATCCATTGCTTGACGTATTTTCCTTCCTTGTCATGATCCATACCTTGCTTGATTGGATTGAAATATCGAGGTCTAAAATCACATCCCACACCTGCAACCCAACACCAATTACCAACATTAGATGCTGGATCAAAGTCAATGAGATTACGTTCAAAATATTCTGCTCCCAATCTCCAATCAATTTTCATGTCTTTGACCAAAAAACTTGCCACAACCATTCTACCTCTGTTGTTCATAAATCCGGTATGCAATAATTCTTTCATACAGGCGTCAACAAACGGATAGCCCGTATTTCCTTGGCACCATGCTTGAAATTTCACATTCTTATATCCATCCTTTGGAATTTTCCATTCATATTCTAATTGTTTTGATGGCTGCAAAGCCTTTTTGAAAAAGAAAGATCGTCCCATCTTCCAAGCCAACATTTTAAAGTAATCTCTCCACAAAAGTTCGTTAATTAATACAGAGCCGGAAGTTTTTTCATCGTTCTTACTTGTTTTCTTTTTAATCTCATGATAGATATATCTTGCACTGATGCACCCTAAAGCCAACCACGGAGAAAGTTTTGTACTATAGTCTCCAAGATTGTCGTTTCTCGTTGAGGAATAGTTTTTCAGGTGCTTGTCGAGGTAGGATTTACATCTGTCCAATGCTGAGTCTTCTCCTCCTTCAAATTTGAGGACACTTCTTTCGTCTTGCTTAATCTCTGATAGAAATTGTTGTTGAGACATTTGTGGAAATAAACGAGCTTTCATAAAAGAGTCGACATTGTGAAACTCGTCTCGATGAATCAAATTGAGATGCGAATTATCTTTCAAATTCGTCTCGATTTCTTCTGAAGAAAGTAAGAAATCTCTAAAACCGTCCTCCATTCCAAAGACTTTTCGAATTACATCCTTATTTTCTTCAATCTTTTTCTCAATCTTTTTTCTAAATGCAGAAAATGTCTGAAATAGAGATCAGTAATGGTGGTTTGCATACAAATGACTGCACAGAACGAAATCTTTTCATACATACCTTTGGAATATCTTGTGGAAGGTGTTCATAAGGAAGATCCTGTCCATGGACAAGACAATTACTCCAAGTCCAATTTAACTTGACTTTGAGGTCCTTACAAGCATTCTCAATTTCCTTCTCAACTTCTTTTTCAAAGGTGCAAAATTCGCGATTCATAAACAAGTCCGTCATATTAAATCTCTGAACCAGCTCTGTTGTAAAATGGCGAACGTTCTCATAGGAATAGGTGTGTGTTCTTGATTTTTCATCATCAAGATGGACATTTGTTTGAAAGGGTAAAATACTTAGCATCATCTTGCCTTGTAAATTTGCAAACAAGTTCTGAACACTCTCGACTAAGAATTTACATCGGCGAGGACCACACGATTCCTCCAATTGAGAAAGAGTGTAGGGAGCTTTCTGAGTCGTGAGGGATTGATCAAACACATACAGACATAAGATTTTCTTTTGTTCGGATTTGGCGAGTTCAACAGCTTTGAATAAGGCTTCATTATCATGAATACGTAAATCGTTTCGGAACCATAAGCCAATGACTTTGGTTCTATGAGAACCTGCTTTAGCACTCGACAAGGATTGAAGCATTTTGTTTTTGGGGATCCAACATCGGTTCAATCATTCATATTGAAATTACTATTTTGAACCTCAATTATGGATCGTTCAAGTCCACGCTTGTACTTCCCGCACCATCACGTTTGTTGGAAATTAAAATGTAATTCAAAACTTTGTTTGTTTTAAATTGGACGAACGATGAGAGCCTAGTGGTATCACGACTTGCGTGAATGGCTCGTTACGATTTTCTTATTGTGAGAAACGATTATCTCAAAAAAATCGAACACCATGCCATCCTCCCCACAAAGTCCCACCCGAAGTGAAGATGGAAGTGATGACGATGACCTTCCTCAACAACAACAACAAACATCACCACCGCTCGCTACACGTAAACCAAAAACTCCTCCAATTGCCATCCATTCCAGCGCAGTATCTTCTTCATCCGCTGCTGGTAGTTTGAAGCCTTCTTCATTAAAACATCACTCGCCAACGCCTTCTTCTCAGAAAAAGACAGTGACTTTCACTCCGATAGAGTCCAGTATTCTTACAAAGAACTTGAAGGACCAAGAGAATAAGAAAACATCAATTACAACGAGTTCTGTAATGGTGGATATTGAGGATGATCCTCCATCCACTAAATATTACCAAATTGGTGATGACGATGACGACAATACCATCAAAGTACAAACAACTCCAACATCAGCAACACAAAATACAGCACAACCCATTACTACTCCACGAAGTACCAAATCATCGTCCAAGAAAAACAAGAAGCCAATAGTATTTAATCACACAGTTTTGACATGGTTCAGAACACAGCGACAGTCATTGAAACAGAGAAGAGCAAATGCAACACCAGAGGATATGTTGTCGACAGGTCCTTTAACCAAGTTTTGGAAATATGGAAAGTATGTTTTGTGAAGTTTCTAATTTGTGTTGATGAGCATGAAAATAATTTTTTCTTAGAATTCCTTGGAAAATGATGATACAAATTGCATTGGTGATACTAATGACAGTTCAAGTTGTACTACTTTCACAACACAGAAATTACTTTTTCATTTCTTCTGATGCTTCCTTTGCAACACAATTTTTAAAAGATGGATTTGAAAATTATGAGCAAAGTCTCTACGGTTTTTATACTTCGTATTTTTATAACGCACAAGAAGTAGTGGACGATATTTCAAAAACAGTTTCAACTGTATGTGTATTTCCATTTGTGTTTTGGATTTCAAGACTAATATTTATTTAGTATTACTCTTTTCCGCAAAAGAACGTCGATATTTGGGTTTTTCCAAGAGATATTCGTCAACGAGATTTAATCAAACCTATTCGAATTGATATCCAATTGTTCAAAGACAATCCAAGACTGTTTGGTACTGGTGACTATGGAAGAGAGCCATTCGTAGTTGGTATGTAAACAATTATATCAGTTCAATTTTGGTGAATATAGAGTTTAAAGAGAGTGATATTCTCACAAAACGAGATCCTTTGGGGGTTGTGTTGAAGTCCTACCTTTCAAATTCGACAAGAGACTTCTTTGATAGATTACATGAATTGACACTCACCATCAACCTTGTGGGTCTTGATCGAAGCAATTTTGCTGTAAATAATTATGCTGAATGTGTTTTTTGGACATTGAAAAAGATTTATAAAAACGGAGAAGGAGGAAGGGTAAGTGATGCTGTGTGATTTAATGTGATTCCATAACCTAGTCCATTAGTTGATGGCTCAATTACGACGTACTTATGACGTGTGTCGAACTACTGATCGAGGTATGTATTTCTTTTTGTCTATCCTTAATATAATTTAATCATTATTATAGCTCTCTACATGGAGTATTTCAAGCCTGCAATTTGGATGTCCATGCTTATATTTATGTTCAGCATGGTAGCTTTGGTGTTAGATATCAAGGCTATATTTGCAAGAATTAGACTATTTAAAAAAATTCGAGATTTAGAAGTTAAAAAACAAGGCACCAAAAAGTATGTTTCTTTTAAATTTAATTTTACGTAACACTTGTTAATAGTGAATACAGCCAAAGTGGTAATGCCATAAAAAGATTCTTCCAAAAAATTGTTCATTACCGCATTAGCAATCTGTCACTCTCAGATATTCCAAAGATATTGTCGTATTGGGTAATATTTTCTATTACCCAACATTGTATTAACATTTTAACGTTTATTCTTCAACTTGCAATTCCCGGAAAAACAATTGAAGTTTCCTTTTTTGTTGGGCTTGGTGCTTTGCTTACATGGTCTTCCACCCTCAGATTCTTTCAATTTTCTCCCAATTTTTATATGTTCAGTAAGGCTTTTGAACGAGGTTTACCTCAAGTGATCAGATTTATTATCACCACTCTACCTTTGTACTTTGGTTTTGCATTGGTAAGTAGTTGTATTTAGCAGAACACAACCAGTATTAATATTCACACCAAATAATCAGCTTGGAACAATAATGGTATGTAATTTAGTGCATGTACATTGTTGTCACCTATTTTCGACTTATTTACGATAGTTTGGAGAGTACTCAAAGTATTTCTTTGACGTTAATGAGGCTATGGTCACCCTATTTTCCTTAATTTTCCAGGACAACATGAGAGACACTTTTGACAGCGTATTTGGATATCAAGGCTTCACAGCATTCTTTTCAAGGTTGTATATTTACATCTACACAACAATATTTATTTGTGTGATTGCCAACGTGTTTACGAGTATCATGGAAGACGCATTCTTCTCTCTCAAGGAAAATCAGGAAAATCTTGAAGCACAAGTTAACAAGAACACCAACGACGATGAAACATCGTCAACCTCGAGCGGCGAATCTGATGTTTCCATTATTAATGTTTCCATTAATGATTTGTCTGAGGATGCAGAGGATGCTTATCTACAGCAAGTCATCAACAAGGAAGAAGAGAAGGAACAAAAAATTCTAAGCACTAAGGAGCAATATTTCCCACAAGATGATTACGCCTCCTTGAAGTACATTTTGGAGGAGGAATCCATCAAGGATAATGTCGAGCGTATTGTGACCATTGTCAAAGCATTATGTAAGAATAAGAGTTTATCAGAAGAGGAGGAACAATTATTGAAGGCCATCGAAAACAAGGCTGCCTCAATATATTCCAAGTCTAACATTGTTCCTGGCTTAGATGTGGATCAAGAAGAGTTACAAGAACATTCTGATTTATTGAAAACAAAAGAAGATTAACTAACACCCAAGGACCTTGTTTGATTCATGTCTCTCACCATCTGCTGGTTAATAAAGTAAATGGATTGAACGATTCTCCGTTTAATGGATTGCGGACGAAGGACACTAAAAATACAAGCGGCGCAGTTGTTTTAATTCAATCAAAAAAAATGTTTGCTCATCAAAGCCTCGGATCAATGATGAGTTCGTTCATGAGGAGTCCCCGAACATCATCTTTGCTTAGTGGAAATTCATGGGCACAAATAATGGAAACAATGTTGGAGAGAACCGGAATGATGAGTAATGGAGTATTCAATTTGAGACCATCATCACTGAAGAATATGTTGTCTGTTTTGCATCGTTTTGCTCCGCTTCAACAAGAGAGCATGTCCTTTTCATCATTGCCAGCTCAATCGTTTGCATTGAACGAAAAAGATAGTAGATATCCAATTCCGAGAAAAACCGAAAGGAAACTATTTTCAAAGAAGAATATTAGTTTGATAATCACGGATATGGTTACTAAAAGACATTATTCATCACCAAAGGGCTTTGGTAACTTTAAGCGAAGGGACCAAAAAGAAGAAGAGGAAGAATCCAAATCAAAAGAAGAAGAAGTAGCCAAACCCGAAGTCAAAGAAGTGAAGCCTTCAGCAACGGAAACCAATACTAGTTCTGAGAAGTCTGACAAGAAGGAAGTAAAGAAAGCAAAAAAGAAAGATGAATCTCCAAAAGAAGAAAAAGAAGAAAAGAAATCGCAAAAGATTGACATTACTGTTCCGCATTTAGGAGATAATGTTGAAAGCGCTTTCATTTCGAAATGGTTCAAGTATCCTGACGATGAAGTCTACGAAGGAGAAGTAATCTGTGAAGTTGAGGTCAAGTATTCCGATGAAGAAACACCACAAAGAATCAATATTAGAGCGGCTGAAAAGGGTAAAATTGTGTCGCATGATGTGAAAAAAGGTGAAACCATTCACTCAACCATGAAACTCGGAACAATTAAGGTAAAGGAAGAAAAGAAACAGGAAGAAGTACAGAAACAAGCTGAGGAAAAGCCACAAGAAAAATCAAGCCTCCTGGACTACATGTTTTATGGAATGTTGTTTATTACGGCTGTCATGATTGCTGGTGCTTATCAACAATTACAACAAGGCACAGGTTATACGGCATCATTTGACGACTTTAGTAAGGACCTTCGAAATAATAATGTCCGTAAAATCACTATTCATGAACGCGCTACAACCATTCACTCGAAGGAGGGAAGAGAATACAGTATTGGATTTGGAGGAGACAGCTTTGAAAGAAGATATTACGACCTTCTTGAGGAGTTCAAGCAGCACGGAGTTGCTGTCTCTGGAGTTGATATCTACTACTCTGGCAAGGAGCAAAAGAACTTTGCTTCTACCATTCAGGCCGCTATTCATTTACTTATCATTGGTAGCTTGTTATATTATGCTTACAAACGACTGCCAGGTAGAGGAGGCGCAGGATTAGGAGCTATGGACCCAACCAATATGTTCACCAAATCCTTCAAGGCAACTACGCAACATGCTGTTAAATTTAAAGATGTTGCTGGACTCGATGAAGCAAAGCGAGAAATTACTGAATTTGTTGACTTTTTAAAGAATCCAAAGAAGTTTAGAGATATTGGTGCTCGAATTCCAAAGGGTGCCTTGTTGGTTGGTCCACCAGGTACTGGTAAGGTAAGTTTCAAATGAGACATATTGTGTGAATTTAACCATTGTTTGCACGTATGTTGCAAATATTTGAAATATTAGACTCTATTGGCAAAAGCTGTTGCAGGAGAAGCTGGTGTTCCGTTCTACAGTATTTCAGGATCTGAATTCGTAGAAATGGTGGTCGGTGTCGGTCCTGCAAGAGTTCGTAAATTGTTCAAAGAAGCTAAGGAAAATGCTCCATCCATTATTTTCATCGACGAAATTGATGCTGTTGGTAGACAAAGAGGAACCGGAAAGTTTATGGGTAGAAATGATGAACGAGAAAACACACTGAACCAATTGCTTGTCGAAATGGATGGTTTTACTCCAGCAACTGGTGTCGTTGTTTTGGCAGCAACAAACAGATCAGAAATATTGGATAAAGCCCTCACTAGACCTGGTCGTTTCGATAGATCTATTGATGTCAATACTGCAGATATTAAGGGAAGAGAGGAAATTTTTAAAGTTCACATGAAAGGAATTGTTTTGGCTAAACCTGCCGAAGAGTATGCCACACGTCTTGCCACTCTTACTCCTGGATTTTCTGGAGCTGATATTGCCAACGTATGCAATGAAGCAGCCCTTATTGCCTCAAGAGAAGGTGCTGATCATGTAACCATGCGTCACTTTGAACAAGCTATCGATAAGGTTATTGGTGGATTGGAAAAGAAGAACAAGGTTCTTTCTCCAGAGGAAAGAAACATTGTAGCTCACCATGAAGCTGGCCATGCAGTTGCTGGATGGTTTTTGGAGCACAGTGATCCACTCCTCAAGGTCTCTATTGTACCTAGAGGTTCAGGAGCACTGGGTTATGCTCAATACTTGCCTAGCGAAAGATATATTACAACTAGAGAACAATTATTTGACTTTATGTGTCTTGCTCTTGGAGGTAGAGCAGCAGAAAAAATCATTTTCGGTCACTTGTCGACAGGTGCTCAAAACGATCTGCAAAAGGTTACAGAAATTGCTCAATCCATGATCACCAAGTATGGTATGAGTGAAGCTATTGGACATGTATCCTTCCCAGACACCAACGATGGATTCCAAGCAGAAAAGCCTTATAGCGCTACCACGGCAAGAGCTATTGACAAGGAAGTTAAAAAGATGGTGGTAGACGCATATAACAGAACTGAGCAACTTTTGCTTAAACACAAAGAAGGAATGATCGCAATTGCTAAATTACTGCTCGATAGAGAAAAAATTGATGCTCAAGACATGGTTGATGTGCTTGGAAGACGACCTTTCGAAAGTGATGCACAATTCGAAGCATATCTGCGAACAAAGGACTTCCAACAGAAGGAAGAAAAAGAGGAGCAAGAAGCAAAGAAAAAGAGTGAAGAAAATAAGCAATAATGAGGTTAATTTTTGGAAATTTGATGAAATAATTTAATAATACACTACGAATACTTTCATTTTACAAGGAATCCTTATTTCAAAAATAGGCAAATTAACACTCCAATGACAAATAACGCTACAATATTCTTATTTACAATTGAGAGCCCATTCTCAAAAGTGACTGGTGTTTCTTGGGCTGCTACCACGGTTTCATCTGATGATGGAAACGTAATTCGATACTCCTCATTGGTGTGAATGGGTAGATATGTGGAAAGAAGCGTTGCATTTCCTCGTGGATATCGTTCGTCTTGGAATTCGATTTTAATATCAGAGCCAAAAAAGTCTGTAATGGGCACTGTGTCTAGATTTCTTGGATAGAGATCGTACCGCATATTTGGAGTCGAATGTAGTGCTTCAGCAGTATATGAGTTAAACTGTGGAAAATAATTTTAGTCCAAATAGAATTCCTCAAAGAACAATTTCAACTTACCCAATTTCTCACAGATGGAGAGTAGTGTCTAAAATCACGATTTTCAAAGAACTCTAAAGAAGAATACGTAAATCTGTCAATCACAGCAACTCCAATATCCAAATCAGAATGGTGCTATACGCATTGAAAAAATCATGAATAACAACACTGTGATCCAATTCTCAAATATTAACTTAGTACATACAGAATATGAATTTTCCCCACGTTTGCTACTTCCTACTGCAATCACATTTGGTGTATATAACTTGTCAAATAAAGATCCAGCTTGACATGTATCCACAATCATGAGCATTTCTCTAAATCTTCTTCTTTCAGCCATTTGATGGATCACGTCAGCAATATCTGCACTATTAATTTCTTCTTGATCTTGAAATTTGAAAAATTCATCACCTCCATGTCCAGTCATAAATAACAGTACATTACTATGTTCATCACTCATCAAACGTTTACTGGTAGGAACGGCATCATGATGTCTTCCTGTAAGTACTCTAAAGAAATTTTCAACAGTGACTTCATATCCTCTATAATCCACTTCCACATTTTCTCCATATAAATTTTTCTGTCTATTCTTATTGTTGAATACTTCTCCAGGAAATCTATTTCTAGGATTACATGCTACATCATCGGCCAACATTAATAATATTTGAGAATCGGGAATACCTAAATTCTTAACGATATGATAAATAGAAAGAGTATTTGCAACATGTCTGTAATTGAACCAAAATCTACTTGTATCAATCAGTACCACCCAATTATTGGAATGTTTTTGAGTAGATGAAGAATGAGTATCGGAAAAGAATTTTTCTACAAGTGCTTGTAATTGGTGAGTATTTGTTAATGATGGATCCGATGATGATGAAATTATGGTAGATTTTGGATTGGATGGTTGTGCTCTCACAATTGAAATTATTATTATGATTGTCAAAATTAAAATCATAAAACTAGTGGTTCTTCTATGATCGGAAGAAGTAAAAGCTTTGGATCGGTGTGGACCAATGATCCGAAATATATCCTTTACACGGTGGTGTGAGGATTGAGTCATTTTTTTTAATTCACTCTTGCTCTTACATAAGAGAATCATCAAATCACTGGTGTCATGGTTCTAGAATCAACGATTAATGACTTGAACATTGTCAAATTGATCCAAGGATTTCAAAAGTTCAGCTCGTGTGATTTCTAGCTCACAACAAATGGCATCCATTGAGTATTTTCCATTCAGATAGGGTCGTAATACATCCATGTTGATGACTTGGATGGGTTGAGAAGATCTTCTTGGTCTAGTAATGACTGTAAATGTTGTTGAGGATGAGGGAGACAGGCTGTGTGACAAGTGATCATGTTCTAACTGCTCGTTGTCCATTTCTGCTTGCACTAACTGTCTTTCCTCTTTCATTAGTATAGGATACTCATGAACACGAGTGAGAAATCCTTTGATCAAGCCAAAGGTAATGAGGCATCTTTGTAAATGTGCCAGTGAGCATATGTTAAATGATGATACTTACTTGGGATTGATATATTGACAAATATGGTGATACTTCTCGAGAATGTCTTGAACTCTAACACCTGGTTTGAATTTACAGTATAGTTGAAGGATGTTGTGTAAAATTTGTGAAGACTCAAACGGTATTGATGACTTCTCTAATCCTGAGCAACAATAATGGAAAAGCTCTTCTTGAAGTTCATGGCTAGAAAGTAATTGACTGAATATTTTGGTATTTCTAATGGCATACATGTTGCTGTACTGGAAAATATCTACTATTTTGATACATCCAAAGTAACTAGTAATATTAAAATTATTTTTCAAATTAAAACAAATTCTCATATTTTGCAAACAATTGAGTTGCTATAAATGAAACACTTACAGTAAGTGCTGTAAGCTCTTTTTCACAATTTCTATATGCACATTGCTTTGGATTGCAATTTGTTTCACAAACGATACTCCATTGATATAGGGCACAATTTGTGATAAAGTCATATCCCATGAATCTGATTGTTGGGCAAGTAATTGTTGAATATTTCTGATTGGCATCGGTACATCATGTGCATGCACAGCCTCTGGCTTTTTCAGTAAAGGTATTAATTTCAAATGAATAGAATGAGCTGTATCAATAATGATCGATGTTTCTTGTCTCGTAGTTAAATCAGTATAGATCTGTTCGAGAATATTTTGTAGTTTTGTTTGGAGCTCAATTTAAATAAGTATTCAGATTCCAGCTAATAATTGTCGTACAACAATTCTCTTCTGAATCATCACCTACCTCCAAATTCCGTAAATAATACGACATTTTAGATGCAATAGATTTAAAACATTCCGGTGGAAATTCTCTTTTTAATTTTGTGCTATCCAAAACGAAAACTAAATTAAATAATAATGCATTTCTTTCATATTTAGAGCCTTCAATGCATTGAGGCACTCCGATAAATATTAACTGCTCGTGTTTAAACGATACAATTTTCCCACATAATTTAGTTTTTGTAATTACAAATTCCGAGTATGTTTCAAACAATTCATTAGAAATTCTCATTTTGGGGTATTGATACATGATCATAGAGCCCTTGAGATTATCAAATTCGCAATAAAGCAGTGCTTCCATTTTTTCATCACGCTTGACTTCATCATTACACAAAAAATGAGTCAACTTGCATCATCCACAGATCCGCCACCATCAAATACCAACAAGACAAAATCAAAAAGAGGAAGGCCTCCGAAATCAGCCCAAAAATCAAATATTGTTCCCTCGGCCCCACTGCATAATGTATTAGAATTTAAACAGTCCTTCTCACAACTGTTAAGAAAGGAGGCCGAATTATTGGAAACCCGACCACCATCGTTGCTTGATACAGGGTTATTATCTATCACTGATTTAGAAAATACTTTGAATAATGATCTGCAAGAAGACATGGAGGATGAGGAAATGGAGGATAGCCAACAGCATCATGATGACACAAGTCATCTCACGGAAGTAGGAGCCGAAAGTCTGAATGAAATTTTCGAAAATGCAGCTGTACAAAGGCCACAATCAAAATTACCTCATCCAAGAACTCAAACTCTTCGAGATTTACTGCTGAGTAAGGATTTATCAATTAAAACACCAGAAGAAATCATTGAAGACGCAATCAGAAAAGAATTGAAAAGAACGAAAGGAATGGAGGATACAATCAACATGGAAGTACCTAATGATGTCAGGAAAGTGCTGGATGTTTCTAGGATACCAAAACTATCTACCATTATTGAAGAAATGGGAGAAAGTAATGAAAGTGAGCGTCAACAAATCGTATTTAGTTTTAATGATGAAGCGAAAATTGAAAATGCAATGTATCTACCGAAACGTGTAGACAATTTTATTGCTCCCACTGAAGAGGCTAATTATTTTGGAAAACAATACAAAACAAAAAACGAAAGACCGGCAAGCGACGAGGCTTTATTGCATGTTGCTATTTATCATCCAGTCCGAAACACTAAAGTTAAAGAATTTATTGTGCTAGGAAGCCAAAAACTTACCGAGCTTAGAGATTGTATAGATTGTTCTACAGATGCAGCGTTGCTGAGTCACGTGTCCTTGTATACTAATTCTGGCTACTTTTTCATTGAAAATATATTTTACAATGACATGCGACATGAGAACAATATTGACTACAGCGAGAATATCATTACATGGCTGAAATCTTTTGACAACTTGGAAGGATCCAATTCAAACAAAACTAGTTATTCATCTAGACGAATGGAGGATGTTTGTTTTTATGATTTATCCATTCGATTGAATGAGCCATATATTTATTGTCATAATGGTAATTGTATGCATTATATTGTCTTTACAGAAATGAGATTAATCAACGAGAAGGAAGATGTAATGAATATTCATGCATATCCAATACGATCATTTCAAGCAAAACCTAAACGACGAAAATGTGGAGTATGCGAAATCTATCAAGCCAAGTACATTACATACAAAGACAAGCACACTTCAGACGATCCTTCCTTCTTTTGCGACTCGTGTTACAGACAATTTCACTATGACCACACTGGTCATTTGCTTTATGGAGACTATGAAGTGTTTGAATATAGATGTGACTAATTGTATGTATTTATGTTCAACTTTTTATTCTTTACCCTTAGTAACCACTCGTATTATCTCTCATCGATCGTAACTCTCAACACATATGGACTGTCTTAGTTTGTCATTTCAAAATCCATTTCAATGAAAAGAACCTCTCTCAGTATGCCACTCGAACCTCTCTCTTGTAAATTTGAGAATGATTTCTTTCAGAAAAACGTTACGACTTCGTTCGGTTGGGTCAGCTCTGACCCGATTTGGTAACATCTAGGCGTTATTCAAACATTTGAAAAAAAAGTTTCGACATCAACACGAAAGAATATCGATACGTTAGATTCGCGACTAGGAAGATGAAAGAAGTGGTGTCGTTACATATTGGTCAAACTGGCTGTCAAGTGGCCAAACAAATTGGGAACTCTTCTGCTTGGAACATGGCATCAAACCGGACGGTCATTGAGTGAGGAACCCCTAAAGGCTCTGTCTCATCGTTTTTTGAGGAGTCTTGCTCGGGCAGTTATGTCCCCGATCGTTACTGATAGACTTGGAACCAAGTGTGGTCGATACAGTAAGAACTGGTGCCTTTAAAGGATTGTTTCATCCCGAGACGTTAATTACAGGTAAAGAAGATGCTGCTAATAACTTTAGCAGAGGAAAGTACTCGTTGGGCCGCGAAATTGTCGATTTTGTTCTCGACAAATTACGAAAAGTAAGTGTTTGGTTTGTTATAATGAATCCGATGTACCCATTGCTTCTCTGGATTTCTCATTGTTGAAATGACTAATTTTTCTTCCTCGTGATGATCAACCTTAACCACCCTTAGTTGGCAGAACGATGTGATTCTCTCCAAGGCTTCATCTTGAACTGCTCGATAGGAGGAGGCACAGGATCTGGCCTAGGGAGTCTTCTAATCAACCGAATGCAGTCCGATTACAAGACAGTGCCAAAAGTATTGGTGGCAGTGCTGCCTTCGCCACAAGTTTCGAACGTTATTGTAGAGCCTTACAATGCAGTCCTGTCCTTAAATGAACTTACTTCGAATGCAGATGTGTGTTTCATGATGGACAATGAAGCCTTGTATGATATTTGTCGTCGAGGACTAGATATAGCGTCTCCTACCTATTTCCACCTTAACAATCTCATTTCCCAAACGTTTTCCTCTCTCACAACTGGTATTCGTTTTGATGCAAGTTTAAACAGTGACGTAAAATCCTTTGCCAGTAACTTGGTTCCATTTCCAAGGTAAGTAATGAACATTTGATACGGAATTGGTACCAAAATGAACGCAATGGTAGAATTAACTTTCTTGCTTGCTCGTATGCCCCACTGTATTCCCCAATCAAAGCATATAATGAGATGATTTCTGTTAATGAAATAACTTTGAGCGCATTCGAAGCTGCATCAATGATGGCCAAATTCGACCCTAGACATGGTAAATTCATGGCAGTGACCCTAATGTACAGAGGTAAGCGAAATTTTGAGTGGATTGTTGAAATGAATCTCGATGATTGCAATCAACAGGTGACATTGTTCCTAAGGATATTAATGCTAGTATTATGGTTGTAAAGTCAAAGAAGACATTCAAATTTGTCGATTGGTGTCCTACGGGAATCAAATGTGGCCTTACTACACAAAAACCATCAGTGCTTCCAAATAGCATTATTGCTCAGACTCAGAGATCGGTATGCATGGCCTGCAACTCCACTGCCATTGGAGAAGTGTTTAAGAGAATAACGGACAAGTTCGACCTTTTATATGGTAAGTATTTCGTGTGCCTTGAATAATTGATCAATCATCATGGTTCAATAACAGCTAAGCGAGCTTTCATCCATTGGTTTGTGGGTGAAGGACTGGAGAGGTAAGTAGCACTACTAGTAGCATTCAAAGATTTTGCATAACTTTGGCACTCCTCAAACAATGGTAGTGGTGAGATGGCTGAATGTCGTGAAAACATGGCACAAATAATTCAAAATTATGCTGAATTAAATGGTTCTGATGAAGCTGCCACCACTGAAACTTCCAAAGAACCCAATGCAACTGCCAACAAGGAAGCCAAACCATCTCATTAATCAAGAACTGCATTATTGTTGTAAATAAATAATAAATTTGTAAACTCGAGTCATGTTCATTAATAGAGGGGGTCTCATGTTTACTTCAAAGGAAGAAAGGAGATTTTCTCTCTTTCGTGCGAATTGAATCTCCACTTGACTGTTTGAATCAACAACACACATCAAAGAAAATGTCTTCTCCATCAACACAACTCGAGACGGAATTCAAACAAGCACAACAATTTGTTCAAAGTGGACCTGCTGAATCCGAGCCTTCTAACGAACAAAAACTCTTGTTCTATGCCTACTTTAAGCAAGCGACTGAAGGACCAAACACTGGTACGTTTGAGATTTTTCAATGAATGTGTTTATTGTTACAACAACAACGTTTGATGAATGATCATTTGATGATTGATGCTGATCCATAGGAAAGAGACCTGGAGCCTTTGATCTCATCAAGAGAGCCAAATACGATGCATGGAAAAAGCTCGGAGAAATGACAAAGGACGAAGCAATGAAAGGTATTGTATTTCAATGATGAAAATTTAAATTCCGATCATGTTTTCAATATATTCATTTGCCATGATCACAACCATCATCATATCCAATGATCTCATGTTCGTTTAAAAAAAACATCAAAATTAGGATACATTGCAAACCTTGAAAAATCATCTCCAAATGGAAGGAATTCTTTGCAAACAAAAGTAGTACAGTTGAGGCTTTTCCAACCTCTGGAAAATCCAATCCTTTTGGCAATGAAGTATTCAGACCTGATCTTCTTCGTGGAAAGGTGGCTGTCGTCACTGGAGGAGGTTCTGGAATTTGTAAAGGTGAGTTCTTGATGAACCTGCATGCAGATTTGGAATGCTCACTGTGTACACATTCTAACAATTCTAACAACAAATACAGTCATTACCGAATATTTGGCATATCATGGAGCCAATACTGTCATTATTTCTCGAACACTTTCCAAGCTCGAACAAGCAGCTAAAGAAATTAATCAACTTGCAAACAATGGTACTGAGTGTTTTCCTGTGAATGCAGATGTGAGAGATTATAAGGCATTGTCAGAAGCTTTTGATAAAGCATTGAAAAAGTTTGGAAGAATTGATATTTTGATTAATGGAAGTGCTGGTAACTTTTTGTGTCCTGCTTCTCAATTAAGCAGTGGTGGATTTAAGACTGTGTTGGAAATTGATACTGTTGGTACTTTCCATTCAAGCAAACTTGCCTATGATAAATACATGAAAAAGCACGGAGGAAACATTGTGAATTTGTCCATGACATTGCACAATACTGCCAGTATCATGCAAGGTACGTTTTTCTTTTGGATCGACATTATGATTACTGACATTTTTGATCCTAGTGCATGCTGGTTGTGCAAAATCTGCTATTGACACAATGACCAAGCATTTGGCTGTAGAATGGGGATTGGATGGTGTTCGTGTTAACAGTATTCAAATTGGACCTATTGAAGGAACTGAAGGTTTCAGCAGACTTCTTCCAAAAGAAGAATTAGACAAGTACAAGAAAACAATTCCATTGCAAAGATTTGGACAACCTATTGACATTGCCCGAATGGTGTTGTTCCTTGTCAGTGATGCTGCTAGCTACATTACTGCTGCAATTATTCCTGTGGAAGGAGCTTCTCAATACACCACCAATAATATTTATGGATATCCAGAAGTGTTGCAAATGAGCAAGATGTAAATCAATGCATTGTATCTAATCTTACCATTAATTAATTTATTTCCTTTTGAATGATCAACATTTTTAAAAAGGTTGTTGAAAAAAAATGGCAAGTAATCACAAACGAATCACACCACCATCCAGTTCCGAATCGTCTTCATCGGAATTGAATGAATCGTTTACAACTGAAAGCTCAGAAGTAGGCTGCAAAAAATTAAAAACAAATCCGATTGATGAAAAAGAAGCAACCTCTCAACTCGACAATAATCAAGTATCATATATTGGAAGAAATGAAATTTTACAACAAATAGAAAATAATAGTTTTAAAATTCCGTACATTTACAAAGATGTGGATGTGATAGTAATTGATAAACCCTATGACTTGCACATTGATGGAAATTATACACTCACTGTCGAAAAACTTGTAAATACACAATATCCAGAAATGGAAAACCCTCCTGCAGAAAATATAGCACAACCAAAACGAGGATTCACACCATCGAAACGAAAGTTGAAATTTTGTCACCAATTAGATTATGCAACTTCAGGAATTTTATGTTTAGCGTTTACTCGATCGAGTTGTGCAAGAATTTCACAATGTTTTCAACAACGTACTGCCAAAAAGAAATATTTGGCAGTTGTCAGAGGCCATATAGAATCAGAGTCAAGTTTTGATCTTACTTCTTGGATCGAGGAAGATCCAACAGACGAAAACAAATTTAAAATGAGAAATTACTTTAAGGGACCTCAAAAAACTCCCATTGGAGAGTTCAATACAGATGAGGAGAAAAAGGCAGCCTCCATGAGCAAGGAGTCATCCACACATGCGCAAGTGTTAAAGACAGGATTTTACCACGTTGGTGGAATGAAAAAAGATGATTCCTCAGAAATAATACAACAAAAAATTCCTGTCACAAAAGTGTTATTAACTCCAAGCACTGGGAGACGTCATCAATTAAGACTTCACATGCAGCTTTATGGAACTCCAATTCTGGGTGATGGTACGTATGGCAACAATGAAGATGGTATTCATCGAATGATGCTTCATGCATGGTCCTTAACACTACCAGGAGTGTTAGATCAAGAATTGGTCACGAGTGATCCATTTGAAGATGCCAATTATTTCCAATGGAGAGAATAATAAATAACTCTTTTGAGATCTTCATATTTATTATCAATTTATTAAAAAATGCAAAAACAATCCTTTTCGTCAGTCCTTTCACCGGAAGATAAAAATCGAGTGGAGAATTTATCCTCTCAAATTTTAAAGACTTATTCTCATAAATCAACAAAAACCACTCCTACGGTGGAATCTCTTGATGAATTAAAAAAACAATACAAATCATTACCGAGATTAACAAAAAAACAATTTGAAAATCTTCCGAAAGAACAACGAGAACAGTATATTAAAATGTTAGAGTCTATTATTTCTAAATTATCGGCAATGATTCTATTTTCTACGCCATCCCAATCTCGATCGAGTACAACCTTTGATGAACAATCCATAATTTTAAATGACATTGTCAAAGGATTTAATCACATTGATAAGGATTTTTCTTTCATTACTCTGCAAGCCATGCAAATGGCAATTGAACGGAGGAGAGAAGAAGAAAAACAAGCCATAGAGGAGCAGCGGAAAATATTGGCACAACAAGTACCAATCACAGGTCTCATGAAAAAGCTCGCGTTTCAATTGAAATGCTTGAAATTGAAAAATAATAGTGAAATATTTGAAAAGGAACGAGAGAATATGAGGAAAATGTTTAAAGAACGGATGCCAATTGAAAATAATTTTGCATCATATTTTAAAGTAATTCCAGAGATATGTGACACCTTCACAGACTATCAATGGATACGATTGTTAGTGGCACTCAATTTTCATGAGAAAAATTGGCTCTCGTTTGTGGAAAATATTCAAGATTTCGTTTTGAAAAGTTACAAGGTAGAAGAATTTATGCTCTTCATGCTCATGAATGGAAACGAAAACGAGTACAATCATCTCAACAGAAGTGATCATGCTCACGATCCAGCTATGGAATTGATGAGAAGAAAACCGAGCACGAAAAGAGCCAAATCGATTCGTTCAATAAGAGCATTAAGGAACGATGGCCTTTATTGTCCGATCTCGAAAAGCTAAAATGTTATCTCAAAGAAGACGCCAAACAACACTATGAAAGTATTTTGAAGAAAGCCAAACTACTCGGTTTAAAAGAAGATGCTATTTTAGAACTGTTTATAGAATCGTATCACAAGTCGGCGACTCACAAAAATCATTCAGACGGTCTGACATTACCATACCAAGACATTTTCATTCATAACTTCCATCCGAGTACGTTCCGAGAGAATATTCCTTTCCAAGTATTGAGTCCTGAACTCGCCAATGGTTTTCACAACACCAGTTTGGAACTTGCAAAAAATTCAACATTCCTGAATCTATCATTACTCACGTAAAGACATTGTATCATCATCCCACAAATACCACAACAGAGAATATGTTCATTGAAAGGACCGTCTCTCATCTCAAAGATATTTCTCAATTTAAAACTCTGTATTTTGAAGAGATGCATTCACCCATTAATGAGGGTATTAACACATTAGAGCCCTTTTCCAAGCTGTAAAGTATTCTATTGCTGCCTTACCAAATATATTTCCAGGGATGTGACAACCAATCTTGAGCGGTCATAGCTCATGTTTTACGGGACAACGGCCACGTGATGCAGCGAATTCATTTTTTGACGGTCAAAACTTTCTGAAATCTTCAAACTTTGATTTTGCCTCACTCTTGGTTAAAAACATTCTCATCATTGTGTAAAACAAAAATGGTCGCCGTTTCTCAGCGCTTCCGAACCCACTCGGATCACTCCAACGTTCAAGAACCACAAGCCTTGTCGAGTTATGGAGCAATTACTACGACGACAAATGATACTATGAACCATGAACAATCATCGTCGCTGGTCCTTGGAAATATTCAACAACAGGAATTGGAGGTTCCGAATCAGGAAGGCACTGTGGTAGAAAAACCAAAACGTTCAGGACAAGACCGAATGATAGCACTGGATGTCATGAGAGGAATGACCATCATGCTCATGATTGTAGTGAATAATCAACCATCAACAACGTTTTATCCATTGGATCATGCTGAGTGGTTTGGAATGACTCCGACGTAGGTACAAGTGAAATGTTGTAAACTCAATTTCTTTGATTTTCATTGAAAATCATGATCGTAGTGACCTTGTATTTCCCTTCTTTTTATGGGTCAGTGGATATGCTGCTGGAATTGTGTTTAGAAATGAGTGGAAGTCGGATGATATTTCATTCTTTCCATGTTCAGAGTTTTGGAGAAACATACAGAACTATTTCCGAAAACTGTGTGGAAAAATAGATTATGAAAATTTAGAAGAAGGGCAACAATGGAATTTGTGAAATATCTCTATTTAATTCCAATGAGAAGACCATTATATGAAGTGGTGAGCAAGTGGACAAAAATCGTCCGAAGATCAATTTTACTGTTTCTTATCGGATTTTCCTTTTCTGTCTTGTCCCATTTATTTGACTTTACCAATGTACGAGTGATGGGAGTGCTGCAGAGAATTGGAATTTGTTATTTCATCACAAGCTCCATGCTCGTCTTAATTCCTTGGACATTTATTCAAATTGTTTTTATCTTATTCTTGCAAGTTCTTTATATACTCATCACCTTTGGATTATATGTGCCTCAAAGTGAAGGATGTGCAACACGTGGTGTTTTGGAACCACCTCAATGCACTGCCGAAGGATACATTGATCGATTAATTCTCACTCAACATCACACCTATTTGCAAGCCAATTATGACCCAGAAGGATTTTTATCAACTCTCTCGGCAGTGACTAATAGCTATGTTGGAGTATTGGCTTTCAAACTTGCTCAGAAAGCAGGAAAAGATGCTCACAAGCGCCTCAATTATTGGTTCCTTTTGGGATCAGGCCTTGCTGTTTGTGGAATGCTTATTCATTACGCTGGCTTACCTATTGGTAAGAAACTATGGACAACATCCTTTGCATTTGTTTCAAGTGGAATTGCCTGTGTGTTTTTGGCTTGTATTTGTTTTATTGTGGATATTCATCAGTATAAGAAATATTGGACCAGTATCTTTTTATGGATTGGATCCAATCCACTGGTCATGTATGTGGTTCCAACATTGGTAGCCATTATCATGTTAAAGATACCAGTACCCTATCAAGGTAAAACATCGAATTTGTACAGTGCTGAATTTAAAGTATTATTCGCCAGTTGGCTTCCGATTGAATTGGCCAGCACTCTTCATGGTATTTGTTATGAACTACTCTTCATACCACTTGCATTCATTTTGTATTGGAGAAAGATTTTCATTAAACTTTAAGGGATGATGATTGTTCATTTGGTGCTGGGAGAACATTGTCCTTTCAATTTTTCAAAATCGCGCCAAAAAAAAATGGATTCAAATTTCTATCATGTCGCACACAAAGGTTTCATGATTGATATTGTAGATCGGGAATGGGCAATGGATGTTCTGCCCAATGATGATGTCATGATTGTGAGTGCGAGCATGGAGCAATCCAGAAAGAATCCGATTCAAAACACTCTTTCTCAACTTACTAACAACCATCCTAGTCTTGCGGTGCATCCATTATTTCTAGAGGAAGGAGGTGCAGGAATAGCAGACTTGAAGGATAATTCATTATTGTTAGGTGAGAATGGTTTGGTTTCTGGATTGGAACGATTGCCAAATGATTTCGGAAAGATGAATGAGTGGAATGATTTGAATTTGTACAGTTTAATTCGAGAGGATAGTGATGATATTTAAATATTGAAGTCTCGTTGATGATTGCAATAATATCATTCCGAATAATATTATTTACATGTTATTCCGCAGCACAAGAGACGTTTTTTTGTACAGTACATCAATGATAATAATGGACTAAATTACTCTCTAGTGCATAGAGCTTGGTATACATTTTGGCCATTGAATTGAAACCTCTTTCATCATTATTCCTCAGCAAATTTCCAGCATCACAATTTAAAGGAGAATCCGATCCCTCTCGAGGATTGGAAAGCATTGACATGATTGCTCGACATACATTCAATAATGTCCAAACGGGACTCCATTTATCTTTCAAAATATCCATACAAATTTCTCCAGTTTCGAAATGTACATTTGGGTGAAAGATCTTGGTAAGAAACTCAACTTTAGGAGGTGTGATCGGATACTCTTTTGAAACTTGTATTTTCAATTCAAACACACCATCCTCGTAGCTGGTTCCCTTCGGACCAAGACATTTTGCATACCACAAATAAATATTGTTTTCATCGGGTTGAAGAATGACATCCGTAAATCCTTGTTGTTTTGTTTTTTGGATTTCATTGTACTCTTTCATGATACGTTTTTGTGTGGCCATTTTTTTTGTTTATAGAAATAGATTCGGAATGGATTTAATCTTTGTTTGCTGTGTCCGTACAATAGTTCTTTCATGATGTGAAATTACATCGTTGGACCACTGTCGAATTTCACAAGATTGACCTTGTCCAAAAACCAAGATTGTCCTGTTGTGAATTTCAAATAAACACACGAAAAAATGTCATCTCGGCCCTCTCGTTCTGCTTCTTTGAAGTCAAGAAATCAACAACCAAAGAAAGTACCGAGCAGTTCATACTACCTGGGCTATGTCGAAGACGATGAAACCATAGAAATGATTATGCAAAAATTTGAAGAATTAGAAAAGCTTCAACAAAATCAACATCATGCAAAAGCCTCTTCATCCACTTCATCGGAACGAAATCATCAAGATGAATCATCATCGTATCTCGATGAAGCACAGCAAGAAGAATTATTTAAAAGAACTTCTCATCACTCTATTCAATCGAATATTTATGCAGATATTATGAGAAATTTTGATGATATCGAGAGCGAAGAAGAAGGCTTAGCAGCAACCAGTTCCGACTATTCTGATGATGATGCAGATTATCAAGAGGATGATGAAGAGGCTGTTGAAATTGTTTCCGATGATAATTTTGAAGAATGTGTGGATGAAGATATTGAAGAAGAGGATACTGAACTGCAACTTGATAGTGTTGGGGAAGATGAAGAAGATGTCATTTCTTCTATGACCGAAAAAGATGAAACTCATGCAAAACGAACGAAAAAAAAGAGAAAAACTACAAGTCAGAGAAAATCCCATAGAAAAGGAGCCTCACATCATTCATCAGAATCTGATCCAAGCACCAATGTAGACATTGCTAGCATGCTCCTGGATCCCAACATGAATTTCCTCAAAATGATTGAAAAAGCCTCTCACAACAAATCAGGAAATTCCAAAAAGTCAACATCCACAGAAATTGTAAATATCCCTACCTCGAATAAGGTGTTAAATGCATGGGCGAAAATTATTCAACCCATTGATTTGGAAGAGTGTGAATTGAGGCATGAAATTCAATGTCCAACCATGATACGTCTCTCTGGTAACAAGTTGACTTCGAAAATCGTGGTACAAAGACAACAGCAAAGGAATGATTCGTGCAGTAGTAGCAGTTCAGGAATGGTCTATCATATTCAAACCAAAGAAGATGTCATTACCACACCCAATGTACTCACGTTCAATTTCAAAAAAATTTCCAAAAATGGACCATTTGAGGGAATCTTAATTGATCCTCCCTATGATGACATTGAAGTTGAAGATCTGGTAAGTAATTCGTAACAGTTCGAAAGAATGCTCACCCTTTCAATCTTACAATTCTTCACACAATTATTGTGAATCATTTTGAAACTCAAACAAGAAAAAACTTCCTCTTGACAAGGAATGGTTCATTCAGAAAGGCTACTGTTTCATTTGGGTAGAAAAAGAATTCACTGTCCAAGTGATCAAAATCATGAAAGAATTTGACTTTGATTTCGTCGATAGTATGTGTTGGGTCCGTGAAGAATTGAATCAATCCTTTTCGACTGCACCTTCTAACTTGTTTCCCAAATCTAAACTCTCGCTTTTCATATTCAGAAAAAAGAATAGTCTTACGAAATCCATGCATTTGAAGCATCAACGAAATGCAGATGTTGTGTTTGATTTCAAAAAGGAGAATCCAAGAGAAAGGCCTTCTATTGTCTTTCATGTGATTGAAACTTTGCTTTTTTCTTCAAATAGTTTTTTAGAGTTGTGGGGAGAAGGATGTTACAAACATTGCAAACACAAGACACCCACGAAATGGACTATTATTAAGGAAATACGTTGAGGTAGATCGGGCAATGAGAAACACGGTTTTAAGGTTGGGTCACTCGAAAAGGGCAAAGCAATAATTACAATCGCAACTTGTCAGATGTCAGAACGAATCCAATTTTGCAACTCCTGTTACGAAACAACAAATAACGACGAACGAACATCATCAACACACCTGCTCTACTGAATCCACCACCTGGATCCAAGAAAGCCCTGTGATACTGTAGTAGTCTTGTTTCCTTTTGTCTCTAACCTTTATACTCAACAACAAAAAAGCAAATTGAATCCTCAGAGCGAATCATTATTTCCTTCTTCTCCGCAAATCAGTCGACACACAGAATTACAACGAACACCAATTCGGACTTTTAGTACCAAAAGAAAGCAAACACAGCTTCAACTTGGATTCAACAACAATTTTCTCATTCACACACACAATGAAAAATTTCACTCTCTCTGCATCTCTGAGTAGAGACGAAGAAAAGCAAGACCTCTTTTACACATCAACCACACCAACAACAACAACCAACCCGTCATCTCCCTCACAAGATGACTCTCATTCTACTTCTTCTCCCGAATATTCATCTAACCAAGGACTAACCAAGAATCATAATCATCAGAATAATCATAATGGAGGAAACAATTCAACACGAGCGAGGGGAGTGGCAGTCGCCTATCGATCTCATACCGTGGCAAGTGTCAAGTCTTCATCATCGTCCAATACGCTGCCTTCTGACAAAGTTCTTCCTTCATCATCAAGTAAACCAGTCCCCATTGGAAATAGTGCTTCTTCTTCCCATCATCATCCCCCCATGATGCCAAGAAGTATACCAACACGAGTTCCAACACTTCCTCTTCTTCTTCATTGTTGACTTCACCCAAAGACTCATCTTCAGTGGAGACTCCTTCAACCATCAGCTCATCAGCAGCTATTTCCATCGTTGCTTCTCCAGAGTCATCCTCTTCGTATCCATCTCAGAATAATTCTCTCGAACCTACACATGTTTCTTCTTCCTTGCTATCATCCTCAGTGTCCTCTTCCAATATATTGCCTCCCACTACTACTACTGAAAACAACAACAACTCTCCACAAACAAGCACACCAAAAAAGAAGAAACTCTTTGGAGGCATACTCATGAAATTTAGAGGCGATTCAAGTAGTCATACTGATAAATCTTCCCCTACGAGTGAGAAGGACGATTCTGACTTGGATACTGCCTCTCCCTCAAAATCCTTGTATGCTCAGGAATTTGTGTCAAATGTTGTGTTGGAACGTCCTCAGGTCATTTCTGTTGGAAAATCCAATGACGATTTTAGAAAGAAGCTTCAGGATCGAAAGAAGAATGCAGGAACTCGAGTGGTGAAGAAGGATGATCAACTTGTTTTTGAAAAGGAGTGAATGACATTTTTCCATCATCTTTTGAACAATATAACACAACATTCTGTTTGAATTTCAAATTCTATTCCCAACTATTATCGTGACATGATTCATGCAGTACAGGAGAATATGAATTCAAATTTTTGTTTTTCAAGCCATCCTTTAGAGAGCTTTTTCACATTTTTGACAATTTTCAAAATAACCATTCCCAAACCTCACATGTGTAATTTATTAAACAACAAAGAGACTTTCACTCGAGTTCATGGTGCATTTAAATTGATCTGACAACAAGAGAAAGAGCAATCGCTGCCCTAAAGGGGTTCCAAGTTCATCTACAAAAAAATGTCCAACAAGCCTTTCTATGGGGTTTCAAGTCCGTCTACAGCGCTGTCATTGGTCTGCGCAACAACGTTACGTGATGATGAACTGTTATTAGTGCTGTCCTTTCTGCCCCAAAGTGAATTATTGGCATTACGGTTAGCGAGTCAATCATTCCGACTTTCTCAACTCACCGAACATGATGTGTTTTGGCAACCAATTTATTTGAGAAGTATTACAAAACTCAGCAAGTTGCATCGGAAGCTTCAAAAAATTCTTTCACAAATCATGACAATGCAAGTACCGTTCCGTCTTTAGATCCAGTTCATTCCGGTTTTAAAACTCATTTACTGACATTAATCAGACCTTTCATTGATCTTAAACAGCAAGCTCTTAAAGAATCAAGAAAACAAGTGGCTGATTGGAAATATAAAGGCCCAACCAATCCATTCCTTCCTTATAACCAATTAAAAGAAATCAAGTTCAAGAGTATAAAACATGACAATGATTACAAAATTGTATTTACAGGAGATGGAGCTGTTGGAAAATCATCACTCATTATGAGGTATAATACTGGAGAATTTCCTTGTGACTATGTGCCTACCGTTTATGACAATTGTACGGTAAATATGACAGTTGGAGAAATTCAAGTCACTATTTCACCTTGGTAAGGTTATTTTCCAGCATTGCAATATTGTTTAATGAATTTTATACACATTCACACACACTCGACATTAGGGATACTGCTGGACAATCCGAATATGATCGACTGAGACCTCTCTCCTATCCTGGTACGGATGTATACTTTGTATGTTGTTCATGCAATAACATCATGTCGTTGCATAATATTTATGAGAAATGGGTACCTGAAATTCGATGCTACACTGATAGTAATCCTCCAATCGTACTCGTTATGAATAAGATTGATTTAAGATCCAAACAATTAGAATTATTGTCGTTGCCGTATGCGAGATTTGTCATGGATTATCAAGATGGTGAGCAAATTGCTCGCAAAGTTGGATGTTGTAGCTATTTGGAAACTAGTGCGTTGCATAATATCAATGTGAGTGACTTGACCGAAGTAGCAGTGAAGAGTTACTTGTTTGCACAAGAGAATTTTTCTCATTCATTCAAATCAAAGAAATGTTGTTTGATTTAATGATGCAAGGTTTTTACAATGGTGAGTCGACTTTTCATGCGCCAAAACCTTAATTAGTGTTTGTTCAAGCATTTGATTTTTTCCCTATCTTTATTTATAGAACTTGAAAAAGTATGGATGAAAACGTTGAGAGGAGGACACTTTTAATGAACGAAAAAATTCGACTCAAAAAGGCAAAAATTTTTTGACAACGAAATGCAGAAACTCCGGGATTGGTTCAGAATCTTGTAAAGTTTTATTCAGTGCTGACGTTCGTTCATTAAAAGTGTCCTCCTGATTAAGACCACACCTATTGTACAAAGCCAGTTACTAAAGTTTCGAAAGCAATTCTCTTCAGCGCTCATCTCTCGTTCTCTTCCCACAGTTGAACTGTCCTATACAAGGATTAGTTGATTGTTGGTGATAATACTCACATTCACAGTAATTACTCCGTTCAACAAGTTTCTCGTTACACGATAAAAATCCATCTTTTGTTGTACTGATTACTTGGTGTCTAAGTTACATCAAAGTTGCTGTGTCATCTTAGTTTAGGTGTGTGATTTAAAATACTCGACCTCATCTTTAGGTGAAGGCATTTTTTTTCGAGTGAAAATCGATGTCAACTTGAAAAATTAAATTACAACAAAAAGTAAAAAATTTAATTTAATTTTTAACAAAAAATTTATTACACATCACAACTTTGGGAAAACATGTTCATGGCATCGCTTTCATCGTCGTTGTCATTTGCATTGTCCTTGCCATATTGAACGTTTGAAATTGGATCATATTTGGAGGTTATTTCATGTTCTTCGTGATCTTCGCATCGGGTACACACTTCGGAGAGAGATTTCCCTGGTACAAAAGACAACAAGGCAACATTTTCCTCTTGGAATGAGAAGATCGGGTAGGGTATTGCAAGAAATTGCTTGTACTTCTCATTGTTTCGTTGCCTGTTTTGAAAGGGAATTTTCAAATCTCTACATACCATGAGTCTCCTAATTTTCGGAAGCATGAACTGGATCAAACTTTGATCTTTACATGTAGGAAACATTCTGTCCAAATAATTATACTTTCCTCCATTGTTGGATGTGTTTTTCATACGCCTTTCATCATCAATGTGTGCTCCTTCGAATCCCTGTGTTTCAAAGTGAACCAAATTTCCGTATACTTTGATTAAAGGAATTACATGATGGAATAGAATATGCATATACCAACTTTGAGAACCACTATCAGTATAAAGAGATTGAACCACTTCTTCCATCTCATTTAGCTTGAGTTGAAGGTTATTAAGTTCGGATTCAGAAAAGGATTCATTTTGAAGTAATTTCAACACATTTCTAAATTTGCTCATTAATGTGATATATTGAGGAACGATTACCTTACGTAATCTTCTCAAATTGCTTAAAATGGAATTAACTTGTTTTCCGGTTAAGTAACACTTCAACTTTTGTCCTTTCTCAGTTATTTTGAAATTATTGAGATTTGGAATCTTGCGAATGATCCTGATAATAGTTTCTCGTTTGTTGCTCGTCATTATTGCATCAATTAATATTCTTTCCATTATTCGTTCTTTCATATGGAGCAAACAGATGACAATTTTGAATGGACTAACTCCGAGCAGACAACCCAACTGTTCTTTGCTTCTAGCGAGGTGAAAATGGTCACAAAAAGTATTCAATGTATTGCAATATGGACACATTTGTGAAAATTTAAGATTAGAGATACGCTTTAACGAAAGAAGATCTGTTGTGACACAAAAATCCACCTTGTGATTTACTCCATCAACATCCACCCCATGACATGTCATCGATTCAATCATTACTCGAATAATTCCAGTTATTGCTCGAAGTTGATTTTCTTTTCCCTTCCAAACAGCCACAGGATGGACTGCTTCTCTTGATTGAGGACTCCCAAAATTTTTCATATTTAATGGAGCGCATGCGAACGTAACACGGCCTTTAGATCCATCGAGATTAAGTTTGAACCACTTAATTTTTGTTTTCCAATTTTTATCCTCTTCGTTGAGATGAGCAGCTAATTCCTTGTCTGTTGATATTTGTTTTACCCATTGTACATATAATTCAATCATATATTTAACTAAAGAATAAAGGCTGATGAAAAAAATATTTTCATTCTTCTCATGTGTCCCTTTAAATTCAATTAAGGCCTTAATACTAACTACAGATTGAACTGATGACATATTTGAGAGAGGAGTGGTTTTGGAGCTTGAAGATGACACCAGTTCCTTATATTGAGTGTTACTGATTTTGGCTTTGTCTTTCGCTTGGATATCAAGTAACTTTTTCCGTACTACTCGCAACTTTCGTTTTGTCACTTTTTTTCTTTGATTTGTCTCTTCACTCGATGAAGAAGCATCATTTTGCGAATAATCATCGTCCTCCCAATCCATTTCATCATCGTCATTTGAGCTTGTTTGTAGAGCTACACTACTGCTTACAGGTTCTTCTTGTGAGATTGTTGATGTTGTTTCATTAATTGCTTCACTTGATTGATGTTCTTCATATTCATCAAAATTTTCATCGATTTCAGAACTAATTTCAGATGAAACAGGATCATCGAGATCATTTGGGTAATCATTAATGGCAATAGGGTTTGTTTTTTCTTGTTTGTTTAGATACATTTCGATATATGAGTCATATTCTGGTATTTTTTTGTTTGTGACTAATTTTCGAACTTTCGTATCAATGTCGTCATAATCCTTTCGTTTGCTTAATGTTCGATAAACAATATCGGGGAACATGTCAATCAATAGATCGAAAAATTCAGAGAAATTTGAAATTCCATTATTATACAGCAAAAGTTCGATTCCGCAAAGTAATGATCCGAGCTTGCTTTTTGTATATTGAGATTTGTCTTGTTCAATCATACTTTTGGTTGTTTTTTCACTGCCTTTTTTGCATGTCAACAACAACTTCCCATTAGATTTCGTCTCTTTTTCGAATTGATGAAATTCTTTCTGCATCTTGTCAATAGATGGATTTGCAATATTAAAATGTAATGAGTTACATATCGCAAAACTCTTGTTCTTTAATTTAATAACAGCATCTCCTTGGAGCTTATACTGAGAGAAATTGAGATCAGCATTATCAATAATATTTTTCAATTTGTTTTCTGTGCTCGGTGGTCTTCCTCGCTTTTGTTTTATGCGAGTGAAGTCATCGACAAAAGTAATTGTTGTATTTCGTTGTGTGTTTGAATGTTGGTTTGATTGATTGGTTTCATGTTGTGAAGGTTGAGATGATAATGTGTTCGGATTGTCAAGGTTATGTTGGGTTGTGGAGAAATTATGAGAAGATTGTGTGATGTATTGCTGGTTGAATTGTGGATAATAGGATTGATGATTTTGAAATAAATGTTCACATCCTCCATATTGAATAGGGATATTCTGATAGCTCATTGAATTGGATTGGTTTGGTTGTATTAGATCTTCATAAATTCTTTCGAAAGATAGTGTGGATGTTCTTGGTGAATCAAATTGAAAAGAGCCCGGATTAATGCTACTGAAACCGGTAGATGACGATGATTGCACATTGAAAGAAGATAATGGAGAGGAACACCATATGTGGTGATTTTGATTTGAAAGTCCATATGATTGACCTTCAAAAAAGTTGTTGTTAGATGTGGTTTGGTTTGTGGATGGTGATGAAAAGTTCCAATTTGATGACATTTTTTGTGATTTAGAGTATTGAGGATTGAATTCAATTGTTTTATTGTACAAACTCGAATTCTTTGTCAAACTTGAACGATGTCCACACTTGATTAGTTTCCACATTACATGTGAGAGAAATGTATACAATTTTCATCTTGTGTTTCGTAATCTTCTTTCCGAATTTACGTGTAAGACGTGAGTGAGTAATTTCCAACTCAGACCAATGCTTGCATTTGTCTAAAGGAGGAACACTGTCAGTAAATCTGAATTGAATGCACTTCTGTCTCTTCTTTAGGCCATTCCACAAAATGTCTTGATACCATTGGTAATATTTAGCCTTTGTTCCCCTCAGAGCAAGATAAAACACGTTTGGGTTGCAACATCCAACCGTTTCATGGCTGATGGAGTTTGAACATCTCATCTGTAGATGTTGATAAATAATATTTCTTGCACATTTGGCGAACTGTTCCCATATAATTCCATAAATTTGTTTCTTCTCATCTGGTACTTCTTTAAAGGAATTATATTTTGGTACAAATTCAAACAGTCCTTTCTCTAAAGTGAATTGATATTCCTTGTGAGTGTCTTCAGCAGCTTCATCTGTGGTTCTTGATTTTCGTTTTTTGCTCTGTTGGGAAATATTGTCATCATCACATTTGTTGTTTGGTGTTATCGTACATTGTGTCTCATCAACAATACCAGAGAAGCTGCTTGTGCTAGGCAACAGACAGCAAGGTGGAAATGACATAGTTTCGTCTGTGAAGATCCATTCCTGAACAAGTTAAGCAAACACATTGTAACAAATTTGAAACATACTGTAGAGGTAGTCATTACTGGTGATGATGGGTGAGAAGGGTTCATTTCGATGCTTGATGATGAAGGAATCTTGTGAAATATGTTACTGCTGAATACTGGACAAACATAATACTTACATTGTTCGTACTCTGGTTCGTTGTGGATTGGCTATCCAATGCTGGTGATTCATTGGCCTTGATAATTGAGATCAATACAAGGTGAACGATATTCACTAGTACTTACGTGATTAGTATTTGTTTCGCAACTCGAATCACAATCAGAAACACCAAGCTGAGGTAAAGATTAGTGTAGGTGTTGAAATTGTTGTTTGATGATGTTGTTGTTGTGGTAATAATCAATTACTTACACAGTATAGAGGCACAGTGCCCTCTTCAATGACCACTAATTCAGCTTCCATGTTGTGTGTGTTGTTGGTGTGTTTTTTTGTGTGAGAAGCAGAAAACAACACCACAGACCAATCACTCCATTTTTTTTGACTCCGGGACTTACTAAAACGAGCCGAATTTTTTCTTCGTCAGTTTTTGCACTTTACGCTCAGGCGTAGTTTGTGGTGACGAGCCGAATTTTTTCTTCGTCAGTTTTTGCACTTTACGCTCAGGCGTAGTTTGTGGTGATTTCCACACAAAAACACAAAAAAAAATTGTCGCAACTTGAATCAAACACACCATGCTAAAGAATTTCTTGACTCGGTCTCACGGGAGCGTACACTCCCATCCGATTACAAATCCAATCATCAAAACTTTGACTCGAAATGTAAATAAATCTTTCAGAAATTATTCATATTCCATTGAACAGATCACACCAAAACATGTGGATCAGGTCACTCTACTCACTTGTTATTCTTTTACAGAGAGTGAACCAATCACGAATGGTTTCGGATATCAAATGACTGACGTTTATAACTTTGCACATACCTATGCGACACTAGCTGCTAAGGAAGGATTGGGACATGTGGCCGTTGACAAGTCTGGGTATGTGTATGAAAATAATCATTTTGGCCTTGATTTTTACATTGAAATTATTTTGAAAATATTATAGTTTGATCGTTGGTGCAATTTATAGTGAAGATTTCGTGAAAGGAGTACTGGAGAATCCAAAATTGGATGCAGAAACTGTCCCAGAAGTGTTGTATGTTTTTGACCAATTGCATTCTCAATACTTTTCAAATCCTCCTTCAACAGAAATTACACAATTTTCACACAAAGCTGAAGACTTGTTCACAACCAATAATTATGGAAAAATTCTTCACTTGGTCGTTGCAGCCACATACTCCTTTTATGGATCTCAGGGAATAATGTCCAAGCTCACTAAAACTCATCTCGACTATTGTAAAAATGTAAGAGGTTTCACACAAGGAGTTGCTGAATGTAGTAGTGATTATTCAAGGAGAGCTCTTTTAAAGCTTGGATTTACTACACAAACGAAGGTTGTCTACGATGAATATGAAAGTCCAATTCAAGTGGATGGAAAAATTGTCAAACCGCTGAAGGGAAAGATTGCTCTTCCTCATGTTTCCATGGACATGGTTTGGAATTACAAGTTGTAATTTAGAAATGACCAGCTTTACATGTTTTTTGAGTTTGACTCCATGAATCCACATGTTACATATATTACAACTTGGATATCTTGTAACAATTATTACTACAATATTCTTCATAAATTTTCCAACAATGAGATGGAATAATTTTTAAATTCTTTTCTTCTTTCCATAGTTTGTGAAGAGTTTGTAAAGTATGGCAGTAGGCATTCCAATCGTATTGAACCAAATATTTTGTGACGAGATGTGGAGGTGATGCATTGATAATGGCATTGCTCGACCATGCTGCATCCCCAATCAGCAGAAATGTTCCATTCTTGTTATCTTGATTTGATGCTTCCTCACAAGATACTGTAAAATAGCATCCTAAATGTCCTTTACAGTGTCCAGGTAGATCCACAATAAACAATGAATGATCACCAAATAAGTCAAACGATTTGAACGGAGGTACAATAGTTACATGATTTGAAAATTGTGTTTCGCTCACTTGTATAGACCTCTTTTCAAAATCATCAGGCAATAAATTTGGTATGAATCCATTCACACAGCATCGGATGTCCCTGCAACAACAAGATTGTTTTCTTTCTTTCAAATATTCAAAACCTTCTTTCGAGTACACAAATTTAGCATTTGGAAAATCACGTAATCCACTGATATGATCTGCATGAAAATGAGAAATAATAATATAATTCACATCTTGTGGAAGAATTCCAAATTGTACTTTTAATATTTCCATCGCTGATTCATTCTCTTTCAAAAAAACCGGAGTTAATTTTCCATACAATAGATATGGCATAAATTGTGTTTCTTTATAAAATCTACTGCTATATCCCGTATCAAATAATATATTTCCAAATTTCGAGTGTTGTATTAAAACAAATAATGAAGGGAATTTAATAATCTCACTATTCCAATACGAGATGGATGAATCTGTAATATGATTGCTGTGTGTGCAATACCCACTGCATAATATTTTAGTGGAGGTAATCATAGTGTGTTCATGAATTCCGAAATAATATTTTTTTTTATTTTTAAATAACAACTTTCTAAATTTAACACTGAAAAATTGTAAAAAAATGTTGGAACATGATCATCGGGATGAAGAGCTTGTAATTCTTCACCTAGATGATCGCATCGAGTTGTCCAATCCTCAATTCAAGTATCAATTTCAAAGAAGAAAATTTCAAAAAGAGCTCATTCCATTTTCACTGGAAAATTGTTCAAAACAAGCTCCAGTGCGCATTCCGAGAGTAAGCACCTGTGCATTTAGCACCATTCTCGTTACTAGTTCTTTTTCACTTAATGCAATCATTGTCATTGAAAGATATTGTAGAAATTTGTTTTTATTTAATATTTCAACCAAGAAATTAGAAAGACAATGTAAAATAAGAGATTTTGGAGTATTTGTCATTGAAGAAAATTATGATGGAGCTGGGCATGATGCATGTATTGTCACTTGTAAGGCTGATACTCTTCCAAGTGAATACAATGATCAGTTTCTTCATGCTGGACTACTTGTTGTGAAATATGATTTGCAACACTTTATTTCCGCACTTGAAAGAGATTTGATACCTACACCGCTTTGGGTTTCTTCAACAGTTGGCCTACCAATTCATGATGTTTGTGTACGGTATGAGAAGAATTTGTTGAACACAATTTATGGATTTTCAAAAACTGGTCAAGTTCTTGTTTGGAAATCCAGCAATGGTACAATTATTTTCAATGACATGTTGAAATGGAGAATACTACACAAGTCATTAATTTCCCACTGCTGTTTTGTCAATGAAAATCGAGATTTACTGATTGGAACTGCATGTCATATTGGAATTTTTTCATGCCAAACAAGTGAAGGATTGTTGCAATGTTCTCTGAAAATCGATTTGACTCCACAGACTCGTATAGTCCTTACAGGCATTGCATATGAATCATCCACACAAAAAGTATTTGTTTCTACTGAAACTGACTCTAAAAGTTCTGTCTTGAGAGTTTACAGTACCCTTAATGGTCAATTATTACAATCATTTACCATGACAAGTATGTCAGAGTATGAATCATTAATACAAATTATTGAGCACAGTGGAGAATTGATAACACTAAATCCCTTCTCCTCAACGTTACAAGTATTCAAATAATAATAATCTAAAATAGTTGTACACAGTTGAGAGAGCTTTCCAAAATTCAATAAATATTATTGATAATATTCATTGTTGAAAACAATTTTTTATTGAAGTTCAAAAAAAAATGCCAAAAGAGAAATCTGCATCAAGAAATTCTGCCAGCATCGGAGGAGGTGTTTCATCATCACACGGAGTGAGCAAGGAACAAAAAACTCTTCAAGCAAAAAAGTATGTGGAAAAGGAAAGCAAGAGACGACTGATTGTTGTGTTGGAAGGATGTCCTCTTGAAGTTGCAAAAATCGGAGACAAGTATAAATTATTAAACAGTGATGATCATCGTTCATATCTGAGTAAACATGGAAAGAATCCTGATGATTATAGACCTGACGTTGTGCATCAAAGTTTACTTGCACTTTTCGACTCTCCTCTCAATAAGGCTGGACTCTTGCAAGTGTATATGCACACAGTGGATAATACACTCATAGAAGTCAATCCTCATACTCGTGTTCCTCGTACATATAAACGTTTTGCAGGATTGATGGTTCAATTATTATTTAAACACAAAATCAAAGCAGCTGAAACTGAGGCTGTGTTGTTTAAAATTATTAAGAATCCTGTGACTGACCATTTACCATCTACGGCAAGAAAAATTGCAGCAGAATTGTAAGTCTTCAACGAATTCTTCGAGGGTGTTTTTTTACTTTATTTCAGTAATGTGGAGCAAGTTATTCGATTGGAAGAATATGTCCCAGTTTTATGTACAAAACAACGAGAAATGGTCAACAAAAAACCATCCACCGATGTCACAGATGTGTCAGAGGACGGACCAATGGTGTTTATAATAGGAGCCTTTGCTCGTGGAGATTTGAAAGTAGATTACGCTGATGAATATGTCTCAATATCGAGCTATCCACTCTCAGCTGCCATGGTTTGTATGAAAGTGTGCAATGCATTTGAGGAGCATTGGCAAGTTCTTTAAAACATGCTACTATTGTTCAAGTAGGATTTTTCGAGCGTTCTACTTTGCTCTTGTTCCATTTCTTTTTCATAAACTTGCCTATTCAAGGAATTTCTAGTTGCATTTTGAACCTCATGTCGTGAATTATTATTACCAATGATGGATTGTAGCAGTTTTGCTTGTTGCCGTGCCTCTTCTCTGCTTCTCTCTAAACCAATTTCTCGTAATCGCTTAATTTCATTTTCTTTTGAGGTAATGAACTCCTTAAATTCATCTCGTGCTTTGCTTTTATATTGCTCTTGCCGTTTCTTGTAATCATCATCGGAGCCCTTGACAATGACTTGATTTGAATTTCTTAAACTCTCCAGCTCGTATTGCTTATCCAATTCTTTTTTTTCGAGGACTTGATTTTGCAGAGAATCGTAAAATTTCTTTTGATTTTCTCGTCGTTGTTTCCAGTATGCAGGGTCTGTTTTGTGGTCATATGAGTTTTTCATAAAGATAGAGTTATCAAAATCTGGAAGAGGAGCCTCGTCCAGCTTCTCTTGCTTTTGATGATGGTTAGCCAATTCTCTAGCATATGTATCCTTTTTGTTTCTTTCGTTCTTGAAAGTTTCTACAAGAGATGTATGTAACGAATGCATGTTGTCTAAGTGAGAGGTCTTTTCCTGTGCCTCCTTTTCTGCCTTCTTTTTCTCTCTAGCAGCGTTCAGGTTATAGTTGTGGACTGCGTTTGTGTTGTTTACAGAATCCTGTTTGAATGAATCGTCCAGTTCTTTTTCTTTTTGAGATACCCATTCATTGTAAAACTTCTCCTTTTCGTGGTTGAAGTGTGTAACTTCCTTTTTGTTGTGTTTGTCAATAAGTAAATTTTTTAACCCAATTCTTACATCCTCTTCTTTGTCCTTGTCCACTTCGAAGGGTGTTGATGGTCTTTGTTTAAGGAGGGATCGGTTGGGATCTGGAACGTAAACCTGATCGAGCGATTGACCAACCTTGTTCGATAGTGAGTCTTTTCCAAACTTCTTTCTCGTTTGTAATTCTTTAGCACTGTGGGTAGGACTAACATGCTTAAAATCTTCTGAGGAGACGCTGGTAATCTTATCAACGTCGTAGGGTGGACCTAGCGATATTGTTGAAAAATTAGATTTAGTGGAAAGGTTTGCACTATTACAAGGTGACGAATGATCCAACGCTGGAGTTGGTGCTCGTATGCTGAGTCCTAGTTCTTCAATCAATTTCTTCGTTCTTCGAGCACTTTCATATTGGCCTCTTGGAGGAGCGGTCACCTCTGTAGAAAGCAAAGTTTTGGTCAAGTTCTTCTCAATATTTTGCAAAAAAGTTGCATCCCATTTAGGGTGACAATGCTTTCCTTTGAATAACAGTTTGCAAACTTTTAAATTTACAGAATATTCCTTCTTAGTTGCTTCACTTGCTTTTTGTCCAATATTTTTAACAATCGACTCTATAACAGCTTTGACAACATTTTTGGAAGCATTTACATTTGTTGCAATCTGTGCCACATTCATCTTTCTCTTCCCGTCATTAAGTGGTACCTTTAATGTAGAAATGCTGTACCTTTTTTGAAAGTGCTCTGAAAGAATAAAAACTGGGGTTTGATGCTTGCGTGAATAGGTACCGCAATCTTGTGTCTCAGTGTTGAAAGTTAATAGACCTAGATTAGGAATTTCAACCGGTTTTCCTGAAATTAGCTCATTTTCGATATATTTAAGAGTGTTGTCCCAAATTTTCTAATTTTCAACGCTTGTTAGCCTCAATTAATTAGTATCATCTCACCTACCTTTACCAATGAGTTGGTAATACCTAGTTGTTTTAAACCAGATTCGTCACTTCCCACTTGAGGCTTCACAGCATTAAATCCGATGCTATCCTTGAGCGGGTTATTAATCTTGGAATGATGAAGTGGAACACTATTTACAGAAACTGGTATCTTTGTCATCTCTATCATGGTAGCACTTGATTCTCTCTCTACCTTATTTTTCTTTTGTTTTCTTTTTACTTGTTCCATGGATTGTCTGGTACACGTCGGAAAACTCAGTCCGAGCTGAGGAGTTTCAGATCTCATCAATGGTGGTGAGTCTTCTCTCATCCCACAACTACTATGAACCAATCGTCTTGTATTCTTCATGGCCGTATTCTTTGTATCATAGCAAGCGAGAATGAGATGATTCAACCGTTCTTGATGTTGTTGTTGACTCATTTTTCATACTGTTACGTGTTCACCTCGAACGAGACAAAAAACTACAGTAAGTTCCAATTTGTACGTACAGTTTGGCGCTATATTGAGGGTCATTGTCTTCTCTCAAGGGTTGTATGCCTATGAGTCATTTCACGTCTGAAATGATCAATGACTCGAGAGACTCGACCGAGTGAGTTGCAGAAAACCATCACATGAAAGGTGGTGAAAGGTTGGCGGCAAAAAAAACTGTAAAAAAAATGAGCCAAACTTCTGCATCAATGGCGAGAGAACGATTCCCAACCATCAGTGTTTCACCCTACATGCTCACAGGATCTGACAATGAGGAGGATGGTGGAACAAGTCCGAGTATTGCCTTATCTTTTGATGAGGAAGATGGTGAAGCGATGGATCAGGGACAAATTGAAATTGATTACAAATTAATTAGCGCAGTGTCAGGACAATTTGATCTCGGAAGTGTTATAAACTTGGATTTAAATTCAATAGGAATTGATAAAATCAAAAATCTCAGTCGGTGTGTACGGCTAGAATATCTTGATTTGAGTAACAATGGAATTGAGCTTGTTGAGGGTTTGGAAAATTTGTCACGGCTCAAGAGGTTAAATTTGTCAAATAATAAGATCGCCAAAGTAGAAGGTATCGCCAACTTGAAGAGCTTGCAAAATCTCAATTTGGAAAATAATCTGATAGAAAATCTGTCTGATTTACAAGAGCTGCAACATTTAGCAAATCTCAGAGCCATCAGTCTCAAAGGAAATCCAGTTTGTGAAAAGGAAGGTTTTGATGAAACATTGAAGTCCTGCTGTAAAAAACTGCAATTCATTAACGGAGAGCATATCGCACTAAGATTTCCAACATTAATCTTTGATGAAAAAGAGGATTCCTTCGAAATCCCTCTGTCCAAATCATGGACAGTAGACAGCAACCAAAATCCCATATTTTCATTTGAGGGATTTCCAGAGATTAATTCGAACGAGTCTTTCAAAAATTCTGTAAATGAATTCAAAAAGGAGGAAATTGACTGCAAAAAAACAGTGACAAGAGCCGATACAATTATACAAGAAGTTATCAAAGCACTGAAATAGCCTGTTAGTCATTTGGGGTTTGCAATTGCTCTATCTCCCATTGCTTCTCATGAATTTTCTTTAGGATCACTCCAAACTCTTCTACTAGCTTGTCAAACTCATCACCAAGAGATGTATACTTTTTAATTTCTGCGTCCATATGACTGCTTTGAGTTTGAAGTTGTTCAAACGTAGAATCAAGAACGTTATACATTTGGTAAAGAATGGGCACTGTTTGTTTGTTGTAGGTTGATGCCAGATATTCGAACTTAATAGACCTATTAGAGCAGCAAAGTGTCATCTAATATGAAATATTCTCAGGAAAACTTACGTTAATTTCAGCTTCATGGCCTCTGTTCTCTGGACAAGCCACGAGATTGTTGATTCGTCATATTGTCTAAAGCTGCCACACTTGTAGTTGTCCAACAAAGTACACAGAATTTGAAGATATTGATTCATTTTGCTGAAATAAGTAAAAATATACTGGTGAAGGTTTTGCTTTTCAGCTAATATGCTTTCTTTTTCCTGTGCAATTTGGTTTAAATGGCGCTTCACAAGGTGTGTGAGAGTTATTTCTTGATTTGTTTGGCTATTTGTTGTATCTGTCACAAAAATACTTGTATGTTGATTGGGAAAAGGTTGGTAAAATTGTGAAAGATCTTGGTACATTAATTCTAATCTCCTTTCCAGCTCTGGAATCACCAGCTGCTGAACATCATTCGCAAAGCTAGAGTCATCTGATTGGTTCCTTTGTTGAGGATCAATTCCATAAATATTAACTGGTCCTTCATGATGAAGTGTGTCTGAAATATTCAAAGACTGTTCCGCTCATACTGTAATAATTTCGTATCAAGCTGACACAGACAGGAGTAAAGCTTTGGATTATCATATCTGTATTCAATCTCATTATCGATCATATCTCGCACTGTGTCCAGAATAATTAAATTCTGGAAATATTTTTGTTTTTCTCTTTCCAATAACGACTCTAATCGTTTTAATTCCTTCTCCTCTTCTTTTCTGATACCACTTTCTGGAGAAATATGATCCGAGATGATGGATAATAATTTACAAAATTGAGGATTTTCAGTCATCACTTCTTGTGGTATGTGAAACAGCCCTAAAATGTTATTATTTGAAGGAATTTCCTCTTCCGAATTTGTGTTTGGATGGGATTTCAAATTTTGAAAATCATTCTCCTCATCATAAATGTGCAACTGACTCGTATCATACTGATAGGCTTGCTGTTCTGGAGCATGCTCCGACGCTGCTGTGTCTTGGATACCAGACCTCTCGTCAACCGCAGGATATTCTTTGGTCGGAGATTGCAAATAATAATAATTGGGTTGTTCATCCTCCATAGTCACATCGTTAGGTCGTTGGTCCACAGCAGAATTTTCTTGTTGCATTTTTTCAAATTCTAAAACATGGCGCCATCACAAACTAGCCGTTACAAAGTATTTAAAAAAAAAATTAATAATTCGTACGGGTCTATCCTCGGATCCAGCAAGTTTGAAATTGCAAGTCATCATTTAACAACAAGTTTGAAAAAATTATTTGTTTGTCATCATCATCATGTCTGCCACTGCCCAAGCAAATTGCATTACCTTGAAGGGATCCACGGAAATTGTTGCCGAATTCTTTGGATACAGTGTCAATAGTTTGCTCTATCAGAGAGGAATCTACCCTCCCGAATCTTTCACCAAAGTATCCAAATACGGCTTACCCATGATGGTCACTACCGATGAAACTTTGAAAAAGTATCTCAGTCAAGTATTGAATCAACTCTCTTCATGGCTTCTTCAAAAACAAGTTCAACAATTAGTCCTCGCAATTTCCAGTGTGAATACCTCTGAGGTTTTGGAACGATGGCAATTTGTGATTGAGACCGATTCCGATGTTAATGCCACAGAAGGACACAAAACCAAAGATCCAAAAGAAATTACAAGTGAAATTCAAGCAGTGATTCGACAAATTACTGCAAGTGTGACTTTCCTTCCATTGTTGAATGAACCTTGCACATTTGATTTGTTAGTTTATACCTCCAAAGACACTTGTGTACCTATTGCATGGGAAGAATCGGATCCAAAATATATTGTGCATTCTTCTGAGGTCCGTTTGAGATCATTCACAACCAAAGTTCACAAAGTCGATACTTTGGTATCGTACAAGGACTTGTAAATGATTCAATCATTTGGAAGAGTGTGGCATAAGAGCATTCACCTTCTTTTTGAGTCCTGTTTCATCTGTGTACAAAATTCGATAAATGATTATAATGTAATCAAAATTCATCGCCCGTTCTCTCCAATAAAAAAATGAAGGAGGTTTCCAACAAGAACTTTTTGAGACCTCGTCGGAGATACATGACTGTTGTTGCGAACAATAGTGAGGATGAATTTATGGAATTTAATGATCGACCCGTGATTGATTTATTTGCACCAACAACTTCAATGAGAGAATCATTTTTTGTGAAGGAGCAAATGAAACTACAAACGAAAAAATCAATCGGAAAATCATCATCGATTGGAGGAACCACTGATCGGAACGTGTTATGTCTTGGCCTTTTTATTTTATTCTTCTTTTTCATTTCGATATGTGTATTTATATTCTGGCTAGAACCAATAATATTAGGAAGAATTTATAGAGATGGAAGTAGATTTTTATTTAACCTGTCTGCACCTCTTACACCAAAGAAGTAGCTTTCTAATTCTCTACTACTATTTACACATTTGTCATAGCACAATTCTTGTGTAATATTATTTATTTTTGAGTCCTATTTCTCTAAATAATATTTATTAGAATTAATTATACAGGCTTTCAATGTAATCATCAGTATCAACATTTAACATATCATCTTCGTTCTCTACTCTCTTATCATTTACGTTTAGGTCAGCATCCGTATCAAAAGAAGCCTGTTTGTTGGCCAATTTGCTGGACGGAGATTTGTTAGCTGCTATAACCATGTCAATAGTTTTTTCATGGATCTTCAACTCTTGCTGCAACTTATCATTTTCCTCCTTCTTCTCCTCTTTCATTTCTTCCTTTTGCTTTTCTTGCTCCTCCTGCTTTTCCTTCATTCTATTTTTCAGCTTGGCCTTCTTTTCAGCATACATTCTTTCCTCCTTTCGTAGATTGAGATCTCTACAAATTTGCTCCAAGTACTGTACACATTCATAATTTTCAGGATCCTTGTTGTGAATTCGCTCATAGCACTTTTTGGCTTGCTGTAAATTGCCCACTCTTCGATGACAACTTGCAACCATCAACTGCCAGTCAATTTTGTTTGGTTGAATTTCTGAAGCCCTTTCAAAATATGCAAGAGCCTTCTCATAAATGTCGTTTTTGACAAAGTAGAATCCAAGCCAAGATATTACGTCCAGATTGATAGGATAATTTTTGTAGGACTCGAGATAATAGTTGAAGGACTGACTTTCATCATTTTCCTTAGCATAAATAGTTCCCAGATCATAGAGAACACCTGGGTCCGTTGGAACTAGAGTAATTAGAACGTTGAACCATTCAATGGCAGTGATATTATCACCCATCTTGGAATGAACACTTGCAAGTTGATAGATCACTTCAATATTTTCTGGAATCATCGAGTGAACTCGTCTAAAACAGGCTAATGCTTCTTCGTACTCTCTCAACTCTCTTGTAACAAGACCCAGATTGTAAATTGCTTGTACGCAGTCTGACTCACATTCGAGAGCTCTTTGGTACATTTCTTTGGCCTCCCTGTATTCCTTATTGAGAAAGTGACAATTACCTCTGTTCACTAAGGCATTTGCATTATACTTGTCTGATTCCACTGCAATATTCGCATATTTTTCAGCATTTTTCATATCTCCTTCCAACAGTATAAGAAAGAGAGATTGGTTGCAGAGCGAGCTTGAAGTTTTCTATCCTTCTTTTCAAATTGCTTGAGAGCCTCAATTGCCTTTTGGAATTGCTTGTGCTTCATGTAAGTCAATGCTTTTGTCATTTCTACTTCGCTTACAATATTACATTTCTCTCTCTTCAATTCATAGGATTTCAATTGCTCAATACAAAATCGTAGCCCTTTTCCCAGTCGTCCTCAATGAGCTCTGCAATTAGTTTTGCACTCTTCAAAATGAAATCATATTGCTTTCGTTGATAATCCTTTAAATAGTCCCTCAAGCCATCATTCATAAGAGAATTGTACTCATCATCCAAATCTTCATCAGCTGGCAGTCCTGGAATATTTACATTCAACAACCTCAAAAATGCTTTTCTCATTTCCTTTTTGTTTCCTGTGCTGTAGTGACATACTACGAGGTTGAACGCAGCATCTATGTCATTATTATTATTTTCAATCACTTCTTCAAAATTAGCAATGGCATCCGAATATTGGCCTATTTTAATAAGAGCCACTCCAATATTTTTCCTGATTTTGTTTCGAATTGTTTTGTAGTCATTTGTAATTTGATCCAGAGCCATTCTGTACATTTTAATTGCAAGTGGATAGTCTCCCTTCTCGAAAAATATATTCCCAATATTCACTCGAAGCCTTCCAGCATGCTCTAATTCCTTATTTCGCACAATGGCATCATAGGTATCCAATGCCTCAGTATACATGCCGTTTAATTGATAAGCTCTTGCCAAGTTAAATTGAACTGCGTACGATAGCTCATGGTTTGGATCTTGATTTAATTGCTTCTCTTGCTTGAAACGCAGCAATGCCTTTTCTCTCTTTTCAGCTTCCTTTGCTTTGTCCAATGCCATGGCAAAGTCTTTGGTATGACATAACATGGCACTCTGTTCAATGGATTTATGAATATTTAGCTCCATTTCAACAGCCATATATGCATCACTCTTTTCGCTCTTCTTTTGAAGAGGAGGAGCCCGTCCTCTACCTCCCACAAAGTTTTCCGAGAGGGGATCTTTCTTTTTAGACGAGAATCCAGCAGCATTAATAGAAGTCATTGGTCTTTGTTGTATTTCCTCTCCAGCAAGCATTGCCGAAGCGGTTCCAACAAACGCACCCCTTGCAGCTGTACCTGTCATACCTCCCCAAGGGTTTCCCGTTTGCAATGATGGTCTCATGGGCCCACCTCGCGTTGCTGGATATCCTTGGTTCGTACTCATTGAATCTCCGAAATCATTGAGCAACGTCTCTGTAGAATTATATCCATAATTTGCAAAGGCATTGCCAAATGCTCCTTGCATATCCTCATCCATGCCCTCTCCGAAGCTATACAAATCTTCCTCTTGTCCGTATTGGTGATTCATGATCATTATTTTTTTTTAAAAGTGTGTTGTTTCGTAAATTTGGGCGGCAACTCGAGACTGAAAAAATGTCGGTTCAAACAATTGGCCCTATCGGAAAGAGAGCCATGACCACAACAAGCGTCCCTCACTAGAAATTCCAACGAAAAGTGCTTCCAACACATGCACCAAGTTCCACTCGAGGAGAAGGAAGACCAATATATCATTCTCTCTCTCCTTAATTTCCTTAATGTTGATATATCTGTTATTATTATCGCCGACATTTCCCGTCCTATTTATAGGGATTGTTGAGTGCCAAAACGAAAATTTTGATTATGAGGAATGGAAGAATCAGTGAGAAAAGTGTGCAGGGCTGTCGAACACTTTATTGAGAACTTTCCGCTTTATGATAAATCTCAATGCGTTTCGTATGATGCGTGTGATCCAATGCTCAACACAAAGATACCAGATTTCAAATGTGAAAAAGGTTTTGGCACAGATGTGGAATGCAATTGCACAGGTGAGATGCTTTCATTGCACTCTCCAGTGGTAAGTAATTGTATGCATGTGGAATGCAATTGCATTTTAAGCCAACACCTTACTCAAGTTACTTCATGCTCCATTTGTAAAACCTGGCTCAGACGAGATCTTTGCATGTCTTACAAAAACGATTGGAGAGATTTATTACGAAAATCGAATGCAAAACAAGCACATTGTTAGGCAAGTGGTGGGCTCTCCTAGAGGAATGGGTCAACTATATCCTGGTAGTAAATGGAGAACAACAACCAAAGAGATATGTAAAAGTGGAGCACCGGCCACGGATTGTCCCAATTTTGATTTCAGAACTCGGCCATGGTATGTGAATGCTGCCTCGGGCTCAAAGTCCATAGTTTTCGTTCTTGATGTCTCTTCTTCCATGAGCATGAACCATAGAATTGAAATTGCTCTTTTTGCTGTAGAAAATGTCATAGACAGCCTCACTGAACGAGATCGTGTTGGAATTGTTTTTTTCAGCTCTTCTGCTTTCTTTTGCCCGCTACATGGAAATAGTCTCCTTTATGCCACTCCTGACAATAAGAAACTCTTGAAAGCCTGTATGGAAGACATGATGTCATTTGGAGAAACAAACTTTGAAAATGCGTTCGAATTGGCTTTTGACTTGTTTGAATTAGAAGCTGCAGATACCTCGTTCAATAGCACACCTACTTGTGAAAAGGTCATTTTGTTTTAACTGACGGTGAGTATTGGTGAATAATTGTTTTAATATTGATCCACATTGCTTTTCAGGTGCAATTACTGATGGTGTAGACCCCAGACCGCTCATTCAAAGAGAAAATGCGAAATTCAATGCCAAAATATTCAGTTTTAGTTTGGGGTCCGAGGCTGACTTGGAAATACCAAAGCGTATCGCATGTGAAAATAGAGGCTTGTGGAATCAAATTTCAGACCATAATCTTCTCGACTTGAGAACGCAAATGGCATCATACTATGAGTATTTAAGCTTTCGTTTAACTGATCAACATGTCACATGGTCAGATCCTTTTATGGATGTTACTGGGCTAGGTGAAATTGTTTCTGTGTCTATTCCATGTATTAGTGAACGAGGAAGATTTTTAGGAGTGGCCGTATCTGCTTGCAACTCTTCTCTAGTCAAAAATGATCCAGAATTTGAGAAAAGAAAGCAAAACAATTTTAATAAGTGTCCTGATGACATTCCTGAAGATTTTCTCATTTACCTTAGAAGTGGAGGAAGTTGCGATTATTGTGGAAATTGTGAATTTCAAAAATGGTATTTTGTTCTTGTTTGGTCCACTTTGGCTGTGCTGTCACTTGGTGTGCTTGGAGTGTTTGGAGTTGGTTTGTACCTTATTATTCGAAAGATTGCTCGAAAAAAGAAGTGGCAACGGTTAAAAGACGAAGTGTACAATGAATCGCTCACACACAGGCCTTCGTTTTTTAAGAAACGTGGAAAGTTGGAAAAGATTATTCTTCCAAAAAAGATTGAAGATGAAGAGTTGGAAGTGACACACAATTCCTTGAAGCGAATTTAAGTTTGACTGTAAAGCGTAAGGCAATTTCCTTACAGCGCATGCCCTTAACTGAATGACACACAGAGAATAATCAGCTTTATGTAAATAGGATTGGAAGAACGTTACAAGGAGGTTGATTCACAACATAAATCAAACAACCCCTTCATGTCATCCTCGCTGCCAAGCGTCACCCAAAAAAAATGCAAAAATTTGTTCGACCCTCCAACAACAGTCTGACATCACAACTAGGAAGACTTGTTTTCGGACGTTCTTTCATATTTGCCTGTCTAGTTTTTCTAACAGTCTTTTTAGTTTATTTGTTTGTTTCTCACTTGTCAAATTCCGCTCTCTCAAAACAACAAGAAAATTCATCACATTCACTCAATGATGATGGCCCTGTTACACTCATCGAAAATGGAAAGAAGAAATCTCTTGTTCCGAACGATGATGAAGAAGACAACACCCCAGTAGATCCTCGACTTCCAAAGAGACAACAAGTCGATTTTCAAAAACATGAAACCATTGAAAGAATGGATGATATAGAATATGATGCAAGAGTGTCGAAACATGAATTTTTAAAGAGTGACAAGATTGATATTGAATACTTTGCCAAGGGTATCATTTTGTCGAACAGGTTGGAACCTTTTTATATCAATGAAGAATTAGAACAACAAGTTTCAATTCGAAGCAATCCAAATCGATTGAAAAAATACTTTTTCACACCCGAGTTGAGACAAAAGATTAAAGGTAGCTCCATGACCGATAGAAGAAAGAAGGAAATTTATAAAATTGGGGAGTTGAAAGGAGACAGATATAGTGTCACGACTGACGTTCCGGGTTTTAAAGTCCATGTGAAATTCAACCATATTCCTTATCGAGATGATTTTGTTAACTATCCTTTCGTAAAACCAAGAACAAAAACGGCATACTGTGAAGAGGACAATTTGTGCCAAACTGAACATGGAAATAACATGTGCTCGATTTGTGACATTGGAAAAGACAAGAGAGAAAGCAAATTCTTTTACAAGAGTTGGTGTTACAAACCAAATATTGATTTTGCAATTGTCTCTATCGAAGATGGTATTTTAGATTACGGAACCGATCATGCTGAAGTGAGACACTCGATTTTTGACAAGAGTGGAAACTTGTACTCCATGCCAATATGGCATCCAATCAAACTTCAAGACGAACGCAAATGGAGCGTTGCTTACAATCCTCAAATTGCTGTGGTAGGAAATGTTTGGTTCCCAAGTGGTAAGTATCATGAGTGTGTAATTTTTTTCATGTATTTCATGACATTTATGCACATGTGATGAATGTAAAAATACTTGTTATTTCACACAATAACAATAACAACAACAGCTGTGGGACACTTTCCAATTGAAATTTTACCAAGAATTATTCTCCTCTCGACCTATCTTCCATTGAATATTCCAATTCTTGTCTACGGTGGTGAATATGTCGAAAAAACCATCAAAGTGTTGACCGATGCTGGAGTTTTTCCAAAAGAGAGAGTTTTCATGTATGCAGAACCCAATATTTATTACACTGCAAAAGATTATACTTTTTGCATTCCAATGAAGATGTCTATACTCCACTCACGACCGATATTGCATTGAGAGTGGCCTCAAGTGCGCTTCAACAACCTCTCAAACGTAATTTAATTGCAAACCCAATTCGAAAGGACACAAAGAGAGATTACATTCTAGTTGTAGATCGATCCGATTCCAACATGAGAAGAATTAATAATAATGATGAAATGGTCAAACAAATTTCTAATGTGGTTAAGGACTCGATGGATGTGATTCCTGTGAAATTGTCACAATTAAGCTCCTTTTTGGAAATTGGAAAAGTATTTTATGATGCCAAAGCAATCATTGCACCACACGGTGCAGGTCTTGCAAATTTGAGTTTTGCCAAAAGATCCACCAAATTCGTCATTGAAATTGGATGGCCAGGAAGACCTAAAGAATTCCATTGGCCAGGTGATTACTATTGTCAATCGAGAGGGTCAGGTCTCAAGTATTACGCTGTCACTGCAGTAGAGGGACATTACAGTTCCTCGGGTGGAATGAAAGTGGATGTGGATGAAATTGTGAGCATTGTGAAGGATGAATTCAAACTGTAAAATGTATTGAAATATAAAGACTCAATTTTAAAAGAGCATAGAACCATGTATCATGTTTTATAATTTCTCGAATTCTCGAACATGAATGGTCGGTGTGATGTACTGACCTTCCGTGTTACAATGCAGAATGTAAAAATTGGACAAAATTTTTGGAATGATTTGTCAAAAAAAATGATTTCGCGTTCTCATCCAGACAGCTACGTGATTGGATTGAAATGATCACAGGACTTTGCTTTGTCAATCCCAACAGCTTTTATGAATCTTTGAAAGATGGTGTTCTCTTATGCGAGTACGTGTTTTTTTAATTCGAATGGATTAATCTTTTCATAATGTTTTTATATGATGATCAGACTCTATCTCCAATTATTTGATCCTTTTAACACCACTAATTTGAGATTTTACTCATTTCTGACCACCAAATTGAGTCCTTCTCAAGAACGAGACAATATTTCTTCGTTTATCACTGCCTTGAAAGAACGTTCAATGAAATGTGAGTGGAATGTCGATGCTCTTCATTCCAAAAAGGATCTTGATTCTGTATTGGAGACTCTTTCAAATTTGAAAAAGCAATTTGAAAAGAAGTTTGGAAATGTGACTTCTGATGACGAAGAAGAGGACGAGGACTATGAAGAGAGTGACGAGGACGATGATGAGGAAGAGTTCCAAGATGACAGTTGTCAAAGTGTGGAGTATAATATTATGGCTCTAAAAGATCAAATGAAGAATCCCTTTCCGGAACAGGTTCAACACTTGAGAGAATTATTACTTCACAAACCCTTGACATGGTGTCAAAATTTCACTTCCGAACAATCGTCATGTGAAGGTGGTGGTATGCGTTATTTGTGTGAAATCATTTCAGCATTGAGTAAGAAATCCTATCCTTCAGACTCTGAATGTAAAACCATGCAATTCTCGATTGAGTGTTGTCGTGTTCTTGTCAAGAGAGGAATTGTTGAACCATTGTTGGTCAAGACGAAATCTTGCACACGATTAGATACTTTCATCTCAATCCTATTTCAACACTCCAAAGTGAAATTGTGAAAAGTATCTTGTCTCTTCTCATTCAATTGTGTCACTCAAAGAAGGAACATCATGTACGAGCGGTGCTTCAAAGTTTGGAATCCAACATGAAGGAACATGATGAACCTTTTCGATTTTTCAGATTGATGGAATGGTTGAAACAGAGTGACATTGGTCAAAGTGAGTATGTTCAGGGAGAAATTTGTTTGAAAACTCTCATTCTGCTCCATTCATTGATTCATTCTTCACATGTGTATGTTCAGTCGCTGGTGAGAGACGAATTGGAAGAAACACATTTGGAAACAGTTCTGGAGGAGTTGGAAGATCGTTTTCCTAAAAACCAAAGGCTGCAAGAATATATTCAACAATGTCTTGAAGCGCTCTAAAATGTGTTGATTTGACCTATTGGTGCAACGTTCTCATTTCTTTTCCAGTATCCCACACAGTGAATTTTCAATAAATTCTTGAATTGTACAAGCAATTCACATGATTCGACACTTTTTCTTGTCTTTCTTGCCCAATTTCAAATGATGATGGACCAAACATATAAACAAACGATTCATGTCGATTGGGTGTAATCGATATCGTTCCAGTGTATGGATCATGGTTCTCTCCACTTGATCATGATCGTATAAATTGCATTGAGTGACACTCACATCATGCTTGCCAAAATAATTCTTTTCGTTCACCATTTCACAAAGTTTCTGGAAAATTACATCTTTACATTCATGCTGTGTGTGCAATCCAATAGTATACAGCAATTTATAGTCAATATCATTATTCATTATGGATTTTAGAGACCTGAGTTCAGATTCCAAGACGCGTTCCAAACCATTCAACGAATCATCCACACTACTCTTTGGAATATTTAGAATATAAATCACTCCATTGACATTTCGAACGATTATTTGCAAAAACGCTACAAATTCTTCTTGAAGTGTATAGGTCTCGGTTAGAAAATGAATTGTTTCACCACCATTTTGATCCTGTTCAAAAATTTGTCGATGGCTTCTATAATCCCCACCAGCATGTGGATCATAATTTTCATAAAAGAAGCGAGATTGCAATTGAGTATTGAACCCCTCAGCATAAATAAATCCATGATTGGAACAAGTTGCAAAATAGGGTATCGTGTCACTTTGGGAGGTGGTGTCGAGTTTTGACTGTTGCTCTCGTTCCAAATTGTCATTCTCTGAGTGATGCCACTCCAGAACTGTAGAGAATTTGTATTTGATGAAATACCGAATGGTAAAATAGAGAGACATGAGAAAGGGACGATATGGTCGTTTCGATGACTCTTGTCTCGAAAATTCTTGTTCAATGATATTCAAGTCTATATGAAATTGTTTCATTAATAATTGACTCCATATTGTAAAATGATTTCCGATCGTTTGGTACAACCACGGACAAGTTAAGGATAAATTCAGAAGAGTTTTTGGAGAATTTGAAATGCAAGGTAAAATAAAAGTTGAGAGAACATCTCGGAATGAGTGTTGATTCCAAGGATGATGTACGGTGTCATTTATGAATGATATTTTTTTTATTAAAGTTCCTTCTATGCTGGTTTCTAACGTACTTTGTAACACTGTTCATTCGACCAATCGAGCTCGAATTTTCTTAAAATTGCATTTTTTTACAATGAATTGAGGCCTCTTTTGTGAAGGCTTTCAATGATAAGGCTTGTGCTTTTCATTGAAGGGTACAACAAGCACGCTTTGTATTTCATACAGAACTCTGATAAGAAAAAACAGCTTCAAATCACATTTCAACAACACTCTCAGAAATGAATTCCATATGCGTTGAATGTTGTGTCTCCAAATACACATTGTCATGTCCAACATTTATACATATTCATCTCATTCATGCCCATGAAGCAGTCATCATGTACAGTCAAATGCTTCTTTCAACAATTAACGTCGTTCATGAGAATTCTTTTCATCGGTCTTTTACATGCCACTACTTGAATTTTCAAACATTACACGATCACCACCAATGCATCATCCACAGCTGGTCTTTGCAACTTCAATTCATCCATGTACATGATTATTTTCAAGTGTTATTTCAAGATATGGTTCAAGCATGGCCGTCCCACTGCTAACTCGGTGAAGGAGCAGCCTCTGATGACTCTGTGAATTTTTGTAAGAGGAACCAATTTGGCAAGTGTGTAGAATACCTGTGTCAAGTGTTCAATTGGAGCATTGACAAACTGAAAACAACACCAAACTCCAGGAAGAGGTTGCCACTTTCATATACCAGCAAACGGAAATCAAGGAAACTACTCACAAATAAAGTGCATTTTGTTATTAAAAAAATGTTATTTCTTCTCGATGCTTCAGCTTGAACAAGTACCATCAACTCCATTACAGCTATGATGGAAGGGTCTAACAAATAAACTATGGCAAATCAACAAACGGAAGTACGAGAAGAAAGCAACAGATGCATTTATTTCGGCTGTAATTTTGTTGATTCTTCTTCACTCTTGGATTCGTGCTTTTTTTACTCAAATATATTTACATTCAAATAATGCAAGAGCTCACAGCCATTCTTAAACAAATATCGTTGCCATGATCTCTTCTTACTCTGGATTGACAATATCAACCAATGTGCACCGGGCGTTTGATGCGTAATATGCAACAATTTGATTTTGCGAAAAGCAAAAATTTCATTTCAGTGCACTTTCACCCAAAGACTGTAAACACTATCAATTTCCATCAATATTATTCAACAATAATATCATTACTATTGAAGAATGGAAATTATTGAGTAGAATGGATCAACGCACTGCATTACAAAATCCCTTACTTGCCTTACATACTTTTTCAATAGGTGGACCTTGGAGGAAATTTCACAACAAGTTCAACAACATCCACTCACCACCATGGATACAAACAAAGAGTAATATTAATTCGATTATTACAAGTTGACGCAACCATGTACACGTGATCTTGAATTGCAATATCCTCAATTCGTTTCTTTTTCGTTTTATGAAAAATTCCTTACTTTCATCAAGTCGACTGAACAACATCATGCCACCAACCACAACCACCACCACACACTTAACTTCTCCTCCAAGACGAAAAGATAACGTGTCCTCGTCATCATCCAACCTTGCGTCCACGAGGGCCTTGACAAATCCGTGACTCCGTCCACCATCAACAAAGAAATAAATCATTTTCTCATACATGTATCAAATCGTAGCAACCTTCTTTCATCAGTGCGTCATTGAAACAAGCCTTACATTCATTTTACCGCCTCAGTTCATTACATTCCACGAAGAACAAAGCTCTTGCCGCTAAATTACTACAATATAGCTTGTTAAAAGCCTTAAATACTCGGAGTGTTCTATTGGCAGAAATATCATCAAATAAAAAACCAACACATCCAATGCATTACTATTGCGTGGCTTGCAAATTTGAACACACCAAGCAACAGAAAGTCTCTTCCAAGTCAGTGCTAACATTGATCCATATTGTGATCCATATCCAGGCAACGACGTGTCAATTTGCCTATTTGAGTCATGTTTCTGTTGTACCAACTTTTTCATCCCACAAGCCGTCCAAGAGATCTGTACCAACCTTATCATCCAGCAAGGTTATTGATGTAGGATCTAATCGACCTACCCCCATTACTTACTCAAAAAGCATCCATAACAAGAAATCAATTACTCCAACTGTGAAGGCTATCAGCAGCATGCAAAAGAAGGAAGCAGGGCGGCCTATTAAAGATTTAGAAACCTCCAAGCACAGTCTCAATTCCTCTTCTTCATCCGTTGGCCCTAAAACCTTCAGTAAAAACTAGGGTTGTACAATCATCTTGTCAAGTTGCCGTACCCGTTATTGATATAATGGTTGATGAAAATGTGGATCCACAAACCTCCGCAATATTGAGCAACAAGTCAAAGACTCCTCAAAACAAGTGCTCCTCAACAACAGAAGAACATTTCTCAAAGAAAGAATAAGAAAGGTTTTGAGATTCTTGATCTACAAAGAGCTAAAATGCTAGGCCATACAGGAACAATAAAAATTGACAAGTTCTTCCCCGACTCTCCTTACGGATTTCAATATCCGCCCAAACAAGATCGCCTTATTGAAAAAGCATCTCTTGAGAAGATTAATAAATATCTTTTCATTCTCAAGAATTTTGTTGGTAAATCGATTCATATGTGGAAATGAAAATTTTCGATTTCAAAAATTTCAATTTGGCATCTGTGGTAATATAAAAGCACAACAGTGTTTGCGAGAGGGAGAGGCAAAAGTATCACAAGGTTAAGGAAGAAGGAGTCATGTGTCCGAGTCATCCATCGGTGTCTTGGGAAATGTGTGACCCAGAGTTGGGCATAACAGCTTGTCTCAAATGTGGACTCGTTCACATGGACAAACAATTTGCCTCTTTGAAATGTTGTTCCACACACTCGATGGGAGGTCCTCCACAATGTCTTCCAGCATGTTCTCTGTGTGGAATTGTGATTGAGAATTTGTATCAGGCAGTGGCTGCTTGCATTCATCACCTCAAATTCCAAATGGCAAGCAAGACGAAAAGGTCCTTCACTTGCCACTGCATTTAGAAAGGAAAAGGACCCCAATTGGTTCAAAACTGAGGAGCCATTGGAAATTCTCTGCAAGGCGTGTCATCACTTGCTGCATGATGGAGAAGCAAGGAACCCAAACGGAGGAAAAAGTTCTTGATGACTTTAATGAGTGGGTCCAAGTTCACATCAAGATGGTTCAATTGTTGGGAGCCAAATGTGCCAAGTGTGATTTGGATTTTGAAAAATTAGGTCTTGCTTTTTTCATTCTCGCTCATGTCCATCACATCAAAACCGATGGTGCTGATCAGAGACGCAGTGCCACACACATTCTCGAGCTTGAGGATAGAGACGAAATTGCTACACATGTGAACGAATACTCTTGCACTGGAAGGAAAGCAGCTCGAGTTATATCAGTGTTTGTGTGCTTGCTGTCATCAAATGGTCCACATGGAAAAGAATGCGCGACTGGTTTTGAGCAAGGAAGAGCATTCCGAGGATAGAGAGAAGGTGGAAGAAATGTTCAATTTACAATCAAGATTCCGTTTGATCCCAGAAATTAAGAGAAGACTCTTTGGTGGCCGTGATGATGAAAAGTAATTTTGAAAATCATCAGCAACTGACAATAAAAATAATAACACCGGTCATTTTTTTGTGGTTTTTCATTGATCATGTTCATCGAAAATCCCTCAATATTAGATTCTTGAAAGCGAAAATCGAGTCCAATCTCCACCAATACATACATGAATGTCCGAAGCTTGACCCTGAGAGATACTTCTGTGAAATGATCTCTTCTTTGATTTCCCAACCATGTACAATCACAGATTCGAATTCGTGGTTTAATCCACATCGTCCCACCTTCTACGTCCATCACTCCGGTTTCCTACCTCCAGATAGTGATGCGATAAGGCACGTCCCAGCTATTGAAAGGAATTGGCCTGAAATCCAAGTACTGTTAGCCCTCTTCGTTGGCAGATGCCACAAATACTACTACTCTGACAAGATTGAAGACTAAGGACCTTGTGTCCTTAGTTAGAATCCCAATTGGATTCGGTGTACATATATTGTGGCGTACTTGGAACCATGTAGGTCAAAATTCACGCAGAAAGAATTTTTCAGAATTGATCGTGTCTGTAACAAAATAGGTGCTAGAGTTGACAGGGATTTCGACCAAACAGAACCCAACGAGGGGAGTGTTGAGGTGCCCATCTTTGTCATCGTCGGTCCCTACATCTTAATCTCCAACAATCATTGTTGGTTATAGTTATTGGCTTGTTTTTCTGTTGTCTCAATTATCGTCTTGTTAGATTGGCAGTGGTATAATTGACCAGGTGTCTGTGTTTGGGGCTTTTGACAATGAGCTACTCTGGTAAGCAGCTGGTGGCATGAATGATTGAGGGTTTAATACTGGAGCAAGACTTGAAGTCAAGCTAAGGGCTTCCATGTGGACTGGCCGTTAAAAACCATGAAGAGAGTACATCATTTGCTTTTTGAGCAAGTTGGATTTGATGTTGGCTTTTGAGAATAACTTTGCGAACTTGGATCCAGATTGTCTTGCCCCATTGTTTCATTAAGGGTTTCAGGAATTTTTCTGAGAATGTTTTAAAATTCCTGAAAATTCTAGCGGGAGAAGTGTCGGGGAAAAGCTGGGAATTTTCAAGAATTTTACTCTGAAAATGACCTACATGGTTCCATGTCCGCCACAATATCTCAATAAATTTTTTTGTGGTTTTAAATACACAGTTGGAAATCCGCTACTGACGTCGAATCCAACGTGGTTATATCCACCACTACTCACTAATAAAATTCCAAATTAATTGCTCAAAAAACGAAAAATTTCAATTGGCATCTGTGGGAATGAAAAAATTTCAATTGGCATCTGTGGTGGGAATATAAAAATTTCAATTGAGGAACTTTATATTCTGAATTCAGTAAAGCATCTAATCCTGCAATTTTAAAATTGTAGATCATGATGTAAAGGGATGGAGTCACTTGGGAATGAAAAAATTCGATTTGGTATCTGTGAAATATAAAAATTCGATTTTAATTTGTTCAATGTTATACGGTGGTTCAGGGTTTAACTTTCTGTGTTTAGAATACTTGTACTCTGAGGTTCTTCCTCAAAGCCTTGTACTGGGGATTGTTAAAGTCTTTAACATGAAGTAATTTTTCTAGCAATGTTTCCCTCTAAAAATTACAATTACATGTTGAAAATAACAACTTCACTAAGGGGAGAGTTTAAAAAAAATAGTCATGCCAAAACCATCCAAGTCTGATAATAAGAGAGCCCAGAATGAAGCCTCTTCTTCTTCAAATGAGCCTCAACTTGCTCCACCAACTCCAAAGAAGACAAGGCTCGTGCAATCCAGACTAACTTTCGGTGGTTCCTCTTCATTAGTTGGCCAACATTCATTCTCGGTTGATCAGGTGGCGTCATCTTCCTCTCATCAAGATCAACCAATCAAGATTCAGTCAACCTTACTCCCTTCAGGGGCTTCTGTTGTAAAAACTAGGGTTGTACAATCATCTCATCAGGTTCAGTCTTCATCTACCGTACAACAACAACCAGTCATTGATGTAACGGTTGATGAAAATGTTGATCCACAAACCTCCGCAATGTTGAGCAACAAGTCAAGGACTCTTCCAAACAAGACGAGTACTCCTCCAAACAAGACAAGTACTCCTCAACAACAGAGGAACACTTCTCAAAGAAGGAATCAGAAAGGTTCTGAAGCTCTTGATCTACAAAGAGCTAAAATGCTGGGTCACACAGGAACAATATATATTGACAAGTTCTTGCCCGACTCTCCTTACGGATTTCAATATCCGCCCAAACAAGATCGCCTTATTGAAAAAGCATCTCTTGAGAAGATGGAACAACTCTATACATATCTGCTCATCCTCAAGAAATTTGTTGGTAAATTGAGAGCTGCTAATATTACCCATCTCGAAAAGGAGGTGCAAGAGGGTGGAGGACCCAACACATTCTTCAAGTCTCTCTCGAATCGAAAGAAGATGTGCTCTCTTGTGAACAATGCAGTGAATCAACAAAAGGATACTTTTGAAAAGAGAGAAAAGGCACGTAAAAGTACCAACACGAGAAGAGCCAAGTTGGTCGAGGAAGGCAAGTGTTCCGAGTGTGGTCATGTCATGGATAATGTTGCATTGACCAGTGCTGATAAGGAGTTCCTTAATGATAAAGATGTTCTCTTGGTCGAAGGAAGTTCTTCTGCCAGTTCCAGCAACAGTTCCAGCAACAGTTCCACCAATATTCTCGATTATGGTGATGAGATGGATGCAGAGACCTTGTTCGATGATAATGGTTTCATTCGAACAACCTTTCTTCGTCCCAGATGTCAACAGTGTTTACGTAAACACAACGAGAGGGAGAGGCAAAAGTATCACAAGGTTAAGGAAGAAGGAGTCATGTGTCCGAGTCATCCATCGGTACCTTTGGAAGTGTGTGACCCAGAGTTGGGCACAACAGCTTGTCTCAAATGTGGGCTCGTTCACATGGGAAAACAATTTGCCTCTTTGAAATGTTGTTCCACACACTCGATGGGACGTCCTCCACAATGTCTTCCAGCATGTTCTCTGTGTGGAATTGTGATTGAGAATTTGTATCAGGCAGTGGCTGCTTGCATTCATCACATCAAGTTCCAATTGGCAAGCAAGACGAAAAGGTCCTTCACTTGTACCAAGTACTTTGCCACTGCATTTAGAAAGGAAAAGGATCCCAATTGGTTCAAAACTGAGGAGCCGTTGGAAATTCTCTGCAAGGCATGTCATCACTTGCTGCATGCAGTGTACTTGATGGAGAAGCAAGGACCAATGGAGGGTGAAAAAGTTCTTGAAGACTTTAGGGAATGGGTCCAAGTTCACATCAAGATGGTTCGATTGTTGGGAGCTAAATGTGCCAAGTGTGATTTGGATTTTGAAAAGTTGGGTCTTGCTTTTTTCATTCTCGCTCATGTCCATCACATCAAAACGGATGGTGCTGATCAGAGACGCAGTGCCACACACATTCTCGAGCTTGAGGATAGAGAGCATATTTCCCAAAGTGTGAACGAATATACTCTTGCACTGGAAGGAAAGCAGCCACTCGAATTGTATCAGTGTTTGTGTGCTTGCTGTCATCAAATGGTCCACATGGAAAAGAATGCGCGACTGGTTTTGAGCAAGGAAGAGCATTCCGAGGATAGAGAGAAGGTAAAGGAAATGTTCAATTTACAATCAAGATTCCGTTTGATCCCAGAAATTAAGAGAAGACTCTTTGGTGGCCGTGATGATGAAAAGTAATTTGGTAATTATCGTGGGCATTAAACCTTCATTTTTTTGTGTGTTTCAATAATTCATTCATTTCTTGGTGGAATTTTAGAGTTTCAGTTCGGCACCTGTGGAATTATATATGTATATTATGTATATTTAAAAAAATTCGATTTTGGCATCTGTGGTGGGAATATAAAAATTCGATTTTGGCATCTGTGGGGTTTGAACCCACGAACCCATACGGGATTAGATCTTAAGTCTAACGCTTTTGACCACTCAGCCAAGATGCCATATGATAAAGGAAATTTGTGGTGTGTCATGACCGAGAGAAATGCGGTCGCTTCCATTACAATATTAAAAACAGTTTGCGCAAGTTGCTGCATGTAAGGCGTCCAATGTATCTCGACTCTATCATTTCAACAATGTCATCCATCGATACTCCAAGAGAATTATTACAAATGATCACCCAACGTTGCCATGCATGTGCCGATCCTGATTGAGTGTTCATTGATCGAGTGCTCTCTGCTGATCTGGGACATGTTCAAGCTATTATTGAATAGTTTCTACATGATCATGAAACTTTGGAGTTGTAAATGGCAACACCCCCATCCCTCATGAAAAATTCCAAACGATTCCTTTGAATTGTCTGAAGCATGCGAGATTTCTCTTGCAAGTTTGGGTGTGAAAAGTTGAAAGAGAATAAGGCCAGTTTCGAATTGGGTGCGGATAAAGTTGCAATGGTTGGGAGTGAAAAATAGTTCATTAACGTCTATTGTATCTAATAACATCTCTGAGAGACCACAATAGGGATAAGCATTTGGAGGCTTGTGTTTCGATTGACAGCCGTTGAATTTGACTGGACTGGTACATGTTGTTTGAGGGTAAAGGGCAACAACTACCTTTTGTCGTAAAGACATGGGTCAATTTTCAGCTACTTTGAATGCTTGAATAAAAGAGACCATCTGTGATCAACAGCAGTTTTGGCATTTGTGGTTGAGTGAAAAACGAATATTTAAAAAACTCGCTTGGCGACAAGCCAAAGCAATTCACAAATGCAACGTACGCAAGAACGGTTGCTTGATCAATGAAATGGAAGTGCTCTGTGTTTTGTTCTAGTTTTTACACGAAAAAATGACAACTCAAGCATCATCATCTTTATCAACATCTCCCATGATCGCCACTCATGTGACACACAGACACATGTGTGGCAAATGCAAGAGTGTGTGTCTTCCACAATATTTGCACAGATACAAAAATCCAATGACAATCTTCAAATTCGTGTTTAAAACTAAATGTACCAACGAGAAATGCAAGTTTTTCGGCGAGACTGGCTTGATTGCATGTCCAATGTGTGAGAAAACCTTTACAAAACCATCCTCTTACAGAGATCACATTAACACACATGAAGACCAGGACCACTCTCAAATCAAATTTAAATGTTGCACCTACTCCACAACAAATCCAGTACACTTGCATGAGCATATTGTTGAGTGCCATGTACCAGATTCGATGGAAATCGTGGATGAGAGAGTTGTAAAAAAACCAAAAATCATCAATGTCGAAAAATCATCAAGCAATGGCACGAACAACATGCTTTGCAGCAATCAAGATGTAGTAGTCACGTCTGTTTCTGATCGAATAAAGTGAGAAGGTGCCTTAATCAAAGTATTCGTTTGATTGAACATCAGATGACTCCAATGAAAAAGACTTTGGTTCTTCTCGCAGTACGATTGCCTTTCCAAGAGCTGTTAAATTCCGAAACAAAATATTACACTCCACCCGTGCAACCCGTTTTGAATATTATGTTTAGGTTTATTTCGGAAAAGGGTTTATACAACACATGATGAAGAGGAAGCAATACGAGGCCACATATCAGCACATTCCTTGGCAACTGGACCAGCAACAGCAGATCCCTTCATTTCACCCTTGTTGTTCACAATAACTCCAGCATTATCTTCAAAGTAGATAAAAGTACCATCTCTTCTTCTCCATGGCTTCTTTTGTCTAATAACGACTGCAGGCATGACCTTCTTTCTGAGTTCTGGCTTACCCTTCTTGACAGTAGCCATGACCATGTCTCCGACACCAGCAGCTGGCAATCTGTTCAATCTACCTTGAGTTTGATTGACAGCAATGACGTACAAGTTCTTTGCACCACTGTTATCAGCACAGTTCATGACTGCTGTTGTTGGCAAAGCAGAAGAAATTCTGAACTTGTTACCGAGACCACCTGTTGCTCTCTTTGATGCCATTTCTATAGTATGAAGTTAGTGAGAATTTGCAAGAAGAATGTTGAACAAGTCAATATAAAACGAGGTGTGAGAGAAGAATACGTACGTAATTTTTGACTATTTTTTTCAACGAAATTTTTTCAAAATTCTAGTCAACCGATATTTCAAAGTTTACAATGCACAACTAAAAAATGTTTGACCTGCCTTTGATCCCCGAAACAACATTGCTGAACATTCGAAAATGGTTTTGAATCAGCTTGGGTTGCCTAATTCTTGATATCATATATTCTTCAAGAACCTTTTCAACGAATGAGCTTGTATTTGGAGGCTTTTTAATCCATTCCAAAATATAAAAATGAAAAGACTCGTCGTGCTTCTCCTTCCGCTCATCCTACTCGCTGTGATGATCCGATGGAGTCATCAAGGATCTTCTATACAGCAACCACTTCATCATCAAAAAACATTTACAGTAAAACCTGGACTGGAAAATTATCAAGCAACTGTTGGATTGGATGGTGTTACTTGCTCCTTTAAATTTTCTACAAAATCATGTTCCGAATCGGAAGATGACAAAACAAAGAATGAAGACAAGAAAAAGCTCTCCTATGAAGAAGTACTCACAAGATTACCAAAAGGAACTTGTCTCAATAAGGTTGAGGGTTATTGGACCTATTCTTATTGTGCAGAAGGAAAAATTAAACAATCACACGGAAATGATGTCTATCATCTCGGAACCTTTTCTTCATACAAGAAGGATAGAGCACTGTTTACGAATGGACAAATTTGTGAATTGGATGGTAAGAAATTTGAAAGATCCACCCAGGTCATTTTCATGTGTGGAGAATCGACAGAGATTGTTGGAATTCGTGAGCCTACTCCCTGTCGATATGAAATGATTGTGACTGAGCCCAAGTTGTGTGGAGAGGATTCACCCTTCCCTGTGTATCATCATGAAACAAGTACCTCCTCAATTACCATTGCCTCTATTTATGATCATTTTGAAATTAAGATTGAAAAGACACTCTTCCAAAAAGAATATCTTTGTACCGTACAGGCAATATTGAGAGATTTGAAACCAAATCCAACTACATGTTTCAAATCGTTTTCCATGTCCCTCGATAAAAAGCCAAAGAGCAAATCAGCACCCCTCAGCGCTCGTGCCATGCACCATGGCAGAGTTCCATTCAGAGATACTGAGCTTAAACATACTAGAGATGGTCAAGAAGTGAAAAGTACAAAGCATTTTGATGGCTCTTTGGATTATATTCAAGTCAAATAAGACAGTACAGGGCCACATGCTGTTGAATGTGAAAGTGTTTCACAACAAGTTGATCAAGACGCATCGATTGCAGGTCTTCAAGTGGTCATCAATGGTGGTGGAACTTTACAGTACTGAATGGACACCACTTGTTCCATACCTTGATAAATTATTTCATACACAATATTTATTTACTTCAATCAAATTGCTCAATCAAAATTTAATGGACATTTACAAAAAAATGCTCCACAACACACGAACGTTGAAAATTGTCAAACCTCTAACTTCCTTCTCTAAATTCGCCCTTCGGAATGGAAATATCAACTCAATTTACGCACTATCACGAATACCTTCACAACATTTTCATGGAAATGGTTTGAAAACTGGAGTTTTTAACAATTCCGAGACGAGGAATTATTGCTCGCTTCATCTCTGGAATGATGGTCTCAAACTCACCACCAACCCTTTATCAAGCAAAACTAGCATCCAAACACTCTACCTGAAAAATTCAAATTTTATAACAACGAAACGATACTACTCCGAAGAGGTTGTATCATTCAGCAAGGAGGAAGATGTCAATGATCCTCTCTATGTTTCAGAAGAAGAAAAACGTCAAAAATCAGAAAAGATGGGAATGTTTTATACGTGCAAACCTTGCAAACAGAGACACTACATTGAGTTTTCCAAACATGCCTACAATAAGGGAGTTGTAATAACGCGGTGTAAGAATTGCCAAAGTCTTCATCTTATTGCAGACCATTTAGGTTGGATTAGCGACAATAAGAAATCGTTGGAAGACATGTATGGAAAGATTGTAAAGCAATCGGACCTACTCAAGCAACAACAGTCAACGGAAAAGAATGAATAATAAATAATTTATAATGATTAGAATACAGCTTAGCTCAATTCGAAAACGCTCTCGTCATATATGACCTTAGTGCTTTCGAATAGTCTTAATTTCATTTGGAATATTGTCAATGCACTTTTCAAAAACGTTAACCAAAACATCGTATCCTTCTTCAAACTTGATATGCAATGGTCTTTGAGCCTCATTGGAATACTCATTGCTAATTAAAATTGCTCTATGGCAACTCTTTAAGAACGTCACGCAAACGCTCTTCAGCTTGGTGACAAATTCTGCCTCGTATTTAGAGACCTCATTCGGATGGAGGAATGAATTTACAATGTGAGGAATGCCTTCGTTCACAGTTGGGATAACAACACCTGTGAGTACAAGATGAAGTTGACTCACGTCAATTGGTGCAGATTGTGCTTTCTTCTTTTCACCGTCATCATTAGGAGATGATGGAGTATTGGAAACAACTTCAGCTGCAACAACGTTCATAGCTTCAACAGCAGATGCACTTTGGTCAGTAATGAACTCTTCATCGACATCAAAATCATCATCCAAAATTCTACCAAATCTAAATACTTGTTTCTTATCCTCATCTTTATCTCCAATGGTAAGATTTTCAGCACCCATACAAACATTGGCGAGTCTTTGGATGGATCCTTCAACAATCTCAATAGCATTCTCGATGGGTGATAAGTCTGTATATTCCTTGGATAATACTTCACTTCTATTGAGTACAGAAGGGAAAGTAAATTTGGTAGTAATGATTGTCTTTCTCTTACACTGTTCAGTAATGTTTCCATGTGATTTTTTACCAGCTAGTGTGAAAGGAGTTTCAAAAATAAACTTTGAAATGTTCACATTCTCATTAAAGTACCGATCACTGTTTGGAATTTCATATTGAACAACGTTATTGGTGTAATAGGGTTTCACTGAGGTAATTTGGACATAGGCCTCATCCTCTTGTTTCATGGCGTCAGTAATGACTTGAGAGTCACCAATAATTTTGAGTTCCTTTCCGAAACGGAAATGATCTTTCAAGTAGGTCATTAAATTGTTCAAACGAGTAGTCTTGGGCATTTTGTAAACAAATTCCTTCTCACGAACATTGTCAGGTAAGAGCTTTCCAACAAAATAGATACGGTAATAGGCGCCGAATAAACGAGCAGTTCTAGTTTTTGGTTCAGCCATTTTGGCATACAAGTTGCTTAATTCATTGTATTCGTTCTTCATTCGCTCAAAATCACCTTCAATCTCAAAAAGACCTAATAACAATTTGTGCAATTCTGCCATGAATTCATAATAGCCATCTTCTTTGCAATAGTGGATGGCGCTATAGAGCAGTTGTACCATACCATCTCTGTTAAAGTAGTGAGATTCAAATTCTGGTCCAATATTTTCCGTTGTTGTTGATTTCTTTTGGAAGAGAGCTTTCAACTCTAAAAAGTTTTCAGTTCGTAGATATGGAGAAATGTTCAAGAAATGTTGAGAAAGTTCTGAAATTTTCTTTTGATCAGTGCCATATTGATTACCCCAGACCGACTTGTCACGTCTCAACTTTAAGTATTCAAACACAACTCCAGCAATGTAGACGTAGCATTGGGAAGCTTCGATATATCTTTCATGCTTGATGTGTTCTTGAGCAAGGTTGTGATACCAAGTCACAGAAAGCTCAGGTGCATGCTTGTAACCACCAGCAATTCTATGATACAAGTCACACATGGTCTCTTGATCAGCCTTTCTCTTCTTGAGCTCTTCAATTTGAACCGTGTCGAGGAGAGTCTTTCTCAGTCTTTCGACGAGTTGCTTCACTTGCTGACTATATGGCATCTTGTATGCAAGTTCGTCCTCCTCCGATGGTTTCTTAATCTCAAACACTTTTTGAGCGTTGTGGAAGGCATCTTGTGGAGCTAATTGTGGAACTGATGAATCTGCTTGAGCATAATCGGAAATAATTTGGAAACTTTCTCTCAAGAGTTGAATATTCACTCCATTTTCAAATTCAGATGCCAAATATGAGAGAGCAACAGTGGTTTGAATCTTGGTTCTGGTAAAGTTATAGAGATCGTCGCTGAGATAGTTTTGTTTGATCATCCAGTATAAAAGAGCAGTTGCTTGACTTCTCACCTTATCAATCACAGATTGACTTTGTCTCAAAACAAGTTTACAAAGTACTTCGATATATTCAGCATTCTTACTGGTGAATATGGTTGATCTGAATTTCTTGATAAACACTCGAAGTAAGTGGTAAAGACCAGTTAAACAGCAATCTGCTTGATTTGTCTTGAAGAAGGACATGAGAATGTGGAAAATGTGATGGAAAAGTTCCAACTCGTTTCTCTTTCTATTAATCTCCAAATTCAAAATTAAATCCATGATTGAAGTAAATTGGAACTTTTTACAAATGTCCAACATGATAGAGAGAATACAGCTAGAAATCTCAACATTCAATCTAGACTCCCACAATACCAAGTCATCAATAATCTTCTTTTCAGAATCTTTCAAGGGTTGAGACATGGTAGAGCTCTTCAAAGAAATGCTTCCAGTGTTGCCTTTACCCATTTGAGCTAATAATGATGTTTCTGTAACACTGCCCGTTCCACCTCTCACAGATGCTTTGTTTTGAGTGGAAAAGTTCATTCTTTCCCTAAAGTTACGACGACCAGTGTTGGGATTGGCTCTGTTTGGAATTCTGCGATCTAGTGAAGTGTACAAATTTTCTAACTTGGATTTTGCCTCATTCAAAGATTTGCCAGTATTTGTGTGTGCTCCAATACCCAACTTGTGATTTTCTTCAATCTTGGTCCTTCCACTGTATTGGAATACCTGCACGGCCATGTAAATAAATTGAAGGAGAGTTTTCTTTCTGTTGAAACCTTCGAGCTCAAACCATTTCATGAAAAGTTCTCTGTCCATATTGTACAGAATAAACAAGACTGAAATGAGAGCTTGTTGTTTTTCAAGTTTACACCGTTCTTTCTCATCCTTGAATTGTGTGAGAGTATCGTTGTAGTGCTTCTTTGCTGTTTGGACTGAATCTTCCAAGTCTTTCAGTTGCTGTTGTTGCTGAGGCTGATCTTGTAATTCTTGTTGTTGCTTACTGAGTTCTGTCAGTTTTAATTGGTAATCGTTCTTGGACTTGTTGACAAGGTTTCTAATTTCCGTCAATTTAGATTCACTAGTCTTCTTAAATTTGTGGAAAATGTCAATAAATAATAGAACATAGGCAAAGTACATGTTAGCAATAGCTGTTTGAACATCCTTGTTCTGATATCTCTTGTCATACTCATGTTTGGTTAACATGTTTCTCATGAGGGCAATTGATCTGCTTCTAACAATTCTCTCCTTGTTGGTTAAATCCTCAATACACCATCTCATGAGCAATCCACACAAAAAGTGATTATTGCTCAACTTGATTTCATCAGTAATATTCTGTGAATCTTCATTGGGGTCTACATCCTTCTTATTAGGCTTGTAAAAGTAGGGCATTGATAGAGGAACGTAGTGTTCATAGTCTACAATAATTTCCAAGAAGGTATTTCTGAACTCTTGAATCACTTCGTAGTTTCCATTTCCTTCTGACCCTGCCTTGACTGTAATCAAGTTCATGTATGTTTCAATGTGAGACAAGACTATACCTCTGTCCATGATATTGAACAAGTCTCTCAAGAACAAGGCAAAGTTTGAATTGAGTAACTTTGCAACGTTGAAACCAGCACCGCTTCTGTATGCCGTCTCTGCGGCTACGAGCTTGACTAACCTTGAGAGAATGTTGTGGAATTCAAGTAATCTACCATTTCCTCCAGTAAACATCTTGCTTCTATCAGTAATGTTCAAGAACTTCTTCTCTCGGAGATAGAGTGTCAACGATTTGATGATCAGGTCGAAAATTACCCAACTGTACATTAAGGAAAGTTTGCTTTCCATGTCATCGTTATTTTCCAGAGCAATTCTGGTCTTGTTTGGATCTCCTCTTCTTGATCGTTTGATTTGGATTTCTTCTAACATAAACAACCATTGTTTGGTAAGATCAGTAAATACATATGAGTCACAATGATGGAAGTTGACAAATATTTTGTCAACGTAGTCCTTGATCAGCTTGTTTCTTTCGGTTAAGGAGTCAGAGGATGTTTTTTCTTCCTCTTGTTGACCTCGTGTATTGCTAGTTTCCAGGTAGTATCTGTTGACCTTGTCGAGACAAGTGAGGAAAAAGAGGAACGCTTGATATTGCGCATTTTTCATATTGTGGTTGTAACACATCCAGTGCAAATAGTTCTCAGCAATTGATTAAGAATGGCAGGTAAAAAGCTGATTAAATCCTTAACTGGGACATGATACATTTCGGAAATGTATCTCATCACAATAGATTCAGGATTCATGCTGGAAACTATTGCGCCACTGTTACTTCTTCTTAACACTGGGCTTCCTGTACCCATTGCAGGCAATTCTCCATCAAACAGATCGTCCGATGACATGGTTTTCATAACAACGGAAGGAGATGTGACAATGCCGCTGCCACCAACCAAATTGGTGTCATAAATAGCATCATTCTTTGCAAACATGACAGAGTCTCTTACGTCATTGTCGCTAATAACAAGTGGAAGCGATGCAAAGAAATGAGAAAGGCATCTGTCAGTGGTATAAATAGTGCTAAATGGAAGGAAGGAAACGACAAATAGTGGCTTTCCATTCTCGAGCAGCTTGCTTGTACTTCTGACTTTTTCACTTGTATAGCCTTTCTTATCACTAAATTCCTGATAAATTGGTAATTGTTCAATACCATTAACCAATTTACCCATATTAAATGTCATTGGGATGTTTGAATCTTCATCAACTAGTTGGCCAGGTTTTCTTCTTTTACTAGCCGTAGTAAAGTCCAAGAGAGGAACAAAGCTATATCCCAAAACAGATCCTACATTTGCCTTGTATGGAGCGTCCTCCTTAGCTACTTGATCCTTATGCTTGCATGGTACATGAATAAAAGTAAAAAGCAAGTGATGTTTGTCAGTGATATGTGTTGGAAGTTGAATCTTAAATTCATCGTTGAATTCAGGATGCTTAGAGTGATAGCTAATTGTAGAAAAGTCATGAGTGGTTTTTGAGTCTCTTCCTGTTTTGTTGAATCGATTGTAAATGAGAGGAAGGCCTGGTGAATCAAGGTTGTCGTCATTGTTTCGTAATTCTATCTTAATACTGACACTTCTGGATTTTGATCCAATTAGACCTTTTGAACCAATTTGCACGTTTTGTGGATAAACATATAATGTGTTGTCATACTCGTTGAAATAACTTAATTTGGATGTGCCAAGCTCTCTCATGAGTTTGCATCTAATCTTGCCTTCATCTTCAAAGTATTTGCTCATATCAAGTTCTGTTGTACCTTCGACATGGTCCATTTCATTCTTTAGATCGGTATAATCATCAGAATTCAACTCCACAACTCTCATCTTGAGCACAGCAGGAAAGTTTTTCATCTTTCCCTTAGTTCCTGACGCATTTAAGGAATCGGTTGATGATTCCTTGGAACTTGCAAAAGTGCTAAAGAATTGTTCATCACCCATATTTCCCTTTGTTCTCAAGAAATGTTTGACCTCATTCTCAAGGCATACCTCATCGGAGGCATTAAACAGTTGTTGGAATGAGTACGCCATAGGTTGCAAGAATGGTCTCATTTTAGAGGCATTTTCTGAGGCGTTCTTTACAAATTTGCTCTTGCTATCTTTACATTTTTCTGGTCTAATGTATGGTTCAGCAGCGTCATCTTCATCTCCTTGAATAATTTTATAAACTCTAATGTACAGGAAAACGTCGACAGATCGATCTGCAACTTGGAAGATTGCTCTATTGTTTACCTTATTTTGTTCAAAATCTGAAGATGAAAAAAGTTTTCTCATAGATTCATCTGCCAATTGATGATTGATGTCACAATGAAATTCCTCACTAATTCTCTTTTTGGTATTAAAATCTACTACACACATGGTAATGAAGAATGGTTCAAGTTTTTCAGAATCAAATTTTTCAGTGAAAAGTTTTGGAACAAAATCCAATAGCTCAATCAAAATTGGAGAATGTTTGAGAGGTACTTTTCTGTCTTTGACTCTTTTACAAATTTGTACTTCAGCACCACCATTCCAGTCCCATTCAACAGATTGAGTGCTCATGTCATAAACAAACATTGTTTTGTTCAATTTCTGAGAGCCATTTTTAACATGAGCAATATTGGCATGAATCTTTTTTGAAGTCTTGTCAACACTGTCTACAATCTTTTCAACTTTTTTAACCTTTGTTTCACCGGGTTTGTAATTTGTCATGCTGGCTGATTCTGTCTCTTTCATCAACTTGGTAAAATTGTTTTCTGACGATGATGATTGGTCACCCTCACCAGAATTGCTCGTGGGTTGATCCGTAACAGGTGTAGCACTACCCGATGCGTTGTTGCTGCTGGCTGATGCCTTCACTCTCACGTCTGCTTCATATACAGGTGGTTTGCTTCTCACGTTTAAATCAGGAAGAGAAGCCTTTTCAAATTTACCATGTAATTCGTAATCAATTGACAAGTTTGGAGATTCAAAATATCTGAACTGTTCTTTGATGTGATGAGGAACGTTACTGATACTACCCACAGTGTTGGGTCGAGATGAACCTGCTGTTTTCTGCGATTCAATTACTTGAACAAGATTATCGGGAAATAATAAATCACTAAAGACCTGAGTGCTATGACGTTTATCCTTTGAAGAAGGCTTTTGATCTGATCCAGCACTAACAATTGTTTGAATGTATTGCTGATATTGTTGTTCATACGTATTTAAACTGCTATTGTTACCTGCATTGAAGAGCATGGAAGGTGAATTTGGAAATCCGGTGGCTGAGTCCATGGATGAATACGAGGCATGAAGTGAATCACCTGCTATACCTCCTCCTACCATGGTTGGAAGATGTGCCGATGTTGAGGTTGTAGAGGCAGCTGTTGTAGGAGTCAGTACTGGACTATCATACGCGTTCATCATCATGTGAGCCGATGACGAGGATGGCGAAGTGGAAGGAGAAGTGGCAGAGGAAGCGGTGGAGAGGGCGCCAGGAGTGGCACTCATTTTTTTTATTTGATGGATTTTCCGTCTTTCGAATGGTTGACAAGGAATGATTTGAACCTTATTGTTTCTGTTGGTCAACGGAAAGGTCATTTTGCCTTTTGTACTTGCAAGAACACACACAACATGGCCACGACGACGACATTTGTCAAATTCGCTGTGGTTGATTGGAGCTGTGTACAAAATGAGCTCGCTCGTGTTCATGACTGCTACGACCACTACTACTATATTGCAGGGACTGTTATCTAAGTTTAATCGTCTTCATGGTATCTGTTACAATGGTGTAGATGGGAGAAATGAATGTGTTTGGTAATAACTCTGCAGTGAAAGGTAAAATTTCAGAATTAAATAAAAAGTTGGTGCTCTCACTTTGGGTGTAATGTGAAAGGATCTGAAGGTGGAATTGACGAGGTGCGTGTGAAGCGAGTAGAATATTAAATTGTAAAATCTTTGAGAAATCGCCTCTACTGCTGGCGTAGAGATGGAAGAAGGAAAGAAATTCACCTCGATGTTGCATGTTATCAATACTCGATGAAACGACATGTTCTGGCTTGAGATAAAGTCTAATTTCTTGTGAAAGTACCAACATGTCTGATTCTAGAATGATGGTAACATTATTCTTACTCCCAAAAGTTAAGGTTTTCACTGGATTTTCTCTCAAGTAAGAGGATGGTTGTGGTGAATCTGATGAAATAGATGACGAGTTAAAATCAATGGCAATAAAACTGTCATAATCGATGGAGGTGACCTGTTGAATAGCAAGAGCTGGTATTAAATAAATTTCATGTTCTTTGGAATTGGTGAGAATGGTTTGAAGAGCTCCTAAATTTCCATTCATAACATATTGCACAGGAACACTGTCCGTGTGAAGAAGAGAAATGTAGGTTTTTTGTCGTGTGCGTGAATGTTGTTGTTGTTGTTGCCATGTGGTCGGATCCACTGGTGTGATTCCATATTCATGTCCAAGTCATTGGATAAGTGTAAAATTTCAGAAATGCCTCCCTTTCTGACACCAATAGCCATAGAGGTGTCAAAATCCTCATCCGGTAAAACAATAACCTTCTGTACGAGTACTCGTTTAGGAGCTGCCTCTGAGTATGGAGCAAGCATCAATCCTGAAAATATCATCAGTACTAAACTCACAGAAAGGAAAATCACTAAATGTAACTTGTTAGAGTTTGCGATTTGAGATTTTCTCTGATTTTCGGAAATCACAAAAGGATAAAGAAGATTGGTAGCAAGGAAGGCAATAAATCCAATAAAGCACGCAATAGAAACATCACATTTCCAAATGGAATTCACAAATCCGCTTCTTGACATGATTGGAACGAATATATCGACTGCAATTAAAATATGTTCCAATACAAATATTAAATATCCTGTCATCATAATAGTTAAGTGAATATACCATTTGGTGTACTTTTGAATAGTGTGAGATGAAGCAATAACAAGTGCAAGCACAACAACCACTGGTAAGAATCCTGATACAATGTTGAACCAGTTGAACACAAGTGTCACCAACACCCAGAATAGCCACACAGATACATAAATATAAAAGGAGCTTGTGTAACTGCTAAAAATTGCAAGTACTAGAGTAATACCTAAAATGGAGGGAAATGCAAACAAGAATAGAGTAAATACAGATCCAGTGGCATACCAAGACATTGGATTTTTGAAAATAAAAGCTAGTGTTAGGGCAACTAGTGATGGAAACAACATGCTTGAAATTAAACTCAGTAAAACAATTCCAAATGCCTTAAGAAGAGACCAAATATATCGTTCATCCTCATCATGAATGTTACGTGTCATGATTTCTGAATTTTCACTTGTTGTCACATCTTCAGAAGTCGATGTCGTCGCTGTGAGTTCATGTGACGCATTAGAAACTCTTCTTCTTCTTTTCTTTCGATTTTCTTTCTTTTCTTTTTCTTTTGAATAAATTTTTCTGACCATGAACGTGAGAGCAATTAAAATAATCACATTATAGACGGGCTGAGCAGAGCTTGAGGAATAGCAAAAAATAAATAAGGACAAGACGTCAAAATAAACGGCAGGCGTCGTAATTTCTTCAAAATCGCATCTTCTTTTGGGGTAGTATTTACATTGGGAAAGAATGTTGGAAAACTAGCCAATTTCTTAATAAATGGTACTAGATTTTCTCCCATATGTTGAATGGTATTTTCATTGAGGGTGTGGATAGTATCTCTGTTGGTATGATGGACATAGCCATTTCTGTAAAAAACAGAGTCAATGCCACCAATCGTTAAATTAAGATAAGAGGTATATACATTAAAATCGCTTTGTGAGGGAATGAGCCCTAGACTAAAGAAATCTTGAGCCACAGCAGTTGCCTTTGGATATTTACACACACTAGCAAACTGCTTCATAACCCAAGTATTGGTTGATTGAAATGTCAAATCTCTGCTTGCTCCTGAACCAATCGATTCCATATTAATGACCGAACGAACAGTTGAGGCCCAAGGATGTCGAGTCACAAAAATTTTCGATCCAATTAATCCAATTTCCTTTGCGCTGTTAAATATAAATATTACTGGATGACGAATAGTGTCTGGATCGTGAATTAAATTACTAATCATTTCGAGAGCTATAAATGTTGGAATGGTTCCTGAAACGGATTGAGTACTCGGCACACTATCAAAGTGAGAACTCACTAGTATGGATTCATTCAAAAATTGTAAATGTTTTTTGGAATGCAGTCTCACCAATATGTTCGTGACATTGGAATAGGACAATGTAATTTTCATATTTGGAAATATATGAGCAGGATGCCTCATTGAAAATGTTGCTTGACCATCTTTCACATAATGAAAATCAATGGTCATTTCCAAATGATTTTGAAATTTATCGTTTTTTGCTTTTAACTGCTCCAGTTGATTTCCAAGAAATTGCAAACTTTTTCTATATTCTTCACTTCCAACAATTCTACCGAAAAAGGCTTCGGATGAATTGTAGAATTTTCGTGCTTCTGCTATGCATCGTTGTGAAGAAAATTCTGAGAGTTTTAATGAGGATGCGGATGATGAAAAATTCGGAACTTGTTGTCGGTAATATACGAGGATCAAAATAGATAAATGGAGAAAGATAATCACAAGCCAAAATATCAGACTTCGGATTTGTTTATCATAAATTACAATTTGTTGATTTTGATAGGTGAACACAAACTTGAGTTGTGTGGAATGATGAGTGCTGTGCTCGTGATGATGTTTCTTGTTGGATGTTGTTGATCGTACACTCTCCGACAGTTTGGCGGATGGCTGTTGTGTGTGATCGTCATTGTTGGGCGTCATTTGTTTTTGATTTTTTCGAAAGGATTTAATGTATTCAGCGTGAACGTCTCTAAAAGTTTTCCTTGTGGAAAACAAATTGTGCACTCTCAGAGCTCTCTCCAAGAGCAAATGAATACACGTCTTTAGAAAGAGCAGGAGGGCCACACACGAAAACTCCAACCTTTGCTCTCACTTTTTTGTGTTGTGGTGTATTTCTGTCAATCCATTGCTTGACGTAGGTGAATTCCCGTTTCCAGTCTGGACGTCCGTAGTGTCTGTTTTGATTTTCTCGTAATTTTGTTAGAGCATCAATATGTATGACATAATTGCTTGGAAAAAGGCCAGTTTTCCCTGTGGTCATGTTTTTGCCTTCCCACCATCCAGAGTCGTCTTGTTCCTTCAGCTCAATAATGTCATTCGCATGAAGTTCCAGCTCATCTGAGGAGGTTGGTGAAAAATCGTACATGGCTCTCAACAATGCGTCACCCGTTTGTTTTTTACCAGACTGTTGATATTCACTGCTTCCGTAGATAATTTTCTTTACGTCTTCTGCCTTAAGCTTTCCAGTCATGTAGGTGTTGATTTGGAAGAAGTGTGGATTCTTTTCCTCGACATCATTCAACAGTGTGGAAAACCATTCCCATGAGCCATGATCTCTATTAATGAAATAAAAGAAGCATCTTCTAACCTTAATTGGTTTACCTCCTTTCTTTTCTTCTTCCAACTTGTTGTTAAAATGTTTCAACAATGAGGCATATGGAGTCGCTCCAATACCAGCCGCAATCAACATTACTGTCTCATAGTTAAACACATCACTAGAAAACGAATAGTTCTAATTTTATGTCTATCAAAACAACGGTACTTACTCTGCAGCTGTTCCAAATGGGCCATCCACTTTGATCAAGAAATCTTTGTTATCTGGTGTTCTGGGCTTATTGATAACCACTGTTGGACTATGAGTTGGATTAAACAAATCCATTAATGCATTCGTCTGCATATTGAATTATTTCAAGATTTGAGTTGATAAGCATATGAGCAACCGTTAAAAAGCGATACTACATACCCAATCACCTGCACACTTAATGTGGAAATGCAGAAACTCGTCCTCAGGTGCAGAGGAAACTACAATGAAATGTCATTTTAAAAATTGTTTCAAGAGCACTTACTTGTCATGGCATGCCATTCATGCTTACTAATGAGAGGGCAATTGATGTAGGCATACTGTCCGGCCTTGTAGTCAAATCGAGGCTTCTCAAGGACAAGCTCTAAAACTCTGCTGGGTAAACAGTGAACTCGTTTGACCACAGTTTCTTCAGATCCTCTGACATTTCGCAAAATTCTTTCAAACAAGTACAAGACACATGGTCCTAAAAACCAAATCCAGAACACTTTTCCATGAACAAGCAGCAACACATAGAAAATGATGAATAAGTGGTGTGTATACCAGAATACAGTGTAATTCCTAGTTTTACGATAATTGTTGTGACTAGTGGCGTACATGAGATACATTACAAATACAAGTAAATTACCAGTAATTCCATATTTCTGTACCCAGCATGCCAAAATAGAGCTGGTTACGGTTGTTTGTTCATTGGAATATGCGAAATAGTAATTAGCATAGTTCAAACTTTAAATATGAAATGAGGATGCATATTGTCCAAGTTGTTTGAACAAAACTTACTAGTGGAAAAAACCATGTCCTATAGTACAAAACACCACCCAATAAGCAATATATCTATGAAAGATTAGATTCTTGTCGAGAGGAAATATTACTGTGAGCTTCAAGGTCCGAAGAGTATTCGACAGAGTTCTCATGGTAGGGACAATCAACAAGGCACAGTTGAAGTTCAACAATTGGCCAAACCCTCTGGCAAACGTAACATACCAGGTGAGTCGCAATACATCCTCTGCAGCTAGAGCTGTGATTTTGCTCAGCTTTGCATAGATGAGATCATGCCACCGTACTGCAGCCTCAATGAACAGACCTATGTTAATACATGCCCACAATATAAACACGAGCCATTTCCTCCACTCTGAGGTAATGTGATTCCTTCTTGCTTCTGGATTTGTAAAGAAAGCCTTCCATCTTGAGACTCTTCTCTTACTCTCGGAGCGCGACGATGCAGACCATCCATTAGCACAGACAATGTAAGCTACAAAATCAATCAACGTATTCTTCCAATTCATTCTAAACCGAGTTTAAGGAAGGCCAAGAGTCAATCAAGAAGGAGGAATAGTGTGTGTTTAGCCTTCTCTCTAATTTTTTTTGACTATTTCGGGAAAGTGTACCAAGGTTCGCATGAGTGGGTCGATTTCGGTCCCGCTCTCAAATACAAAACCAACGATGAATAAAAAATTTGAGATGAAAAGCTTGCATGCAAAAACTTCCAAAAGCGTTCCGAGTAAGGATTCTAATAACGTCCTTGTATCGCATAATAATAGAGCCACAACAGCCAGTGATACACTACAGCCAAATTGTAAAACAAGAAATGCAGCCAGTTTGGAGAAAAAGTCAACGAGTATCAATCATCATCGGGTTGATTCTGTAGAGTCAGGAAGCGTACCAACAAAAGGAACTAGATCTAATTCTAGCAGTAGAGCCAGCTCAGCATCAAGTACTTCTTCTTCCTCAAGCCGCTCATCGGACCACCTAGCATCGACAATACAAAAAAATGGAAAGAGCTCGGAACAAAGTAAATCTTCTAAACAATCCGTGGAAAAGCAAACACCATCAAAAACAATTTCAAAACCAAGTAAATCACAACCGGAAAGAACTAATAATTCAGTGAAAAAGTTATGCCACGAAGAGATATCACAAAAGAATGATTCCAAGAAAGAATCAAAGCAAGAAGCAGTCGTTGATTTGACTCAAACGCTAGAATTGCGTCATCAGAATTTATCTTCCTTTCCTGAAGCTCATGTCGCGAAGGTATGACTGCATTTTTTATGTGATAATAATTATTACAAATTATTATTTTTCAACACAGACGGAACTTGTCAAGCTTGATATTTCGTTTAATTCATTTTCAGAGCTGGACATGCTTTCTAATTTTCCAAAGCTTGTTTCATTTAAAGCCATGTATAACAAATTGAAAAATTTGGACGGAATTGAATTGTAAGTATGAGTTTGTTTGCCCATGACATATTTATTGCAATTTTGAATATCAGATGCGAACAACTAAAAGATTGCAACATGACTGGAAATGCAATTGAGGATGTAACTAAACTGGCCTTTTGCAAGAAATTAGAGACATTATCGTTGGATGGAAACAAAATTGCAAGCTTTCCATCATTAAGTTCTTTAAAGTGTTTAACCTCTCTTTCTGTAGATAATAATTGTCTAAAGACATTTGATGGAATTAGCGGCCTTGAAAACATCACCACATTTTCTGCTGCAAGAAATTGCTTTGAAAAATTGACTGGACTTGGAAAATGCAGATTTCGATCCAATCTTATTGAGCTGGATTTATCTTTTAATATGCTTGATAAGGCAGATTTTGCATGTCTTCCTACGTTTGACAAGCTCGAGGTATGTAGCTCTCAAACAAGTTCTGATATAACATTACTATGTTGATAGGTACTGCGTCTTAAAAATTGTAACCTATCCTGCGTGGAGATATTCCCAATATGCTTTCAGATACGCGTGTTAGTTCTATCTGGCAATTTATTTGAGTCATTGAACGGAATAGAAAGTAGATTTCCACACCTAGAGTCTCTAGACGTACGAGATAACCTCATCCCTCATGTAAAACAACTGCAAGAATCCATCTCATCCCTCTCAGAATTAGAAATGCTCTACGTATCAGGAAATCCTATGTGTGACATTAATTCGAACTATGTGAAAATTCTCTCGACACATGTTAAAAATTTAAGACTCATTGATGAGGTGAGAGTAAATGCGTTGGATATTCCTCCAGAAATTGATCAAAACGATTCAACAGTTATTACGGAATTAGGATATGCAGAACCAACCTTTGACGATAAGGAGCTGTTAGACCAAGTCCTCAAAAGAGAACAAACAAGCTTAAAGGAAGCTGAAGAAGTGAAAGCCCTCTTTTCAAACCTAGAAAAACAAACACGAAAGCTAGAAAAAACATTTGAGAATTCGTTATATCATTTAGATGCGAATTTAAACGAAATCAAGAAAGGAATATTATTCAATCTGGACTTTGAGAGGAACGAAAAGGCAGTCACATTTGGTGAAGTAGAGACCCAAAGCATGGACATGCGTTCATCTCAAACTCTTGATCTAAGCGACATTAGGAAAGCCATGAACAAGATTGAGAAGAAACCTGTCACAAAATTGGAGGATATGCAGACATCCAATGTGCGGAAATCACTGAATCATATTGAAAGAATAAGAGCCGCACAACAGTACTCGAAAAACACTGAAATGGAAAGCAATAATAAGGAACCAAGCGACCGTAGCACCGAGCTGATCGATGATTTAAATTTCGTGGACGGTGGTCATTCTGTAAACGATACAAGCGAAAAGGTTGTTAGTGAGGTTGAACAGTTTTTGTATTTACTAAATTCGAAAACAGCAGAAAGAAAAGTACCTCCATCCAGCACTGGTGGACTTAAAGTACGAAGAAAAAATAAAGATTCGTGAGTGTTAAGTTGGAATTACAAGTTTTCAACCCAGTAAGCGTTTAAAGTAATTCATCCATGACATGTACTGGTTGTGTAGATGGTGGCTGAGTCACTGTAATAAGATACTGTTCATCGATAAAGCTATGTGGTATGACTCTTGCAATACCAGAATCCAAAAACTTCCACGAAATTCTAAACTGGTTCAAGTTGAAGACACCTGGCGAGAAGAATGTTGCCCTCACCGGTATGGTCAGAATCTCCGAACCAGGTTTAACATCTTTGAGGAAAATTCTTGTTGGACCAGTCCACAAATAAAAGTTTTGAGGTGAAATCGTGATCGTACTTGCTGAACTCGTGGCGGTAGACATTCCACGCAATTTGGCATTTCCTGCCAGAGAAAGTGAAGCAAACGGTGGTATCAATTCCAATGTGAAATCAGTAACCATGTCTGGAGAAACATTCATGAGCTTGACATTAATTCCACCGTGCATGAGGGTTGAGAAGGTGTGAATTGATGAATAATTTCTGTTTCATATTCCAAATTGACCTCAATAGGGCACACAAGATTTTCCTTTGAGGGAAACTTGGAAGCAGGATGAGATCGTTTTGGTTTTTTAGCGTGTGGAAGGAATGAAACCTTGCTATGGTAAGTCACACCTAAATTACAAGCTCCAGATCTCCATATCACTTGCAAGCTCAAAGAATTCAATTGTTCTTCAATGTCTACTATTTGATCTCCCTTGTCTGTTGTGATGGTTCTTCCATAGAAGGTCAATTCATGTTTCTTGGACTCACTGAAAAGGAATTGTAAATAAGGTTTCATTGTAGTATCGATAATTCTATTGCAACCACCAATAGTATGTGAACGATGGATAAGCTCTACTTCTGTCAATTGTTTGATATCAGAGCTCAATTCCTTAACTTTCTTTTCGTAAGTGACATTCTTGTTCAATTTCAAATATAAGGTAAAAGACTCCTTAGGCAAGACAATAATTGGTTCTGTGAGCGGTACAACTGGCTCAATCTCCCAAAGAGGACTGATGCTCACCAGCTGGTCAAGCTGAACAAAATGATCAGGTCTAAAATTTTGTAACTTGACTCCACAAATGAATGAGTTTGGCTCTGTGTGGGTAGAGTCACAAAATGTAGTAATTTTAAGAGAGTCCAGTACTTTTAGTGTGGTGTGGAATCTGTGTAATCGATATTTGAGATCATCATTCTTTTCAGTTGGCTCATAATAAAATAGGAATTTTGAGTCATGAATACCAGAGAATGACCCTCTCACAAAAACAGGAATTTCAATGCTTTCTCCAGACTTTAAAGCCTCAGCAATATCATAAAATGTAAAGTCACGTTCAATACCAAAAGTGTTAGAAATAAATGTCTCATCTTTTGAAGAGGAGTTTTCAATAAATTTGTAATCATTCAAAGAAAGATCATCGGAGAGATAATAAATAGATGGATGGTTGAGCTTTAGCTTGAGGTTGATCAAATCAGCATTTCCTACATTGGTTACAATCATTTTAGTTTTCTTGAGCTCTCCATTCCACAACACTTCAATATTGTCGGTGAATTTAACATCGAGTAGTGGTGTTGGAGCGACTACTTTGAGATTCAGTCTATTATCTTGTTCATATTGAATGGTTGTTCTTTGTTGTTTGGTATCATTCAATCTTCTTCCTTTGACTTGAAATAGCTTGAATCCATGAATGTTGTTAAGCACTTTCCATCGAACGCCTCGAATGGAGAGGTCTCCTGTCTGGGTTGGAGTAATTTTTAGTCTTACAAAGATCGTGTCCAATGGTTGAATGACCACACTAATAGGTTCTGCTGTGAAGCCCTTGTCATTTTCTGGCAATGTTTTAGAGTTAAGGAATGCGTCAAGAGCCATGTCTTTCACTTGAGCAGGAATCGATAATGTGTTGGTCAATTTGATCTCCACATAAATTGGCTCTCCTACAACAGTAGATTCAATCTTTTTCATGTCGTTTGATGGTTTTTCCCATCTAAAGAATACAATAGGTCCTCTCGCTTTTTTCACAAGAGTTTCCTCTAATTTTGCCCATTCTTCATCTGGTAGGCTGTCTGTATACACTGGTTCTCCGTATTGAGAGTTCAATAATACTCTCACTGCTGATGGATTGATTTTAGGAATATCCAAAAAGTCTAGTTTAGCATCTGAATTTCCTTTCAATTGTAAGTCGGAGAGATATGCTGTCACTGTTTGAGAAAACTCCTCCATAAACTTGTGTTGATATTCAGGACCTTGTTTACAAACAGTCATAAATTCGTGGAAAAATTCAACGCTCGATTTCAAATCTCGCATGTGACTTGCCAGTCTACCTAAAGTAAAACTCATATGTTCATAGATTTGTAACCATTCCTTATTGTTATAAATTCTAAATGCTGTTCTATAGCATCTAAATGAGTGCTTCATTTGATCAGTGTGACTAAATCTATACCCAGCCAAGATCAAAAATAGAGCTGATTTTCTTGTTAGTCTATCCATTGGGCCTTTATAACAGAGAGCAGTCTGTTCAAAGAATAAGGCAGCTTGTAGGAAATTGTTCTCATCCACGTTAGATGCTCTTGTGAATATTTCACCCGCTCTCTTAAAGAGAGATTTTGATTTGTACATGCATGCTTGGAATAATAACGATCTCAAAACAAAAGAAGGCTGTGCTGCATTCTTGTACGCCGTTAATGCTGATTCTAAATTGCTTTCGACTTCTTTCTTATTGCCTCCTTGCGCTGTTGTGCTAAGAAGTGTGCAAATGGCCATAAACTCCATACATCCCGCATAATTTTTAACTTCCTTGTTTTTAAAGTCACCGCTGATGAGTTTGTAAATGGAATATGCTTCATCGTATTCACGGATCATGAAAAGTAGATCTGCCAATCGTCTCAGTTGCATCTCAGGACTAATTCCTTCTTCCTCAGCCTTGTTCTTCTTTGTGAACCAGGACTTGATTGTGTTCTTGATTCCCTTCTTGTTGGCCAACACCGTGTTAGTGGCATTCTTAATTTTTGTATCCATTGAGATGACAACTTGATTCAAAATAAAGTCTGCTGTGCTTCCAATATATTGTAAATCCTGTTTAGAAAGATGAAATGCAGTAGGAGTAACGTTCTGCAATACTCGCTTTTGATAAAGTTGACGTCTGGGAAGCACAGATGACCAAATATCATCAACAACGTTTTCAATTGTATCATCCCTCGAGTTTAAAATGAGCATTCTACATGACGATGCTGTATACTTTTCCTTGACCTTGTTAAATATTGAGTTTGCTTTTTCAGAGCTTGCAAAATGAGAAGATTGGTCATGTACCATAATTACAATTTGCAAAATGTCGCTATCTATCATAAAATCTTTAAATAATTTAGGTGGCTTATCAGGGTCAAATAGTCCCTTCAAAATTTGAATTGGATCTCCAGCTTCTTCACTCGATAAAACTGACACACACGCGACGGGATGCATCAGTGTTTCATGTTCGGAAATATTCAAAGTCTTGATAAATTCATCTCTGAAAATATCAAACCATGGCGTATTGTCAACAAACTCTTCTGACAACGCTGATTGTTTGGTTTTGGCCAAATACTGGTCATAGCTCTTTCTGATAATGTATCCTATAAAATCCTGATGAGTCTTCTCACGCAGAAGAAGATCTGTTCTATTAGTGAATCTGTTTCCGTCTTCTCCATATTCTCTATGCAAGTCACTCATATGAACATAGTTCACTGAAAAGTTTGGTAAAGTAATTGTTGAATAATTTACTATTAAAGCATAGCAAGTAATCGTGTAGATGTTACCGTTGATTGCAAAATAATCATCATGTGATATTTTCCATCATTTCCACACTTATCACATTCCAACAATAACTACTTACACTGTCTGGTTGTTTGATATGGTCGCAACAAATCAATAAATTTCAATCCATTCTTCATACAGATATTCTCTACAGAGGTTGTTGTTCTCACTAATACTGTCGGAGCAAATAAACTCTCCAACCACACATTCAAATCTCCTGGTGATCGAATAGAAAATGATTCGGGAATTTGAAAATCGTTTTGGCTTGACTCATCACTCGTAGATTTTCGTCCTGCTGGAATTGGAGCTCCTGTGGTAGAGCCATTCCCAGTACTACTACTGCCCTCAGAAGAATCAAAAAACATTTCCCGAGTGGTTTCGCCTGAGTGTGATGATGAAAGCATTTTTTTAATAAATAATTGCGAAAGGTCGATCAAAGAAGATTTTATTGTTCTGGTAAATGCCGTTCTTGTTGAATGAATGATTTTACTGTTTTTTCCAACGTCGTGAGATAGGTTTCACACTCTCCAAATTCAGATCTTAATCGTTCGGTCAATTGAAAGAGGTATTCACTGTTTTTACCACTCGGTCCAATAGCTTTGTAAATGATGGCAGCATCGTCGACAAGGCCATTCACAGATGGACCAATAAATTCTGTATTTTCATGAGTATTGGTGGAACCAACATAGAGGATGGCCTTCTTTTCTTCTATTGAGTTGTCATCTTTGACAAGATAACATGTCGTCAGAGTTCTGAAATAGCCTCCTTTTTCTCGATAGTCCAGTAATTTAAAAGTTTGTAAAGCAATGTCACGAGGTATTAAATAACACATTCCATATAAATTGATGTCTTTGGCATCAAATTCTTTTTCCTCAATTGCTACTTTTGAATTTTCTCCATATTGTAAAATTTGATGTCTGTAATCTGCTTCTGTGACAACAGTGAGTACTCGTCCTGGAAATTCAAAATTCCCTCGATGATCTCTACTAATTTGCCAAAATCTTCGTTTATATCCTTGAATATATCCTCTGTATTTTTGTGAAAATTGAAAATCGGCTTTCCAAATTAAACTACCATAGCTGTACGTGCATCAGATAGTTTTCACAAAGCAAAAGTTAAATTTCAATTCAATTAACATTAAATTGCAAAAGTTTTTTAAATGATTTGTTCAACTCTAACTCCTGTTGTTGAACGTACCCAAATAAATAAATTCCTCCATCTCTTAATGTTTGTTCATCAGACTCAAGTAACTCTTCAATGGTTATATCATGATCTTTGGCTCTCAAATGTTTCCGATACATTTCTTCAAGCGTCAAATCTTTCTTGTTGTCATCTTCTGACAACACATATAGTTCATGATTTTTGTCCTTGCTTTTTTCTTGATTATTGGATATCATTGTTGAAGATGTATGATTGTTGTTACTATTTAACATTTTTTTGTTCAATAAATGATGAAAATGATGGGTGGTTGTTCTTGATGTTGAAAAGGCAAAGCAATGGCAAGGAACCTGCGTACGCAATATTGAGGGAGCACTTTTTACCAAAGATTCCGAACAGAGAAATAGAGATTTTCTCATTCAGGTTGTTCGACGTTGTTTCAATTTTTTAATTCTAATTGTTAAATCGATTATCGGAGAGTACAGGAAAGCACGTTAACAGTAGAATCTTTTACAATTTGATAGTCAGCAAGAGTTTTATCGTTTTGTAACAACTTTCCACTGAAAACGATTCGTTGCTGATCTAATGGTATTCCTTCCATGTCTAGAATTAATTGTTTGAGTTTTTCAATGGTATCATTCATCTCGAGTTGTAGAGAGATCATCTTGCCGGTTTGCGTTCTGACTCGGATTTGCATTGTTGCTGCACTATTTATTCCTTTTTTTTATAATTGTAAATGTTCATCCCATTGATATGCTTGCTAAGCCATCACAGGACATTCAAGTGGTTTCATGCAATTAATTGGGTTATGATCTCGTCTCGATCCTCTCTTTTTAGTTTGAAACTTTGAGACCCCTTGATGACGCACCACCATGCCATGTCATCGTGTTTGGTCTCTTCTCACGCAGTTTACAACACAACAAACATAAAAAAAATGGGCAAAACTAGATTCTTGGACTTGCTCCGTCCAGCCATGGCAATCCTGCCAGAAGTTGCCAAACCAGCCAAGACTGTAAAATTCCAAGAGAAGGTCTTGTGGACAGCTGTTGCTCTCTTTATTTATTTGGTCTGTTGTCAGATCCCTGTATACGGAATTCGTAATGCTTCATCAAGCGATCCATTGTATTGGATGCGTGTGATTTTAGCTTCAAACAGAGGTACACTCATGGAACTTGGTATTTCTCCAGTCATCACTGCTGGATTGATTATACAGCTTCTCAGTGGTGCAGGTTTGATTGATGTGAATCAGAATAGCGAAGAAGATAAGGTCTTACTCGATGGTGCTCAAAAGTTCTTTGGTCTTATCATGACCATCATTGAAGCTGTCGCTTACGTTTCATCAGGAATGTACGGAGATGTGAGAGAACTTGGTATTGTTACAGCTCTTCTTATTGTCTTGCAATTGTTCGTTGCTGGTATTGTTTGCTTGTTGTTGGATGAATTGTTGCAAAAGGGCTACGGATTAGGTTCTGGTATCTCATTGTTCATTGCTACAAACATTTGCGAAACGATCATTTGGAAGAGCTTCTCACCATCAACAATTAATACTGGTAGAGGAGTTGAATTTGAAGGTGCCATCATTGCTCTTTTCCAATTGTTGATTACTCGTAGCGATAAGGTTAGAGCTTTGAAAGAAGCTTTCTATAGACCAAATCTTCCAAACATTACCAACTTGTTGGCAACAATTTTGGTCTTTTTGATTGTCATCTACTTCCAAGGTTTCCGTGTTGAGTTGCCATTAAGATCATCCAGACAAAAGGGTAATGCAGGAACCTATCCAATCCGTTTGTTCTACACTAGCAACATGCCAATCATCTTGCAAACTGCTTTGGTCTCCCAAATGTTCCTCTTCTCTCAAGTTTTGTACAAGAGATTCGGAGACAATATTCTCATTGCTTTGCTCGGTAGATGGGAAACTCCACAATATGGTCAAGCTGTTCCAGTAGGAGGATTGATTTATTACATTTCTCCACCAGCAAACTTGAACGAAATGTTGTTGGATCCAATCCATGCTCTTTTATACATGGCTTTCATGTTAGGTTCATGTGCCTTGTTCTCTAAACTCTGGATTCATGTCAGTGGTGCTTCACCAAAACACGTTGCTGACCAACTCAAGGAACAAGGATTGATTCTTGTCGGTCACAGAGACCAACCAAAGGAAATGGTTAAGACTTTGGAAAAGTACATTCCAATTGCTGCTGCCTTCGGTGGTATGTGTATTGGAGCCCTCACTGTCATTGCTGACTTCTTGGGTGCTATTGGTAGCGGTACTGGTATTCTCTTGGCTGTCGGTATCATTTATCAATACTTTGAAATGTTCAGTCGTCAACAAGATGAATTGGAAATTCCTTTCTTGAGTGGACAATAATGTAATTAATAATTATTAATGATGATTTAACAATATAATACGATAGTATTTAAATTTTGAAACAGTCAATGAATGACATTTTTGTTGTTTTTTAATAGTTCGATGATGACACTCGGAAGTAAGCTTGAAAAATCTCATCCAAACAAAAATGCACGCCTCCTATCAAGCGAACATTTCGAAATCCAACACCAACTCATCATCGTCTGAGGCACCAAGAATGATGGTTCACTTTTACATTGAAGAAGGTGTTGTGTCTTGTCCTTGGTGTGATGTCGATTTGGGAACCTTCTCTCCAATCATCAATTCCGAACACACAAGTTGCAGTACCATCATGACTCGGAGTCAAACATTTCAAGTGGTATGGATTCTTGAATGTAGCGAATGCAACAAGGTATTTAAATTAAACGTTGGTCAGAGATCCACTCACAAAGTCTCACTGGCATCTTCCTCGCTTCCCAATCAAGGCTTAACTGCTGCTTCTTCATTTTCTGATGAATAACGATTTCATCATCTTGATTTCAATTAGAAACATTATTGACTGTGCGAGATTCGGAGCGTGATCCTTATTCTAGAGACAAGCTCTCTCCGATCAGCTGATGCATCAAAAAATGATTGAATGGAAGTTGGAGAAAGACCCTTTCATGATTCAATCATCATCGTCTAGTAGTAGTACTAGTGTCGGAGAAGTACGAACAATCACATCATCAGAAACATTGCTCGATCGACCAACTATTGAATCAACAATACAAGCGTACAATTCCATGAAAGCCTTCCAAGAAATGGATTGTCATCGAATGATCAATAGGAAACAAGTTGAATTTACACAACATCAAGAGGAAATCTTCTCGACACTATCATCTACAACCATGGATGACTCATCATTCAATAGCGTCATTACTCCTTCGTCTGAAATTTTGAGTTTTCAACAATTGGCAGATGATGAGATGTGTTGCGTGATGGATTTCTTGGTCAATGACATTCCTACAGTCATGGCCGTTTCAACTTGCTGCAAACGCTTTCGATTTCTTGTTCTGGAAAAGCTGAATTTAGAACAGTTGTATTTTCACAGAATTCTATTGTGTGATGAGAGTGTTCATTATTTAAGAAACAAGTTATTGATCCAGGTATTATTTAAGAATAGTTTAGAGTTTAGAAAGTGGTGTGCTGTGACTAAAAGACAAGCTGCTAAATTGCATGTAGATGATTCAAGCTCAATATCATCTACTACTTTGGAAGTGTCGACATCTGCATCTGATATCACTCAAGAAAGTCATGATGATTATCATACATTGGATCACTTGATTGTAGAAAAGAAGAATAGTTACAAAATATTATATTATAATTTATTCTCTAACTGTTTGGATCTCATTGTGGAAAAAGCTTCTCAAGAAATCTGTCACTCAACAGTCACTACTCCTCAGATAGACAAATCTAACATGTATAATTTATTTCAACAACTCACTTATAGCGTGATTGATTTTCAACAAAACGAAATTACCTTTGAAAGAGAATTAGCATGGGGAATATCGAATCAGAACTTGATTATTCAAGATCGACTGATCAAGACACTCTTTTCTCTTCATTTACTAACCTTATTGACGATTATTGTATCTCAATTTATCATGCACGATCAACTTCTTGAGTCCATCATTTTATTGTTTTTATTTTCGGTGACCCTTGGTGTCACTTTAACCTTGTGCTGGACCATTGGCCACTTTCCTCTCTTCTCTTGGTTTTATTGGTTGTATCATGGCTCATTGGACTTATTTCACATCGAAGAACAATGTAATCTCATGACAAACGCAAATCAAAATGGTGCCAGCCATCTGCTCGAGAAGAAGGAGATTTCAAAACATGTTTCAACTCTTCACATGCATGGAATTGCATTATTGAAACATTTTCGACTAGCAAGATCGTATTTCATTTATTACTATCATCTCTTAATGAAATCTCAATTGAAGCAAGTAGTACGAGAGTTGTGTATTAAGAACAATGTGAAAGAACAATTTCAAATGAGGTTTGAGATGTTGTGTCACAATGCATGGTGGAATTCATTAATTGACCTTTCAGATGACATTCTCTCGACAAGATTCTTCATTTGTGTGTTCGATATTGTGCCAGTTCTTGCTTTTTCTCTATGGCTTGGCAATTCATCACTTCACAAGTATGTCAACCACGAGATTTTGAAAGCAGTGAGATTTCTGATCATTCACGGATCTCTTTTGGTTTCATCTATTGAGCTCTTTGATATTGTTAGATCTTATATTGTGACCAATAACAACACTTTTAGTGAGTGCTCAATCAAACTCAGAGAAAGGCGGCAAAAAGCAGAAGATACCATAAAATGGAAAGAAGGAATAATCTTGTTCATCCGACGACCACTGGCCATGTTTCTATTGATGGTGATTCGGATTTATTTTGTATCTTCTGTTGTCAGCTACACACAATAAAAAGTGAATGCTGCCTTAAAATGCTTAGAGTTCTGTTTCAATCTTATTTCTGTAAAATTGATCGAACCTTTTTGTAAATTAGCTTTAAATGCATATTTTTCGGCCGTATGGTTTCAAAAGGAATTTGTTCTCTGCTGTGAATGGTTTTCATGATAATTGCCAAATCTTGTGTTTTCCTAATTTTTAATTCCATTGCATCTCCTTGTAAAAGAATGGACACTGGATCCACAACAGCATTGGCAGCAGAGTTTGAGCCAACGTTACCACTACCAACAACTCCTCCTTGATCGTGAGCATTCACTGCGCTTGTACCTCCACTGGATTTGCCTTCCATGATTCCCTCACGAATGACAATCATCTGAATGTCATCGATGGATATAAATTGTCGAGAGAGCTTCTTACTGTCAATGAGGATGGGTGCATGCTGTTGTTGTTGGGATTGAGCGTTTTCCTCACTCATATGATGAGTCAATAAATAAATTAATAAATTAACAATGGTTACTTTTTGCGGTTTAGATTTTGGATCTAATTCTTCATTTTCATCCCAAGTAGAAATGTCCATTTCTATTTTTTCAAGTTGAATTCCCTTGTTGGGAGTCACTGTTAAAATCTCAGTCGAATAATAATAAAGTGGAGTGATTTGAGAAGAGAATGGTGTCGTAGTAAGAAGAGAAGTAGTCACTCCAAATTTGTGTTTCCTCAAGCTCAGTACATGATACAGAAAATGCAATGGAGATGGAAATTTCTTAAAGAGAATCATTAAACACTGAATGGGTACTCCACTACATAATACGAGTATGCTGATCAAAGATAATTGCAACAACATTGGAAATATTCCGAGTTGTCTCCAATTAAAAAACATGTAAAACAAAATAAATATGGAAATCATGATGGGAATGATGAAGGCTATCAATACTCCGCTCAGAACCATAAAATAAGAAACCGGATCATTCATCAATAAGTGATTAAGCCTCAACAGAGCTCGGTAATAGGGTGTTGTATGAATTTCAAATCGTTCCGATTTTGTAGTTTCTTCAATTTGATGAACAAATGAATAATAGGCTCGGGAAATGTGTTTAGATTTTCGTTCTGTTAGTGATGAGGTTGATGAATCAAAATAAGAAGGATATTCATCCCGATCGTCCTTTTTGCTTGATAGTTTTATGTTTGCTAAATTTCGTATCCCATGAATAATTATATTATTTTGGAAAAGTAATTTCGGAAGGACTTTAAAAATTAACTGTGTCGTTGATGATGACAATACTTGGATCGTGTCTCCAATATTCAGACTTGCCATTTTTTTTCAATTTAGTTTTTGTTTAATACAAACTCCAAATATTTGCTAATTTCCTTTTAAAATATTTATTTTAATAATCATTTGCAAATAACGTTTTCACTGCTTATTTCTTAATGAATATCCCATACAGAAATGTACAAACATGGCTGCAACCATTTTCCCAGTGTTATATTCCTCAATGGTTGGATTATATTCACTAAGGTCAAATAATTTAACTTTTTGTTGAGTTCCTGCATAAAAGCAAATATCTAACGCCTGTTGTGCACTCAATCCAAGTGGAGACGGACATGAAACGCCTGTGACATAGGCCATCGACACACTGTCCAAATCAAAACTCACAAAGATACTCTCAGTGTTTTCAAAATCCTTTTCAATGACTTGTCGAAAAACATTCATTGCTCCTGAACCTTCCAAATCTTTGGAAAGCCAATAGATTTTTCCTCCCTTATCCAACACATAATTGGCATGAACTTGTGAACATTGAGAGCCCTGAGCGGCGTACTCGACAAAATGTTGGCCCTTGAATCCAGGTGTTTCTAAAAGTCTTCGGAATGGTGATCCAGAATGATGTTTTCCATTCTTTAAATCCCGAACATCCAAATGAGCATCCAGATTCACCACTCCAACCGAATGAAATTGACCTACATGACGTAGTAAAGCCTTTGCATTGGGATAACTCTGATCATTACCTCCTCCTAAAACAAACACTGCACCAACTTGTAATTGATGTAAAGCCATATGTACAAATTCTTCCAATAATTCATGAGCCTTCTCTAAATTACTTTCATCATCAAGATGAACATCCCCGAGATCTACAATTTTCAATTGGGAACAATCCGTACTCTTCTCTACATTGATAATCGTTCCAGCACGTCGGATCATCTTTCGGAATGATTCAGGACCCTTCTTGGCTCCCACTCGTCCTCCATTTCGTTTCACTCCTTCATCAAAGGGAAAGCCAATGATGGCAATATCAATCTTTTCATTCTTGTATTGGGAAATAAAGTATTCTAATCCGTCTTGTTGAATGATTGGAGCAGCATTGAAAATTAATTCTCCAATCCGAACATCATCACTCGATCCAAGAGCATGTTGGATGTGTTTATTCAATTCAGACATTTTTATTGTGAATTTTGTGAGTTAATTTTGTAAACTCAAACTTTGCCTTTATTTAAATCAACAATTTGAACCAAAACAAACAAATCGAACAAAGTGCTGATCTTGCAAGCAAACACTCAAAGAGTGAAAGCCAGGGGAAAGGACCCAACGCACACAAGGTGGGGAAGACCCAACACACAAGGTGTTCAAAAACTAATTCTATGAGTAGTAAGGAATCGAAGAAGAATATTTCTTGCTCCATTGATATCTGTCAAAAATTGAGCCACATGATGGACAACGAAACACTTCGGATGATCCAACCGTATAAATATGTCCACAACATATGCAAGTTTTGGATGTATACGCTTCGTTGACAATATAAATGTGTGTCCACGGATACTCTCTAGCTTTGTGAAGCAGTCTTTGCTTGAATCTATAATGTGACCAAGTCAACTTTTTTCTTGCTGTCTTGCTATTAATTCTCCTATGGAGTTTCTTTACCATTTTCTGAGTCTCAAACGAAGGAAGTAAGATCACTTGGTAGTTTCGACATAGCCACAAACACAGTTTCTTGTGTAGATCATCCACAATATTTCTAATCTTTTGTTGAATTCTTCTTCCTGCTCTCTTGTACTTGTCGTACTGAAGCTCCACAGGCAAAGGTTCGGCGCTCTTGATGTTCCGTATAAATGGGTCCACAAGAAAAAGAGTGGACAATATTCATTTATAAGGAGTGCTTGCTGTGGAGAATGAAATGATCTTTTCTGTCTCTTACGTCATAAGGAGTATTTACAACCCACTGATTTTCTGTCTGATAATTATCGTTGTTCACCACAAACGTTCTGAAATTCTTCTTATTTTTCTTGACACCTTTGGATTTGTTGGTGAATTCTAAACACTTGTTGTAGATCCAACGAGCAGTTCCCATCTACTGATTCAAAGTTGTCCTTTCTTGTTCATTGGGGTAGAGTCGAATTTTCATCAATTTGTCCGATTTTTGGGCCTTTTGATTCTTCTTTGCGAGCTGAGGTGGCTTTTTATCAAAAGCCACATTCGCTGTTATAGAGTGGTGTACATTGAGTGGAACATCAAACACTGGCTTGGATTCAGTCACAGTGAATTGAGAAAAGTTGAACCATCCGTCTGTGGATCCCTTGTTGTTGTACTGATTAAACTCATGAAAGGAATCTCTTGAACATGCCCAAAGTTTATCCGATACTTGTTGTGAGTACTCATCCCAGAATGGAATGATGCTATGTGCAAGAGATGGATTAGTAGGAGGATGAGTAGGTTCATCCTCTCTACTTCATTCGTTGAGATTAAGGTTGTTGTTGAGTTTTTTTTGAAAACCTCAACGCGAGTTGAAACTCTATCAGTATTGAATGACTCATTCAATTGACACTCTATCAATTTGAATAACTTGATTCATTCTTTTCGTCCGAACTGATCATGGAAAAGTGAACACCTTGACAATTCCACCTCCAAAACAACACTTTTGATTCAAAGAATGTATAAATGGTTCGTCAGGAACTGACTGTTGATGATTATATTGACTTGTTGAGTTTGTAATAAATTGTGGCTTTTGTTCTTTTATTTTAGTGCTGACAAATTTAAAACCGATTATTATAACAAAACCTCCAAAACAAACAAGGTTATTAACAAGCCGCGTCATCAGGACTGTGTTTTAGTGATGGTTTTTGGTTTTTGAAAGAATTTGCTGTAATTGTGCTTTTGGCTTGAACGGTTTTGACAGCTAAGATAAAAAGGTACTCGAAAAAAACATTTCTGTAGAGAGAAAGCTTAACACTGGTAAAGAACAATCTTGAAACTGTACCGCTGGACCTGATCAACCGTTCTTGTAGCATTGTAATACATTCAACGGAACTCTTCATGAAGATTAAATTTCATTCGTTGAAAGCAGCATTTGGAGTCACTCAAGATATGAAATAAATTGTAAGTTTGCATTCACTCCATTTCAAAGAACAAAAAAACGTCTCTTGTAATTGTAAAAGAAAGAAACGTGCAGCAATGACCCGGTCGAAGAAGAACAAAGGCCTGGTCATGGGCCCTTTGACAGTTTGAGAGCCAACTTGAATGCACGTGAGAATTCAAAAAAACCTCTTGACCTCGTCCTGAGATGAAATCACGAACAACTGTCAAAGGGCATTCCTTAAAATTGAGTCAAAAGAAGGACCATACTTTGTTAGAGCTCAATAAATGTATTTCATTCTTCTCAAAACAATTTCTCAATCTTTTGTTCAGAATGACACGTGTCTTACAAAATCAAAATTGTAATTTAATTATTGTCAGTGAAATGACCCTTTTCGTCGTTGAATCATGTTGACACACTCATCCATTTTCATTCCATCATAAAAAATGTTTCCATTCCATAGCAATAGTAACAACAACAACAACACGAATAATAGTACAAGTGTTACTCCGAATCAGCAGCACACCTATCGGAGGCTCACTCCTCTTTCTCAACAACAAGGCTCTTCTGATTCTGTTCCGAATTTCACGTTTTATTCTTCGAATCATCATCCATCTTCTTTACATGGAGTTTCTCATTTCCACTCGGGACTCTCATCCTCTTCATACTCTCCATATACATCTTCTTCTTCGTTGTTTCATGAAGAAGATTCATCACGGGACGATAAGAAAAAAGATTCAAATTTTTTGTCCGTTTGGGAACAACGACATCGATGGAAATTATTTGCAAATCATTCACCGTATTTCTCAATGTGTTTTATTTGTTTGATATTATTGTTGGTTTCTTTAGGAATTTTGTTGAGTATTGTGTTTTTTGTGTTGCAGGAAGAGGAATTTGACCAATTAAAAATTGGAATTTTGATGATGTTTAAGGAGAATAAGAGAAATGATTGGCATTTGCAATACTCGATAAAGAGTGATGAAAAGTATTTGAAATTTATTGTTCTTGGTGGGTTTTTAAAAATTATTTAAAATTGAGACAATATATTTGATGGTTACACAAAATAGGTGATTGGGGAAGACGAGGTTTATTTAATCAAACTGAAGTGGCTGAACAAATGGAATATTATTGTAAAAATTTTGGATGTGATTTTGTGATTAGCACGGGTGATAATTTTTATCAAGGTAATTTTTTTGAAATAATAATAATAATCGATCCTATTGAGACCAAAATTGTAATTTGACAAATCCACAGATGGAGTTAAATCGGTAGATGATATTTTATTTAAGGAAAGGTAAGCACGAATTTTTTGAATGATTCTATGAGCTTGAACATTTGTATAGTTTTGAAGATGTTTACAATCAAGAAACTCTTTCAAAACTTCCTTTTCTGAGTGTATTAGGAAATCACTGCTACAGATCCAATCCCTATGCACAAGTAGAATATACTCAATATGAAAAATCCACAAAGAGACTTTACATTCCATCCGAATATTTCACAGAAGTCATGTACTTTCCAGAAAAGAGAGTCCTCGCTACTAAAAGGTCTGATTCCATTGAAACAGAAAATTCTGATGAGAAACAAACTTCTCATCATGACATTCAACGCAAGAACATGGCAAGCCTCTCTAAAAAGATGACCCAACACGACTTTCGAGTTCAATTTCTTTTCCTGGATACCAATCCCTTCATTCAGCGATATTATTCACATCCCAAAATGAATCAACATGCACTTCACAAGACCAGTAATTTGAGAGCTCAATTAGGATTTATGGAAAATATGATGAATGAATTGGAAGACAAAATTGATAGTGGAAGAACAGATCAAATTCCTTATTTCATCAACTCAGAAAGAAGGAAAATGACGATGGATCTACAATCGAATGATGAAAATCAGCAACCCAATGACGGACCTGATCCGAATCACTCTCATTCTTCATTCTCATTGACAAACATTCCTCTTTGGAAAATTGCAATAGGTCATCATCCTCTTTATTCTGCAAGTAGTCATGGTGATAGTGACGATTTAGTGGATAGACTCTTACCTTTTTTCAAAAGAACAGGAATTTCTCTCTATTTTAGTGGACACGATCACAATTTACAATATCTCAAATTGCCTGACAATTCTTTACATCAATTTATATCAGGGGCTGGATCTGCTGTTCGATTTGATGTGGTGCCTCATCATCCCTATCTTCAATCCTTCCAACAAGAATCAGGCTTTATGTATGTGAGACTTTCTAAGGATTTATTGGATGTTTCATTTGTCAGCTTGGAAGGTAAGGTCACAAATCGTGTGAAAATTCCAAAGCAGCATTCATGAGGAAAGAAAATAATAAGGAACAAATCGTGTGAAAATTCCAAAGCAGTCGAATTTTAACATGGTTTTGGAAAATCATTGCCCAACAAATAATTAACGAGCAAAATTGGAAGGCGTACAAGAAGTCAAGACTCACAAAAAAAATGTTCACAGAAAACTCCCCCAAGAAACGAAAATCTCATCAACAGGACGAAGAAAACAACCAACCCACGCCCAAGAAACAACAAGTAGAAACTCCAAGTAGAAACTCCAGCAGTAAGAAACAAAAATCTCATCAAAAGGACGAAGAAAACAACCAACCCACGCCCAAGAAAGAACAAGTAGAAACTCCAAGTAGAAGCTCCAGCAGTAAGAAACAAAAATCTAAGCTAAAGGACGAAGAAAACAACCAATCCACATCTCAAATCCACCATTATTCTTCTCCAAGGTAAGACTAACTATGGTCAATCAATGAAACAACAATAATTTATTTTCTCAATTTCAACAACGTAATGTATAACAGTTCACAAGGAGCTAGTGATGATAGCAAGAGCAAGGTTATTAATGACCCTGTACATGGGCATATTAGGATCGCCAATAATTTATTCCGTTACATTGACCATCCTTTGTTTCAAAGACTTAGAGATTTAAAACAGCTTGGAGGAATGTACTATGTGTTTCCTGGAGCTAGTCATAATCGTTTTGAACACAGCATTGGAACTGCTTACTTGGCTGGTGAATGGCTTCGCTTATTGAAAGCAAATTCTGATCCAGACATAAAGGTGACTGAAAGAGAAATCTTTTTAGTTCAAGTGGCCGCTTTGTGCCACGATTTAGGTCATGGTCCATTTTCTCACACCTTTGAAGACTGTTTTGTGCGCAACAATCCCAAGTTGGCAAAGAAGTTTGATCACGAAATGGCTTCATGTTTATTGTTAGAGTTTATTAATGATGATTTTAAAAAGAAGAATGATTTTTATGAGAATGATAAGAATGAATCTCATATATTACAACCAACAGAGCTGCAAATGGTGAAGAATATGATTAAAGGAAAGAAAAACAATAAGGAACAAAGGGCATTCTTGTATGAAATTGTTCATAATGAGGAAACTGGTATCGATGTAGATAAGTTCGACTATCTTGCACGAGATTGCAGAAATTGTGACCTTCCTTTAGGCTTTCGTTCTGAAAGATTATTACAATTCTCTAAAATCATGCGTGTCGACAATGTTTACAAGATATGCTTTGAGAAACGTGAAGCTTTCAATCTCTTTAATATGTTCACCACACGTGTTTCTTTACATAAACAGATTTATTCACATAGAGTGGTAAAGGCTATCGAATTAATGATTGGAGATGTATTGCAGAAAGTAGATTCCGCTTTTGATATCACGGAAACTTTACATACATTAGGAGACAATAATCTCTCCTTAAAAGACAAAGAAGCGGCCATTTTAACTTACTCATGTTTTACAGATTCTCTTATTAATGACATTTACAGAAGGGAGAACGAGCCAGCCTTTGCTGAAGCAAAAGACTTAATTGAGAGAATAATGAGCAGAAAGTTATATCAGTTCTGTTGCTCTATCGGCATTAAAAACTCCTCTCAAGCTGAAGAGATTTTGGATCTCTTAAAATCCCAGTTTAACAACAACCCAAACGTTTTATGGAAGAAACAAGTCTTTAATTTTGGAAAAGGGGATCAGAATCCGTTAGCACTCACAAACTTTTATGAAGGAAATACAGCTGCCAAATTACTAGACTCGGGTGATATTTGTGGTCTGTTGGAACCTAAAACATTTCAAGAAGTGTATATTAGGGTGTTTTTGAAAGATGAAGCCAAAGAGGAAGCTGTTTCTCGGACATACAAGCAAGTGAAAAATGTGATTGATAGATCTAAATATGCTGCTGTTGCAGGTGTAACATGTAGTGCCAAAGCTCAATCAAAAACCAAAAAGGTGACAGATGATGAAACCGACTCTGTTGCATGTAATCTCAATGAGCGTTTTGATCTATAGAACACGTAAGGAAGTAGTGAATGCACAACACCATCCACCAGTTCAATTAATTTCATTCAAAAATTTGTTATTAAAGCAAGTTCTGTTGTGTAAATTAAGACCGAGGTCAGAAAAATGCAAAATTCCTCTTTGGAACATTGGTCATCATCCTCTTTATTCTACAAGTAGTCATGGTGACAGTGATGAAAGATAAGACCACATCAAATCGAACAGCAAATCCAGCTCCTGGTAAGGTCATAAATCGTGTGAAAATTCCAAAGCAGCATTCATGAGGAAAGAAAAATAAGGAACAGTTGGCATTCTTGTGCGAAATTGTTCAATATAATGAGGAAAATGGTATAGATGTAGACAATTTCGACAATCTTGCACGAGCTTAATTTCTGCAGAAATTGTGACCTCTGAAGTAATTCTCTTTTATCACACATGTCGACAAAATATGTTGTTGTGGTTTGCCATTATGAAAAATATTCTCTACAACATTGGGAGTGTTCACAAATAACAAGAACCTCAAAAAATCATTTCTCCCAAATAGTCTTCATCTGTGTAATAATTAAAGGATTCAAGAAATACATGTAGATTTTGTTTGTGAATTATGCACGCACGTTGACTGTGGTGAAGCATGCTAAATGATGAGTTAGCGATAAAGTTGGATTCTATTATTGGCACTATCACATAGAATTAGTTCTCCACTTAATTCGTTCACACATAATCCAACCATTTGTTCAAAGGACTGTTCTGTTTGAAAATCCTTTCCACATATCGATTTTACCAAAAATCCACTTCGCGTGAATATTTGAATTCGAAAATTATCACCATCTCCAATTATTATGCGATCTGAAACTCTGTCATACCACAAATTGCAAGGAAACTGAAAATTCGTATTTTCTGTTGTAGAATGTCCAAACTCCAAAAAAACGTGCCATTCTTCGTCATTCCTCTTGAGCATTGTAATTTTGCTTTGTTGTGACATTTCAGAAACTATTAATTCTCCAAAAGTTGAAAATGCAATATTCCATGGAGCTGTGAAATTATTGATACACTGAACTTGTTCGCCTGTGCTTGAAAGTAATACCTTAATAGAATCATTAAGATAATCACAAACAAATAGCAAATGTTCGTTTGCGTCATTTTGCCATAATGCCATTCCTCTTGGATGAAAAAATTGAGCACTAGACGTCCAAATGCCACAGCTATCATAGGTATCTTGGGCAGATTTAGTTTGTGATGCCAATACTTTGCATAAATTATACTTGTAAACTCTAGAGTTTTCATTACAGCCTAAAAACACGGCTACTCTTTCCTCTCCGATTACACAATCTTCTTCGATACAGAGATTAGTAGGCTCTGCAGCCAGTGTTTTCAGGGTGGCCAAATACTTTCTTGTTTCCAAGTGAAAACATTGAATTCTATGATTGTATGTATCTAAATTCGCTCAGAAAGCCAACCACGTGTTCAAACGAGACTCTTCTGTCTGTTGAAAATCCTTACCTGATACAACAATACATTCCAACAAGTATGATATCTTTACATCAAATGGATAATCAAATAATTCATTTGAATTGCCAAATTGTTCAAAAACTCCCATGGTCCCAACATGTTCAAAATTTAACGAAAAAGCCTTTCTTTTTTTACTTGTTAACTTTTCTTTTAATTTTACAAGCAAGATCGGATGATCAAATGGATTGAAAAAATCAATTAAATGAATTCGGAGCGTTGAATGGACGAGCAAAGAATGTTGCTGCTCTTCCAAGTTGTTCATTTTTTTATTGTGCTTTTCGTTAAAGTGTGTTCGTTTTTCGTTTGAATAAAAATTCATTAATTTCATTGGGTCCAACAATAATACACGCAAAATATTGTCGAAATTCCATGTTGGCTCATGTAAGACTTTACAAAATTAACATGACACATGGTGGTTTACTCGAGCCAATCTGAACCACAATGTACAAAACAAAATTTAGAAAAAATGCAAAATTCAATCGTGTTGAAGGAACAGATTGATCATCATCACGAATTAGCGGATGATATGGTTTTTCATATTTTGCAATTTATGGATTCAGAAACCATCCTCCGAGTGTGTATGATCGTTTCAAAACAATGGTATTCGAAATCTCTTGAAATTCCATTGACTTTGGATTTCTCACTCGGAAAGAGGCTTGATCAACACTTGATCAATTCCATGGTTTCATGCCCTAATATTCAAAATTTGACCTACCTTGATATGTATGATAATGATGTCAAACACGAGTCCATGTTATTACTCACTTCAAGTGAATATTTAAGTAATTTGAAAGAGTTGTTTTTGGATTGGAATGATTTATCAGCCGATGACGTGGTGATGATTGCAAACAACAAATACTTTTCGAATTTGACAACTTTAAACATTGAAGAAAATAGATCGAATGAGACGAGCATAAAGGCCATTGCACAGAGTAGTTATTTGAAGAACTTGAGAACACTCCACATGGGATACAGTCAAATTAATCTTGATGGAGTGAAGACACTCGTGCAAAGCGAAAATATGCGCAATCTTACCGAACTGCATTTAGGAGACACTACACTCACCGCAGATGGAGTTCAAGAACTTGTAGGACCTACTTCTCGAATTCAAAATTTGGTTGTATTAGATGTTCATTTGGCCACTCTAGGAGATGAAGGAGTGGCTAAACTTGTGACATCTGACAAACTTAAAAATCTAACCTTTCTCGATATATATCAAACAGAGATCACTCACAAAGGAGTCAAAAAGGTCACTACCAGTCCTTTCATGAAAAACCTCACCCGACTTGATCTTGGCGATAATGATATTGGCCCTGAAGGTGCTAAACTAATCGCTACAAGCGAAAACATGAAAAATATGAAGAAATTAGAATTGGATGACACAAGTTTGACAACAGAGGGCATTGTACATCTCACTTCAAGTAAGCTGATGCAACAATTGGTGAGCTTAAGCGTGGATTTTAATTCCATTGGAAGTGAAGGATTGAAATTAATTAGTGAAAGTCAATATTTGAAAAATTTGACCAAATTGTCAATTGGAAGTAACACCATCAAGATTGAAGGCATTCGAGCACTGACAGCAAGTAAATTTTTAAGGTTGAGAAAGCTCGATTTATCAGAAAATAATGTGGACGATCAAGGAACTAAACTCATCGTTGGCAGTGAAAATATGAAAAATTTGACAAAATTATATTTGAACACCAACGACATCAAGCCAGAAGGTGCCAAATATATTGCGAACAGCCCCTACATGCAAAACTTGAAGCTGTTATCTTTAGAAAACAATGAGATTGCAGACGAAGGCGCCACATGTATTGCAAATAGCTCATTCTTAACCCATTTAACTGATTTAGATTTATCAAGCAACAGCATTAGAGACAATGGATTCCAGGAAATTGCAAAGAGTGAGACCTTGAAACACTTGACAGCACTGAATTTAGGGTACAATGACCATTCTGACGAAGGATTGAAAGCTATTGCCTTCAGTGAATGTTTAACAAATGTCCTTGATTTAAGTATTGAATCAAGCCTTTCAGAAAAGAGTCAATTCAAAGAAAACAATATTGCGCTCTCAGAAACACCTCTAAGGAAATTGAGAAGGAGTTTGTTATTATTGGATCCAATAGAGACTGACTTGAAGAAGGCTGTTCCAACCTCTTTTTTATGGTGGTATGTGGCTCCTCTTTCTATATTGATTGCTGTATTGTCAATGGGCTTTTTTCACTAATGGAATATGTTGCAACTTTTGCTGGCACAAGAATTCAATACTTTCAAAAAAAATGTCCAGCGGTTACGGAGTGAGAACAAAGAACGGAAGATGCTATGGTCTATGGATGGACTATAGAAGCTGTATGTACCATACCGATCAACCAAAGAATTGTAGCCCAAATTTGGAGGATTTTGTGGAGTGTTTGCATCACTACAAAGAGGTATGATGAATGTTTTTTTGAAAAATGATTTGAATACGAATTATTTTGTTGTTTTATTATTGTTGTTGTTGTTATTATTATTACTGGGTGGAACATTTTTTCTGTTTGATGATGTGGTTTTATCGGATGTGTTTCTTTTTGGATTACTTGGATGGGTTTTTGACATGAAACACTATTGAATTTACACCACCCGATGACAAATAATTTTTCATCTCATCATCATTCTTCAATTTCATCAACCATTCATCATCACGATAACACCAACATTTCCATCATCACCAAACAATAGTCTGAATGGCACAAGAAAGTAGAAAGAAAGATTTATGAAAAGAGAGACGAGAACCAAAGTCTTTTTAAGAAAGAATCAAAAAAACCCGAGACTTCAAGTCATCATTAATTATCGAGTGCATCGTGTATAGAAATAATCAAAAGTTAATAATATAATATTTAGGATTTATTGACATCATCTTTATTGCTATTCTTCCTTCGAACAACAACATGGCTCGTATTCTTTAGGATTGAATCGTTGCCATTCCAAAAATCAACTCGAAATTCATCATTCACCAAAAAGTACAAAACCTCATGAACGACTGAATCATGCATGAAACACCCCAATACAAACAAGGAGCCTAAAAAAGGCGATTAGACAGCGTATCTTCTCCTCAAGCAATTTCATAAGTCAAAAAAATACAACCATCCACACACGAGCGTTGATTTTGTATCCATTGCAAGTTTTGAAAAATCATCATGAGCCAACCACCTCCAACTAATAATCAAGAGGCAACATCTTCTTGCTCAGCAACAGAGGACTCCACAAACGAGAGTGTACAAATGACCATTCCATCGGACAACAGACAAAGATCAGCCTCAAGAACTCGTGATGGTCCTCTCTCTCCAACAGTAAAAACTGCAGTTCCGAGCGATGTATGGGACCTCACTCATCGTCATCATCACCATGGCAAGAAGGCACCATCGCACAGCTCTTCTCAAACCAAATTAGAAAGTTTGAAGGATACTACATCATCTCTTCATAAATCACCTTCTGGTTTGTTGTCTGTGAAAGATACCACTGTGAATCACAAGAACAATACTCATAATCATCATTCAAGTCCAAAAACTAAACTTAGTTTGGACATTATTCGAAAATTACCAAAAGCCGAGCTACATCGTCATTTGGATGGATCTGTTCGTGTTGAGACAATTGTTGAACTTGCTAAGGAACAAGGAGTTCAATTACCAACATTTGATGTCGAAGAATTGAGAAAACTTGTCAGTGTTTCAAACGATTGTTCTTCCCTTGTTGAATATTTACGTGGATTTGACATTTCTCTGTCTGTCATGCAAAAGAGATACAGTATTACTAGAATTATGTATGAAGTATGTGAAGATGCTTGGAATGATGGTGTGAAATATTTAGAAGTCAGATTTTCACCAATTCTTCACACTAAGGGAGGCCTCTCTTTGTCGTCGGTCATGGAAGCTGTTGTCGCTGGACGTGTCATGGCAGAAATGAATTTGGGAATAATTTGTAGAATTATTGTTTCAGGTATGAGACAATTGGACAGCAAAATCACTCGTCAACTCGCTGAAATTGCATGGCGTTATAGAGATCGGTAAGTTTATTGTCACACTCACACATCTTGTTAACAACATTGGTCATTATCCATGGGGATATTTGTATTATTTCGGTGATTGACTATTCGATCATTCATACCCTCTTGAATACATTCTTACATTCTTAGTGGAGTTGCTGCTTTCGATCTTGCAGGTCCAGAGAATGGCTTTTCCTCAAAAAATCATGCAGCTGCCTTTGAATTGGTTCATCGTAGAATGCTAAATTGCACTCTACACAGTGGTGAGGCAAGTGGTTGGGAATCTGTTCAAGACAGTCTCCGATTTTGTGGTGCTCAACGTATTGGCCATGGTGTTGCATTGAAGGAAAACCCTGAATTGACACAATATTGTGCAAATCACAGAATTCCTATCGAAGTTTGTATCACGAGTAATCTTCAAACAAAGGCGATCACAAAGTTTGAGGAACATCCTATTCGTGAATTTTTCGATTATGGTCTCGTATTGGTACCATGTACTGATAACACAACAGTGAGCAATGTGACACTCTCCCAAGAATACTTGTTGATTCAAGAACAGTTTGGCTTCTCCATTAAGGACCTCATTCGATTGATTGATTACGGTTTCCGTTCTGCATTCTTGGACTTGTCGATCAAGAATAGACTTCGAGCTGATGCTCTTCACACAATACAGGTCATTCTCTCCAATGAAGGATACGACTTGACAAGCGCATTCTCTGCGAAATCGGCTGTTGATCTTGGCTTTGATTTTAACAATCGAGCTGAAGTTCTTGGAGTTGACTATGACTTGTACAAGAGTGAAACCATGAGACAATTTATTAATGCAATTCCAAAAGCTGATGTTAATTGTAGATTCAATGGTTCTGTTTCCATTGATACCTTGTGGACCAATTATACCCGTGACGAATATTCCACCGAGTTCATTAACTTGGAATTGGAAATGTTAGGCCTCGAAAGATTCACAACCAAAAACGAATTGGAAATGCTCATTCGACCACCTGGAACCAACCACAACAAGCACACCATTGATCGTGCCGTTCATGTCATGTCCTTATTCTTACAAACCAAATCTCAAATTATTCGAGGTTGTGAAGACATTTTAGAAAAGGCAGCTGCTGATAATGTGGCCTATATTGAATTACAAATTCGTCCAACCATGCACACAAAGAGAGGACTCAATCCACAAGAGGTGTTAGACATGATTATCGTGAGTACCAACGAATGTAGTAAGAGACACAATATTCAAGTAGGATTGGTCGTTTATGGAGATCATACTTCAGATGGTGTCGATCAATTGAAAGAATTGGCTCTCCTCACCATTCGAAACAAGAAGAATTTGTGTGGATTTGGATTCTTTGGTTTCAATGATGAAAAGGGAGACATCTCTGATGATTTAATTCCTGTTTTCAACATGCTCAAGAATCATCAAATTAGTGTTTGTTGCAGTGCTGGATTTTATAATCCCATGAGTGTCATTCCAGCCATTCACGATGTTGGTGCTTCACGATTGAGTGGATGCTTCTCCATTCACAAAGACCCCTCTGTGATGAGTTATTTGGCCAATAATGGCGTTCCAATTGAAATTAGTATGACAGATACGTTGCGTCGATTGACTAAAGATGTTGATGAATTTGCAGGTTCTGCTGTGAGACTCTTCTTGGATCGAGGAATTAAGGTAGCTCCATGTTCATTGGATCTTACATTGTATAACATGACAAGATCTGAGAATTTCTATAATATGGCGAAAGAATGTAATTTGAGTTTGAATGAGGTTGTTCAACTCATGCTCATTGGATTCCGTATTTGTTATCAAAACTATTGGACTAGAAAGGAAATGTTTGTGGATGCCTATCACAAAATGTTGAAATTTGCCGATGAACTCAAAATTCCATTCGATACCGATAGTTTCTCATTATTCTGTACTTCCTATGCTCCTTTCAATAAGGATTAGAATAAAATGTTGTTAAAGTGGAATGGTCATGACAAGCGACGACAATTTGCGCGCTTTTATTTACAAAAAAAAATGCAACAAGAAAATAAACACTTGGAAGGAGAAATAGGAACAACAGACGCTCTTTCAACATCGGAAGAACGAGAGTTTGTGATCAATGAGGCATCCAACAGTATACGGCCTCAACCTGCCAAACCGAGAACGATGGCCTACCGACAACAACTCCAACAAAAACAAGCAGTTTTGAATGGCCTTACATCTCCGCAAAAACAACAACAAGCATCTAATGGAGGTAATTTATTGAAGAGAATACATCAAAATTCTGTTCGGATCCGAAGTGCAAGTGCTTCATCCAATGAAGCCCCTCCATCGGAACGATTTGTTCATTCACCTTCGGGGAGAACCTATTCAACCGATTCGTTGTTTAATGACTCTACGAATTCTCCACAACAATTTAATGCCGATGACTTGCATAGTACTTCCATGTCAGATCTTTCCATTCAAAATAATCAGCCAGCCACTCTTCAGACTGGAACCTCTTCCAATAACTTGTATGGAAAAAATTCAAAGACTGCTGTTCCTTTGACGCATGGAGATTCTTTTCTCAACAATAATTCTTTGCTGGCTGATGACTCTTTTTCGTCCGATGGAAATAACTCTTTAAATCCAAATTTTAATTCTAAATCACGCGTAAACTCTAATAGAAATATTTATGATGCTCAACTTCCAAAGATTGTATCGACCTCCCACATGCAAAACGATTCGTTCAGCACAGAAAACAGTGCACGAGACTCATTGCCCAATCTAGTGACACCTGTTTCTAAAAATCTCGGAAGTTTTTGTATTGATGAAGCAGATATTTATAACGGAAAAGTGAGATTTGAACATTTCAGTGAGATTATTAAACAGCTGGATGACATTAAGGGAAAGTTTGATGATCGTGTCAACGACTTAACACTTGGAATTACTTTCTTTGAGAAAAATTTGAGCTCAGAACAAGAAAAATGTAGAGAATATTTGGTGAAAGGTTTCATTTCACTGATCAAGAATCTTGCACAAGACAAAATTCCAGAAGTTTACCTTCGATCAGTGCCAAAATTTGGAGGCAGTCCAGCTATGGTATCTCTGCATAAAGCTTTACTCGAATTGAGACGAGCCACTACTTCTACCAATCCACAGCAAGCTCTCGTCGTTAAATTAGATTCTGAGGTTTCGAATGAAATTGAAGCTATTACTGAAAAAACCATTGATGAGACACTTAATGATTTTATTGGTAGTTTGGCCACAGCAAACGACAGAATTGCAAGAGGAGTGAAAACCATGAAACAAACCAATGCTCAACTCGAAACCATGCTTCACGATTTGAAATCCGAAAATTTATTCTTGTTGGAGAAAATTAATCACTTGGAAGGAGTTACACTCATGCAACAAGAAGAAATCGACACTTTGAAAATAGAAATGTCAAGAAGAGCAGCCGAAATGGATATTATCAAAGAACAAGTGGCAAGACGAGACAGACTTTTGGACGAGCAACGATCCAACTATCTCAATGAATTGGTTCAACTTCAAATGAAAATATATGAGAACAACAAGTTGAATAATAAGGGAGGATTGCGACCTCCAAGTTCAACCAACTTTACCACGAAGGACAATTTGAGAGCTCCCTCTCCCATTTCAAATTTTACATCCTCATACGATGATGCTGACAAAACACACCAGTCGGATTTGGAGCTCAGCAAATTGGTAAAGCAACATCAACAAGAACTCGAAACCATGATTGATGAAAGATTTGACGCGTTCAAATTGCAGTACTTGAAAGAAAAGAGAAAATCTGAACGTGAGCATAAAGAAGAAATGGAAATTAAGGAGGTTGAAATTAACAAATTGAAGAAAACCATTAACAATTTGGAACGAAATTTACGAGAAATGACATTGGCACAAGAACACAGTTTCCAATTCGATGGAAGTTTAATCGTGTCTGAAGAAGCCCTTCACAGAGGATACATGACAGAAGAAGAAACTGATTCAACCGATGACGACCAAGAAGATGAATAATTCCAACACATGTTTTAAGAATTTATTCACATCAATTCCATCATTGTACCACTCCACTTGCTTTGGTTGTAGTGTCACTAATAATCTTATCAGAGAGGAAGGTGGGGAATAGAGATAAAATTCTACTGGCTCTTCCCTTCGTATTCACCAATTCCTCTGCCACACCCCATTCAATGGCATCAATGGCAATCGATGCAAATTGTTCGGGTGTAATGAATTTACTCTTCTCACGTATCACTCCCTTCTCTGCACCAAATGAATTTGCTTGAAAATCTGTATAGACATGAGGAGGACAAAGAATGGTCACATCAATTTTTCCTTTCAATTCCATTCTCAAAGAATGGAAGAAACCATTCACAGCATGTTTCGATGAGCAGTACGCAGTTCGTAAAGGAGGACCAAATTTTCCTGACATGCTACTAACCACAGCGATTTTAGGTCTCTTAATAATATCAAGATGTTGGGAAAGTTTCATGTGAGGAAGTGCATAATGTGTTGGATAAACAGCTCCCCAGCTAATTTTAAAAGAAGAATGTATTGACACAATTCCCATGAGAATATAATTCCATTAAAATTTTGAGAACATCAAATTCACTTACAAATTGACATCCATTAATTTCTTGTGTTGATCCAAATTGTCACACTCATCAAATCGTTTCTTCATGCCAATGCCAGCATTCAGAATGAGAATGTGAATTTCTTTGAGAGCATTGACGGCATTTTCAACGAATTTCTTGCAACTCTCTTCATTGGAAACGTCCAACTCAAAGACATGACATGAAGATGCTCCTGAATTTAAACACTTTTCTTTGATACTTTCCAAGTTGCTTAAATTTCTTGCACCCAGCACTAAATTGGCTCCCATGGAAGCGTAGGTTTGTGCCAGAGTAGCTCCGATACCTTTTGAATGATTCGAAAATTATTATTCAATATTGAAAGTGTTTTGAAAGATTTTACAGGAAAATCAGCAAGATTATGAATTCCACACGTGTGAATTATTTTCAATTCAAATAAAGAATGGTGTCCATGTTCTCACATAAAAAAAATCCGATAGAATCCCTACCTGCCGATCCTCCAGTGATGACAATATTTACATTCCTATACGTAGTACTTGTCTTTGGTTTTTGATTTAATTTACGGTACAGAGTGTCATCAAGACCTAAAATTCTCACCACCAGCAACACCAAAATCAATAAAGGAAGAATAAATAAAAGAGTTGTGAACATTTTTTTGAAAACTTTTACTTACGAATAAGACGAGAATGTATCAAATGAGACAAGGACTCTTGGCATTTCAAAAGATCACAAGGATGATATCAAAAATGATTCAAGTTATTTACTTTCCTTCATCAATTCCTTCTCCTTTTGATCGACCAAATCATCAATTTTAGTAATCATATCCTCAGTGACTTTTTGTAACACTTGTTCATCGTGGAAAATGTCATCCTTAGAAGCTCCTTCTTTCTGACCTTTAATTTTAGTCATTGCATTTCTTCGAATGTCTCTAACTTTCTCTTTAAAAGTCTCTGCCACTTTTTTGACATTCTTCAACACAGTTTCACGCATTTCCTTTGTCATCTTTGGTATTGGAATGTCAATGGAATTTTCATTAATTTGTTGAGGATTTAATCCAATATTTTCTGCAAGAATGGATCGAACGATGGCTCCCGTGGTGGTTTTATCAAAAACATTTAAAGATAAACATTTTGGATTCTTCACGACAATGGATGCCAATGACTTGAGTGGACGTTTGGATTCATCATTCAAAGTAATCATTACATTTTCAACCATGGAAGGATTAGCTCCAGCGGAACTTCTCAATTCAGCCAATTGTTTCTGAGTGGATTGAACAATCTTGTCCATCTTATCGCAAATATCCTTATAATCAATGGCATCGGTTACAAAACCATCGGATTTAGCAACGGCTTTGGTACTCTTTGGTGGAGTCTTGCCTGCATAGTTGCACACTTGATTGGAATCCGTGATGAAAGAAGAGACAAGTAAATGTTTTGTTGTTGAATTGCATGTGTTGAAGGAATGATGGTTGATGTTGAGAGAAGTATTTGTTGTTCCGAGCACAGCACGAGTATTGGTTGAGGAAAACAAGGTATTATATCGCGAGAATGAGCGTTGCACAGAACGAGTCAAACACAAAGTCCGGGAAGAGAGCATTTTTTAAAATTGTGAATTTTTGCAAAACATTGAAAAACACAATTCACCCTAACAAACAATGATTATCATCACACTTCGTTAGATGCACCAATGCCAGTTGAAATTACAAAAGAAAATAATAATAATTTAATTAACTCTTTGGAGAATGGCTTGGTGCACGTCACCGAGTTTAACAGTCCATTGACTCAATGCCTTGTATCGTGTCAGCTCAGCTCCTTGTGAAGACAAGGTAATCATTTGATTCACTTGGTCAATGTAGCCATCCAATTTACCATCCAAAATCATGTCAACAACCAATGCTTCGACATCCTCTGTAGAAATGCTCAATTCCTTGCCCAAAAAGCTCATCTTGATACGTGTGTATGGCTTCATGATTTTACCCAAAACACGAATACGAATAGTCTTGAGCAAATCTTCAATATATTCCTTCATGAAATTGTCTTCTAAAATTGCCTTTCTGTTATTCTTCAAGACCTTGTCAAATTCTTTGATATTGGCTTGTTGATAGTGTTGGACAAGATCAGTCATGGCAACAATGTCAGAGTGACCCTTGTATGGTTTGGCTTCGTTGGCATCAAAAGGATTGATGGAAGATTGAGACAAAATAGATGCCAACACCAAGTATTTCAGACAATCAATACGACGAGGATTACCTGCTTCATCGTATGACTTGAATGCTTCGAAAAAGTCATTGAAAGCTTCAGCCCATTTCTTCTCACGCATATACATTTTACCACCACATTCACGAATGATACCAGTAATACGAGGATTCAACACCACGGCACCTCCGGAAATGATACCTATACACTTTTGATAGAGTTGTGCAAGCTTCTTGAGTTGATTTTGCTCGCTATACATTTGAATCTCGAGAACATAAACATCCAACATGTTTGATGATTTCTTTTCATCGGGAGTAACACCATCTTCCAACATGCACCATCGTTTGAGATCAGAAATACAAGTGTTCAATCGGTCCCAATCACGAGTTTGAGTAAAAAGTTGTCCTTGCTTGAGTTTGGTATTGAACCACAACTTTTCATTGTTAGCCTTCAACAAGACTTCAAGAGTCATTCCATAGATTTGATCAAGCATATTCTTATCGGTCGATGATGAAACCATACTCAAGACCTTGTTGATCGCCTTTTCACTTTCGTTTCGGGATACAATGCTCATATAGGTGAGGAGTTCCTTGTATCGTTGAACCATTTGGTCCATCTTTCCAGCCTTGAAGAGAGTCTTGACCATTTGTTTGAGAGATTTGAAACCCCATTGACCCTTCTCTTCTTCAAGATCGAGCACGGTTTGGAAAAGTTCAAGAGCTTCATCCAAATTCTCGTCGACTTCTCCCTTGGCTGTGTAGTAGGTATTTTCAACCAAGTTTTCATCCACTTCGTCGTCGAGCATATCATCGCCCTTTCTTTCATCATCATCAAGTCCTACAATTTCTCCTTCGTCATCTTCCTATTGTTATTGATTAATGATTGTTGTTGATCATTATGATCATGAGTGATTTCATCATCACCAAGAAATGTGTAATGACATCATCATCGGTAGATCGGCCCAGTTCAAAAAACCAAATCATCATCAAATTGATCAAAGTCAAGAAAATAATATTAATAATATTACTACTCGTACTCTCCAAGGATCATGGAATAAACAAATACGTACGATTTCGAATTCAACATCGTCTTCTGCCATGGTGATTTGTTTTTATGGTGGAATGTGGCAACTTGCCCTTTAATTTTTTTAATGGATGAACTGAGAAGCCA